CGACCGTCGTTGTTGCTATTCACGATAAGGTCGCCCTTGACTAATGTCTGGGCGAGACGGGCGTCGTTCAGTGAATAAAGCTTGGACAAAGCAATGACGCTGCCAAAAGTTAGTCCAGGTTCACACGGCCGGCCTTGGGCACTCACTTTTGGCGAATCTCATCGTAGCCCGCAAAGCTGACAGAGTTCTCGAGCCACTTGCTCATGACAACCTGCAAACCAGTGTTTCCATGGATCTGAATTTGGCTGAGGAATTCGACAACGTCACTAGCGCCAACAAGGGACAGGCGAGCGAAAACAAGGATCAGAGACTGGATGAAAGGAGCAGCCTCAGCGGACGCCAGTCTCGTAGCCACAGCTTGCAGTAGCTGGGGTAAAAAGGGGCCAAGACGTTCCTGTCCGGCCTTTTCGACGAGTTCTGCCGCAAGTCCACCAACCTCGGAAGCAGAATTATCCTCAACGGAAGGTCCCAACAAGCGGTCGATGATGTGAAGACAGACTTCCAAGCCCGAGCGGTTGTTCTCGTCATGCCAGCCGAAGACTTGGTGGTGGTCATGCATTAGGAGGTACTTGACAGACTCGGCACCTGGACGCAGGACCTCGCCCTCATTTGACTCCATCAGCAGACGGTTGAGCTTAGGAAGGGTGGCGGCAACGAAGCCAGCAGGAAGAGGTTCAGAGCCGTGCTCAACAAGCGCGGTAAGCAACTCGGTGGCAACGGTGACGAGGGGATCGTCCTGGGTGACATTTGCGGTGTTAAAGGCCGCAGTCAGCGTGGGCAGAATCTTGGCGCAGAGCGCAGTGTATGAAGCGGTATCAGATAGCGCACGAACAATCTCCTCAAAGGCCTCGCAAATCAACATGGTAGCCTGGAAGTTGGATGCGCCAAGCTTGGCAACCATGAAGAGAAGGTCAACAGAGGGGACATCCTGGGAAAGAACAATTCTAGTGTCCATGTTGATGGCTGCACGCAGAGACTCGGCGAGGGTGACAAGGAGCTCGTCGGCATCCTCCATCTCTTCGGGGTCCTTGTTTTGCATGTACTGTGCAATGGCATTGATGATGGGGACTTGGCGGTCAGCTATTACCCTGCCAGAGCGGATAAAGCCCTCGACGGCCTTAATACAGGCGACCTGGACGACCTCAGACTCCTCAGAGGTGATGCACTGGATAATACGGTCGAAGAGAGCGGGTGGCGTCTGGAAGCCACGGGCAAGAGTGCCGCCAACGAGGTAGCCGCGGGCTCTCAGGAGAGGCTGCTCGTTCTGGTTGACAGCGTAATCAACCAGGCCTAGGTAAGCCTCAGATAACTCCTCGGGGATGGGCTTTTCCATATCCTGGAAGTCGCTTAGGAGCATGTTGAAAAGATAAAGCGACGCCTCCTGGCTTCTCCACGAAGAGCCATTGCCGGGGAAGAGGGTCTTGGTGTAGCCAAACAGGCCCTCCACTGCCTTCCCGCTGTACCACTCGCCAAGCTTGATGAGCAAGTCGCCGGATGCCGTGCGCGCAGTGTAGTTTGCGGTAACGCTAGTCTCCTCGGCAAGGTAAAGAGAGCAGTCGATATCCCATAGCTCCTCCTCCTCGCGGCTGATGCGAGAGTACCCAACGACCATCTTCATGACATCGACCATCCATGGAGTCTCCTGCGCTGAGGCGTGGGCGGAGAGTTGGGCCTCGAGCTCAGCCTGCACGGGCGGCGCGCGGAAGCACTGGTTGAGGAAGTCGAGCTCCTCAAGAATCAGGAAATCCAAGGTGTACGGCAAGCTGTCCGAGTCTTCGAGACGGCCTTGAGCCTCGTGTCCAATGTACAGGTCCTCGTGCGGCTTCTGCAGAAGGGAAAGCTCCTCCCAAACGGCAGTGAAAAGGCTCGTGCTGTGCGGCAGAAGCAGGTGAGGGAAGACGGACTTGACCTTCAAGAGAGTCTTGACAACCTGCAGCTTCAGCGCAATGATGTGGTTCCAGCTTGTGGGCTGACCATTGTTGGTGACCTCGCCAGCGGCGTCCGGCAGGCGGGACTTGAGCACCTGAGCGAAGAAGGGGTACCAGTCCTTGAGTGCCTCCTCAGCGAAGCCCTTGACTTCCTTCATATGGTCCTCCTTGACAATATCCATGAGGTCGAAGCACGATCGGAAGACGGAGATGGCGAGAGCGCGCAGGTTGGGTTTCCGGCCTTCGTTGAGCGCCACTTCGGTAACGGCCTTGACAATGTCCCGCGCCATGGTGAAGAATTGGTCCTCGCTCAAGCTCTCATCGATGATGTCGCCCAGGACTCGGAGGGCGCCGTGGAGTTGGACGTCGGTGCTCGTGGGAATGACGCCCAGGACAGTAGGCAGAAGGCTGGGCCATCGTTCGGGGAAGTCGGCCGACGCAATCTTGCCGATCGCATAGCTAGAGATTAGAGAAAAAAAGTCAAGTCAGCATGGCGGTTCTCTCTTGGGGTTTCCTGGAGGCGGTTGGGCTCGAGATGCTTCGGGCCACGTCGAATTAGGAAATCCTGGGTAGAGACGAGCGCAACACCATACCTTGCCGCAACCTTGACAGGTCTTGTGTCCTCGTCGCTGAGGGCGATCTCGAGCAGAGTATTTCGCAGCTGCTCGCGTGACGCATCAGAAATGTCGACAGGCGGCTCAGCAAAGTCCCTGTCCTCGGGGTTCCAGTTCTTCTCGATGAAGAGGCGCAGAGTGCTGAGGGCAGCCTGGCGAATCGCCACGTCGATGGAGTTGTGGTTGGCAATGTTGGCCAGCGAGGTAGGGAAGGCAGGGTTCGCGCGAGCGTGCTTGAGCTCGATCTCGGCTTGCTGACGGGGACCCTGTTCGGAGCTCTGGGTATTGGCCAGCAGCGAAACCAGCTGGTCCTCCATGTTGGAGCGGGTTCAAGGGTTCGTGACGGGAAGTATGCGTGTTGATTCGTGGTCCACAAGCTTCTGAATATGCTGGCTGCGACGGTCGGGGGCGACGTTCGTGTGTCCGTCGTTCGACTGCGTCGGGTTTCTGGCTGCAGATCGTATGCGCCGGGCCAGTGGTGGTGGTGGTCCCGAGGGGATTCGGAGGCGAGGAAGCAAGTCAAACGATTAGCGCAACCCCCACGGGATAGTGGCCAGGAAAGAGAGAATGAAGGAGAGGAGAGGTGCGGTGTAGACAGGGACCCGTAGCTGACTCAACCCAGGGTAGGCAGAGGGAGGAGAAGGCGGTTGGTGCTGAATTACAATAAATGCGGTGGTCGTGGAGTGGACTCGGCGGGTTGTTCGAGAGAGAGGTGTTGTGGGAGTTTGTGTGCTGCGGCGGGCGGCGGGCGGCGGACGGCGAGCGGTGGCGGTAGTGGCGGCGGTGGTGGTTCTCAATCTCTGGTGATGTTTCTCACTTTCTTTTTGGCGGGGTGGTTTGGTTTACCGTTTAAGGTACCTGGACGCGCGAGTGGGGCCTTGGTAGGTGCCACAGCCCACTTGCACGTTTCTTGGGCGCTCTCACAGGCCAGATGTGTCCCAAGTACGTCCAGGGCAGTCGAGGTCCAGGGCAGTCGAGGTCCAGGGTGCGGCATACCTACCTTGGAAGGGGGTGTTTGCAGGTACTTGACGCAAAGTACCTCACGGAGAAGAAACAAGTGATGAGAGCAGGCAGCAGACGGACAGCCCACCATTGAAACAAAAACTCCGAACAGCGCCAGAGCCAACGCCGCACATCTTGCTGGCTACCTTAGTGGGCCCCGATGCCCCGGTGCCCGCACTACAAAAGGAGGGAGGGAACTTGGAAGGAGGGGTTCGTTCGGCAATTTTTCAAAGTGGCAGGACCTAAGGTACCGTCCAGGCACCACCACCCCTCGCCATGGCGTAGCACCGTAAGGTAGGTAACTGGAAAGGGGACACGGGCCGCCTCGCGCCTTGAGCAAACCCTCCTTTTCCCCAATTGCAAGCGTGCTGAGCCACTACCTACACAGTAAGTATCCGTTATGATCCAATTCTTCACGAGAGCATTAATTAGGTAGTAGGCACCTGGTGGGTAGATAGCGCGGGGTCGGACCGCAAGGTAAAGGGATGCCTTAGTTTGGGCGGTCTGGGCGGTGTGGCTTTTGTACCTAAGCACTACCTAGCTAAATTCATCACCAAGTACCTCACCTCGTCTCCTTTGTTGCAATGAAGCCAGCCCAATGTCTTTGAGAGGAAATGGAAACAAGAAACATCTGTTCACCGTCTTCTGTATCCGTCACCCTGGGACGACGGTTGGGACGACGGTGCGAGAAGGGGGGGGAAAAGGGTCCATCTTTCCCTGTCTAAAGGACCAGTCCACCCTAGGCAGGTAAGGTAACTGACAAGTTTGGGTTTCACAGCATTAGGTTGCCAAGAATCATCATCTCCCCTCTCTTATTGCCGAGAGGCGTCACTTCTCATATTCTCCTCAGCTCTCAGTGCTCACAACTTCATCGTGATGCTTTCAATTCACCTAGCCGATCCGGGATACTCACACACAATATATCCGACAATACCGTCTGGTCCGTCACAGACTTATCCTCTCCACCAGAACATCCCACGTCCCACATTCCGTTCGTTCGTTCAATCCATCCATCCAACCATCCGCCAAAAGTCCAAAGTTCCCTATTCCATCCCATTCCATCCCTATCCCTATCCTGTCCGTTACCTACCCCGACCGACCATCTCGCCTGTCTGCCTGGTGCCCACCTGCCTGCTCAGACCCAACCTAAAAGAGAGGGGGAAAAAAGAGGGGGAAAAAAAAAACAGGTTCGCAACAAAATCCCGTCTCTACGGCCCATTCTCGGGTGCCGAGCCTCTTTGCAAATACTAGCAAATCAGACCGGGACGCAGCTGTAGTTGTACACCCCGTACCAAAAACCATGGACTCGCTCGCAACGCACTAATCCCGAAAATAACGCCGCAAGCCCATCCAGTCTTACACACACACACGCACAAACACGGAATTCTCTGGCTTTTCCTGTACCGTGACGTTCCGCTTTTCTTACACCAATTTTGAGCTGGTCGCATGTTTGTCTTTACGCGTCGGCACCCTTCATGACTGTCCGCAGACTGATAATCTCCCTCTTCAATCGCGCATTCTCCTTCTTCACTCTTGCCGTTTCCTCGGTGTGCTCGCGTAAGCTTCGAATGAGCTCTTCCTTGTCTTCTCGGCCCTTGCCCTTGAGCGCCTTGACAATCTTGCCCAGCTCGCTGTTGAACTTCTCGTACATGAGCTCGTTCTCCGCCGTCGACTCTCTGTACAGCTGGTCGATGCTCTTGACCTTGGTCTCGGATGCTCTCAGCGTGCTCTCCATGTCGCGCTGGATCGCCGTCTGTCGGTCCGTCAGCTCCGACATCATCGTCGGGATGCGTTCTTCGAGTGTCTTGACCGAAGCCGTCAGCTTGCGCAGATCCAGCGTATTGGTGCGTGAGCCGAGACCAGAGTTGACCCGTGACATCTCTTCGGCAATTTTGGAAAGCTCCGACTGGAGTGATGCGTCGACGTCCTCGACCGCCTTCTTTTCCGTCTGCAGACGCTCCCGAAGCTTCTGCGGCGACTGAAGGCGAAGCTTGCCGCTTCCTGGCGGTTTGCCAGGACTCGTAGACGGTCGGGGGACCGAATCGGTCGACTGTGAAACTAGACCAATCGGCCGTGTGGGTCTGAGGGTCGGGATGTTGGAAGTAGACAGGCCTCTAGCATGCCCCTTGGGCGTGCGGCTGGGAGTGTTTTCGCGATCTGGAGGTGCTGGAGGTGCTGGAGGTGCTGGCGGCGAGAAGAGCGCTTCAGGCGACGTAGGGTTCTCTTTTTGGCGCGGTGAGATCATGCGAGGAGACCGCAGGCTCTGGGATGTCGGGCTTATCGGTATCCTAGATGGCGAGGGTATCCGGGGCGTCGAGTTGAACTTTTCTGAAGTCTGTTTGTTGATGCGCAGCGGCATCATTGCTTCCTCAATCTTCTCTCTCGGGTCCGTGATCGTTGCCGCCTCCATAAGACTTCGCAGGTCAGACAGAGAGCTACGCCGCTTCTTCTTTGATGACTTAACAGGGGGCGTTGACTCAACCTCGGGCTCTCCAATCGTCTCCAGGCGCATGTCGGGCCGCTGTGAGCTGCTCGGTCTAGGAACCTCGTCAAAAGCACCAGCAATCGGTGGTCTGTCCCTAGAACCGGGTCTTCTCAGCTTATTCGGTCCGGATTGTGTTCCCGAGTCGATGGACCTTGCCCGTGACGATGTCATCTTGGACAGACTAGAACTCGAGGCTGCATCTGCAGAGGCAGGGTGCCGACCGTGTTTGCTGAGAGTGCGCCAGACGGATGGCCGCTCCGAGTCGTTCTTGCTATTCTGCCGCAACAAAGAGTCGAAACCAAACTTGCGCCTGATTGAAGAGGTGTTTGAAGTCAACGACCCCGAGTGCGATTTACCGCTGCGGGAGTTCATAGACTCGAATGCTTGTTGGACAGTGAGATTCACGCCAAAACCGGCATCGTCAAAAATTCTGTCGCAGTCTTCGACAAGGCGGTCTAGCAGGTTGATGTAGGCTTGCGCTGTGCCGTCCGAAACCAGAAGCTCTGCAAATGATACCGTCAAGATGCCCCTATCGCCGTCGTTGCCACAACCATCAAGCAAGTCGGCGAGCAACTTGATCAAAGCTGTGAATGCCCTCTGATTTTGTGGCGCCATTTCCTTGAAGATAAAGTTGACAAAGTCGGCAAAGTTGCCTGGTACTTGTCTGTTCATACGCTCCAGCAACGTATCCAGTGTCTGCTTCGTCATGATCGGGCCCATCTGCTCACCCCAAGCGATTCGGATAAACTTCTCAAAAGCAACAAAGATCACATCCGCGCCCAATTCGGAAGAAGCGTCGAGGTCGAATGGGCTCTCAATCAATCGGTTGTAGAGATCGTTGACCATTAGTTCATCGGCAAGGGACCGGTTCAGCAGCATTCGCCCGATGATACTACCTTTACGGGCCTGGAGGCTGGCGACGTATCCTGTAAAGGTCTGCTCTAATCGTACGAGAGGGTTTTCGGGGCGGTCATCCCCACCCATCTTGATCGCGTCTTTGCCTCTGGCAGAGCCATATATGGATCCCGCCTCGCTGTTTGCCTGTGAAACCGGTGGAGGGAACACGTTCGTCACGGGTGTTCTGCTGTGCTTCGGTGGGCTGTGTGGTTCAGTGTTGGTCGACCCACCCCAGATGCTAGAGAAAAGTCCCTTCACCGGGGAAGAAGCGAGGAACGATCTCGTCTTCTCTGCCCTCGTCATGAGCGGCAGGCCCTTCAGGATCTTGGTGTAGTAAGAGACTAACGCGGGTGCCAGTCGCATATTTGATACGCTGAACTGCGAGCCTAGCAATTGAATCACTGTGCTTCTGATTAGCGGTTTGTCTCCAGCTAGCAGGCATGCGCCATCTTACCTCGTCGTGTGACAGTCGGCAAGAAGTCATCCAACGCCACATCGTCTGTGAATTGTCTGCCGTTCAGGCCGGCAGTCACCATCTTGACCTTCTTCAGGTCGCCGCTGTTGACGTTGACCGTGATTTCGACGCCGTAGTGTCCAATCGGTGCACCCTTGGTGCCCTTCTCGTGGTCAATGACGATACGGATTGGCGCTGGCTCTCTTCGGCCATCAATGAGTTGATCGGCGCCCTCCTGGAAGACGGCAGCGAAGAGACCGAGGTTGTTGTCCGACATTTTGATAGAACGGAGGGTCCAAGAAGGGTCCTCGCGCTCCCTTTCCGAAAAACGACCTTCCACGCGGGCTTTCACAATATCTTCCGTCCACTTCGACGCTCTCGTAAAAGTCTCTTCGAGAAAGAAGCATCGTGACGTTACTGCAGTGCCCGTCACCCACTCTCCCGCATGCGCTCCCTTCATCTCCTGGGTTGAAGTCATCCAGATGAGCTTGCCATCTGTCGACTCAGTGAAGCGCACATCTGCCAGATTGTGCCAGCCTGTGAATGCAAGCTCGTAGGTTGGCTGGCCACCGGCAGCATTTGTCATTGACAGGAGAAGACCAGCCGCTGAAGGCTTGTCGATTTCACGCAAGAGGTCTTTGCCAGTCATTGGTTTAGGTCCCAACTTTTTCAGAATGACCAGACAATCTGAAAACAAGAGAAAGATGCCCGCACGCTCTGCCGCCTCCGGAGGGTCAAGCACACGATAGGGCGAAGGGAGCTCGACAAAGTCGGCTGCGAGAACGAGTCTTCCTTGAGGCTCGAGGTCAAGGGGCCAACTCTCAACCATGTTGCGCAGGCGACTCGTCACTTGCGGCTTATCTGGAGTAGGCTCGTCCATTGAGCAAATGTTTGTAATAATGTCGCGAGCTCTGAGCATCGATTGTAGCGCGGGATGTGTCATGGGAAGGCAGCTCACGATCTGGTCGATGAGCAGACTGTATCGGGGAAGACGCTGAACGGGCTCAATGAGAATCGATCGAACAGTCTGCTCGCCTGTCTGAAGAACCCGTTGACGAAAGCTCGATTGCTGATCCAGGAACGAGTTGAGAAGCGTGGGGAAATGCTGGCTGGCGCGAATGTACTCCTGGTAGCAGTCTGTGAACTTGGGGAACCACTCGAGGAATACCCTCGCGATCGCCAAGGCGCCTGTGGGATCCTTCATCTTGGATGGTGATCCCAGCCTGGATCCTGTCAGCGCAACCGTCGTCACCTCCATATCCCTGACGGCCTCCTCCTCGGTATCATCCATGATTTTGCGCAGCTCTTGCATGAAGGCGGAGTTGACCTGTAATATCCTATCCGCCGACTTGGGGAAAAGTTTCTCAAGCTCTTCTTCGGAGGGGCTCAAGCTGCTTGGGTCGCGCTGCCTCGCAGATTGTCTAAAGTCGTCGGCGATGTGCTTCACCAGCTCGTTCAGCTTCAGGACGTATCTCTCCTCGGTGTCAACCAGCTCCCCGAGCTTCATTCTCAGGTCCACCTTTTGGTCCTTGGAGAAGGACTTGCTGCGATTCAGCGACGTCGGTTTGGAAGGTGCCCTCCGTAATCTGGACGTGGGGAGGAAAACAGGCTCCCCGAGCAGCTTCACCAGCGGCGTGTATCCTCCATATTGCCGCAGAGTCGGGTCCAGAAATTCATCGTCATCCTCCGGCGTCTCGTCCAAATCCTCAGGTTGCAGCGGCACAATCGAGCCGGGAGGCAGGACAAAGTCGACGTCGACATTGCTCAGGTGCTGAGTCTGCAGGGCGGTCTGCAATGTCTCGAGGACCTCGACGGTGTTTTCACTTTTGATCATGTTCTTGGCGAGGTCAGCGGCATGCTGCTCGCCAAAGAGCGCCGGCCCACTTCCCGGGCGGCGCCCCCTTGTGGTCGGGTATGTGTTCTTGAGGTGATTCTTGACGACCTCGGGCAGCTCCTGGAAGTACTTGTACAGGCCAAAGGCGAGGCCGCGGTAGACCTCGTCGCCCTGCCATTCGCGCGGCAGGTGATTGACGACGGCGTAAAAGGGCGAGTTGGGCTGTATTGTCAGGCGCGGGAAGGACTGGAAGCCAGCGGGGCTGTAGACGTGGATCTGGACGCGGGAGCTGTTGAGGGTGTAGTTCGCAGTGGTAGAGGCGCCGTGGAAGATCAGGACTGGCAGGTGTCCAAGGAGAGGGTCGGCGGCGTGGTAGAGGGTGAGCTGCTCGGCGGACAGAGCCAGCTCCTCGGTGACACGAACCATTGTCGGGGCTGGCGATGCGGTCGGTCGGTTCGGTCGGTCGGTCGCGTGGGCTCGTTTAACGGGCCAAGGTCATTGCTGACTGGGTGCTGAACAAATCACGCAAGGAAAAAGATGTAAAAGTCGTTAGCGTCAGGGGGTACGAAGTCGGCAAACGAGTGTATCGGGCTCGGTGTGCTGTGTGTGTGTGTGTCGACCGCGTCAGGCGCAAGTCGATCGAGTCGAGTGGCGGTCCAGTCTACGACTGAAGGGTAGCAACGGGCGCTCGCGATGCGACTCTTGACGAAATGGAAAAATCCGTGACAGGTCAGCAAAGAGAAAAAAAGAATCCAGGGGATAAAAGAGCGTGAGGAAAAAGTTGGCAAATTGCCAGGCTGGCTAGCGCGACCAAAGTTGGACAGATGAAGATTGCAATGCGGGCGACAATTATCGTGTGGTGGTGTCGGTGTGAGTTGGCTGGCGTTGAGCGCAGCCGGGGTTGAGTCGAGTCCGTGGGTTGGTTAGGGTGGCACCTGGGACTTGGGGAAAGGCAGCCAGCAACGGGCGACCTCAGCAACGGCAACAGCAACGAGCAACCTAATGGGCAGGTACGGTAAGGTAGGTAGGTACCTTAGGCAATGTAAGGTAGGTAGCAGTGGACAGTGCCCGTAGTATGGAGGTAAGGCCCTCCTAGTGGGTATGCAGGATGGGCTAGGCTGGGCGGTCTGTGGTCCGTGGGGCGCTGTGTGTGTTGTTGTTTGTTGTGATTGCGACGGAGCTGCGAGCAGGAGAGGCGAAGCCCAATCCAAGGTTGTTGTAATACCGTAAGGCAGAGGGGTCCCTGGTAAGGATCAGTGTCAGGAATAATACTCCATCGACAGCACCGCAATGGACACCGGTTACCGGATACTCTGCCCTCTCTTGCAAGTTGCCGAGCCCTTTGTTGACCCTGAATTCCCAATACAGGCCTCAAATGCAGTGAAACAAGAAACCAGCCTCTTGTCCTTCGTCAGCTTTTCAGGGTGTTTTTTCCCCCCTCGCCCTTTCCTAGCTTGTTACTTGGACTTGCACCTTCACCGACACTCCCATGCAAATGCAAGTGAGTGGACGAGAATGAAGAGGGTTAGAGATGTGACGGGGGGGGGAGGAAGCGGAAGCGGGAGAGGGAGGATGACGAAAACGCCAGACAAGGGGAGGGAATTAAGCGACGAACGCCTCAGTCCTGGACTCGGGCTAGACCTTTTTACCTTCTCAACGACATGACACACAGGTGATTCGAAGAAATCGTAGATCGACAAAACAGGCCATACTAAAAAGGTCAAAAAGAAAAGAGAAAAAAAGAACTGGACGACGGAACCAACACCAGGCTATTGACTGGGAGTCGCACATTATACCAACCACCTCCGCTCGATTGGCTGCATCTCATTATCTTACCTCAATATCAAAATGTACCCATCTTACCGCAAGTCCATGTAGACGAGAATTTTTTTCACCAGATGCGTTTGTGACTGGATACTTACAAGATGCAGGCGCACGCATGTCGGCAGGTCGTGGTGCAGCACTGCAGACCAAGGTGTTCGGACTCGCAGCATCGCATCGCTCCTTCCCCTCGCTTTCGCCCTCACCACCTACAGAAAAAAAAGTGGTCTCGAAACGTCAACATACCACAGTAAACAGATCCAACGCGCCCCACCCATCGCCCAAGACGCGTCCGTCCACTCATCAGCCCTCCAGACGGGAGTCTCCAAGGCTCAAAGGTGGAGTTCCCCCACCCCCAACCTTGCCTGACCAGCGACAGCCGCACTAAAACAAGGCACTCGGGCCCACGGTACGTACATAGTATACATCAAGAATAGCTCGGATCATGTGTGCCCAATCATGGATCGTCCGTCCCACCAGATCCCTGCCAGAACGACCGCTGAGTCGATGCAGCCAATGACAGAGCCCCCCGGCAGCCCCCTCTATCGCATCCCATTGGATCCAATCTGATCGGCTCTCCGTCCCAAAATCTCCAAGGCGTCTCTTCCGCCTCCCCGCACCGGTTACGCGACTGCTGATTCGACCTCGCTCTTTCTTACAACAAAGTTTCACTGGCTTCATATCTCTGTCCATCGAGGACGTTGCATTCCCGTATTCAAGACCAAAGACATTACATCCAAGTCAAGTAACATCAGAACAGTACGACCGCCAAAAATATGTCTACTCAAGACCGCGGTATCCCCTTGACCCATACCCCCGACGCCCGCGGGTACAAGCTCATGGAGCTGCCCCCCGACCTAGAGGCCCTGCTCACTGCCGAAGATGCTCCGGTGTAAGTGAAACCACTCACTCCCCGTCAATCACTCAACCCAACCCAACCCCCGGCCGTGCCTCAGTCCACTCTCAGCCTCAATCACGACACCTCACCTTACTTGGACTTCATTCACTCTGTCCATGTCTCACCTCCCCCTTCATGTCCATTTCTACCAATCCACGTCGTTTTCATCCCAGATGGAAAACGCTCACAACGTCACAGCATCACCCTCACATCGACCCCGTCAACAGCCCTCCTCAAGACCCCAGACAAGACCTACAAGCTTCTCCAGAAAAACACCTCCAACTCCCTCATCCTCCTCGCACCCCACTCCGCCGCGCCTTCATCAGAGTCCGACGACGTCCCCGTCAACGGCCTCGGCGCCATCGCCACCATCCACGAGACCATCGAGCTCGTCGCCCAGAGCGAGCCGCAGACGATATCAAACCTGAAGAACACCGGCAGCAAGGGCAAATGGCACGAGAAGTTTGGCCAGGGGCGGTAAAAAGCCTGATACATGACACACCCATCTCGCTCAACCGTCGCACATGTAATTTGATGAACTTTCTGCTTTTAATTACCTCAAGTGGGCTGGGTACCCTGCTGTGCCTACTTGCTACAAAAAACACCGCTATTGACGGTGTCCCAAATTGTTATACCCTGACACCCGCGTCCGGCCCAAATCTGAGTGCCTCAATGAATACTAGTGACATGGAGAACCTCCAACGCCGTGCTTGTACGGCATGCGAAAACCGCCCTGAAATACTCCTCAAAACTAAAATTGAAAAGACAAGGAAAACACGCGGTCTCATAATCGTATCCTGCTTTCCACAAGCCAAACTAAATTACTTCTTCATGTTTGTATGACGTGATAGCAGCTACCTGATGCTGGCGTCTTGGGTTACTGCGCGTAATGTATAGAGAAGAAAACCCCAGAAACTGCCCTCACTCCATCTTGAGAGGACCATCCATGGTTCTCCCAGGTGTGGCACTTGCTCTGCCTTGCCGAGCCATGGCATTTGCATTCGCAGCTGGTTGGCTTCTTTCACCCATGGGTACCGGCATCATTGATGTTTTCTCAATTGCGGGCGTTGCCCAGTTCTGCATGCTGGCCACAAAATTTGCGAGGTCGTTGTCTTGCGCAGACTGCATGGCTTGGTGAGCCCGGATTTGAGCCGCATAGGCAGCGGCCGCGGCGAACTCTTGAGGCTGCCCGGGTGTATTCTGCCCAGGCATGCCCTGCGCATGTCCTGCATTATCGTTCCGGGGACCAATGTTTCGTCCTCCAAAGTACCCATACTGCTGCGGCATGGCTGGCGCTTGCCGTTGGGCAGTGCGCTGGCGAGACTGTTCCCCTGTCCATTGACTTGCTCGCTGTTCCTTAGCCTTCTCAAGGAAGTTCTGTCTTGCGTGGATGTCGGGAGGCCGCTGCACACCCTTATTGCGAAACGTCTGCCTCTTCAACTCCCTCGGCTCTCCATAAAGTGGACCCCATTGCTCTTCAAAGCCCAACAAGATAGGTTGGTTAGGGCTGGGCTGGGCCGGAGGCAAGATAATCGGCAGTTCTTGAGGCGAAGGCCTCGGAGCCGCCGGCGGTGCCTGCCTTTGGACGATGCGGCGGTTTCTGGGAATTTGCGCGACTTCGGGAACGGGGTCAGGTCTACTCATCACTAGGCGATTTCGCTGCTCTAGCATTCCACGGTGATTTTGCTGTCGAAAAGCCCAGAACGGAATCCCTCGATGCAACAGGGGGTCGCCTCCAGGAGCTACAATGGCCGGCTGGATGTATTGAGCAGCTGGGTGCGGTGGATTTGCAGCGCCTTGGACCAGAGGTTGTACAGGCCCGGCCGCTATAGGACCGACTGGGAAGTTACCGTATGGACCTATTATTCTGGATCGAACAATGTTGGCTGGCTCGAGTGGTGGTGGATCTGGTATAGGGAGTTCTCGGTGGTTTGGGTCTAGCTGAGCTGGTACAGGCTGCATGTTTGGGCGGTTCTCCTGATGATCCGTTGATGCTGCCGATGTGACCTTGAGGAGGTCCTCCTTTGCCTTCATCGAGGGGTGTCGCTCCAGAATCTCTTGGCGGGCTTTCGCCTCGGCGTTTTGTACTTCTTCATTGTGACGCACGTTGACATCATCAAAGAGAGGGCAGTTGCCCTGCTTTCCACCTCTTGTCCTGTCGTCGAAGTGATCGTAATCGCAAGACTTGGAGCAAACGTAGCATTGGATGTTCCTACATCCTTGCTTGGTACAGGTCATTTTGTTGCACCCTGATTCTTTGACAAAAGCCATCCCACCTGTCTCAACGTCAGTACCAGGTATCATTCAACAAATTGAATTGATCCAATCGATAACTAAGGTAGCCAAAACGACTCACATTTGTTGCATTTTCGGATGAGTGCAGTTGACATGGCCTCTTCAATCTGACGTCGAGCACCTTCTGTGCCATCACTAGCAGCTTCTTCACAGGTCCGGGGTAGATGTGTCTCTTCTCTGCAGAGCCGGCAGCTGACTAGTTGGCACTCGGGATTGTCGCACTTGAACTCCTTGTTGATATCGACTGATGGATATTCGGCAGCGTAAGGGCAGAAGGGACAGGTCTCCAGGTTCTCAATGCCAGCCATTCGGAGGACAGCTTCGGATTCAATTCGATCTAGAGCTGCAGAGAGCTGATCATCAATAAACTTGAGGCGTTCTTTGCGTGAGAATCCAGCGCTGCATCCATCCGTGGACATGCATAGGAGCTCATATTTTGAGAGCCCAACAGCTGTTTCAGCGTTACGGCGTGCACAGTCGACACAGAAGACCTTGAAAGGGTCAGCAAAAGTCTTTAAGAGAGGGGTGCCATGTGCTCACGTGGATTTCATTCTCGCAGCAGACCATACGGTTCACAGCGAACTCGCCAAAACAACATCCACAGTCCGTAACAGTGCCGAAGGCCTTTGCATTTTCAAAGTTTTCAGCTTCTTTAGCAGCATGGAGTTTTGCCTTCGCCCGCTTGGTATGGGTAGCCTTCTGCACTCGACGGGCGGCCACAAGTTCTTCGAAAGCTCTCTTCTGATCAGCAGACGATGTTTTGATGAGGTTATCCAGGTACTCCCCTTCAAAAGAACGATCCAAAGGTGGAGTCGGGGTCTTCTTGAGGGCAAAGTCGAGAGGGATGCCATCTCTCACACCATTTTGCAGATTCCATACAGCTTCATCTATGACGAGGTACGCTGGCAGCAACTGATTATCCTTGTCAGAGAAGATCTTCAGAAGGCACTTCTGGAGAACGCGAGGGAACTCGTGCTTCAGAATCATCTTTCTATATCCAGTGTCAGCTTCATTTGGATGACGAGCGTGCCGCAATGAGGCAGTCGGCATTTGAATAACTATGGCCGTATAAGAGATGTAGGGAAACGAATGGGATCAGACTTACGCTATGTTGATGTAGGGGCCGTCGAATTCCTTCAGTCGGTTTGGACTGGCATAGAGTCTGAGGAGGTTCGCCTTCTCTTCATCGTCCTCTGACTCTCCCCGCTTTCGCTTCAGACTCTTTTTGCGAGATGCCTTGGGATAAATTGCACCGTTCTCAGTGGAACTCAAAATGCTGTCGATGGTTTGGTTGGGGTCGTGATTGACCTTGGTGGCTGTCTCCTCTAGATATTGGAGACAAATGTCTGGGAAGACGCTGAGAACTGTTGCCGCGCAGGCGTCCTTGTCGCCATCGGCTACCTCCATTCCTGCGGTGGAGGGCGTGATTGAACGATGTGTTATCACAAGGCCATGGGTGAGAACAGTTGCGACGTGTTTCGCGAGCCTTGGTAAAATTCCAGAACTTTTATGAACCACTGTCTCGTCTTGGACGGGATGAAGTCCTTGTGCCGCCTGAAATACTCGATGGTCACTGTGTTTCGCATGATCAGCAGCAGCCCTTCGATCTTGACACCACCTGCTCAGCAAAGCGAACATGATGGGTATGTGAGGTAAGGTAGGTATTGATGAAAATACAGCAAGCCCGATCTGGCATTCGCATTTCAGGATGAAAATAGCCAATGTCACAGCGCATCCCAGTGAGTGGTCTCTTTGTAAACGAGGGCTCGCCGATGGAAGCGCATGAAGGGTAAAAGAAGGAGACAAGAAGCGGGCTCAACACACTAGCGTTGAATATCAAGGGCCACCTCACTTACGTCTATGCGCGTTGCGCTCGCGCGTGAAGCTTGTCTGTTGCATGAGGCCCGCAGTGTAGGATCAATATTGGGCCATGCAGGGAGGAAGGTTCACGGTAAATGAGCAAGCCCAGAGAGGCTATTCATGAAGAATGGCAGAGCTAGTGGCAGAGCTCAGTGCGCCACCGAGGCCCGATACGAAAGAGTAGAAAATATGACAACAGAGTGGATCATACATACCTGCAATTAGGTTAAGTCGCGAAGTCGCAGGGAACCTTTTCGTCTCGGGTTTGTCTGGCGGATTCGTCTGGGGTCCAAAATCTTTGATGCCCAACGAACAGGATGTGAGTGATTGTGAGTCGTTGGCTGACTTGAGAAGCCGGATGCGCTGAGTGGACAAAAGATGTCGAAGTTGTTATTTTGTGTCTGGAAAAGAACGGGATGACACCAAACAACGAGACGAGAGGAAGTGAAGGTTGAGGCGAGAGCCGAGAAGAGAGGCGGTACCGGATCGAATGGGTACAATTCTCGACGGGAGGCAGGTATGGCAAGAGCAAAGGGCGATTCCTGGCGCCTTCCTTCTGGGGACCCTTTTGGCGCAAAGGTATTGTTTTTCCAGGTCCGCCCCCTCCTTTCCTCAATGGGGGGTTATTCTCTCTCTCCCGGCACCTTTTTGTCGCGGAGCAAAAACAAACGAAATTCACCTTGAGTGCTTTGGATTGGTGTTGAAAAAGTTGATGTTGACTCCCTGCTTCCAAACGGCCTTCACCTCCGGCCTACCTTGCACTGGGTACCTTATCGACCGTCGTTCGACAGCCTGAGAATCGCCTGACCAACTGACCGGACGATTTTACCCCTCGCTCCCGGTGCGCTTTTGCCTTGCCGCCTAGGCAGGTCGTCTTCGTTGCCCGTCTTACCTCACCTAATCCTTCTTTCTCGTCGACCTTGTTACTGGATACGAAGACTGAGAAAGCGACACACAGCTTGCGCCCACAAGGTACGTTCGGCATGTCGGTGATGGGCATGAGGTGACGTTGGCACATCTGGACATGACTTAAACCGACCGGTGGATCGTCAGATGGCCCCAGGAAGTTGGACATACCCCGGGCTCCCCTTAGCGCTATTCTTCAGCAGGGAAGGCCCCGGTAGGGCTCGAACGGGTGCAAATTCCAATCAGAGGCGTCGTTGGGTGTCTCGTGTCTCACTTACTGGCGTGGCGACCGCTCGTATGAACAAGTCTTTGAGTGAACAGACGGCTGCTACTTGCTACTAAAGATGAGGAAAACTTCATCTTCGTCGTGTTCGATATCTTTTATTTACGTAGGCCACCATCGATGTTTCTTGCGACTTGAAGCATCGGGCTATGACAATACTATACATAGTACTTACACGGCATTCGAGAATCAGCCGTCAGAGCACACTCCCTTTCTGATGCATTTTCCACTTCTGAGGGTGACCAGGTGCTCTCGACTCGACCCGTACATGCCCTATATTAGATGTCGCAACATCGACCCTCCAAGTTGGGCCAACGCATCTCGGCATATGAGCTGAAGAAGGAATTGTCTTCCATTGGTGGCGATAGCTAATAATGCATCCATCTATGCATCTTGCGACGAATAAGGATGGTGGCACATTATTTGTAGTACAGCCAGCCGCCTGCCAACTGTCCAGTTTTGTCCATGACTCTCAAATCCCGACGCACAGTGATGAAAATCCTCAAGCGATTTCCCGCCACGCATCGTCTCCCTCAGGCCTAGATAAATCATTCGTAATCATCGTCAGAGGCCACAAAGTCGTCTTCGTCGTCCTCACCCTCATCCTCGCTCTCAGATACAGGCCTTCGTCGGCGCCTAGATGATCGTCTCGTCCCAGCCTTCTTCTTGGGCTTCGGCTTGACTTTCACTGGCTCGGGTAGAAGCTCGGGCTTAGACAAAGCTTCCCTCTGATCCTCCTTTGCGTCTTCCGCGCCGTCGGCACTGTCGACAGTAGCCACCTTCTCACCATGGCCGTGATCCACTTGCAGGGCGTCATCCATATCTTCGTCTTCATCGCCCTCGTCCACCACTGGGAAAAAGCCAGAGGTGAACCGCTTGGGCTGCTCGACCTCTTCCTCATCGTGACCTTCGGGGAAGAAGCCCCCTGCCATTTCCTCTTCCCTCATCTGCATCGCTTCTGCGTCCAGTTGATTTTTGTCTTCTTCTCCGTCGTCAAGAACTGCTTTGGAGGCCACGGCCGCTCCATGCTTCTGGAAGACAGGGACACTATCGTCGACATGGCCGTAATCCTGGCGAATGCGCTCGACAATCCGGAGGCCCTTCAGAAATTTGCTCCACATCCGCAACGCTTCCTTGCGTCGCTTCTCGTCCTCCTTGCGTGCTCGCTCTGCCTCATCCTTGCGGATTTCCTCCATTACTTGGTCATGATATTCCTCGGCTATGACAACACCTTGAATGACTGGCACGGCCATCCGATTACCAAACTCGAAGTCTACGACGGCTTCGGCATAATCAATCCCGAGCCTCTTGCAGACCTTGACAGCTCCTCGGAACGGGACATGTGCAGCACCTTCAGGGCACATGTGCTCAGCAAAGAGATCGATGTTACTTGAATGTGTTAGCATACGGATTCCAGTCAATGGGAACTCAGACATACCCATATGAGTTCTTCGGAATGATGCCGTCTTTGATAGGCGGCGGAATAATCCAGTCCGTCTGCTCAAAGCTGTATAATCCCTGAAGAACCTTTTCGCCGCTGGCAGCCTCGGCCTCGGCAATTTCTCGCCGCCTATTGGTCGTAGCCGCACGATATGGTACCCTCTTCAGAGGCATCTCACCAGGCTTGGGCGCCCTGCCTTGCTTGTGCCACGTCTCTGCACTCTTGACATTGACAACGCCTTTTCTCGAGTAGACCGGTTCCTCGGAAATCTCTCCGCCCTTTCCTTTGTTATTGAAAGTCTTGACAGGTACTGCTGTGGGTAGGAGGGCCTCCTCGCGCTTGAGGTGACGCTCGAGGCAGAACTCCTTCGATTGCTTGTAGTACGCCAGAGTTTCGCTGCCTTCCTTAACCTCTTTCTTCTCTGGTTGGGCGGGTTTCAGATCTGTCGAGTCCTCAACATTATCCTGTTCGGTGAGCGGATGCTTTCCACTGCCCTTGATGTAGCCCTTCATTGCTGACTTGAACCAGTCGAATTGATCATATCGTTTCACCTTCCCGTGTCTGTTGTAAATCGGTACCTTTTCCAATGGCATCCTTGCCCCTTTCGTGCGACCCGGCCACAGCTGTTTTCGCAAATAGCGAACCGTCACGTCTTTCGCTGTGCCATCCGGAGAAAATCCAACCACATATGCCATGGTTTGTTTCGCCTTTTCTGCCTTGCCTCCACGTGGTTCGAGAGACTCGACCAAGTCTCGATTAGTACCGACAACATTCTTGACGATTGGGTCCGCTGGCAAGTATTTATTCGTCACTTTCGATAAAACTTCCGTCCAATAGTGTGGAAACTCAAGGTCCTTGTCAAACTTCTTTGACGGCGATTTTGGCTTTCGTGGGGTCATCTCTAATTCTATGACCGACTCATCGTCGCTGTCCGGATGCTCCAAGCCAAGTTCATCGTCCGAATCATCTATCTCAATGACGGCATTCTTGTTGCTTGCTCGTCTCGTGCCAGCTCTTCGTGATGGTGTTGTCTTTGGTGTTTGCTTTGATGTATTTTTCGCCGGGGTATTCTTAACCGTCTTCTTCGTCTCCCCTTTCGCCATGCTTGTCGTTGTTGCATCGGTCGTCTCCCTCGTTTCGTCACTGTTTTTGGCGGCCGAAGCTGCTGCAGTCTTCTCCTTCTCAGGATCTGCTTCCTCCAGCTTCGTCCAACCGAAGCCCAGGGGTTGAAGGTTTGCAACCATCCGTGCCTCCAATCCCAGGGCTCTCATAAGGGCCGTGAAAAGCTGCGATCCCACATCCCGGCTTCCTGTGCAGTCTTGAGCGCATTTCCGAAACCCTTCGAGGCCGTTGATACGTTCTCCGAACCTTTCCTGATCTGAATTTTCAGTCTCCCAGGCTTTCCGCAATCTGCCGAGTCGTTCAGGCGACATATATCCCCATTTTCGAATACCAGGCGCTGTGACACGGAAACGTTGCCTCCACCAGGCGACGAAAGCCTTCATAAGTCTGAACAAGGGATCGCCGTGGCTCAAGTCGACAGCGCCTGCCTCTAATCTTCCAGCAGCGGCACCCCAATCTCTGGAGTCCTCATTTTCGGTCTTTTTCCCTTTGTCCTTTCCTCCAATCTTTTTCGCTGGTTTAGCCGCTTTAGGTGGTGTTTGCTTTGGTTTGGTGTCTAAGCCGCTGGTCCTTCTCCATCGCTCCACTTCTTCCCACAGACGAGGAGGAACGTGAGACATCATGATCGCCTGGACTTCCGGGTCGCAGATCCAAGAGTTCCTAAGTGCGTTATGCCACAGAAGGTACTGTACGTGGATGCAGTGCGTCACATTCCGAATCTTCTTTTCGCGCTTGGTAGGCCCCTTCTTGTCGCCATACGGGTCCGTCATGGCAGTACCGAGCCCGGCGTCAAGGGTGAGCTGCAAATCTCTGGAAGCAGTCGGCGCTTTCGCCAAGGTGGTCCTTGGGGCAGGAACATCCTCAAACTCGATGTCGTCGTTCTCATCTTCGGACGAGTCCTCGGCCTTGTGACCGTTTGCAATAGGCACATCCTCAAAATCACCATCGGACAGATCGCTCAATGAGCTGGACTCATCGCTGTCACTGATGGTATCAAGCGCAGAACGGCCCACCTTGGATGACTCAGGCGTGGTGGTAGCATCCAAATCGTCGTACAAAGTCGGCTTTCTGCGACCGGAGCCGGCGGCAGGCTTTCCTTGCCCTTTCGATACCTGCTGTCGTTTGGACGTCGGCTTGACTGGCGACTCCTCGCGCAACCGCTTCCGCGGCACATGAGGAGGCATTGTGACGCGTTGTGTCAGGAAAGTGGCCTGCTCATTGTCCAAAATTACAAGCTCTGGAAAGCTTTACAGGAGAGATGCAACAGCGCCGTTAACAACGTCATTGATTCGCGAGAAACGCATATAAATATGACCCACTTTAATCATCCGAGACCCGCTAAATCGGATCCGATGAAAGAATGGGTCGCATCCGGGGATCCTTTGGGTGCCCCTCCTTTTAGCTCCGGCTCGTCGCCGTTATTTCCATGTCTCTCGTAAGGGCAGTTTGGATGACCAATGTCCACAGAGACATTCGATGTGCCTATGCATGTCGCGCAAGCTTCACTGTCCTCGGTGATCTGGTACGGCGAAATAATCCACCTTATGGTAAAGTCGTGCCTTTAGTTGGTGCTCCTGGCCATGGCCAGTTATGGATCTTACCCTTTTCAGGCTGCCAGTGGCCACGCACAGGCTGTACTTGGCGCCTGGGCTCAGTGGCTGCCCCGCTGACAGCGACCCATGGATTGAATCAACTTAACTCAGCGAAACCCGCCAACTGGCTCCTTCCAGACACTTCCGCCGCCATTTCTCAGCACCCTAACATCGCCATCTCCGTTGTTGCCACTCTCAGCCTCGTGACACTCGCTGCGTCCTCGTTGAGGACCCCTCGTTGAGGTCTACGCAAGCTCTACCCATATCCAAAGACAATTGAAGAACCTCGCGGATAAATAGAGAGAGAGGAACCAAAAACGTCATCACAATGGCGTCCTCATCCACACCCGAAGAGACTAGCTACGTCAAGATGGACGAAACCAAAGACGGCTTTGACGAGACCCTCGTAGGCAAGCACTGCGAGTATGAATACTGCAATCAACTCGATTTCCTCCCCTTCTTCTGCCAAAGCTGCAAAAAGACGTTTTGCCTCGACCACCGATCCGAAACTACACACAAGTGCGCCAACGCTGGCGCCTGGGCCGAACGCCGGCGACAGGCAGAGCTCGCGAAACCTTCCTATGGCCAAGGTCGCCAATTACGCGACACCGTCACCCAGAAGCCTTGTGCATCACCGACCTGCAAGACCACCATCGGCACCTCGCTAGTGACTGGCGTCCACTGCCCGGGCTGCAATCGCGACTACTGTCTCAAGCACCGGCTGAAGGAAGACCACGACTGCAAAAACCTCGTCCCGCTTGGTGCTCGGCCAGGATCACAGATCGACGTCGCAGCGCGGACAAAGAGCGCATTCGACAAACTAAAGGCCTGGGGGACCGCGAAGAAGGAACAAGCTGGTCGGGCGCTACCGAAACCGAAACCCACATCCGCGTCTGCGCGTCTGATAGCCGTAAACAACCTCAAGAAAACGGCAAAGGGCGACGACAAGCTGGCGCAGGAGAAGAGAGTCTACCTATACGTCGAAGCAGAAGCGGCAACCGCTAAGGCCAAGTTCCCCAAGGGCGAGTTCTTCTTCTCCAAGGACTGGGTTGTTGGAAGGGTGCTGGACGAAGCCGCGAAACGGTTACAGGTGGAGAACCTCAACAACCGATCGTCGGACGAGCGAGACAAGCTACGGGTGTTTCACGTGGAGGGAGGACGACTTCTGGAGTTCAACGAGAAAGTCGGGGCTTCACTGGTCAGCGGCAATACCGTCGTCCTGCTTCGCGGCGTTGGGCCGCCGCCTGACCTCATGGAGGTTTAGCGAATGATGATGACTTGATGAATATGTTCATAGTGGCATTTTCCGTATATACCCTCAATTACACCCTACACGCCGAATCAAGGCCGTGTCATTCGCTTCCCTTGTACCCTGCTCCGTGAATTGGAGATTCCTTCATACGCCAAGCCAAGTCCGATTGAGTTGTGTTCCAAATCATCCTTCAACGCCAAACCTACAGTTCCTTTTCCTTTGGCCTCTTCGCCAATAAGTCTTCACGACCCGTGGCTGGTGCGTCGCCAACGAACTCCTTACCACCATATGACTCAAAGCCCTTGTGGAAGATCCACTCCACAGCGTTCTCGACCGGTTCGTCGAAGAGACTAGGCAAGAAAGGCACAACAGCCAGGCCGAGACCAATAGGGCCCCAGGTCCTTATTTTGGCGTTCTTTACGTCCTTGAGGGCTCGGCCAGAGTACCTTACGACACTGTGAATGGTAAAAGCTGGTAGACCCATGCTGGCAATGCTCTGGAAGATTCCTCGCTGGACCATGACTGTCCTGTAGTCGTCTAGTGGCGCGACTTTGCCACCTGGGACAACTTCGCTGGGGTGCGTTGCATCTGACACAGCATCCGGCAGTCCCGTAATCTTCGCTTGCCGCGCCGTAAGCTGGAGATGCGGGTTGAGGACACGCTGATTAGCCCAGTACGCCTTGTAGCCTTCGTAACTGACATCGCCGAGGATGTAAAGCCACGATATTCCGTACGCGGTGCGGACAATACCGGGATGCGCGACTGGCCGGAATGATTCGCCAATATCAGAGGTGTAGGCAACGTATCGGTGGGCGGATAGCATGATCGTGCGGATGCGCGTAACGTAGGCGGCATAACGGACCTTTGACTCGGTAGACTCGGGTGCACTGTCGCATGTCAACTCAGCATTCTAGTTCTGTCACAACCGTCGGCACTCACTACCCGTCCACCAGTTCGTCAAAGAAATTGTCCTCCCTATCCGATTTATCGACTATCTTCTGCAAGGCCGCCGGCAGCTTCTCACGTGCCGGAAGCTTGTTGGGGTCGTATGTCTTGGCGCCATCTTCCTTGGGCGACTCTTTTTGTTGTTCAGTCGTCTTTTCTTGGCTTCTTCCCCACATGTTGTATTTTGGTGTCGAGATATTTCGTCTGTATTTGAACCACCTGAGTTCGCTTCGGGGAACTTGACAGCTTTATGGGTGCATGGATGGCGGCAGTGCTGGGAGTGCTGGGGGAGGGGGGCCTGGGGGATTTCGCCCAGCGCCAGCGCGCCGGAAACGCCCGCGGCATGAATCTTCTGATTTCGGTTGTGACGTCGGCTGCTCCTTGGTTGAGAAAGGTGCATGGGAGCTTGCGCCACCGGGGTATTTGCATAACTTATCCATTTGTGGCGCAGCTCCGTGAGCTGTTGGTGGCTGGAATTCCCCGCTCTCCCGACCCTGTCAGAGCCGAACTTGGTGGCCTTACAATTCAGGCAAGACATTCTCCAGCTTCCGAACGAATTTCGAGCTCCGAGTATCGATGTCCTCGACGAATCTTATTCAACTCCAATTGCCTCCACCCCGTCGAACCAATTTACACCTAAAGGCTCGCAAACCCCCTAATACCGCCACAATGGTTCAGATGTACACTATCGCCGGCCGCCAGGTCGGCTCCCACTACGTATGTCGCTATTCCGAGCGCGCCTCCGCTCCCTGCAACTCCCGACCCGGCCCCCGAGCATCCAAAGGCTAACCTCTTCCGCGCAGCTGGCCATGGGCGTTCTCGCGGCCCTCTTCGGCGGCGCTGCCTACGGCACCAGCGGCAGCAAGCCCAAGGCCACTGCCATTCCCCCCATCAACGCATCCAGCTCCGACGAGGCCGACTTCATCAAGTGCGTCATTTCACCGAACGGACTGGAATCGAGGCCGCGTTTCCCCTTTGCTGACGAGGAGACAACAGGAAGTTTTTGGACAGCGCGGACAAGGACGAGAAGGCGAAACACTAGACGGGCGATATCGGGCGAGTCATTGGTCTTTTGCGACCTAGTGTATTCATAGAGGGCTTGGTTGATGGGAATGAAGACACTTTCTGACCAGCAAAATACGACGACGACATGTACCGCGAGGGTGACTCGAAGTCAATATCAACACGTTTTATCCCAAATTTTATCCAGCGACAATAGCATGGAGACAAAACGAAGGTTTCAATTGACAGGAGGAATTACCAAGGAACTACATTGAACTCGCCGTCTTCAACCTCGCAAAACGTCCCTGAGGCGATGGCGCCTCTTTCTGACTCCAACAATCGTACGAAGACTTCCGCTCCATCTACCGGCTCTTTCGTACCGCGAAACCCATTGAAAGCTGTCTTGCAATGCCCGGGGCTAGTTGCCCAGAAGACGATTTTTCCACCGGACGTCCTTCGTTCTTCGGCCAGATGGAGTTGCAGGGTTAGCATGTTTAATGCGGCTTTGGCCATGCAATAGTTGATGGATGCCGCTGGCGGCAGCTGTGCGTCGCGTGAGACGGATATTCTGTCGGAAAGTTCCGGGAGTGATACATGCTTACCTCTCCATTTGCTGTCCTCGTCATGCTGCCTCTGGCACTCGAGGTCATGATGACTCGAGGATAATCTGATTTTCGAAGAAGTGGAACGAATGCTTGAGTGACAATGAGATTTGAGGTGACACAATTTGCGAGTACAGCGTTGGTTGCTGACCGGACCTCCGGGAAGTCTAACGATTCAGGAACAGTGACTCTGGCTGCGTTGTTGATCAGGACTGTTGCAGTTAGCTCTTCGGATCCGCATCTAGAGCATAAGTGCCTAGCCTACCATCCAGCTTGCCATATCTCTCTTCGACAATGGCAGCAGCGGCTGCAATGCTAGCATCATCCTCTATATCAAATGGAAGTACGTCTAGAACTACTTTGACGCCCGTATCTCTCCACTTGCAGACCGCTTCTTCGCCAGACTCATGTGTGCGGCATCCGATGAGAACGGTGGAGTTGGGCACCCGGCCGGTGATGGCTTGGACGATCCCAAACCCAATTCCTCTATTCGCGCCAGTGACAAGAATGATAGCCATAGGGACTGAATAGAAAGAGAAGGTGCTTGGCATCAGAAACTTCGTAATAGATTCTAGAATTACCTTTATGTTGTAAAACGGTGGTATCTGGCGAAGTACACTGCGACGCGATCCCGGACTTAGTCAACCGTACGGCCGTAAACCCGATGTTGACGCCGGAACGGCGGAGCAAGGTGTGTAAGCCCGATACCGCGCCAGTAAACTTGATCCACACCGCCCGAGCCGCATGGGCCCCACATGCAGTTACGGCATTCCCCCGAGCCGGAGCTATTGGAAGCAGACATAACTCGACACGTAGGACTGAAGTGTTTTCAAATTTGTCTGTACTCTCTGGTTGGGAATAAACATAGTAGTATTTCGGAAAAAGAAAAGGCAAATCGTAAGAATTTTTCTTGTTTTTTTATTTGCTGCTGTAAAGGTGCCGCGAGATCCAATTGGGTACCCAAAGTGTAGTTTAGCTCTTCCAAACAAATCTCCCTATCCGAGCATATAGTGCAACTTCCCACAAACAATAGCCAAGAAAATATGCATGCAAACAGATCATCTTCACCATGACGACAATTAAGGAGACTAAGATCAAGTCCGTTGCGACTCCAGTAGAAGTAAGGGGATTCTTCTTCCCGGCTCAATCTGAGCGTCCACCAGGGCTTTAATTGCTCAGATCTACTTATTGACCGCCAGGTACCTAGATAAGGGATCGTTTCAGTCAAACCCCAGACAACCGTCCCAGCTCAAGCAAGGTGAGTATCTCAGATCTCATCGGCAGCATGTCTGCTCTGCTAACGGGACATCTAGCAGGCGGGCATCTCAATCATTCAATACGACCCCGCTCTCGAGTCCATCATCGGCCCCAGCCCAACCCACGCCCTCATCCTCTCATCCGCAGAAGCCTCAGCCAATGCCTTCTTCCATCGTGGATGCGTTTATGTCCCTTCCCGAAATGAGCTCTGGACAACTTCAGCGCCTCTCGCGACTAGCGACCCCACACGGCTCCCCACGATCCTCATGTCCAAGGTCATAGTCACGCGCAACATAGCCAACGGCACTCTAACCGCAGAATGGGCCAAGATGCGCCCGCCACCAGTCATGGCGATGCCCGCGGGTGGTTGTATAGTCGACAATGACATTACCGTGTGGTGTTCGCAGGGGACCATGGCCTCGCAGACGGGAGGTGTCCTCTCCATGCCGGCAGGTAGACCTCCTCAGCTGGTGGCTTCTACGTACTACGGCCACGACTTCAACTCCCCGCACAGCGCCGCCGTCTCATCTCAGGACAACGGGATCTGGTTCACGGATCCATGCTGTGGGCATGAGCAGGATTTCAGGGCTCGTCCTCAACTGCCGCCGCAGGTATATCGCTGCGATCCGAAGACTGGAGAAGTGAGGGCTATGGCCGACGGTTTCGCACGGCCAACTGGTATCGCGATTGACGAGCAATCTTCGACTCTGTATGTCGCGGATGCCGGAGGTGTACGCGTCGATGGCAGTCTCAACTTGACTGAGTGAGTTTGATTCTGCTTACTAAACGTCTTTATCAGCTCTAACTATCCTAGACCGCGGAATATTTATGCTTTCGATATCGTGAATCGAAATGATTCTATTTTCCTAGCCAACAGGCGGTTATTCGCCCTTGCTAGGAGAGGTGCTCCCATGCACCTCATGTGTGAGGAGGGCAACGTATGGGCTGCCTGTAGCGACGGCATTGAGATTTGGAACAGTGGTGGTTCATTGCTTGGTGTGATTACGGTGCCAGGTAAGTTTAATGGCTCTCGGTCTGAGATCTTATTCATCTTATCTCCAGTTTGCTAACAAGGCGTCCTCGGCAGGTGGTGTCATGAGCTTCTGCCGCGGCCCAGGTGAATCAGTCTATGTCTGTGCCGACCAGAGGTTATGGAGGCTCCAGCGTTCCAGCGTCTGCGGGGATCAATCAGTTGCGAGCCCGGAATTAATCTAAGTACATCTAAAGACATCCAATAAAATCGCGATGGGGTGGGCTACGAGTGTCGAACGTCCCAATTACACTACTCTTCCTGATGGGGGAGAGCTCCCGGGCGGCCAGGGAAAAGGATGAAGTAGACTAGATAACAAGTCGAAGAATTAGCATAAATTAACATTAACAGATGGGTCTAATACAGTTCATGCTGCATATGAAATAGCAGATGAGGCCAGCCCTTTCCATGGTTTTGTAGACTTGGTCTTTGCCGAATTCACTGCCAGCACAACATACTAGTAGACGACAAGAGCTATTCCTGTGGCGGTGGGCCGTTGTGTAGGACAGTCCAGAGTGTCTCTGAAAGACTGGTACCTTGGCACGCTTGCACTCTAGCATTGTTGTTTCTGCCTTGAGCCTGCCAACACCACACCGCGAGCCAACTTGACGTGCCCCTCAACAATCACTCAGTCTTGAATTCATTTCTCCGTATGAGATACCAGTTATCAATGAGTTTTTCGCATTGGGAACCAACTATCAACGGTCGATAGCTGACTGCGAGAATCTAATTCTTGGAATCTATCTCTAAGTTTCTTCTAGCTGCCCTCGCGAAAACTTTTACCTCGTTCCACCCTAAGCAAGTTTTCTTTCCCTCTCGTTGGTTACTTAAAGTTTCTTTCTCCAAGATGTCTCATCTCAAGGGGACAAGAAAATAGAAAGAAGAAGGACCGGAGAGTGACCTTTAGGTAATGGATTCAGCGAGAAGTATCCCAGATCCTCGTAGAAGCTCCCTATCAACGTCAATGGCTTACACCAGCATTAAATAGTCGAGGTGCGAGTCAAGGATATCTTACACAAAAGAGGAATCGACTTTGTGATAATAGCCTTCTAGGGAGCCCGATAGTGGAGAACCCCGATCGTGGGAAATCATCTTTAACACATTTTCTATAGTCATTGTTGTAACCATTAAAGCGTTCACGGAATTTCCGTTGATCTATGACGGCAATCCCACCGAAAGTCTACCAGCACTATGGCGCTTTGTCCGCGAGTTCTCTCAGCTGGTGGGTAGAATCCATCTGCTCTAGTATATTATTTGTTCAATTGATACTTTAAATAGCCCGTTTTTTGTGTCCTTGGTATTCGCTTTCGTAGCAGGCAGAACTATCAGGAGCTACGCTCATTGGAGACTGCAGCAAGGAGAACGAATCGGCTTCTTGGACCAACTTTTCGGATCCCACGCCCGCCAATTAATATGCTGCAACAATAGAAAGAGCCAAAAAAAAAAAAGCAGTTTTGGGGCTTGATATTTTACTACTTTGTATGCCGGGGTGAACTGGAGGTAATGAAAACAAGAAAGGGGGGCGCCAACGAAGCGTTTATGTACGACGAAAGGATAAACGAAAGATGAGAAGATCGAAAAGCCAAATGACCACGGCAAGTCAAATTCAAAAGAATAAGGTCAGTCAACGGTCATGAACGTTGTGAGTACATGAGTTCAAAGGCCTCAAGCCACTGTATTTGTTTTGAGAGCTACTACTTCCACCAAAGCTCGTCTAAAAGCCTCCGTGTCCAGTCGTATCCAGCCGTCTACATACACCAAACTCTTGTAACATCTGTCCGACAATAACCATACCCCCTATCGCAGGAGTGAAGCAGATCGCTGCGCCGATGACGACATAAAGATAGAACGAGGTCTCGATTATTCGGAAATACTTCGCAACCAGCCAGTCTATCGCTCGCTGCATAAAGGTCGCATTCTCAAGAGCGTACGCTATCGCGTCGTTTGCACGAATCTTGTAGACGCCGTGGATCTCGGAGGGAAATACCGTGAGCATCCTGATTACTGGGCCCATGACGATACCAAAGATGAGCCAACTGAGGATCCATACTTGCTGGTAGATGTTACTATGTCCCGGGCTAAATCCGGTCACGCCTGCCACTAGGATGGCTGGAATTAGGAGTAGTACTGTTGTGACGGCGAAATAAGAGGCGTGAGCTGCCTGAGAGGGCCAAAACGTCCTCAATGGCTCCTTAATACTGTCGACGTCGACGCTGGCGACCATGCCAGAGAACCTGCCACCCAACCTTTTCGCTCTATCGAGATCTGGGGTGTGCACGAGGTAGATGCAGTTGTACTCTGGGGTGACGAGGAGCGCTATCAGGTTGACGAGAGACATGAAGGCATACGGGACAACGGTCACCCCAAAGGCCGCGTAGCCATATCTCTGTAGCTGGTCGCCCTGCGTGCGGTAAACGGTCGTCACACCCCACGCGGCTTGCCCTAGAGCGAACAAAGCCTTTGGGATGTTGTAAGTGCTACCCAGTTGGATGTTGGAGCGGTCGAGATGCGCAGCCCCCGACCCCGGCGGCGGCATCAACGGCGTACCCACGGGTACCTCAACCAAGATGAATCCCTTGGGTAGGACGCAAGTCCCGTGAATGGTCCGGGAAGAATGCACCCATCGACCGGCGCCGCGAAAGCGAGACCGATACCAAGGGGGTGTGGGAATATCGTACCTAAGGTAGCATGAACAAAGTTAGTCAAATGCAAGTCATTTGAGATGTTTAATGCTTTGAAATTGGAATTATTCCCACTAACCAGCTTCGAGCCCTCTCAAAGTTCATTCGCCTCAAGGAAGTTTCCATCCACGAGACTTTGGACCTTTCGGTTTCGTCAACAACCATGCAAAGCGCGCCGGCCCTAATGGCCCGACTGAGCTCGTCGCGCCTGACTGTGCCGGCGTGGGAAAGCAGCCAGCGGGCGGCTCGCAGGGAACCGGTGCTTGGCAGGAAGAGAGCCGTTAAGACGGTGAAGCAGGTCTCGAGGATGGACTCGCCGGGCCGGCTGGGGAGAGTGAGGGCATGGACGAAGTAGTTTGTTGCGTAGAAGATGACGAAATCGGTCCAGATCGGAGGCGTGCAGATGAGCCTTGGGTCACCGTGGTTGACGGTTCCCGGTGGGACGGTGATGGTGACGTTCATCGTAGACCTGAATTTTCGTGTAATTCAAACGCATGTCCTCCTTGAAGTGCAACCTCGGCAAGCCGCTCGATGTCTAGAATGTCTCGAAGAAAACGACGCAGGCGGATGACGACTGAGCAGAGGGTATGAGTCCCGGAGCACCGAGGACCCGTAGACAGAGTGTCCACGCCGGTTGACAAGAAAGCTCAGCTTTCTTAGCAAGGCTTCGTAGGTTCAGAGATTCCGTCAAACAACTAGGACTGTGTAGGTCGACAGAACTCAACTGTTCAGGTATCTTGTAAGCCCGTCACACCAGGCATTGACCGGTAATGGGAGAAGAGCAGAATGCATCGTCACCGAATAATTCTTAGAAAAGGACATGGCAAGATCCCGATTCCCATAGCACATGAATGTCAGGGGCGAATAGGAAAGATCCGACGGCTGAGTCTACCGAGATGTGTTGAAACGACTCTCAACTCAGACTGGTGGGATTGACCACTCCTATTCGCCAAAAGTTCAGCAGAGATGGAACAAGCTCCGGCGCATAGAGATGCTGCAGATCGGAAGACCCTTGCTGTCGGCAGAGCTTATCTTATCAGTTGCGTAATCTTAGTCAGCCGATCGCACTTTAATGTGACGCGTCTCGACGCGTCTTCCGCGGGGCATTCCATCTTGAGGAGAGCATCTCTATCTGAAGAAACTTGCTTTTCCACGTCCCAGACGCAACAATGGCACCTGCAGCTGTCGTGTCCGCAACCATGTCTTTTCCCGACAACTCTACAAAGCAGAACGGCGCTGCTCCCTCTAAGCGCCATGAGGAGTACCAGTACCTCGATCTCGTTCGCGAGATCCTCGATGAAGGCGAGCATCGGCCGGACAGGTAAGCAGGAGAGAATATATCCAAGCAGCGAGTCCAACTGGCTGACACAGACCCCAGGACTGGCACCGGAACATACTCAATCTTTGCTCCCACTCCTCTCAAATTCTCCCTCAACAAGGACGGCGAGCCCCTCTTTCCCCTCCTGACGACGAAGCGTGTCTTCCTCCGCGCAGTTATCGCCGAACTTTTGTGGTTCATTGAGGGCAACACATCATCACTTGCCTTGAGCGAAGCAGGCGTCAAGATCTGGGACGGTAATGGATCGCGCGAATTCCTCGACAGCGTTGGCCTTTCCCACCGTGAAGTCGGTGATCTCGGCCCCGTATATGGCTTCCAATGGCGCCACTTTGGCGCCGAGTACGTGGACTCCAAGACGGTTTATACTGGCCAAGGCGTCGACCAACTGGCCGAGGTTATCCACAAGCTCAAGACGAACCCATACGACCGCCGCATCATCCTCAGCGCGTGGAACCCGGCAGACCTAAAGAAGATGGCCCTCCCGCCCTGCCATATGTTCGCACAGTTCTACGTCTCTTACCCGCGAGCCCGCGGCGCGCCCGCAAACGAGGAGCAGAAGCCAAAGGGGCACCTACACTGCCAAATATACCAGCGGTCCTGCGACATGGGACTCGGCGTGCCTTTCAACATTGCCAGCTACGCGCTCCTGACGCACATGATCGCGCGCGCCTGCGACCTCGTCCCGGGAAGCCTGACGCACGTCATGGGCGACGCACACGTCTACGCGGACCACGTAGACGCGCTCAAGGTGCAGCTGGAACGCGAGCCGAGAGACTTCCCCCTTTTGGAGATGAAGAATAGGGAGCCGGGGTGCAGCATTGACGGGTGGAAGGTCGAGGACTTTGTGGTCAAAGGGTATGAGCCGCATAAGACGATTGCCATGAAGATGTCTGTGTAAAGGCAACGAGGCCTATGCGCCGCGGGGGATGACAGTTTATTTTTTTATCTTTTGGGGGGGAGTCTGATTTTTGGCTCTTCTGTTGGCTTGGCATGGGGAGTTGGGATCGGAACTTGCATTAATGGGTGCGACACACCCTCAGCATACGGCATGAATATGAGAGAGACAAGCAAGAAGTACTGAGGAATTTGACGGTTTAGCGTCTTTTCTAGATAGACTGGTGGAACAAAACATCAATCGACGTCCAGCGGCGAACTTGCTCTGATTTTCGTTACTTACCAACAAGGAGACAGGTACTCCTCACATGTTTCCAAGGCTTGAAATGAATCACCTTGACTAAATCCTTTTGCTGCGTCGACTTCGTTTACTGGCATTACGCTGAATGCATGTCCGATTCAACTGATTAATCCAATTGCAAAACCGATATGAAACTTATCCGTAAATGACAGCTGCGAGTTGATGCAACCCACGCAGAGAAGCTTGGGCCAGCCCGAAAGGCCGGGTGCGTGGGAAGGTTGGAGGGCAGTTAAGCTTGGAATGCCGGGGTCCCCTGGTGGCAGCTCATTGGACGCATAAACAACCTAGATGACATGCAACCTTGGCGGATTGCTGCAGCACAGCCCACGTTTCCCACCCACCCCTTGAACCGCATGTGCCGACTGCTGAAGCCGTGCCACACTTGGAATTCGTACGGCCCTCGCTTCGCCTTGCAGCTAAACACTTGCGCTTTCCCACATTTTCCGGCTCCTACCTTACTCCCTTCTCTTCCTTAACCAAAACTCCCCCCCCCAGCTACACGGATACAACGATTCTTCCCAACCCGATTTCCATACACACGACGACACCCAGACCACCACTGGCGGCTGCTTCGCCCCCCTTCATCCGATTAAACATCCATCCCCCCGCGTCTTGCACTTATCTACATTACCTCCATACACGGCTTTTTCGAGGAGTAATCGCCCCGTTCGTCGCAAATCGCGGTCGGTGGCGACGCGCGCGTGGAAGATCGGGACATAGCCCAAAAAAACGTAAAAAAAAAAAGTCGTCCACCATGTCGGACCACGACCACACCCAAGACGCACACCACGACGCCGCCCACGAACTTCACCACGCCTCCCAACAACCCGACGTCCTTCCCGGCGGCCCAGACCCGGACGTCACCGGCAGCCCCGTCGGCGGCACACCAAAGGAGCGACACTCCCTCACCCTCGACCAGCGACGCGCCCTCCGCCGCTGGGCCAACGCCCAGACGATCCGCCCAAGCCACAAGGCCTGCATCGACTGGTTCTATGGCCAGTACGGCCAGCATATCTCCCAGTCCACCGTCTCCCACTCTCTGAGCCCCAAATACTCCCGCCTCGATGGCGACAACCCCCAGCTGAGCGGCAGCCGCCTGCGCTTCGGCAACTGGCCCGACGTCGAGAAGCTCGTCCTGCGATGGTACCAGCAAGTCCAAGCCACCGGCCGCCACCCGACAAATGAGGAGCTCGGCGAGAAGGCCAAGGCAATCTTCACCGCCCTGCCGCGCTACAAAGATGAGACGCCCCCCGAGTTCTCCCCTGGCTGGATCCACCGCTTCAAGAAGCGCTACGGCCTGCTCATCAGACGCCAGCGCCGCCACGGCGACGGCGGCATGAACCCGGCCGAGGACATTGGCTACCTCGCCGACTGCGTCCCCCGCCTGATGGCCCTCTCCGCTGATACCTCACCCGCCGCCATCCGCGAGGCGATCCTCCGCGCCTTGGGCGTCGAGGCGAGCCTGCAAGTCTGCGCCCTCGTCCGCGACGAGGTCCTGCGCCGACTGAGCACCGGCGGAGGCGCCGGTGGGCCCCCGGGCTCCGCAACGAACCCAATGTCCCCCTCCTCGGCCGTCCCGCACACCCCCGACCCGCACAACGCCGACCCGAGCCTCGTCGGCCCGCCGCCACCGCCACCCGGAAGCGACACCCCCATGTACGGCGACGAAGATCCGGATATTGTCCTCCAAAACGCGCTGCGCCAGCTGCAGCAGGAGGAGGCAGAGGCAGAGGCCACGGCGGCTGCCGCGAGGGAGGAGCGCGAGCAGCGGGAACGCGCGCAGGGCACCGCGGCCGCGGCGCTCGCGACGCCCGCCATCCAGAGAGTCGTCTCGGCGTCGTCGCGATTCGTGCCCTCCACGCCGGAGCTCAACCTGACACCCATTAAGAACGACGATCCGGTGTCTGCCAACGAACGGCCGCTGCGATGCCCCTTTTGCGTGAACCAGCGTATGCTCCGGACTATTAAGGAGGCCGTTGAGCACATGTCTACTCACGTTGTGGTTTAATGCCTGATTTTTTCGTCTGGAATGAGGAAAGCCCGTGGTAGATGACGCGAAAAAAGTGATTGGGGGGGGGAGTGAGTGGTGAAAATGGAATGATTGATAATCGAGCAGAAAACAAAAACCCCCAGCCACGAATATTCAGGATGGTAATGTTTCGGTTTTACATCGACGTATACAAGGGGACTCTAGACGGCGATGGACCATTCACCACTTCACAAAAGGAAAAAAAAAAAAAGGCTTTGCTTCAATATGGGAACGCAAGTACCAGAAAAAGAAAAGCGCGTTCAGGTTATGTGTATATATGTGTATGAGCGAGAGGGGGGGGGTCTGCTACCTCGTAGCCTTTATCTACCTCAATGATGAATCGTATGAAAGTCATTTGCTCCTCATACAGTTGGTTGTATCAGCAGCTGCAGTATCTGCGCGTTGAATTCCTCGCTAAATCAGCGCACTCCAAGTAGTTGGGAAAGGCGTTGTTCGAAGCGTAGTCAGTCGTCTCTATACACATCCCAGTCTACAAAGTTTTGCTCATCATTCTCACACACCTAGAGACATGGCTCGTTGAATAGGCTCGTCTTAATTCATCTCTGGCTAAAATACGGGTATCGGCCCCATCCCTGCCCGGTTGTCCGGCTTCATCCACATTCATCCTCACGTTCGTTCGCTCATCATCAGGGGACCCCCGAACTGATTTTTCTTCCCGTGCACGCTGCACCAGGATTCAAACCAGGCAGTGAGAGAAATCCTGTTGAAAAAGGGCCCCATGCTAAAATAAAGAGAATGACAGCTCATGTCTGTCGTCTGCCCAATAAACGCCCGTCAATGTCCTTTCTTCCTTGTCCTCATGGTGGAAACAAATCCGTCTCGGCGTCTTTTGAGAAACACTTGGACAGATATAAACCCTCGAGGGTTGTACCAATAGCTCTTTTCCCCACGAACCTCAATAACCATCAAAAGAAAAATCGTAAGTGGGGGCCTGTTGAGGGCCAAAGAAGTGTAAGAAAAAGGGAGCGTAGCCGCGTGTGCGAAGGAGAGTCGATCCACTGGCGCATCGTGGTCGTATATCGAGTCCAGCTACTAGGAGAAAACAATATAGAAGTGAAAATCAGCCATCGCCTGCGTAATAAGACAGTAGATAGCAACGCGTCGCGTGCGCTGGGAATCATCAAGTGAGAATGCAATGGCGGGAGGGGGGTATGCTTTTGTCTCTCAAGGTAGTCGCAGAAACCATCTAGGAAATGTCCGAGCCGAGTCGCACCGTGAAGAACCTTAGACCTGCTCCACATAGAGTAGGAGCTTCTCGTTCCTTTGCAATGCGTAATCGAGGTCATTGTCGCTCATTAAATTGGGCTTATCGCCAGTCGGCTCGTCCTTGTAGAAAAGCTGGATTTCTTCACCCACTGGAATCTTGAGTCTGTCCACAATCTTGTCGTACAGCTGTTGAAATGAGATATCTGTCGCAACTCGGATCGCAATCAGATCGCCGTTGAAGTATAGCTTGATCTTCATGGCTTGAACTTGACCCTGGCCGATGGCGGGAGAGGGCTGGGACTGAGATAGAGATGATGGCTGACGGTTCATTCCGGACTGGCCCGCTGCTCTTTGTTGAGGGGTAGCAGATGATCCTCCGTAGCCGTTGCCGTTCAGATTGTTCTTGGACGCTTGTTGTGATGCCGCATCGGCTGGTGATTCGGTCGGTGACGGCTGCGAGCCGCCTGACAGTCGGTATTCGTCATTTGGCGCATTAGGGTCAATTTCATAGTCGCCTTCTCTAGGGGCGAAGAATTGCTTGACGAGGGTACATCTTGCGATGTAAGCAGGCTGCGCAAGTAGGTTCTTGACGTAGGCATCTAGGTTGTGTAGTCGGCCCTCAGTGATGGCGTCTGTAACGTAGTTGACCGGTCCAGGCATGTAAGGTAGTGTACGCTTTTGCGTGCCGGTGTTTCCTGCCTCGGCCGGGAATTCGGTGAGCAAGGCAATCTGGAAATCATAAAAGTCTTCATAGTATCTGGAAAGCTCCCAGTGACGGCCATCCTCCAGCACGGCTTCAATGACGAACCAGTACTTGTCTTCCGCAAAGCAGTATCTCGGAATGCGGGCTGAGATTGGAGCGTAAAGCTGTGACGCTGATTTGGCGTAAGGGCTGGGTTGGGCAGCTTGCTGAGAGTTGCGCGATTGCTGGTAGCCAGCCTGTTGCTGCTGCGGTGGCTGCTGCTGCTGCTGCTGTTGCTGTATGATCTGCGTTAGCTTCCAGAATTCCATGAAATGACCAGGAGAAACGTACAAGGTTTGCCCCATTCTGTGAGCTAGTGCGTCCGCCTTGTTGGATACTCATACGTTCCATCCCTTGCTCGATGGAGCCCTGTTGCGGTGCAGAGCCGTTATCGAACTTGCCTAGTGTGATACTGCTGTTCTTGTAGTCGGCCGCCATCTTCTTCCATTCCTCGACCTTGGGAATGCCGGCCTTCTTGATGGCTCCCGAGGCGTCTCCAACGGCCGTGTCCGTCGCCATATCACGTATTTCGACAAACGACACGGGAATCAAACCGGGTCCTCCAAGCCTGCCGATGGGTTTGGCGACGAACCACTCGGGATTGGACTGCGCAATGACGATAATGGCCTCTCCAGCCTTGGCCTCCAACTCGTCGGCGCGCTCCGCCACAAAATCGTACATGACGATACCGTACACCATCGCGCCGGACCTGCTTCCGGATCTGGACATACGCTGCGTCGGCTGAGTCGCGGGTGGTGACTGCGTAGCGCCAGGGGGCGGCGCAGTCTCGGCATAGCCGGAGTCATGATCGGGGTTCTTGGAAATGGTCGGAGACATGGTCGGTGGCCGGGGTATGGCGCCGTCGGACTGGCCGCTGTCTCTCTCGGTTCGGCCTAATGCTTGGAAAAAGGCTACAGGTACGAGGCCGCGGGCGTCGGGCAGTGCTGGGTTGCAGGCTTCGTACCAGTCGGGGTCATTCTCTCTGCCAATGACGTGGAAGAAGTCGCCACGCGAAAAGCTCAGCTCTTGGTTGGACTGCGCTTCATAATCGTATAGGGCTCGGATAACCTGGTAGGTGGATATCAATGGTCAGCAAAGATACGATTGCACTGTGGTCAGCTTCCCCCACCATACGGCCTGTGGTGGAGGCCCGGGCGCATGGGGCAGCATGGGACTGAGGCTTCTACATACCTTCTTGGGAGGGACGATGGCAACAGCAGACTTGGGGGCAATGTTGACTTTGGCGTTGTCCTTTTCGCCCTTAATGGACCGACGGAGGGCCTGCATGAGGTGAGGCATAGTCAGTAAGTGATCGGAAAACCGATGTCTGGCCATTGATTCGCGATTCATCGTAGGCGAGAGGGCGTGGGCGTGAGTTCAGGCGCATGCGGGGTTACTCATGTGCGGCGGGAAGTAGGAGGAAGGCAGCGCAAAACGTCGCAGAAAGGATGAGTGAGGAACGAGCTGCTGAAAGGCAGAGAGCGCAGGCAACAGCGCAGGATGGTATGCACTGGTTTCTTCTTATGGCGAGATTGTGAAGTTGTGTGAAGGAATCGCAAGAGCACAAGGTGGTGTTTGTTGATGGTGGGAGTGGTGGTGGTGACATGCGCGCGCACGACTGGGATTCTGGAAAGAGGGAGAGAGAACAGTTGATAGGGGTGGGAAGTGGGAGCAGGGGAAAATACGATGCAGAGGCAGAGGATTGCACAGCAGCAGGTACCAGGAGGGTGGAGGATGACGAACCTTCATCTTGTGTTACGCTCCCTCGCTTTGGGAGAAGAGGGCAGCTGCAGACTCTGACAAGAGTAAAATGCGATGCTGCTGCGAAAAGGAAGTTGAAGTGGAAGTGGTGACGGGGGACCCTGTGGCACCACGGAAAGTACGAAATTATAAGGTATTCGGTCGAGAGAGGGAAGATAGGGATGGGTGGGAAATGCTGCTTCCGCCAGGTATTGCAGATTAAGGCAAGGCGTGATTGGGCACAAGCCAGGGGGGTGGGCGTGGCTCAGTGTGCAACTATAAGCGACAGGAGATGTCGATGTCCGTCGAAAATTGGTGTTGCTGTCTGGTGCAAGTTAAGTGCAAGTGTTGCAATCGTGTGAAGGGTCGGTCGATTTCTCCAAAAGATGAAGGAGGACGGGAGATGCTCAGATCGGGGCGGGAAGGCGTTGGGTTGAGTTGATTGAGTTGAGTAGCCTGTCGTTCCAATGATGGCTTGTTTTTCTTTTTTTTTTTTCCCTTTTTTTTTCTTCCCTTCGAAGGAGAGAAGGAGGGGGGGAGATTGATTGGGACTGGTACCGGGACCAGGCTGATGCCAGTGCGAACGGGAAGGAGGAGGGGCGATGATGACTGGGTCGCGCTTTCCCTCGGACTGCGTTCCTTACTTGAGTCGTGGGGGAGATGCGGTGGTGGCCGTTGGGCTTTTGCTGAAAAGGAAAGCGACGGGCTGAGAAAATGGTGCGGCAGGTGGTAGATCGACGGGTAAAGGCTGTTCCTTCTCGTCCTTTATCCTCTCGAAAGGCGTCTTGGTCAATTTCGGCAGGTTTCGTGCCTGGCTTTCCTTGCCTTGCCTTCCTCTCTAACACAATTCCTTTCTGTCTGTCCGTACTACTGTCGACGTTTCTCTCGTTGGCCTGTTTGTGTCTCTCTAATACGCTTTTACCACGCGATCAGTTTCGACAACGTCCTTCCGAAATTTCCGCTTCGTTTTTTCCCCTACTTCACACGGAGCAAAAAGAAGAAAAATCTCTTGTCCAGTAGATTTAGGCTGGCGCAGCACTTCGTGAGGTGGGATTGTCTCTCTCCCTTGCTTTCTTATTCCGACTCGGAAGACGGCTGTCTCTCTTTCTTTCTCGGCCTCCGAAACAAGGTGACCCGCGAGTCAACTCGGGCTACACGGTACTCGGCGGGGTCGCAAGGGTCGGATGTGAGGTTGGCAGATGCACAACTCTTCGTCGTTCCTCGGTCAATGGCTTTCGTTCAAGATCCTTAGGTGACTCTTCGACTACTCGGCCAAGTGCAAAGATTGCGCTGGAGTGCGGCGGACTTGCTGCGACTGACCTAAAGGGTTGAGTGGGAGGTGAAGGGAACTACTCGAGAGAAAGCGGCGCGGACGGGCGAGGGTAGAAAAGGCTCGTTCGCCCAACCAAGCATCTGCCCAAGGCGCCTGGGTACCCCGTACTCACTACCACCTACTATACTTACTTACATTACGGATCGCTGCGGGCATACACACACCACACACACCACCCTACAATGTCCGGGATGGGCTCCCAAGGCCCAAATCCCACCAGACCAGACGAATCGAGGGGCAGACGGTTGGAGAGGGCTTGACTGGTGGGACTGGCCGACGAGGGTCGCCGGCACCCTGGTCTGTACCCGTCTGTCCAGTCTGCCCGCTGGGCGTGGGTGGGTAAATTGCGCTAGGGTTACGGGTGGGTGTACTGCCCTCCAACCAGGGTGTCAACTTGCAGATTGCTATGGATGGTGGTATGCGTCTCGCCTCGGGAGAATGTGGGCGATAGTCCTCGTGCTTGTCACCTTGGGTGCCGCGCCGCCTGCCTGTCGCATGCTCTGCGGCTAACCTGTGCGAGACACTGCTGCTAAACAGTGCTACGCGTTCATGGATGTCGTCCACAGGAGAATGTTTCTCTTCCAACCTTGATCTTCTCTCAGATTCACTCCAGGTCCCGGTGCGCCAATTCTCCGACAACTGTCACTCGGCACTGCACTTGCACCGTCACAGCTAGAACTGCAGCCACCGGCAGTGATCGCTCCGTCTCGTAACACAGCAACAGGAAGGTCGGGAGGCACCCGTTGACAGTTGACTGACAGGCCAGTCCAAAGACATGAAGGCGGCCGCCCACGGGCACGGGGACTAAAACCGTCTTACGTACGGACCGGGCATTGCGCGAAACCACAGCGGGCGTGGTGACCAGCAGCAGCAACCCTCAGATGGAAAGCTTAACCACCCCCAAGTCTATCGGGAAGGAAACTCAGGAATCGTCAACGAAGCCAATTCAATTATTTTGTTTTCAAGGTCATACTTCGATACAACGGACCCAGGGAGAACCAGCTCCTGGTGCATAGGACGTCTGCTGCCCCCTTCAGGAGTCCCTCGTCCACGCCCAACACCTCGGGTGGCTTTGGTCGCATTCTCCGTGGCGCATAGTCACTTCAGGGCTCAGGGACCAGCTACTTGATTACCAGTCACATCTTGCAGCTGCATGTCTCGCCCTCATGCTCCCCAAGCCTCATGCTGTTGGCCGCCACCGGCTCTGAGCCGAAGCACCTAGTAGAACGCCTGGCTTGGGTGCTTGGGTGCTTGGGTGCTTAGAGGACAGCGTGAAGGATTGCGACAGCCCGGCCACAGCAGCCCAAGACTCGATCGGCATTGCCTATGACGGCACACCGTGCCATAGGGTCTCGATAAACACTACTGAATTTCGTTTTTGGCCGCTAGAGCAGCTGGCAATGGTAATACAAGATGACTACCAGTCAGCGAGCATCTCTGCTGGTCTTCGACGACTTAGAATCCTCGCTCGTTTTCAGCTCCTATCCGAGACGCCCTCACTTTTAGCGTACAACAGTCAGCTTTCCAATGGTCTTGTCCCTCTCTACAGTCACTGCAGGAAAAGGCTGGAGCTGTCCAACGAGCCACTTTGCAACGATCGTTGATATCCTATGACATACAGCAAGAAGCCATGCGGTTGGGCCGCCTGCCGTCAATACATACTGTCAGGCCCAGGACCCCGTCCCCCGAAGGCCTCCTCCCCCGCGGTTACTCAGCCTTTGCCACTGTCTTCCTGGGCGCGCACATGGCAAAACCTCCACTCAGACACAGACCATTTTGATTTTCACCAACACCCCTCCTTGGCCTGAAATGAGCTTGCACGCCCCCATACGAAACATCAGTTTGCAACCAATAGCAAGAGCAAAGAGCTTTTGACACTTGCTTTGGCATAAACTGACCTCGCCATCCAACAGCTTATCCCGTCTCTGGCTGAGTTGATCGAGCTCCCCCGGATGGCAGTGCGACGCAGGGGACGGGTCAAGACTCTAGAAACGGGACTCATGACGGCACCTTATCGATTAACGCAAAGACTACTTCGCTCCCTTGTGATCCCGAGCAATGCAGGAAGAAGGGGTATCCTGTGCCCCCCATCTATCGGCCACATTCTTACAGAGTTCTTCCTTCTTCTCAATCAGGGACAGCTCAGTTGAACATCAGGTTCCAACTTCCGAGAAATGCCTCTCGATCAGGATCCCTGTACGCGGCGGACCTAGCGGTAATTATCTCTTTAGGACCCATTGAGTTCCAACCTAACAAGTTCAACGGTCTCCGCGTAGGGCCTGGACGTCACATCAGCCACAACCCAACTTACGGTCGAACCCTGCCACACGGGATCTTTCCCCGACCATCTGGAAGACCACACGACCTTAGAACACACTTGTCCGATGTCTTGTGAGGTTGCGGCTTCTACAGCCAGTCTACGGTGCAATTGAGTGCGCCGACATCTCTGCGGCTCGGCGGTGGACTTATAAGTCCTGCGCAAAACACGACACACCCACAAGTCTCGTCGGCTGCCATGCGGCTTCCGAGCGGCCTGGAACGCCGGGGATGACGCAGTATATCCTACCAACAGGTGCTAGCAAGCAAATGCATGGCAATTATCCCGAGGTTTATTACAAGGGTCTCGTGGATCCATTGTGGTCCACGCCAAGCTGGCATCGCGAATCTTTTGATATGATCACTTTCTGGTCATGCGGACACAGTCAGGTCAATATGCCTCTCCTTGGACTTCTTATGCGCATTCTAACCCTTCCTACATTGGCCTCCCCCAGGCCAGACGGCTCGAAACCTAATCGGCTTTTGTCTGAAAGACAAGGCGATCTCGCCCTACCGTTGGAGGTTCAAAGCCTTCGGAATGCTCTGGTCTTCGCACTAGCAGCATGCGCATGCGAGGATTAGAAGGTCTAGGCCGGGCCAGAATGCGTCTTGGCCAATTGGTCAGCGAAGAATCGCGGACTAGCCTACGCGCCGACGCGTCGGCTCAGCAAGTTGGCGCGCGCATCCACAACAAGGGACAGCGTATAACCACCAACAGCGTCAAGCCGCATTCTGCCGTTGCGAATGTGCTTTTTCTCTCGTCGATGCAGTACCGGGTCTTCCTGCGAACCACCTGTCAGGGCCAACGGCGTTGGACCTCGCATGGACGCTGCCCATGCACGCCTCATACTATAGTAAGAATGACTTAACCTACCGGCTTCCCTGGCGCCGATGCTCTTCCCAACCTGTCCAAGCTTTCCGACGCCTCGAGTAGATTGCTACCTTCTCCATTTCCCCACCCAACGTACCCTTTATGGCGCTTTAGCTTTGCCTGGGTCGAAGGTGCGCTAAATGGCTGGTGCAGAGGAACCCCGCCAACGACCCGTTTCAGCGGGACGGTTCAGCACGGTATCCCCGCCCCTTCTTGGCCTTCCCAATGACGGATGTGGCAGGGCTGGAGAAGAGCCGGATGCTTCGTATGGCATCTTTCTGCCGCTCCTGTCGATCACCAGCGGTAGACTGTAAATCGTTCACGAGACGCGGCTGACGCTCGAGACAGACGCGGGTCGCGTTGATGTTGCAGGGGCTCATTTGGGATTACCAAGCCTACGTTACGCATACACTACACTGCAACTTGCGCCGGCCCCGGCTGGCTCTTACAGAAAGCGGCATATGGTAAGCCCCTGGCCGTTGACGAGAATGACGTAGGCAGGGACATTGGGGGCAGAGCCGCGCCTTTTGCCGATCCAGAGCACCATGCCATCCACCGTTCTCGTGCGCACCGATACGCAGTTGATCAAGTTGTCATGTCATGTCATGTCCCCAACTACCTGTCGTTGTTTCCAGAATGTTCGCAGCTTCGCAGTTCCCCGGAATTCGCAACAGCAACAGCGCGTCGTACGTTCAGTGCCAACCATGGCATGCGAAACCCATTGCTATCCAAGGAAGGTAATGCGCCAGGAGTATCAAGCCTGATAGCGAGACTCATATTCCAAATACCCGACGTCAGTTTATCCCACACTTGGTCATCGGTCTTGGCTACTCAACAATACTGAGCTTGCAGGACATGGTCTAGGTTAACGTCGTGCCGCAGTTTTGTTCGGATCCAGCCCGTCCCGTTCGCGGGCACGACACAACTTGAAACTCGTCGTCCCATGTCGCCTGAAACGGGGTGAATAACAGCGCCATCACCAATGAAAGACCACCAAAAGAGACGCATTTTTGAAATTTTGAGCGCTTGCAGAGTTCCAGATAGGATGCGGAGGAACCTTGAGCCCGTCTCTGGTTGCTGATCTTCAGGTCAGGGTCGCCTCACATCGGGATGCCCTGACCAAAAAAAGTGAGACCTGTCAGCCCCGATTCCGGGGTTGGCGGTAGAAACAGGAGTATTGGATCACTTGCCTGAGCAACAAATCCGCAGCATTGTCGCTGACTGCCCAACTTCAACAGCTTGTTGGGCCAAGAATCGATAACCCTGTCGAGGTGACGGGTGACGGGCGATCACTTACCACGACGGAACCCCCAGTCTGCTCCTGCTATCATGGGTTTACGTCGGCGAAGCGAACGACGGCATTGATAACCGGGAGAATCCTACAGAATAATTCGATACAGACTAAACAGCCTACCAATCTCTCGGCAATGCTTCGAAGAAGCAATATTTCCAAGACACACTACACCTCTTCATTACCTATACATCTGGACGTCAGGCCGAAACAACTACAGGAGATAGCCGGCATGCAAAGTCCCGTTCACACCATTCCGTAGCGCCGATCTTCCGCTGCCGACTCCCGGGCCTAGCGAGGACACCAAGTGCCACTGCTGTCCAGTGATCGACTTCGCAGCGAACGGCCGATTTGGCGCAAGGGGAAGGGGTCCTCTGCATGGCCGTGGTCAACAATGCTACCCCAGACCACCACAACGTGTCTCGTCGCAGGAATCGTCCATATTTGGCTTCTGCCGGTCCCCTTCGGAGTGGCAAACCGTGGCGGCCCCTCCCGCGGGACCCCTAATTCCCGGTCAAAGGATGCATTTTGACTCGGATTCGGCGGGCGGCAGACAGCCGGAGGGCCAATGGCTTGTACGAACAAACGGCTAAGCGTCCAGAAATAGCATATGCGGTCCTTTCAACGGTCGAGCATATACGTAGAGTCATCCAGGTGATAGACAACCCTCAAAGCCCTGTTCTCAGTCTAAGAGGTCACGGGGCTCTAGTGGCCCAAAGGGCATAAACTCATTCGTTGGCCTAGAATGCGACATAGACCATGCGATGTTGAGCATAATTCGGCACCAGTGATGAATGTCGGCTGCATGTCGTTTCTCATGTCCACCACGAGCCTGTCGTACCTCATACGATGATACGAGCATGCGAGAAGGAGACTTGCACCCTTTGAATGGGGATGCTCACCGGCTCTAGTTTCCCTGATACTGTGTTCCTATTGCGACGGTCTCTGCGAGACTTCCATAGCGAGGAGCGAAAGATATCTTTCCCTCCGCTCTGAAAGTTGAGGGGAATATTGTCAGCAAAACAAAGTGCCTCCACCATCAATGGACCTACCTCGGCGTCACTAGGGTCCTCGTCTTGAAGCTTCACCGAAACTCAAAATAGCGTTTCCCCCCTCGATCTCAAGAGTAAACCGTTCTCCGTTTCGTTCTTCACTAAGCCTCCCTGCTCGAAGCTTGCTCAGACGATGCTATAGCTCCCATCCAGCTTTGCCTCGTACATACCATCCGTCACTTGCGGTACCTTAAGATCTAAGCGCGAGATGGCGTGGTCAAGAGCAGACCCCGGACCCCGTGCGGGTTGTGCGTGCGTAGTCGCTGCCGCGCACGGGATATCTCGCAGGGGACTTTGCTTAAAGCTCTCTCTACCTGTGACCAACGACAGCCGTAGAGGAGGAAACGAGATTTAAAAACTGCAGATGACGCTAGATAAGAGCAAAGTTTGGCTCATGATTGGATTAGTTCAGCAACTTTTCGCTCTGCTACCATGAGCTGAAGCACGGCCGGCCCGGAACATGGACCCTCTTCCGCTTCACGTGTGAAAGCTCACAAACAGGAGGAAAAGCCGCACGTCGCATGAATCTGGATCTCTCCTCGAATCGGACTACTTTACCCGGCTGCAGCTAGCCGCACTGCTGCACCTGTTCGATGTCTACGTGAGAGCTCTGGTACTAGACCGTGGTGGACCTTGGCAGAGATAGGTAGGCTGTCCTCTTCGGCCCTGATCGGGCAGTCTTTTTGTCTGCATGCTGGAGGCTGAGGGTCTCTATGTCTTTCCACGGTCAAACCCCAAGCCTTTGGCTAAGACTCATATCGTAGTAGTGTGCTTTGGTTGCGTTTGCTGGCGGACCTAGGTCGTGGCTGGGGACGCTGTATCGGGTCTCGACTTATTGGCTCACGCTGCGCAGCTAGAGGCATAGCGATGATGAACCATTGCGGGCTTCGATACGATGTAGGCTATCTCGCTCAAGGGGTTCCTTCTCGTCATACGTGTAACGGTGAGTACTGGGTTTGGCCCAAGAACCGCGAGATAGATCCCGAATTATGGTTGCATCGAGACGCTCAGTCTCTCCAGCTCTCAAGCTGCAAGCATCGAGGTGGTGGTGGTAGCGGAAGCCCTAGCTAGAAGCATTGTGTCCAGTGAAACCGCCAGACACTATTTTAGCATAATGGACGTTGTGCAGCCTTTACGAGACCTTGCTCGAGAGAGCGTACGGGACGTACGGAACGGACGCGGCGATATGCCAAGTCTTCCCCCAGCACGAGTACCCCTGACATGGATATCAAGCATGTGTGGCGCTGGCTAGGCATGATCCTGTGGGGTCCAATTCTGTTCTTGCAGCAGCCTAATGTCACTGACCAGTGTTGGTGGTAGACGCACCAGACGAGATGGCTGTTGCCAGCAAGGAGCCATGCATCTCATTCACTGGCATGGCAATGCGTATGAGCACTGCGTTGCAAGTCATCAAGGACTGTAGCATAAGCACCACGTTACAGGTCATCAGGTAATGTAGCAGATGTATGGATTCCACGAGGTCTTCGTGACCGACTACCGCCATGCTGCATAAGGCAGGCTGCAACATATCCTTTGAAAATGAATGACGTATATGCAAACGTCCATAACAGACTGCAATCGCCATCTATCCCTGGAAAAGGAAATTCCCACATATTTTCCACTGAAACGCCATCCTGTTGCCTATGCGGGTTGCAGGACGAACGGGTATCATGACTGAAAAGCCCCCAGAGCCCAAGGCCGGCACTAAGCCGGCAACATCGGTCGTCATCAGCGGCTGAGCCGCTGATCCCCCAGCCTCGCACCCCTCGTCCAGCTCTGCCTTTTAAGAGCAACCGAAGATGTTCCCGCTGCGTGGAGCTATGCGTAAGCGTCAATGCCGTCAGAGGGGGGATAGGCAGTGAGGTATAAATCGATATTTCGTAAGCTCGTAACCAAAAACTGGTAGTAAACGTCTTCGAAGGGCGCAAGCAATGCAAGGTAAAATAGCACGCCAATGATGTGAAAGTGTCGGTAGGGAGGAAGACAAGAGAGAAAAGAGGAGGTCTACGAGGAGGAATGTGACCAAAGCCTGCGGGCCTTGAAGAGAGAAGCGGAGGGGATTGGAGAGAAAAACCACACGGGTGGCTTCGGGTCGGCGATGGGGGTGGTTAGAAGTTGTGTAGAGCAGTTTGTGATGAGAGAACAGAGATGACGGGCAGCTCATATCTGTCCTTTGATGTCAACCTTGCGGAAAGCCTCGCTTCTGGCAGAATCGAATAGGGCTCCGGCTTTGCCGGTCAAGAGAGCGATATACTCTTGTCGTTCCTCGAGCAGGTGCTGACCGTTGTAGTCGACAATGAACTGAGCCGCATCAACGTCGGACTCAAAGCCGAGTTCCTCCGTGATGAACCGTAACTTTACGTCTGGCTTATATCTACATGCACGTTAGCAAGTTGACAACACCTTGGGGATATGGGGTGTACTTACGCTTTGCAAATGTTGCACAAAGCAGCTAGACGCTCACGAACTACGAACATGTCCATAAGGTACGCACCCATGTTGGGAGTGTCCAGGTAAAGCTGGAAGAACTTATGGTAGTTTCCCAAGGCAAGGGCGGATCGAACCTGAAGCGCATGCTTGATGGGTCGCTCCTCCTTCTCTGCTGCGGTTAGATCTGCCAAAGCATCATTCAGGCCGGTACGGTTGGCGGTGTGTATAAAGTACAAGATGCGATAGGCCTTGAACTCGATGGGGTTCCCGTTCAGTCCCTTGGCGTACAGAGTACGCAACTGGGTTTGACACTGATTATACTCACCAAGGTCCCCCTTCTCCAACGCAATTCGGGCGTGGAGTTCATAAACGGAGACTGTAAAATCATTCTTGATCCGCTGCACTGTCAGGTCTTGCCGCATGGATTTCAGCTGGTCGCAGATGTAAGAGTAGTTGCCCTCCTTTTTCCACTTCTTCTTCAGGAGATCCATCGTCTTGTGAAGGATACGCTCGGGCCGAACCAGTGAGGCCACAGGAGGAGCGGTCAGACGCAAATACCGCTTCTCCAAGGTCTCGCTAGTGCCGACAACGGGTCCATCAGAGGGTGGAGGGCTGGGCGATCGATACGACGATTTGTAGCCGCCATCGAAGCGGCGCTGACGTTTCTCCAACTGCTTTTGGAACTTACTTGACTTGGGCAGAGGCTCATCGAGGTTGGCGCGTTTGTCGGGCGAGGCAAAGGTGATCCGGTCTTCCAGTGCGTTGGATCGGTTGCTATTAGTAGTACGCCAAGGCAAAGAAGAAGACTTTTCATCCGGGGTAAAATCAGAGGACTTCCGCTTCTTGGGGTTGGCAGACACAGAGCCTTCATATCGCGATACAAATGGAGACGAGACGTTCATAGTGGAGTTCAGCTGAGATTGACGCTCGTTTCGGATCAAATCCGCAGGAAAGGGCATCTTCTCCCAGTCGGTTGACTCAAGAGTGCCGTTCTCCATATGCTGGGAAATGGTCTCCTTCAACTTGGCTTCAATCTCGGGGCGTGGCACAGAGGAGTCCATGTTGTGAGGTAGGAAAGACCTTTGGACGTAGTCGCGGACGGAGGGCGGCCATTCGACCTTTCGTGGAGCCGGGGCAGGAGGAAGTGGACTGGCTTCTAAGGGAGGCGGGGGCGATGTACTGTAGGCAGGTGCAGCGGATGGGGGAGGATACTGGCAGAAGCTTTGTCGAACCTGGACTGCGGTATATGCTGGATATGGCAAAGGAGAGTCAGCATATCGACTCCAAGACGTCTCTAGACTGATGGGAGAGAAACTTACTGGGAGGGTAAGCATAGTTGGCGGGAGGTGCCCCATAGGCAACGCCTGGGGGCGGCGCGGGTGGCCAGCTGGTGGGCATCATGATGACGGCTGAGATGGGACTCAGAAAATTCTGAATCGAGTATTAGTTTTGCTCGACTCGGGCAACTATATCTATCGATCTTTTGTAGCGGGCGTTGACTGGTAAACGTCGGTATCGTAGATGCGTGGTTGATGGGAAAGAGAAAGATGAAGTGAGGTTGGGAGAATGCGGGAAACGTAAAGTCAGTAACAAAAGTACGGTGGTCAGTGTGCGGGATTTCAGGTTATAATAGTGGGGATCAGACCAAACAGTGCCTTTGTGGCCAGAAACTTGTCACTGGCCCTCATCCATGTGATTACGATTACCTAAGATACGTAAGGTAGACCACATGCATGGCGCTAGCAACAAAGCGGGACTATCGCTATAGTGGGTCGGCGACATCCCACCTTGCATGTCCCCTCGAGCGTTGGCTCTATTCGTGGAGCAGTCGTCGTGTTGGCTGCGTTGCGAGAGATAAATGACGCCTGGCATAGACGCCGTTGGTTGTGTTCTTCAGGCCCAACAACGTTCCACTGGCTAGATTGAATTTCGGTGTTTCGAACCCTTTGGAGTTACCTGCTCTACCCGCGAATCATGCGCAATCCTTGAAATAGCTGCGAATCCGGCTTCCGATCCCCTCCAACACAGCCCGAGACCGTTTCCTGACGTATGCGACGACCCGCGGGCAACGGCCCCTGCCACACTTCACCACCTCCGAACCCAAGTCTTGCGCGAGCTTCAATACCCTCGGCACGCTCGTGAATAATATGACGGATGTTTCTAAAACATATCGACCTCACGACCGCTCTCCGGCCTTCTTACCTACCGGATGAAGTCTTGTTGTTCGTTCAGGACAATGTTGGGCTTTATGAAGGGTAAATACAACAGCTTTGAGCACTTGTTGTGCTTCCCACCACGCTCTAGGATACTGACAAGACGTGCTCGTCCTCTAGAAAGTTCAAGCTACCCCAACAGCAAAACGGTCAGGTCTACCTGACGTCCCACCGAATTTGCTACGTCGACAAGGACGAGCCGCGCAAGCACTCTGTAGCCCTAGACCTGATAGACATTGATCGCTATGAGTTCTACGCGGGGTTCCTGAAATCTTCTGCGAAGATCACCCTGATTCCCAAGCCAATAAAACGCTCGTCGCTTCAGACTAGAGCGTCCGCGATATCTACTCCTGGCAGACCTGGCGCCGCGTTCCCTGCCCGAGCCGATGGTCCCTATCGACCGCCGCCCGAACCAGCGAGCGCGGCGACCTGGGTCTGTACCATCTGCAGCTTCTCCAACCCGGTCCCGTCAAACTTCGATCCCACAACGGCAAACATCCACACCCCGCTGCCGCCATGTCTTGCTTGCGGCATCAAGCCGACGTTGGCGCATGTCTTGAAGGCTTCCATATCAAATGCGACCAGCCGCGCCCCGGCAACCCCTTCGAGCCCAACAGTCAGCTCGCCCCTCGCGATGCGCCCTCGGTCTATCTCCAACAGGCCCGATGACACAAGGTCTCTGCCTCCGTGGCCAGCTGCCTCCAACATCAACGGTGGCGCCCCACCGAAGCCATCAGACCCAAGCGCGACCTTCCAGTGCCCTCGATGCACGTTTTCGAATCATCCGTCCCTACTGTCGTGTGAGATGTGCGGGGCACCACTGATATCACAAGACCTGCCCCAGGCAGTTGTCACCAAGGCGCAGACGCAAAGAACAGAGTCTCCAGGCCCAGTTCTCACCACATCTTCACCAGGCCAGGATACAGCCGAGAACATCAAGATCTCTTTCCGCGGCGGCGGAGAAAAGATATTCTACGAGCGGTTAAAAGGTGCGTTGACGCAGCGCAAGTGGCTGCTCCAAGGGGCACCGCCCGTACCCAAGAGCAGCCGCACCATAGACGATAACGGCGCCCTAGTGAGAGCACCCGCAGCCGCCCCCGAGCGTCCCAAGGGCGTCGGCATCGCCGGGCTGGAGCAGCGCGGGCTCGACATGCGCAAGAATAACGAGGTTATGATTGGCAGCGCTTTCGAGGACCTGGACGCGCTGATGGCCTCCGCCAAAGAGATTGTGGCTCTCGCGGAGAGGTTTGCGAGGCAGAACGGGGGCACAGGTGCCGAGGCCAATGCTTTGCTGGCCGAATCGGCCAGTCAGCTCGGTCTCGTCACTACAAAGGACATTGTAGGCGGGAGCAGTTCCGAGACGTTGTACCTGTCCGAGCTGTCCAGGAACCTAGCAGAGTTCCTCACAGACGATGCCCGAGGCGTCCTGAAGAAGGCTGGCGGGATCATCAACTTGGTCGACCTATGGGCCATGTTCAACCGTGCCCGGGGCGGAGTCGAGCTCGTGAGCCCCATGGATTTCGAAAAGGCTTCTCAAATGTGGGAGTCACTCAAACTGCCTGTCCGGTTGCGAAAGTTCAAGAGTGGAGTCCTGGTCGTACAGAGTAGCGACCGCACCGACGAAACCACCATCAAGGCACTGATGTCCTGGCTGGACGATTTGCACGAGTTTCCGCCCGAGAAGGAGCTGGCGTGGAATTGGCGACAATTCGGCCGCGGCGTGACGGCGCGGGATGCTGCGGAGCGGTTCGGCTGGAGCATCGGCGTGGCGGAGGAAGAGCTGGAGATGGCCGAGGAGAAGGGGGTGCTCTGTCGCGAGGACGGGATCGAGGGGCTCAAGTTTTGGAAGAATTACATTGACGTCGGCGATGTGAAACACCGCAGGCGCAGGAGGCATCGCGAAGAGGACGAGGTGATTAAGGCGCTCAGAGAGAGCGGGCTGATGTGATGAAAGTTTTTTTACACTGAACCTTGGATATCTATCTTGTGCCTGCCTCGCCTGCGCAATGGCTGACAATTAAGCGCATTACTATTCTACAAGTGTGTGCGTGTTGATGTGTGCTCTGGGGTTTCCCCGGTCTGTCGTCTACGTAGATGCCCAGTTCCTTGACCCGGCGGCTGGGTTGTTACCGCCTCCCAGTTTCTTAACCCATCTAGTACCAAAAAAAGCCCGGAAACGCCGCCCATGTGAACCAATGCCAAGAGGAGGTTTTCAATAATAGAAACAATTCGTGTGGCCACCGTTGGCAGCTCTGATCAGGAAGACGTTCGAAAGGAAAAAAGACCAACAACTTGAACAAAGACTTTCATGCCGTCGTGTTCACTCCGCTACCTTGTCCATGAGGCTCAACCTCACCTTCCGGTTGACAACGCCGCCGACACCGTAGGCAGGGATGATGCGGCAGATTCTAGCCAAGGTGCTGATGCTCCAGTTCTTGGCCACCGACTGCCACCTATTCTGCCACGAGACGGGCGTCCCGGCGGCGTTTGGCCGGTTGTAGATGTCGAGGCCGAGCAGGTGCAGCGGCGTGCTCGCGATCTGCACCAAGGCGGGCGCGGCGAACTGGACGACGGTCAGGCCGCTGACTTTTTTTCTCACCTCCTCGCCCATGCGGTTGTTGAGCCAGGGGCCCAGGCGCGGGGGAACGTTGAAGCTCGCAAAGATTGTCATGCAGTCGCGCAAGGTGAAGAGGGCGTATGTGAGCATGGGGACGGGGCGCGGGGTGGCCCCAGGCGGGCCGTACATGCGCGCGAAGACCTGGTCCTTGTACATGCAGATGCCAATGTTTGCGGTGCTCGAGGCGGCGAATTTGGCGGTGCCTGAGGTGACTTCATTCGCGGGCCGGTTGTTGACGGTCGAGAAGGCGGTGTCGAGGGTGTTCGCCGTCAGGTAGGTGCCGCCGTAGAGGGCGAATATGAGGGCAAAGGGTTTGCTAAAGACGACGTGGTGGGGGCGCAGGACAAGTTCTTTGAGGCAGGAGCGGACGCATTCGCCGAGGCCGCGGCGGCCAGAGGCGTTTTCCATGATGGAGCTGGCGTAGGGGATCAGTCTCTTGGTTTGCTAAACACAAAAGGGATTAGGGATCGTGGGGGGGTTGCTTACCGGTCAATGATGGACACCAGAGGCGCGACCAAGGTGCCGGCGCACGCTGCGCTGAAGAGGTCGGCGCCCAGGCGGAAGCCCAGGTTCTTGGTGTTCCAGGCGGACTTTGCCTCGCCCATCTTGGTCTCCATGTCGACTTTTTGGGCCAGCGCCAGAGGACTTGGGGGTTTGATCTTGAGCTCTGACGCAACAGGTGTGGCGGCGAGCCCTTGTGGTCTTGAGTCTCGTTCCGCCATGCGGCGCGGTTATGTGTGTGTTGCGTGTGTTGGACGGGGGGGTGTGCGAGCTTCGGACGGGAGAGGGTTGAAGCTCTCACGATGCTTGGGGAGTTAGCCCGGCGGCCGTTTTCGTAGGTTGCGATGCGATGGACCGGATGGTTTCCCGACGTTCGGTTTGCGACGGGTGATGCCAATAGATGGGTTTGGGTGAGGTGTGACGTATCGGCGTGAGTGACGTCGCGAGGCCAGCTGGCCGGGGAGCTAAGGAGTACCTAGACCGGGACAACACAAACGAATGGGATGGAGTCCTTTTGGGGGTTTACCTCAAGAGGAAGCATGAGGGGGGGACGGGAAGGCAATGGGGAAGAACAAGAGCGTGGTAGGAAACAGGGAAAACCAAGACAAAAAAGGACAAGAGCTACCCTATGGACAATCACGACGGAGCTATGAGTCCACGGTGAATAGAGAAACCAGACCAGCCTGGAACGCAGATTTGCGACCTTGGTGCTGGGCAAGACGCGCCCAATTATGGCCGTCTCGACGAGCACCCTGGGACGGGACCGTAGTCCGTGGTAGAGAAAAAAGAGCCCATAGGATAAATAAAGTGGACTATTACATGGTGCTACGGACGAGTGTGGACGAATGGGTGCTCGAAAATTTCAGCTTACTGGGGACCGAAGTCGGAGATAGTCGGTACGATGGGGCCCGAAGGAATGGGAACGGCCCTGGTAAGGTAGTTGACTGAATAAGTACCTATGCAAGGAGGCCTTGGTGCAACTGGACTTTGCTTTGGCAGCGTGGGATCCCCTAGAGTAATGTGAGCAACTTGAGCAAGACATGGGCGTTCTAATTTCTGGCGTGTTATCAGTTCTCGGGACGGGCGTTCCTTCACCCTGTATCCGTAGGCTGACTTGACATGGCATTTTTCCTCTCTCTCGTATGTAGGAACCCATCCCGAACCACTGTTAACAATGGGGGTGTTTTGGGGGTCTGGCGCACTTTTGGGGAGCTGGGGGATGTGAGTCGGACTCGGGAGACATGGGAGGGAGACCCTCGTTTTGGTGATTGGTGGGGGTCACACGGCGAGGGGCCGGAGGGTCCCATCGACATGAACCGTCGGTCCGTCTGTTGGCCTGACTATCTGCCCTGACATATGAATTATGTGGATTATGGACACTCGAAAGTCATGAATCCCGAAAATCGCATGACTTTGAGTGTCGCGACCGTTTGTTTGCTTCGGACGTGCGCCTAAAATGACCAAACGAGAGAAGAAATCCGCCTAGAGGCATCTTCAAAGGTGGATCCTTTTAGTCCTCCTCGTCGGCTACTCTCCCGTTGGCCGTCCGGTTTCCTCCCGGCGCAGCGACATGACCCACCCTGGATCACGCTACGTACCCGACCCGACCAGCGGGTCCTGCCACGGCTTAGCTAAGCTTTCGCTGGACCAGACAGCCGGGGGGCCGCGTGGCGCCAGTTGATGTACTTTGTATCTTTCTTCTTGGCGAATGTCTTTGGTGATTCCGATGTGGACACTGACACAGTGTTCCGGGAACTTAGAAGCGATTGATTCAATTCGACCGGAGTGAAGATGATGGAGCTTCAACAAAACGAAGGGGCAGCGCGTCAATCATCTAAGAAAAAGCCTGGATTCCTGCTTGCTAGCTTGCTTACCCAAGTACGTACAAATGCTTTTGGCCAGCACAAGCCAAGGTACCTTAGGCTCCAGTATGTGCACTGCAGCGCATACGTACCATCCCATCCCATCCCATCCGTACTTCCAGAGTCGGCTAAGATGCTCGCCGCCTCCTCCAAAAAACCCCAAGCGGGAAGGTGAGCAGTTAACCTAAGGTTATCTGCCTGCAAAGGCTGTCGCGTCCCTGGAGAGAGCATGCGTCAGCCTCATTCGTACGTCTGATTAAGCTGCTACATTTCTCAACTGCGTCTTATCCTCCTGCAAGTGTCAGGGCGATAGATCCAATTGATTTTATCTCACCGTGTCGGGGTCGCTGCGTTGCATTTTTTCCCTCGACTGTAAATCATTATTACCTTAGCCTCATATAATTGTCCTACACTCATCCGTATCTCAATCATCTCCTCGCCGACATGCGCGTCGCCAAAGAATTCACCCCCGAGGTGCTCCTGAGCGCGCCCCGCCGTGGCGCCGCCGTGCCAAGCCCGGATGGCAAACTTATACTCTACACTCAGTCAACTCACAGCTTCGAGGACGGCAAGACGACAAATGAGGTCCGGCTCATGGACATCGAAACCGGCGCGTCTGACCAGCTTACTGACGACGACAAGGTCCACGACGCCCTGTGGGTGCCGGGAACTGCAAGCGATATCATCTACTTGAAATCGGGCGTCAAGGGGACCACCCAGATCTGGATTGCCAATGGCGCCGAACCAGCCAAGGAGCACTACGTCGCTGCCGAGTACGACGCGCCCATCAGCGCGCTCAAGGTCAATGCACTCGGTGATGGGAGCGTTGGTTTCGTCGTTGCTGGACTAGTCGGACCTGACGGGTCTCTACACAATGACAAGGCAGAGGAAACGAGGTCTACGGGGCGAGTCTTTGATGATTACCACATGAGGCGTGTAAGTTGACCTTAGCAGGCGCATTCGGTGACATTTCGTGACTAATACCTGTCGTCAGTGGAACGAGCTGACCAAACCTCACAAATACGCTCTTTGGTACTCGACTCTCGTCAATGCGCATGGGAAATGGGGCGTCGCAGGCGAGCTCCAAAATGCCATCAAAGACACCCGTCTTGAGGCTCCATTAGGGATGTACGACGTCGCTGACCCGACCGACGCCTTCGATGTTAACGAGAAGGGCATCGCGTTCATCGCTGAGGACACTGGGCTGAGGCCAGAGGAGGCGGGCGTCTCGCACGTCTACTACGTTCCTCTCAAATCCTTCACGGCCGCTGCGAATGTCAAGCCGAGGCCCATTGTCATGGGTATATCGGAGACCAAGGCGTACTATGCCAACGTGAGGTTCTCGCCTGACGGCTCCAAGATTGCGTTCCTGCACACGCCGTCCAGCAATCCTGCAGATGTCAGGTTGTACATGGGCCACACCGCGTCCTTTGGCGCCTACGATGTGCACAAGATGATCTTTGGGAAGGGGCCGAGTCTGCCTCCTCAGGGCTTTGAGTTCGCGGGCAGCTCTGATGCCATCTTCTTGAAGACGGAGGACTGCGGACGGGTGAAACTGTCGCACGTCCAGCTCCGTCACGGTGCAGAGGCGACATCGCTAGTGCAAAGCGGCGTCGTCTCGGCTTTCTACCCTCTGAAGGAGGGTTACTACGATAAGGTCCTGGTGACGAGTAACAGCATGATTGACAGCAGCCTATGGCAGATCATCGACGTCTCATTGAATACGGCGCCAAAGGTCGTGTCTTCGGCGACCAAACACGGCGCAAAGTACGGCTTGTCCCATAGCATGATCTCTGAGTTTTGGTACGAAGGTGCAGATGACAACATCGTGCACTCATTCATCATCAAGCCTGCCAACTTTGACAAGACCAAAAAGTATCCTTGGGTTCTCTTACCTCACGGCGGGCCGGAATCGTCTTGGACTGATGCATGGTCGACAAGGGTCAGCCAATCCCTCTCCTACTCACCTAACCTTGACTAATACGTGGCAATAGTGGAACATGGCCCTCTGGGCTCAACAAGGCTACGTCCTCATCGCGCCCAACATCGCAGGCAGCCTAGGCTACGGCGTTGACTTCACAGCCCGTATCTACCGCTCATGGGGCGGCGCGCCATACCAAGATCTCGTCCACCTCATGGACCACCTCAAGCAGCTGCCCTACCTGGACCACGACCGCGCCATTGTCGCGGGAGCCTCGTATGGCGGGTACATGATCTCCTGGATTATGGGCCACGACCTAATCCGCCGCTTCGCATGTGCAATCTGGCACGACGGCATCTTCAACCTGCCCGTATTTATGCTGCAGAGCGACTTCGTTGACGGCGGGCCCGACTTTGGGGGGCCGCCGTTCCTGTGGGACAATGCGGAGGAGTTGGAGAGATGGAACCCGGCGAGGCCGGAGCTGCTACGCAACTGGAAGCACGCGCCGCCGACGTTGGTGATCCACAGCGAGAAGGATTATAGGTGTCCCATCACTGAGGGCATTGCTGCGTATAACACGCTCATGTGCCAGGGTGTCAAGAGCCGCTTTTTGACGTTCAGCGACGAGTGTCATTGGGTGTTGAACCCGGAGAACTCGATAGTCTGGCACAAGACTGTCTTTGACTGGATGGAGAGGTTTGCTGGAGAGAATAAGGCTTGAATAGGTTGCTTATGGAATTCACAGGCCAAGAACAGCTTGTATGAGGATTGTAAATGGATCCGAATACGACGAAGCCATTTAGCGAGAAGCGGCCAATGCAAGAATGAATAGTAAAACACGGGAGGATTCTTGCGTTGCCAAACAGATCAGGTGATATGCTTTTTCCCATCCAAAATATTTCACTTCCGAAAAACTAGCCCTTTAGTCCTGACAGACGTTGTAAGTGCAAATGGCGATCGGGTTCATGTACCCCCGGGGCCCAAATCCAGGTCACCGGGACTATAAATCGCCGTTTCAGACAGCAAAAGTGGATCAGAAGGGGAACTTTACAATTCCGGTCCTCTTTATTTGGCCGGACACTACAGTTGCCCCAGCGTAGCCCGTCATTTATTCAGCATCCCGCAAGGATCCGGGCGGTGCTACCCCGAGCTCTGGGGGATGCCGTGCCAATCGGCTGACCTGAAGCTCCTCAAAATGTGGGGGCAAGCCGGAAGCCATCCCCGATCCCCTCGGTCTTCAGTCGGCCGTGTCAAAAGGGACATCGTAGCTCTGTTGTTTGGTTTATATAAAGTAGACGAGTAACGTCGTGTGTCTAGAGGATGTCGCTGTGACAATTTGGGATAACACGTCGCACCGAGGGTCTCCCATAACTTGCAAACATCTTGTTCGACAGCCAAGATGGCAACCCTCCTCCGGCACGAGCTCAGCAACGGCTGGGCATTCAAACAGAGGGATGACGCCTCAGAGAACCCATGGCTTCCTGTCCCCAGCATTCCCAGTCAGGTTCACGTGGATCTGCTGGCGAACAAGAAGTGAATCTCCTCCTCTCGAGCACTTCCACTCGCGCACTTGCAGCCAGAATCAAGACGACTAACATCACGCAGGATCCCGGACCCGTTCCTAGACATGAACGAGCTCGCTGTCCAATGGGTCGCAGAAAAGGACTGGGTCTACCGCCTCTCATTCCCGACGCCCGCGGACTTCACAAACGGCCCCAGCGCCGTCACGGATCTCGTTTTTGAAGGGTTGGACACCTTTGCGACGGTCACCCTGAACGGAGCCGAGGTGCTCAAGTCGGACAACATGTTCCTGTCCCACCGCGTCAACGTCTCGCAGCACCTCAAGACCGACGGAGACCGCAGCAACCTCTTGGAGGTGGTCTTCGACTCGGCTCTCCTCCGCGGCAGGGAACTCCTGGAGGAGCACGCGCACGAGCATAACTTCATTGCCCGGCAGACGGAGCAGGGCCGTCTTCCCGTCAGGAAGGCGCAGTATCACTGGGGATGGGACTGGGGTCCGATTCTCGTCACGGCTGGTGTGTGGAAGCCTGTATTCCTTGAGCAGTATGTCGCGCGCATCGATGATGTTTGGGTCAAGAGCGAAGTCAGTCCGGATCTGGAGACTGTGTCTGGACAAATTATAGTCAAGACGCAGGGTTCCGGCGCTGAGGAGATCTCGGTAACGTTCAGCCTCAACGACGAGGTTGTGTTGGAAAAACACCTGAAAGTCACGGAGGACGGCACAGCCAAGGTGGACTTCCACCTCGAGAAGCCCCAGCTCTGGTACCCCCTCAACAACGGCCCGCAGACCCTATACACAATCACAACGACCCTCCACCACGCCTCTCGCAGCAGCTCGGAGCAGCATCCGCCGCCGCCACTAGCAACGCAAACCAAGAAAACAGGCTTCCGCCGCGCGGAACTCATCCAAGAGCCCGATGTCCTCGGCAAATCCTTCTACTTCCGCATTAACAACGCCGACGTCTTCACCGGTGGCTCCTGCTGGATCCCCGCCGACAGCTTCCACGCCTCCATCCCGGCCTCGCGGTACCGCACCTGGGCCGAGCTGCTGGTGGCTTCAAACCAGAACATGCTGCGGATGTGGGGCGGCGGAGTGTACGAGGCGGACGCGCTCATGGAGGCGTGCGATGAATTGGGCGTGCTGGTTTGGCACGACTTTTGCTTCGCGTGCGGGAGCTACCCCACGTATCCTAGCTTCCTGACGAGCGTCGAGGAGGAGGCGAGGCAGAATCTCAAGAGGTTGCGGGGCCATCCGAGTATCGTGATTTGGGCGGGGAACAACGAAGATTATCAGGTGCAAGAGAAGTACAAGCTCGAGTATCAGTATGATGAAGATAAGAACCCCGAGTCATGGCTCAAGTCGAGTTTCCCGGCGCGGTATTTGTATGAGTATTTGCTGCCCAAGGTTGTGGAGGAGGAGAGCCCGCATACGGTGTATCATCCGAGTAGTCCTTGGGGTGATGGCAAGCCGACCGCCGACCCGACAGTGGGAGATATTCATCAGTGGAACAGTAAGTCCTCCCCCGGATCCGCACCTTTTTCTTGAATTATTTCGTTAAAGAACTAACACAACCAACCCTCCTCAGTCTGGCACGGCGCAATGAATAAATACCAAGAATCCAGTCTCCTGACAGGCCGGTTCGTCTCCGAATTCGGCATGGAAGGCTACCCCCATCTCACCACCACCACCGCGATGCTCACCTCCCCGTCCCAGCGCCGCCCGGGCTCCATGGCCCTCGACTTCCGCAACAAGGCTTACGACCACGAGCGGCGCATGATGACCTACGTCGTCGAGAACTTTTCCGTCCGCTACGACCTCGCCTGGTTCACGTACCTGACGCAGCTGATGCAGGCCGAGACCATGACCTTTGCCTACAAGGCCTGGCGACGGGACTGGGGCGTCCCGGGTCGGAGGGGCTGCGGGGGCGCGCTGGTGTGGCAGCTCAATGATTGCTGGCCGACGATCAGCTGGGCGATTGTGGATTACTGGCTTGTGAGGAAGCCCGCGTTCTACGCGATTGGGCGGGCGTTGAGGGTTCTTGATGTCGGCGTTGGGAGGAGGGTTGATGAGTGGACAAAGTGCCATGCTGATCCGACGCTGGCGGCCAGGGGCACAGAGTTTGAGGTGTGGGTTGCGAGTGCGAAGGCCGATGTTGTGGCTGGGGACCTTGTGGTGAGGTTCATCTCCATTGAGACCGGAAAGGAGGTCAGGGAGAGGATCGAGAAGAAGGTTGTTGTGAAGGCGAATGCGACGACGGAGGTTGTCGAGAAGCACAAGGTTAAGGCCCTAAAGGAGAGTTTTGAGGATACGAGTGTGCCGTTTCGGCCGGAGGATGATGATCCGTTTGTTATCCATGCGACGCTTTTTGTTGACGGCAAGGCCGTGGCGGAAGATACGGCGTGGCCGCAACCGTTGAAGTATATTGACTTTTCGGACCGCAAGGTGCGGACGGAGTCGAGAGATGGGGCGCTTATTGTTTCAGCAGAGAGGCCGGTCAAGGGCTTCATCATTCAGGAAGAACGGGGAATGACGCTGAGTGACAATGGATTCGATCTGGTGCCGGGAGACGAACGGGTTGTACGTGTTGAGGGTTACAACGTGGAGAAGTTGAGGTGGACCTATTTAGGTGCACCGGAGGCGTCTTTAGGTTTTTCTGCATAGACTCTACAACACGGTTAAGATGATCAAAGAAAATGAGTAGATGGAATTCATATCAAAGAGGATGGCTTCAAAATTGGACCTTTTTATCATATCTCATTACTGCGTAAAATTACAACTATTCGAGACAGTCTTGAATCGATTATCAATCTCATCGATGCGACAGTGACTAGATGATGTCTCCGCCAAATCCCCCACCAAATCCTCCTCCAAAGCCTCCAGAGCCTCCAAAGGGGTTTCCACGTCCACCGCCGTGTCTGGGCATGCCGCCCGGGCCAAGGGGATCCCACCTAGCTCCTGGTGGCGCCTGAGGATCGTAGCCGCCGCCTCCTTGTGCACCTGGGCCTCCGAAGAGGGGATCATCGAAGGTGGGGTGCATCCCGCCACCACCTCCGGGTCGGGGAAGACCACCGCCGCCGATAAAAGATGCCCTCAAGGGGTCGTTGGGACCCAGACCGGGAGGGTTGAGGTCATCATGACCAATGTTGTGGGGTGATCGACCGGGAAGGCCGAGGGGGCGAGGGGGTCTGTTGATCTCGTACTCATCCTCGAATCCAGGCGGCGGGAAGTCTCCCGCAGGAATGGGCCGCCTGGGAGGCTGTGCGAGAGGATCATTGACCGGGTATGGGCGCGCAGGATCAGGCAGGTCACCAGGCAATGGCCGTCCGGGACGACCAGCTTGAGCGCGGCCTTCTCTCTGTGCGTTCTCCGCCGCGTCCCTGTCATCGGGAGACTCTTCGTAACCTTCAACTTGCAACTTCGGAATGAGCTTTTGGACAATTTCGGTCTTGAATTGGTCGATCAGTTTAGTGATGGCAGACTCTGAGACGAAAGCCTCCTTCAGCTTCACAACCAGGTCACCCCTGTCCTCGGAGCCGTCTTCGGTGAGTGTGATGCGCAAAGGTAGCTTGGAGTTGTTGATAACATCCTTTGTCGTGATTTCGAATCTGTGGATTACATCGTGGCCGACGGCAAGCCCACTAATTTCGACTTTACCGCCGACCTTACTGATCCGAATGATGGAGGTCATGGAGGACTGCTTGTGAGCGTAGACAAAGCGGAGAGAACCATACCCGGCGTTCCATGATGCTGGTAGACGCGGGGCGAGGCTTTGGACTTCTTCTTCTGAGGTGGGCGTTAGCTGAAGTTTTGGGGCACGGTCGACAGAGACGAGAAACACACCTATCCGCTTTTCTTCGTCAAAGCCCAAGAGACGGAACTTGAGGGACGCCATACAGGCATGGGTAAGCAGGGCGGGAAGCTCATAGCCACTACTAATGTCGGAGGTGGTGTCGCCCTTGGGGTGGGAAGGCAGCGCCTCCGCCATTTGTTGCAGTATCAACTGCGAGGTGAGTGGGTTCGCCATGGCAGGGTTGTGCTGATGAGGGGTGGATTCGTGAGTTTTACGTTTGAGTGTCTGCAGAGGGAAAGATTCGAAATGCACTCTGCGAGAAGTTTCGGAGCTTAAGTAGACCGTGAATGAGGCTTAGACAGTGTTGGGCTTCGTCCTCTGCTGTTGGTTGGGTTGGGCTTTCCAGATGGAAGTGATTGACAGTTGTTGGAAGGGGCCCGCGGAGAAATGGGGAGCTACCCAAGCTTTGGGTCGCAGCTTGGGGTTCGCATAGTGGCGTCAGAGACTCGCTGCCTTCAGCCCTAAATGTGGATAAGCCCCGCACACTTGTGGCCAATTGCTGGCTGCCTCCTTGCTGCCTGAATAAGCCGTCCAGAGTCACGTGGTAAAACCAAAGCATGTGACATGGCGTGGAGGTCGCATCTTGTCCCGTCGCGCTCCGTCCCTCACTTCCGCGACTCTTGTCTTCCCCTGCACCCTCAGGTACTGATTAGCAGAGCTCCATATCCACGAATCCGAGCTCTTGAATCGTAAATTCATCGAAACCTTGCTTGTTCAGCGAATGGACTTGATTCAGCTAGAGCGGCTCATCAAAAACCATGTCCTCTAGTTCTAAGCCACCAGACTCGGCTTCCGCACCGCCAGTGGCCATCCCGCGCCCGCAAGCAAACACCATCTTGACTTCGTTTACAACATTTCTCACGCTCACAATCCACACGATACTGTATTACAGGCGTCTCTATCCGCAGCAAACTTTTCTTATGACCAAAGCCCACAACCTCCCAGTACCCCAATCCCGACATCCAGCGCTGTGTGAATGGATCACCTCAGCCCTCGCTGCGATACAGGATCAGCTTGCACTTGGCACCGCCTCGAAAGTCTGTGTTGTCATTCATGCCGCAGAGACGATGGCGGTCGTTGAGAGATGGGTCTTTGACGTCACAAACTTCCCAGTCTGGGCTACGGGCAAGGGCAAGGAGAGGCTTGGTCAGGGGCAGAGGTTTCAGCGACGGGAGGAAGACGACGATGATGGCTCGGTGAACTGGGTTGATGTGAATGAAGCGTACAGAGGAGCTCTCAGACGTCTGGCTTATGCTGCCGAGATGAAGGGTTCATTGCCAGAGGGATGCACCTTCACAATGGCCGTTGAGCTGAGAGACGAGGCGCCGGCGCCGATAGGGGTACGCATCATGTCCTTCGTCGAGTGTTACTTTTGATATTTATTGATGTTCGACATAGCATCCACAGCCTTGGATTCCTTCCGAGCCCTCACTCCAGCCCGCATCAAAACTAAACCCGGTGCCAGGCGCAAACATCGGAGGTGTCTCTACCACACCGCTGCGCTCCGTCGAAGCTGGACCCCTGTTCTTTGAGTGTTGGATCGAGGAAGGCAGATCTCCATCATCAACCCCGTCCACTCAAGATTCTTACTTTTCATGAAGTTGTCATCACCTCGTTATGGCCCAATGCCTTGATTTTTGAAACTCACCATCGACAAAGTAACGGTGGAATTGAGGTGTCAAGGATACCATCCCCTTTCCAAAGACCACGAGCCATCACAACAAGGCTCTATGCAGTCGTCAACCGGCAGATTATGGTCTATAAAATATTTGTTACCGTGAAAGCCCCTCAAAAATGTCAGCTACTCAGACTCGTCGAACCCCGCGGGAGGAGTAAATTTTGGGCAGCTGCGATCTGTCTGGGTGTTGAGGTTTTGGCCCGAGATACGTCGTCCCCTTTCGGAATTCATCTAGGTGCCTTACCTTAGACAGGTGTAGGACGAGGATAACTTTTGAGTCCGGAATAAGAGCGAAGTCCTTCTTCCGGATGCAAGAGCATGCAGGCTAAACAGTTGTCTTGTTGCGTGTCGGGCTTTCGCCGACAGCGAACATGCATGAAGCCGAAAGGAGTAATGCGTCGCGGTTCCACTGCGATAAAGAAAAGACTTGCTCAAAAATCACAGAACCCGGCAACGAGGTATGTGTGGAGAATTACTGGTGCTTATTTGGCTGTCGTTCGCGTTAGGCGCATCACGTCTTCTTCCTGGTCAATGTCGCAACATTGCCGGCAGCGTACCTCTGCATCCCGACAAAATCTAGCCGGCGCTAGTTTGAGCGGCGGACAGTCTCCGACTGAGAATGACCCGACCCGGTTTTCGTTTGAGGTCTGGCTTGTATAATACTTGGGTAGTAAAATCAGCCTGCGTAGGATGCAACGTGAATCGCGGTCAACCCCCTCACTCCGACGTCGTCGGAATGCTCCACCAGCACACATCACCACGCGAAGCACGTCTTTGTCTCCTACTTTGATACCATCATGCAGGATTCGCGGATTGTTTTCGCAGCCATTTCTTGTTGGTTCATAAAAGGACACCCTCAGCAAGTCATCGAGGTTCACCCTCGACGCCATGTGGAATTCGCATGCGTAGACCCTCATTCAAACAGACTTCGAGCTGCGAAAACGTAAATCTGTACTGCGATAAAATGGGAGTTCCAGAGCAAAGTCTCAAACCGGTTGTGGCTGAAGTGCCTCCGGTCCAACAAACAGGCAATGACTCCGGATCTGAAGGTGCTATTACCCCGGTCGCGAGCAATCCAAAGGACGACATTGATCCCAAGGAGGAGAGAGCTTTTGTAGGTTCCCAAGATGTTTCCTGTCACCCAAGTGATACTGAACCATTGTACAGCTTTGGCGCCTGGACTTGTTCTTCTTGACAATCGGTTTCTTGGGCTACATGTTTAAGTGAGTATGGCCCAATCTTCTGGCTAGGCTATCGAAAGCTGAAAGCTAATACTCCATCGCAGATACATTGACCAGACAAATATTGTATGAATTGTCCTTTTGGCTAGTATGCCAACTACCAGTACTGACAATGCCTCTCCTAGAGCAATGCGTACGTTTCAGGGATGAAGGAGGACCTTCATCTTGTCGGAAACGAGCTTAACTACTTTACGACATTCTTCAAGTAAGCAAGGTTGTTCCAGTCCAGCAGCTTTGTGACGTCCTAACAGTATTTTGCTTTGCAGCATCGGGTACATGATTATGCTGTACCCATCGTGTATCATCATCTCCCACTTTGGCCCCTCGAGGTGGCTGCCGGCATGCGAAGTCAGTTCTCCCAGGCAGCGTCTCTATTAAAGACCTACTAATTTCTCGAATAGCTCATCTGGGGTGTTCTCACCTGCTGCCTTTCACTTGTCACCAGCGCGAAGCAGGTAAGCCTTCACCAAACCCGCAAACCGCAATCAGAGAGCAGTGCTTACTTCGGACTAGGTCTACGGCCTACGCTTCCTCATTGGTTTCTTTGAGGGCACCGCTTGGCCTGGCTACTTCACTCTCATCAGCCAGTGGTACATGCCTCATGAGGTAGCTCTCCGTATGAGTCTTTACAACATTGCTCAACCGGCCGGGGCAATGCTGTCTGGTGCGATGCAAGGGGCGCTTTCAACCAACTTTGAGGGTCTCCATGGACGTTCTGGCTGGCGCTGGGCGTTCATTATCAACGTAAGCCACTGCTGAGACCTCGCGTCTGATAGTCGGCTCAACTAACCTGTGCTTCTTCCAGGGTGTTTGCACCATAGCAGTAGCTCTCGCTGCCTTTTTCATTCTCCCCGGCTATGTGAGTCTACGTGCTCTTCTAATTGTCTCTCCTAGAGATACAATATGCGTGGATACTGATCGGTATAAAAGCCCGAACGTCCGAATCCCCTCGCAAAGTTCTACTTGAAGCCGAAGCATATCGAGATAGCCCTAGCCCGTGCTCGTAGGGTGGGCCGAAAGCCTCAAATTGGCATCACGATCAAGTCGTTCTTGCGATGCTTCAGCTTTTGGCAACTGTGGGCATTTGCTAGTGAGTGGCGACCCTCTCCTGAGAGTCTTGAGCATACATATTGACACGACGTGCCGTAGTCGCGTGGCCCATTGGCGGTAACTCTACGCCAGCAAATTACTTCAACCTGTGGCTCAAGTCTTTGAAGAACGCAGATGGATCAGTCAAATAGTAGGTACAACCATTGTGAATCGAGATAGTCAGGCGTGCTGACCATTGCTTCAGCTCCGTAGCCATGCTCAACTATTTGCCGATCATTGGACAGGCAGTCCAGCTCGTGGCAGAGCTACTATTCAGTGGCCTGAGTGACTACTTTGGTGTTCGACTGCCATTCTTACTTCTTCACTCGGTAGGAGCGTCTTGAATCTGCAAAACCCCGTTTCATTTAGCTGATGTCATGCAGGTCATCAACATCATTTCGCAGGTCATTCTCATCGTGCGACCCAGCAACCAACAAACCTACATGGCTGGTTGGTACATGAACTACGTCGGAGCGTAAGTGAACAAGGATCAAAGCTTTTTGAAAAGGCATCTAACTCTTCCAGCGTCTCCACGATGCTACTGTGCTCTTGGGCGTCAGCGCACCTCCAAGGCGAGCCCGAGGTGCGCACCGTCCTATTCGCCAGCGGGACTGTTCTCGCTTATATCATGAGCGCCTTCATTCCCATTGCCGCGTTCCCGGCATCTGAGGCCCCGCATTGGCGCATCGGTGCCAAGTTGTACCTCGCCTTTGCCTTGGTTTCCACTGCGATTTTCGTTGGAATCCACTTTGCTTTCAAGTGGGAGGAGAAGAAGAAGGCGAAGCAAGCAGTCAAGGAGGACCCGACAGGTGAGCCGGACAACGCGAATTCGGGTGTCAAGTCTGTGACGTACGGAGGACCCGACAGCGCCATTGCTGGCAAAGAGTCACTAGGAAAGTTTCAAGACAAACCCTGATAGATGATGGATACACACATCAACCAGGGACGGCATGTATCTTGTGATGGAGAGCGTCTGATGATATCTCCGTTCTGGAGTCCTCAAATAGTATGATACTGATGGATAGAAGTGAGATCCATGCCTTTCTACAGAAAACACTTCCATAGGAGAACCGTAATCTTAGACACCAACAAACCCAGCCCATTCAGCGGCAACATGCCACTGAGATTCTATATGTGAGAACCTCTCTGATATCACTGATAAAAGTCGTGGTCTGCGATTCTTTGTTAGAAAGCATTCTATTATAAGGATGTCTGAATGCAATAGAGTGCTGGTGTCTTTGACAATTGACTTCCAAGGTTCTATCTGAGCTTTCACGCGTACCCACACAAAGCGATGCATTACATATCTATCACTGCTATTCAGATATATTCATCTACTACCCTCAGAAAGACACCCTGGCTCTTAGGACCTGCCTTGCTTGCTTTGTCTTGGTCCATGACCTTGTAGAAGTCTGTTGAGCTCTCAATGCAAGGTACATTGGCACTGACTGAGATGGCAATGTGAGGGCCAATGTTCTTTGTTTTGCTCAATGTATGGTGCGTCTCACTTTCCTGACCCTTTTCTAATTGTTGGGCTGCAAATTGAGTCTGAAACTTGTCGCAGGGCGCGGATTATTGTATGAGCTTCCGGCATTTCCGTCTATTCTTTCTCGATCTAGCTTTCATAAATAAAGCAGACCTGAGAAGTGCGGAGTAAGGAATGGAAAGATTTGGAGGGGACAAAGGCATATCAAGATAGAAATTGTGGCTTTATAATGGAGAGCTCAGGCGTGAACTCATATTGCCGACTCAATAGCTTGAATATCTGTCCTCGAATCGATATCCTTACTATATTCCCTTCGATTCTTTCTTTAACAATCTGAGAAGCTCAATATCGCAATATTTTACATTCTCAGCTTGTTGCCATGCAAAGTCGACTCTCCCGACCATCAATACCATGTCGGGTGTCAGTGCTTTCTCTGTTAAGGCGGCCACTCATACGACATGTGGGATGCCAGTACTTTCATATTAAGATGGTGAGAGTGAGTAGCGCTTTCTCCAAGGACACAGGACATGATTTCTCTCCACGAAATTGGACGCAAAGGGCACGGAACGTATCGTCTGTAAGTTGACATACCTACGGATGCCTTATAATCTGTGAAGATTTCTGACCATTTATACTAGTCATGTGCACTCAACCCTCATAAACCACCTGAATACTTGAGGATACTCGATAACCTTCTGTATGGCATTCAAGTACCCTCCAGATTTCAAAATCTCAAGGAATCTCAAAAATGCGACGTTCTCGTCAGAGACGCAGGAGGCCCTGGCCGCCTTCGGTCCAGGATACTAGAAGCCATCAACCCCGAATTCCTTGCCCTGCTGCAGGGAAAAGGGCTCAATCTAGCATCTTTGCTTCAAATGAGAAGGTACGAATATTCGACTGACGGTTCCTGTCCTCGGGCAGTGTATCTTCATGTTATCTGTAGCAAGAGCAGCACCGCTGGTCTGTATGCTGGCCAATCACAGCTACTTGAAAGACGCATCAAAGAGCACACACGAGAGTGGTGGAACTTCCGACAGAGACTGAAAGCTGAGCGAAATCTGGTAGAGCATGAAAAGCTACCCTCAAGTCACGTCATGTTTTGGGTTTTGAGGGGAACACATGATGTCTGGCTGAAATTTGCACAGCTACCAAAGCAACCCACCACCGAGTCTGAGAGAGATCGAGAGCAATTCCTCTTGACTATTGTCGAAGAGTACGCCGCCCTCGTTTTTCGTACCTTGCCACCGGACGAGCTAGCTAAAAGGCTGCCCCCAGAGTTTGAAGTTCAACCCTATGCTTGGGCTGGACTCAATGTCTGCGACCCCTTGGACCAGCTGATAAACGGTCCTAGGTCATGCAAAAAGGGCTCCAAGAATAGCAAAATGGGTAGACTTGGACTACGAATGCATGAAGAGTTCTGGAGGCACGCAGATATCTCGAAAGGTGATTTCCAGACCGTTCTCACAGTCTGCGGGGAATGTAAGGATTCCTCGACTGGTCGAATAGACAAGGAGCCCCTCTTTGAAGTACCGTCAGGTATTTATCTAGCCATGTCGAAAAATTGCGACAAATGTGGTCGAAGGCGCAGTCATGTGCCAAAGGACCAGTCCCACCCCTGGAAGACGTTCGATTCCGCCAAGAAGGCTTATCTTAGATCAAAAGGTCAACTTCCCGCCGACGTGGTCGATTTCACAATCATGACCTCCTACGAACTTGCACTGTGGATACAGTCACATGGACACCGAGCCGCGCCCTCGGCGAAAAAGTGCAACCTTTTGGCGCGTGCAGAAGACATACGGAAGGGTCTGTTGGGCAATCCAAATTTCCGCCCAACAACCGCATTGGCCGAAAAGCCGACAGTGAGCTCTGGAGAATTCGGGAAGAAGGTGATTTTCTCGGAGCGCGATAACAGAATCGTGTTGCCACAATGGATGTTCAAAGGTTCATCTTGGCGGCAGTGAGATAATTATGAGACGTGGCACGAGTTAGGCGGTGTATATAGACTCCCCCGCCTTGTCATATTCTCTGGAGAAGACCTGGAAAGTAGAAAAACTTTGAGATGACAATCGTTACGTGCTGATTCGTGAAATTAGCTCTCGGAAAAGCCACACGGAACAGCTTGTCGAAGGTCGTCCTCGTGAGGCCTTGTGCTAGGCAAACCCCTCCAAGTTTCTCGTTGTAAAAGCCTTGTTAAGTGGATGACCCTAATGAATGTTCTTTCTCGAACTAATGTCACCCGGGAACGGTCGATATAGCTGAAAAAGGTCTGCGATGTATTGCCGGGTGGCTCTTGACAGAACCAGACTCATCGACAGACATGGCAAAGGTTTTGGAAGAAAATGGCAGACGAAGGCTAGAGTAGACAGATGACTTGGGGGCGTCCAGATAGAAAGGCATAGAAAAGACATCATTGACCAGAGATCTGGGGTTGAATTTGAGGAGAAGAGGTGGTTTTGACAGCATGAAACCGATGGACCAATCTGGTACAAGTAAATGCTTCCATAACCAATTTATGTCTGTATTATGATTCTGAATGTTCCATAGATTAAACATTCATCGGTCTTTTTCGAAGCAACACATATCCTGAGTAATTAATCGGCAAAGATGCACAACTAAGATTTCAATTCCTCCGAGTTGCCTTTTCCAAGTAAGTTATCAAAGATGTGCTCTACTTTGCGTCGTCCTTGTGCCGCGATCGAGGGGAGAAGTAGTCAATCTCGCTCCCAGGAATAACCTCAATGATCCTCGAATGATCTCGGCCCCCACTCTCAAAGTACTCCCTGATGTCATACTGCCGAGTAGGTCTGCCGCGGAACTGCTCCCATCGATTGCTGCCCGTCTGTGGCTGATGGTCAGGACGATGCTCACGCTTCCCAACGGTAGCGGCATCGCTCTTTGGGTGACTGTGTCTATGCTCGCTAGTTACCGGACTTCTGCGCCTCGACACGTCCATACCTCGTCTCGTTGTCTCGTTGTCCCTATCGCTGCTCGTGGTGGAGGAAGAAGAACTAGGGCTCCTCTCGCCGTGTTTCTTGTATCGATCGTAGTGTGGCTTCCTGACGGTGACGGGACTCCTCCTGACTGGAGCCGGACTTCGTTTCATTGGGATCGGACTCCGCCTGACAGGTCCAGGCCCCAGGCTCATACGCCTCCTGGCCCCTCCACCGCCACCTCCGCCGGGAGGCCGTCGTGGTGGCCGGACGTCAACGATTTGTGAGGGTCCATCGCCCTGGAAGATCTGTTTGACCATCATCCGTGTATAAGTCACCTCCCTCTCCGTCCGCCGAGCCATGATTCGCATGACCTCGTCCCCCAGCTTCTTCACGTCATCCTTGATCTGCCACCAGATAAATCGGTGCGCAAAGTCGCATTTGTAAATCGCACTCCAGTCCGCAAAACTACCCTGTTCTCCGTGCTTCTCGAAATCAGCCCGGACTTTCTCATCGAGATCCGCCTCGCCCCATGACGCCCCATTGTGAATGGCCTCGGCGCGGTACCCGCTCGCAATGAGGAACGGCCGCTCGAGCTCTTTGAAAGTGCGCCAGAGGTCGCAAAGCGTGAGGTAGTGGAGCGGCAGCGTCTGCTCTGCGTACGAGAGTGCCGTGCGGGCTTCGTGGCTGCCGTGCCTGTCGCTCAGGTTGTGGATGCGTTGGTGCAGCTTCGTCTTTGTGCGGATTTCTCTCGACTGGTGTCGTAGGGCCTGTCGCTCTTCGCACAATTGTTGTCTAAGGTTTCCTAGCGAATCTCGTATCTCGTTGGGAGCCGATTTAATTGTGGCGACGAAACTACCGTAAAGGGCTATCAAATTGAGAGTTGTGAGGGCGAAGGAGAGGATGCCCGTGACGAAGGAGACCCAGTTCAGCGAATTTGGGACTTCGGCCGCCATCTGGGGCTATCGATGACTTCCACGTACAATCATAACGATTTCCAGTCTCATTTTCGAAAGCCGCGACGAAAAGGTTATGCTCGCGTCTTAAGGCAGATGAGCATGAATGAAGCTGGGTTGCGTGTAAGTCTTCATGTGGTTGCTAGTGTCTCTCATCAGCGCTACTTTGATGTTAGCCTGAAGCAGCTTAGATAGCAGCATAGCGTTGCCAGTTGTCAAGGATCGTGAGCTATCCGTCAACTAAAACTCAGAATTGCGCCAATTGATTCGTTTGTAGGGCTCAAACTTTGAGAAGTAGCCCGCATGAACAGCGTCCCTCCCATAAGGCCGGCGTGTTGTGTGCAGTCGCTCTTACCCAACCTCGCCACAGCAGACGAGTGCAATACTTTCGACAACAAAGCAAGGGTTCACCTCTCATGATGTCACAAGCCAATGCAACGGCTGATATGGGTTAAACTTGTGGTCTACAGCCAATGCGACTAATGTACAGCCTTAGGCACCACCCTCTAGAGTACCCTGCTGTAGAGTAGCAACTAGAGAAATCCTTCGGACTACGAATGGGACAGCTGATCTTGTAGTGCCGAGTTTGCCTTGAGACATTCTGGAGGAGTTCAATTTGCAGTATGCTTCGTTGATTGTGAGATGAAGGCAATGCAATGGCTGTCCTCTCCCGGTGATGATGGTCAGGAAGGGGGACACTGATAGTTTGAGGCTGCGGTCCTCCATCGAGGTCGCCATAGGGGGTCACTATCACCCCTGCCAAATGACAGTTGCATAAAGGTAGTAAAGACTTGGTGGATGTCTCGTATCAAAAGATACAAGGGCGGACATTTTATGAATGAGCAACTCATGTATCTCTGGGGAAAGGAGTCGCCAACAGAGGAAGTTGCCAGACGGAGAGCTCGTCCCCCACCTCGGACATGGGTGAGCTCCATGACTCTTATCGATAAGCCCTGACGTCCATCCCGCCGTGGGGTAGACTCACCGGCGCAACCAAAAATTTCCCGACGTCAAACTGCTGCTACCTCCAAGCCTCGGGCGACAAGAGTCACGAATTCCCTTCTCCCGCGAACGCGAGGTCGTCCCAATCGCAACACCGCAAGCATGACAGCCCCAACAGCAGCAATGGAGCCCGAAGAGTCCTTCGACCCGGATCCCGTCGTCGCCTCCTACGACGTCTTCTTCAACCCCTCCCTGCCGCAGGGCCGCAAGCTCTGGGTCCTCCAGCAACCCAACCGTACCGACCCGCGCACGACCGCCCCGACCGAGATGCGCCTCAAGGGCCGCTCCGGCATGGTCGAGGTCGACGTGCCCCTCGACTACACCCAGTCCTACGACAAGGAAAAAGGAATGAAGTGGGGTCGCCAGCTCAAGGCCAGCCTCGAGGCAAAGAACGGCGGCACCCACGGCCTGTCTGGCGGTTTCGGCGTCGGTGCCCCGCCTCCCAGGCCCAAGAGGCGCGGCGAGGTCGATCTGGAGGACGATTTGTATCTCGAATGGCCCGAGGCGGTGCGCCAGGACAAGGTTCTCCGGACGCAGACGCTCGGCGGGCAATGTCCCGACCATAAGGAGGTCCAGTACATGATTGGCGTCTTCCAAGGAAGTGAGTCTCGCTTCCCCCCATTTCTCTTCTAGCCCTCGTCGTTTTCCAGTCTACTGACCACAATTGCTCTTCAGAGGACCTCCACCTCACCCCCGTCACAAACCTCGTCCACCTTCGCCCCCAACTCCACCACGTCGACGCGGTAGCCCAACAAGAACGCAACGCCTCCGCCGCAGCGGCCAAGGAATCCGCAGCGGCAGCGGGCGGTCCAGGAGCGGGCGGCGCGGCGCCCAACTCGGCCGCGGCGCGCGCGATCCACATGACCATCAAGACGACGCCTGACGGCGCCACGGCAAAGAGTGAGACCATGGCCGACCGCCTCCGGTCCGTCCAGATGGAGAATTGGCGCAAGCTCAAGTACACGGACGAGGACAACGAGGCGGCGTGGGAGATTTACCAGGAGAGTCTTATTATGCGCGCTCCGGGAGAGAAGCCGGCGCCGATCAATGAGGAGGATGAGGAGAAGAAGAAGAAGGCTGCCATTGATGGGGCCGAGGAGGCTACTCAGACGAAGCCAGTGGTGGATTTGGCTGAAAAGGTTGCGAGGTTGGAGACTAAATGGGGTGATGACGAACTGTTGGAGGCTGTTAGTGGTATCAAGAAACCCAAGGTTCTGACAAAGGCGGAGCTGGAAGCCGAGGCGGCGGCGGCCGCTGCTGCTCAGGAGCAGGCGCGCAAGATGAAGCCCAAGGCTCGGGGTGCCGTGGGGCCGCGGCGTGGTGGCAAAGCAAGAGCTGCGCCTGCGCAAGCATCCTCAAGCATGGATCTCACATAATGGGCAGTCTCGTCAACACAGGGTCTTTTTGCATAGCTTAGGCGTTACGGTGTTGTAGACAAGGGGTTACTCAAAGATGACCAGACTTTTTGCTTAAACTTTAAATGCAGATTTTCTTTTTGCTCTAACTGGCAAGACTGGCGGTAACGCACCCCTGATACTACTATGGCGGCGTCATCTCATAGAGTCGTGTGTGTGATGTACACAAGATATGTTTGTGCACATTGCCGTGGGATAAGCCATCTTCGCATGTTGAGGTCTCCATCAAGCTGCAGTCCCAGTACTACAGCTCAGCAGCGACCCCAAAGCCCTCAAAAAATCACGGGCCATGCGTCGTAAGACCGTTATATCTCAAGCATCCCAACGCAAGTCTTCAGTCAATTGTAGTGCGTCTCAAGCTGCGAGTGGCGTAACAAACGCCACGATCGCACCTTCTCTCCCACTAACATATCCCCTTACTGAAGCAATTCGACATCCAAACCAATGGAGTGCATGAAGAGGTTGACAGTGGCCAACCGAGTAGTTGCCATGGCGCCCGGAAGCGTCTTTGCGTGCGCGACGGTATCGAGGACGCGATCCTTGACAGCAAGGACCAGGCGTTGCTGCTGTTCAGGGTTGGCACTGACACCAACCGCAGCGAGGAGCTGCCAGACCACGACGTCTTCTCCGGTGTTGACGCTACCGGGGAAGATGTGGTGGAGTGTTGGCTCGAGCTTGTTGAAGAACATGTTGAAGGTTTGCTCCCTGCCAGATTGTTAGCACGTGTGTTTGTGTCAATGGGATGTTTGTCGACCAACCATTCAGCCCACAGCTGGGGACTACCTCCGCCGCCTTGCTTCAGAAGTTCGGCTCGACTTAGAATGAGAGTCAACATTGAGCAGCCCACGCGAGTCTTGGCAATGAGATCGATGTTCAACTTGGTGCTAATAAGACCAAGCACGCCCGTCACAATGTCCAATTCCGTCTCGTTGAAGTAAGCAAACAGACTCGGCATGACGGCAGCCGAGAAAAGTTCAATGCTCTCACGCATGGCAGCGTTGAGACTGACCTCACCGTCGGTAGTCTGAGCTCCGTAAACCACATCAAGTTGGTCCAGATGGATAATGATCATGGTCAGAATCGTGGTGCGCTGCTCGAAGCTGATGTGGCGGAACACACGGGGAATGGCCTTCTTGCCCTTGGGGAAGGATAGGAACGCAATGAAGGGGTGGAGGGTGGTGGCGCCAATGGGTTCGTGGACCTTCAGATCGTTCCAGAGCTGGGCATTGTACGCCTGAGCCGTCTCCAACCATTCCTGGTGCTTAGCATGGAACTCTTCGTCGTTTCCGTTGGTAGGCGGCGGAGGAATGAAGCGCGCGTGGTCTTCCATTTTCATAATGGTATTATAGACCTTTTCAATATTTCGCAAGATGGCCTTGCGATCCAGGCTGTTTGACTCGCCGTGACGCTTGCCGTTGCCAGGACGGTTGGCATCTCCGCTGCTGTCAGTTCGCTTGATGTTCAGGAGGGGCTTGGGCGTCTTGGCGTTGCTAAAGGAGATCTTTCCGAGACTTCCAGCGATGACCAGCTGAGGATTCTTGGGCTTGTTCTTGGCAGCCTCAACAGCACGTTGAACTTGCTGCTCCATTCGCTGAACATGGTTCTCCGCTGCCCGTCCTTGTCTCCTCATGTTGCCCTGTCGACTTCCCGTCTGGAACAGGTAAGTTTGAGCGAAGTTGTTCAACGGTTGGTTAGGGTTCTGGCGTTGGCCGCCACGGATCTGGCTCAGCACCTGGTAGTAGAAATCCTCAGTCAAAGAATCGTCGTTGGTGTTGTCAATGGGGTTTCCAGTGGCCGAAACCAGTTGCTGCAACTGAATACGGGTTACGAAGTTCTTGTCCTGAGGTGTCATGAGGCCATTATCCTTGGACAAAAGCCAAATCTTGTGATTGCGCTTAGCACGTTTGGTTTCTTGGTCAAGGTAGGCGGCCTTTTCGTCCTCCGAAAGGTGTGCGAGATGCTGCTGCTGTTGCTGATTGGCGGATGGGACCCGTCCCAAAGAACCTTGTGATCGATGTCCCTGGTGTCCATGGGCTTGATGATGAGCTTGAGGGCCATGAGGGCCATGAGCGCCGATCCGGGCGGCATCGCCTGAGAGCCTGTTCGGGTTCTGGAGAATCTGAGTCGGCTGCGAAGGCGGGGCTTGGGAGTGAGGAGGCTGAGCGAGCGGGCTGGGAGTGCCTTGGACGGGAGGGGTCGGCTTGGAGGCGATGGACTGAGGTCTCTGCAGAATCTGTACGGGATGTCCGTGGCCAGGATGCTGCTGAGGCTGACCACCACGCTGTTGATGTTCAGCACCCTGGAAGGATTGCTGTTGGGCAACTTCGGGTCGGCCATAACCGTACTCAGGCGTTGGGTAGCCCTGAGCAGTCGGCGCAGATTCCGAAAAAGTGGGTTGAGGCGTTCGCTGGGTCGCCTGCTCTCGCATTGCCTTCTCGACCTCTTCCAGACTCATGACCTTCCTGCTAGCGGATGGGACAGCCTGCGGCTTCGGGGAAGGCTCCGGAACAATGGTCTTCTTGGAAGGCATGCCCCACAGCGACGCGTCGACGTGCAGGTCGGGAATTGGTTCCGCATCCTTATACTTCTCATAGCCCGTGCGAACAGGTCTGGGGGCCTGCTGGGTTGGGGGATAGTAGTATTGCTGCGGAGGTTGGGCCTGCTGATAATGCTGCTGGACGGGTACAGGAGCGGGAGCAGGCTTGGCGGTTGGAACCTGACGGCTGTAGCGGACCTGCTCCTCTTCGATGGCATCAGATACCTTTGCCGTTTGGCCAAAGAAGTCGAAGTCCTTGCCGACAGGAGCAGCCGAGATGGTAGATGGGCCACCGCCTCCAAAGGTGTCGTCGTTGAAAGCATCGCCGCTCTCCTCGAGTTGATCTCCTAGTCCATCGTACGTATCGTCGAACTCGACAGCATCGTCGTCCTCGGCATCGCCACGAGAAAGGCCGGCGAAAGGATCGTGGGTTTGAGAGAAGCCCGGCGCCGCCGTGTTATGGCCAGGGCGCGTCGGGTCGAAACCGAAAAATGACATGTTGAACAACTAGTCCGTCTTCGTTTTTAGTAAGAGAAATAGCTGTATACTAGGTCGTCGTCAGCATCGGAGTTGGGTTTCTGACGTGAGGTGAGGCAAATAGATGCTGCTGAAGAGATACAGGGTATGAGAGGAGGGTGAGGTAAGGAGGAAGAAGGCCAAAGACCACAATGGACCTGAAAAGCTCAAGAAGGGGAAAGAACTAGTGGTCCCTCCCGCTTCTTAGGTTCATTGCAGTCAAAGTGTTGTGGCAAGGAAGCTCCCCTCGTCCTCTCCCGCCTTCATAGTGGCCGCTGCTTCCCATGTGACGGCAACAGGAGAAGAGAGGACGTGACAAGTAGCTCTCAAAGCCTCCAAAACGACACCGATATGATCAGGAAAGTTGTGCGACTTACCACTAAGAGAATGAGAGATCTGTGGATTTAGGTGTAGCAGCTCCCAGAACTATCATGATGTCGTCAAAGACAAATTGCAAAACTGAGAGCAAAGCGACAAGGCATATACAGATGGCTGTGGCCGGGTCTGCTCAGTAAATCGACATCCAGAGACAACAGATTCACCAAAGCACAAGGTTGAACACAATGCGCCAGGTGGGATTTGAAGCGTGAAAGGAAACAAAAAGAGTCGCGTCGCTGGGGTTGGGATGCGATGGCCAAAAGTGGTGATGCACCATTCGCATCCGTGGGGAGGAATTGAGGCTCGAGAGCCTTGGGACCCCACTACAAGGCTTACTCCGAACCAATGAGCAAGCTCATCCAAGTGAGCTTCGAGGACTACGGTCACGTGGAAGGTTAGTCATACGCCGGCTGCTTGGGACGGCCTGGGGATAGCCCCTCTCGTCATCGTGGCCTGTAATTATTTGTCCGCCGAATATGGATAGAGGGGTCCTAGCCAGGGATCTCCATTGGCAACACCCATCATCAACTGCACCCTGCTTGCCACCTGTCTAAGCTTTTTATGCTATTGCTGCATTTACCACAAACATTTCCATCATGTCTTTGGGAACGTTCGAGCTTATGTAGTAGAGGTTATGAAGATCCTGGTTAACTTATTGTTGGCCACTGTCAAAATTTCTCAGGACCTAAGCTGGAGACTGAGAGAAGCTCTACCCCTTGATTTATTACTTCATTTTCGCAGCAATGAGCTCCACGACGTTGAGCCACGGCGTTGAACATGTCAGCTTCTGTACTTACTCCCACGGACCGCTGCGCTGTTTACTTGACTCCCTTGGCTTGGCCACAAAGCATCAGCACGTATGTGTCGTGGGTTGCACTCACTTCGCAAGCCCTTTTCTTGGGAGCGGGCTGTCAGTGTTCAGGCTGTCCAAGTAGAGTGTCAAGCTGGCCCGGTAGTCGACCACCTGTTGGAGCGATGTCGGTTGGTATCAGCTGGAACGTAGGGCGCTCACGACACCGGGCAGGAATCTACCGCCCGGCTGGGCTCATTCAGGCGACAGGCCTAAGTATCGAGCACAAGGAAGGGATATTTGGCAGGTTCATCCCGTTTGGTAAACTCGAAGCACTCGACAAGAATAGACGACAGAGCCTGGCGGCTGGCTGTTCTTCGGAATGCTTCATGTACCACACAAGGCAGGCACCTGGTTACCGAATTGACGCTGTGAATATAAGCGCACGACCACCAAAGTGCTCTGTGCCCCTTTACCCCCGTGTGTGGTGTTCTAATCTTTCGTGCTGTCCGCTGTCAACAGTGCATCATGCACCTCACAGGGTGATCGTTGAAGTCGAATCTTTCGAAGGAGACCGGCCAGTCGTATGGGCTGGCTGGTGGACAGATGCTATATGCAAGGGAAAATCCGACCCCGAAGACAGGTTGACATGATATTACTAGGTCATCGGTTGCGGACAAAGAGCTGGTTGCAGTGGTTGAGCTGAGCTCTCGGCAGGATTTTGGGGCAACAGGCGCGGCGATCAATTGCACGGCCCCGGGAAGGCATGGAAGCCACACGAAACTAAACAAGAGCCAATTTGGGTTTATTGAAATGTCTCCCATTCATTCAATGCTGGCTAAGATGCCAAGAGGCAGGTGAGAATTCCATGATCCGAAACTACTAAGAATGAGGCACTTATCTCCTATGCTGCGTGGCTGCTACGGCTGCCAGAAGATTTGCGACTCGTACTGATACAGTCACAGTAGATCTATCGTTGTGTGAAATCGGCAGATGGATGAAACAAAGTACAGCGTATCTGGCTAATATAAACGAGGCCGCTAGATCTGCCAGGGGCAACAGAGATGGATATGTGCACATGTACGGATACATCGCAGAAGAAAGCACAGGGGGGTTGAGGAGCGCTGGACTGCTGGAACGCAGGGCAAAAGGGATGTCAATAATTTTCAGACATGAAAATTATCTGTTCTGGGGGATTAACCATGTGTGCAAGTCAAAGTCCCAGAATCTGCCATTCGTCTCTTCGAGTCTCAAGTGACAGGGTGTCTACTGAAATGAGGTTCCCGCTTCTCAAGGGAAGCTCAAGTTCACTTCAGCGAGCAGGCCTATCTACGGTACCTACCTGAGTCCCAGGGCTGACGGGAGGTAGCCCGCTGCAACGGATTCTCACAGTGGCCACGTTCCCTGTCCCCGATCAATGGAGACACCCGACGATGCCCAAGAGTTGGGACCGGGTCCGCGGCAGCCCTGTGCGGCGAAGACAGGTACGGATAGGTACACGGTACGGATACTTGGAGGATATCCGTACTTTAGTACCTAGTCAAAAACATGTCATGCTCAGAATGCATCAAGTCTCGTGTACATCATCAGTTACCTGTCAGTCGGCAGCCAGCCCGGGTTCAGCAGTCTCTTTAAGCTGTACCTAGGCACAAGCAGCCATATGTTCTTCTGCGAGTTGCTTTTGAGAAGTGTTCGAATTGATATCTACCTGTCGACTTCCGCACGTAATTACGCTTCCTCCCTTTTTGTTGGAGTTCATGTAGAAAAAATGGGCGAATGCAGCTCTTGAGTTCAGGACCGCTCCATCAATCTTAGTCGCGAGAAGTGGGAGATACCTCGAGCTCGCCGAGTGGAAGTAGATCTCCATATTGTATCGAGTGTGGAGGTACTTTCCTGTGTCTGACTGCTTTTTTGAGTTGCGAACCTCCCGGGTTCAGGCTAGTCGTCGCCCCACCCCCTTTATTCCACCTCACGGTGCGGATACTTCCTGCTAGCGCTCCCTTTTCTCGGAGGTGGACGCACTGCGTACTACGTATGCTGCATTCGTACCCCCAACCCCTGTGAGAGTTCCTTCCGTCGGGTCCCCAAAGCCAGCGGATGCTAGCGCACTCCTGTTGCCGCAGCTCCCTCTGAACATTTTCCTGAAGCCATCCGTCTCTCTCGACTCGTACGAATACGTATCCCTTCCGTGCACCTCTCTTTTTCCCCCTTCTTTCTTTCCTAGTCGCCCTTGTTCACCTCGGGGGGAATAACGGGATTCTCTTATTTTTCCATTTGACTTCAACCATTTGCAACTGACCAGGGCTTCCATCGAGGGCCTGATTACAACGGTCAAGATGGCGACAGGCTCAGCACGTTACGTGCGATACATTCTTTTCGCCTTCTTCGTAAGTTGATCCCCAGCTACCAGTCCGGGTTTGCGCGACCAGAGTCGTCAGCTTGAATCCCTAGACGGCATGATCAATTCCGCATCTCGACGATGTTCCCATGATCCATCCGTTAATGGAGCTCCATGATCTCATGCTTACATCGACGTTCTTGCGCAGGGCCTAGCCGTCTTCTACTTCATTTCCCACTCTAGCTACGAGGGCGTAAGGCTTCAGGATGCCTCTTTCAGCAAGCCCGGCGCCCCAGCCGGCGGTCAGCAGCAGCAGCAAGGCGAGAACAAGGAGGCCGAGAAACCCAAGCAGCCCGCTCAATCCGAAGCAAACCGCCCCAAGGTCGGCGAGGCTTACAACCCCAAGGACTGGCCCATGGCCATATCTCCGAACGAGCCTGGTTGGGATGAGCTCTCTGGCATTGCATCCGGCCCGCGCATGAATGCCACCTTCGTCACCCTCGCCCGCAACTCCGACATCTGGGACATTGCCCGCTCCATCCGTCAGGTTGAGGACCGATTCAATCGCCGCTACAACTACGACTGGGTCTTCCTGAACGATAAACCCTTTGACGCCACTTTCAAGAAGGTCACCACGTCCCTTGTTTCCGGCAAGACTCATTACGGCGAAATTCCAAAGGAGCACTGGTCTTTTCCCGAGCACATTGATCAGGAGAAGGCCCGCAAGGTTCGCGAGGACATGGCCCAGCGCAAAATCATTTATGGCGACTCTGTGAGCTACCGCCACATGTGCCGCTTCGAGTCTGGTTTCTTCTTCCGCCAGCCTGCCATGATGAACTATGACTACTACTGGCGTGTCGAGCCCTCCATTGAGCTCTTCTGCGACATTCACTACGATCCGTTCCGCTTCATGAAGGAGAATAATAAGAAGTACAGCTTCGTCCTGAGCTTGTACGAGTACGTTGAGACCATCCCTACTCTTTGGGACAGCACCAAGAAGTTCATCAAGAACCACCCCGAGCACATTGCCGAGGGCAACTCTATGGGCTTCCTGAGTGACGACGGTGGCGATACCTACAACCACTGCCATTTCGTAAGTTGACCGAAGACAAGACACCGTCCAATAGCTTCTGCTGACCTTTAGTAGTGGTCCAACTTCGAAGTTGGTGACCTCAACTGGCTCCGCTCCAAGGCTTACGTCGACTACTTCGAGTCCCTCGACCAGGATGGTGGTTTCTTCTACGAGCGTTGGGGTGACGCCCCAGTGCATTCCATCGCTGCTAGTCTCATGCTGCCGAAGGACCAAATCCACTTCTTCAACGATATTGCATATTACCACGTCCCCTTCACTCACTGCCCCACTGGCGAGAAGGTTCGTCTCGATAGGCGCTGCCACTGCAACCCCAAGGACAACTTTGACTGGAAGGGCTACTCTTGTAAGTTGGGCTTGTGGACAATCTTATACCAAGCGTCACTGACCATGGACCAGGCACGAGCCGCTACTTCGAGATCAACGGTTTGGACAAGCCCGAGGGTTACGAGAACCAGCAGGATTAGGATCAATCAGGTGCATGATAAAAGAGTGGCATGTAACAACAAATTTCAGAATTGGCCCTGGGTAAGGCCACCAATTGAGTTGACCTGCATGGATGAGAGGCATCGATCAGGCACATGGGTACCAACTGCGGAGTGGCGTAAAAGGTTCTGTAAGACTTGGACACGTTTTTGCTGTGTAGATATTGGCAAATGGAGGTTCCGTCTGGTGTTCGTCTACTTTTAACTTTATGGTCTTCTTTGAACATTGTGAAATCTCTTTTGGTGTTTTGTACATTATAAAAGTACACGTCTTGGTCCGTCGCTATGGTGTCTAATAATCATACACCAGCAAGGCAACATTGGCCTCGCGCCCTTGACCCCTTGACCCCTTTCCAATGGCCGTTGTCTCATCCCCTTTCATCCTCGTCGTCGCAATATCCGACTTAACCAACAGTGGCCTTCTTGGGCTTCATGGTACCATACTTGGACCGGGAAGTAGCACGGTTGGCCACGCCTCCAAGATCGAGGGCGCCACGGACGAGATGATACCGCACACCGGGACAATCCTGACTGCGACCTCCGCGAACGAGAACGACACTGTGCTGCTGAATGTTGTGACCCTCACCGGGGACGTAGGCGGTAACGTGGCGGCCGTTGGACAGACGCACACGAGCGGTCTTGCGCTGGCCGGAATTGGGCTTTTTCGGGCGAGTGATGCCGACCTTGAGGCAGACGCCCTTGAGAGCGGGAGCGTTGATCTCGGACAGGGCAGGGGAGACGGCGTGACGGGCGCGCTTGCCCTTCTTGTGGCAGCCCTATCAACAATCAGTTAGAACTTTGATCATGTTGCATATCCAGAGGGAGGGAGACGAACTCTCAAGACCTGCATGATGGTAGCATTCTGTACTGGCGTCGAGGAGAAGGACCGGATCAGGGGGGCAGTTGGTGTGAGGATGGAGGCGGCGCGAGGGAATACCGCTGGCCTCATCGCCGGGGCGAAGAGGGATCTCAGGAGTGTGCTGGCCATGTCGGGCAACTGATGTCGAAAGGGGTCGGCGTCCAATTGCTGTCGTCACGATCTAAGAGCTACCGTCGCGAAATCGCTTACGTGCAGTCAGGCTTCCGGAGCTGGATTTTTTGCTTAGCTAAGGCAAATCCATTCCCTACCTTATCGCAAAGGACGATTATCGGGGCCTTAGGCCAAACGAGCCTTCCGTCCCCCGGACCCACTCCGACCTATGTACCTACACTCAGACCAAGAACGGCATCGGCTTTCCTCGCACTGGGCGGCTTTGGAGTGCATCACATGCCCGCTGCAAGAATTCTGGTCCTGACGTAAGCGACTTTAGTGTCGAAACCCCTGGCCTGTCTGGTGCTACGCCGTCGGCATTCCCCCAGACTTGGAGCAAAACTGGGGACTCTGGGACAGGTTGCCCCCCCGCTGCGGGATGGATATCCTCGGCTGAAGCGGGCGCTGTGTCTGTTCGCCAGCCGCCAGGTACCGTGGCTTCGAATGGCTTTGAGGTTCACGGCCTAGGGCGCACCGCATCTTTGACTATTTCGTGTGCCTACACCTCTCCTGCACCTGCTCTCCGTCTGCGATAATCTCACCTTCTTATATCACACTTCATTTCGGGAAACCGTTCAACGCCAATTGACCGTTTTCGTCCGGGCGTTTGCTTCTCTGTTAGCTAGCACCGCACGACCGAGGAGACGAACGAACTCCATAAGTAGCCGAGGGCTTCCCACGATCCAAGCTCTTCCCATTTCTTCTCATCTTTTTGTCTCTTGCTCTTCCGAGTTGTCTGAGCGATCTCGAGGCTATATTTCTACTACATCTTATACCATGTCGTCGCTTGCCAGGGCCGTTCGCCCTGCCTTGAGGGGAAGCCGCGGTGTTGCTGCCCTCGCGAGGGTGAGGACTTGCACACCGGGCAGAGCGTTATCACCAATCCAGCAGTAAGTCGTCAACTCGTTCGGTTTCTCGCAAACCCAAACAATGACCCTAAACATTTCTTTATAGGACCGCAAGACCCATTTCCACCACCCAGCGCCGTCGCAATGCCGACCACTTCGACATCGCCGATATCCCTCCCACGCCCATCACCCACCTCTCCGAGGTCGAGGCCGCAATGCAGGAGGCGGTGAGCAAGTTCGCCAACGACGTGATCGCGCCAAAGGTGCGCGAGATGGACGAGGCGGAGAACATGGACCCGGCCATCGTGGAGCAGCTCTTTGAGCAGGGGCTTATGGGCGTCGAGATCCCCGAGGAGTACGGCGGCGCGGGCATGAACTTTACCAGCGCCATCATTGGCATTGAGGAGCTCGCGCGCGTCGACCCCAGCGTCAGCGTCCTCGTCGACGTGCACAACACCCTCGTCAACACGGCCATCATCAAGTGGGGCAGCAGCCAGCTCAAGAAGCGCTTCCTGCCCAAGCTCGCCACCAGCACCGTCGGCAGCTTTTGCCTCAGCGAGCCCGTCAGTGGCTCCGACGCGTTCGCGCTGGCGACCAAGGCGACCAAGACGGAGAGCGGGTACAGGATCAGCGGTTCCAAGATGTGGATCACCAATTCCAAGGAGGCTGACTTCTTCATCGTATTTGCGAACCTCGACCCGTCCAAGGGGTACAAGGGCATCACGGCGTTCATCGTCGAGAAGGACGCCAAGGGGTTCTCCATTGCCAAGAAGGAAAAGAAGCTGGGTATCAAGGCCAGCAGCACGTGCGTTATCAACTTTGACGATGTTGAGATCCCCAAGGAGAACCTCCTCGGCGAGGAGGGCGCGGGTTACAAGTACGCCATCGGTCTGCTGAACGAGGGACGTATCGGTATTGCGGCTCAGATGACCGGTCTCGCCCTCGGTTCCTGGGAGAACGCCGTCAGGTAAGACCCCATTTCTTCTTACTCTGCATTCTACATTGTACTAACACCTCAAAGATACGTCTGGAACGATCGGAAGCAATTTGGCCAGCTCGTCGGCGAGTTCCAGGGCATGCAGCACCAGATCGCGCAGTCGTACACCGAGATCGCCGCGGCCCGCGCGCTGGTTTACAACGCGGCGCGCAAGAAGGAGGCGGGCGAGAATTTCGTCATGGACGCCGCCATGGCCAAGCTGTACGCCAGCCAGGTCGCCGGCCGCGTGAGCGGCCTCGCCATCGAGTGGATGGGCGGTATGGGCTTCGTCCGTGATGGCCCTGCCGAAAAGTTTTGGCGCGACAGCAAGATTGGCGCCATCTACGAGGGCACGAGCAACATTCAGCTCAACACCATTGCCAAGTTGCTGCAGAAGGAGTATACCGCATAACGTTGTGATGGTTGTGCTGTCTCATTCTAGTTCTTTGCTATGTTGGAGGAAGTAGAAAGTTGCAAAGTTTTTCCGGGAGTCGTGTAGGTTAGTAGATGGAGATTGTAGTAAAAGCGACACGATTCGGTGTTGGGGTGTCTTGCCTCGTAGATGATGGTTTGATAGATGCTGGTCGAATCAGCATGTGAAGAATTGGGTTAAAACCCCCTAGGGAGCTGTCTTGCCTAAGTTCTTTGAATATTTGGCATCCCATGGCGTATCTATATCCTTTGTTGAATGGTGACCTCACCCTCATATCTCATAATGTCAACATTGAGCAGCTTGCTTTTGACGGAATTCGCTGTTATTGCTTGACGAGTCAGGAAGTAGCTCACTCGATCTAAATACTGGTCCTCGTAATCCTCTTTTTCATGTTTAAGTATATGCTCTTGTAAACGGAATGTTCCTCGTGTGGAAGCTTTCCAACTGAGAAAAAAGCCGGGATTTAGAAGTTCAGGGGAACAAGGCGATAATCAATGGTTGCGACGAGGACTCTTGATGGCCCTTCCTCAAAACAAGGAGGCTGGTCGCGCCTCAGTCTGGCTACAAAATTCTGCAGCATCTAGCAAGTTCATTGGCACATTTCTACCCATGACGTGGCCGTGGTATCATGATGTAAGTCACCTCGTCATGTAAAAGTGCTCTCTAGGATATCTTGTGACCACTTCTTCAATAGTAATTCTTACTTTGCTCAAGGGTTTACCAACCTCAAACCTTCCCTATAGAGAGCCCCAGACATGACACTGGTATAGTCGAGATGGACATGAACGAAATCACCAGCCTCGCGAAGTAATTGACGTCGACATATTCCATTCATCCCATTTCAGGCGTCCAATGTGCAGGTGCCGCGTTGCCTGCAGGAGCTCGACAAACACGCGCATGCTTCACACGCCCCGTTACAGTAAGGTTCTTTTTTGATTCGACCAACATCAGACCAGTAGACAAATGTCAACTGGAACACACGGACCAACGGAATCTGGTCCCGGGAGGGACAGTGAAAGGCGTTGCGAAATCCCAAGACTATGCGATGGCAGTCCGAGCGATTTGTGATCGACTTCATCACATCTCGATCATCAAAAATAGGGACGATGGAAGCACGTTGGGTTTCTTCTTCCCATGAGAACTCATCGGTTGGGATAGAGATAGGTAAATACACTACATCCCATCGGGAGGTTTCTGGCATGATGCGGACCGGGGCCTGGAAGGAACCACTTTGGACGGCGGCCGCAGAGCGAGGGTGGGTCGAAACGGTTCCGCGACGTCAAGGCCTCGAGTTGGCGGGTTGGAATTACGTGTTCCTCGTCGGATAAATCAGAGTAAGTACATGTATACATTCGTAGCATTAACCTCTCGAGCAAGCATTTGAGAAGGGTCGAACTTGCTCCAATATGCTTGGTCTCTTTCGTCAATGTGCGTATATATGTGTGTGTGTGTGTGTGTGTGTTTGGTTGGAAATGCGCAATGGGCTCTGCGGGCTATTGTTTGCTAGGTTTGTTTCAGATACACGTTACAGCTGACATGAAGAGTCGTGGCAAGGCATTTTCGTTGATCACGATCGCGCAGTTGGGACAAGAAAGACGGGGCGGGAGTTGATGGGAGGCCTTGAGGGAAGGCCTTGAGCGGAGGCCAATGGGCGGTGACCGGATTTCGGGGTTGACGATGGGCTTGCCTCCACATTTTACCCATTTCCTAAATTCCTAAATTCCTAAAAGGCAGGTCAAGCGCTGCAGTTCGTATTCACTAGGATGCGCGCGTTTGAATGTTTATCGGCTCGGAGGGTGTGGGTAGACGGAGTTCGGGGGGGGGGGGAGATGGGTGAGAATTGCCTGTGGAGTCTGGGGGAGTCTTGCGGTGTTAGTGAGGGAAGAGCTGGTGCCGTCGGTGTGGCGCGGTGTGGGCCGGAAAGGCCGGCCGGCAGCTGCTGGGGTGGCGGGGGCTTTTGGTGAGACCTGTCGGCAGAGGTGTCAGCCGGGAGGCTAAGTCGGCCGGCGATACAAGCCCCAATCACGAGGGTGACGGTGATTCAGAGCCCCGTGGCGCTGGCCTTGGCGCGGCGGCCTCCAGGATTGTGGGATCAATCAGACTCGGACGTTCGGGAGGTCAGGGGTGGCAGAATGGGGGTGGGATGGCTGTGTATTGTGTGGCAGACTCGGATTATACAAGTGGTTGATGGTGAGTTTTTGAATGTTGACATGTGCCCGGTGTTGCTTGCTCAAGGGATTACCCTGACCGGCTTTAAGAATAAGTTGACGAAAGGGTGGCCGTTGGGGCAGTCAGCGGGAATTTGGGAAGGGGTGTAGTGTATCACGATTGGGAAGGACACTAACTAGAGCAGGGTTAGAGGGGAGACGGGAAACCTAGGGCTGCATCATCAGATCATTGAGAGGTGACGGGAGTGTGTGTGATTTGTGTGCGGTAGCTGTGATGGGGATCGGGCGATGATGCAGCTGCTGCAAGCCGGCGACTGCGAGGATGGGCCGTATTGAATAAACTGGGCCGATAAACTCCCGAAGTTGGAGTCGGTACCTATATATCTTACTTTGCACCATGTCATACAGTACCAATAGAAGTAGTGTCTGCTAGGGATGATACGAATACCTCCTACTCACTAGCAGGAAAGAGGCGGGTGACCGAGTCTGGAGAGAGTGTAAGAGCGAGGTGAGGTGAGGTGTGATGGATGAGAGGACCACTCTGTGTACTTCGAGCGTGGACAGAGTGGAATCATCGTAAGCTCTCGCATCCAGTCACAGGCGGCTCTCGCCTCGTCTATGTACGAAGTACATTGTATCTTTAGCTTGGGCGGAGAGATGGAGAGCAACAAAGTGACAAGAGAAAGTCCTCCGGGGCTCCTCCGGTGAGTGAACCTGGAAATGGAACATGATTGGCGCAGAACAGAGATGAATCTTCACCACGGTGAAACAGTAAAGAAAAGTCCTAGGAAAGCCTTAGAGCCCCACGCCCGGTCCAGGACTTTTCTCGATTCCTGGCGTGTATGTTTTTTCCCCCTTCCCCTCTGAGAATTTGCAGGGTGTCGCCACAAGCAATTGGTTTGTTTCACGGGCCGTCAACCATTTTGCTGACAATGACGAGACGTACAGGGCGGGCAGGGAATGTCTTGTTGAGATGGGACTGCCTACTTTTGCTGCCCTATCTGCCTTGCAAGTGACGGGAGTCGCCGACCAGGCAGCGCGGCCTCTTCATCCGCCTGGGGTACAGTATTAAATAAAGGCCGTCCTGGAATAGCTGATTATCGTTGTACGCAATTGCAGGTAGCCTATGTTCGTACTACTGGGCAAGGTATCCGTGCCGGGCCATACTGGGCATGAATACCCGCATGGGAGAGGGTCGAACCTGGCAAGCGCATCCGCAACGAGCGTTGTTGGGCATCAGAGGAAATGGGGATGATGAGACGCCGATGGAGCCCCCGAGGGCGGTCGGAATAAAATTGCGGATATCTCCTGGTGATCTACTATTGCCCTCGAGGCTGTTAATTCACTAAAACATCTCCAAACTCAAACGAGAATAATTGAAATCAACCGTCTGAATCGCCCTGTTCAGCTCGCCTGCCATCTTCACATCGAGTTACAGAGTTGCCTCGTCCGTGCCGGGTGCTTTCGTAACACCCCTCCATCTCAGACTCTCAGGTCGTCCCCCTCCTCCTCCTCCCCCCCCCTCCGAAAGAGGTACGTACTTATTTCCCGTGCATAGCAGCCGCCCAGGCAGCTCGGGGATTTAGGACTGTAGGTGAACGTGGGAGATACTTTTGCATTCAAGTATCTCTACTGTATAATCTACACCTAGAAAATACCTCCTCCGCGGTACCCCGTCTCCTCGTACTTCCTCACCACCTCCACTCTGCCGCCTGCGCACTGGCGGCCGCAAGAGAGAGAGAAAGAGAGAGAGATAGAGAGCGACCCCTCCCGAAAAGCCCCCCCCGTCTTGTGTCCTGCTCCAAAACCCACTGACGACATCCTTCACCAACAGCCCAACCCACGAAAAAACAACACCACCTCACGACTCGAGGGCTGGCTGCACCCACCGATCTTCTGTCGTGACAGTCCCGACAGCTCGATCCTCCCGCTGTGCCAACCTACCCCGAACCCCTCCGGCGCCGAACCTCCGGTATCCATCCGTACGCATGCTTCGTACCCATCACTGATCTGCCTATCGTCTACCTACTCTACTCATCCACTCTCTTCTCGCGTCGTATCCTATCCTATACCTCACACCCACTACCTCGCCCACCTGCGCGACATTGAGGTGACCACAACATAGCGGCGAGAGAACCTGCGTACCCACGCATTCCCTGTCTCCTCCTCCCTACTTGAAGTAGCTTCAAAGCTCATCCTTTTCCCCTACAACAAAAATCAACATCACCACAACATATAGTTCTCGCGCGTGGAGTCGCGCAACCCCACCGTCACAATGAACGACGATGATGCCATCCAAAATATCCTCAAAAAGATTGAGCGCGAAAAGGCCCTCCTCAACGCCGCCAATGCCATGAGAGCCCAGACAAACAACGAGGCCGTGCGATCACGACTCGACTCCCAGATGCGCGATGGCCGCCGAAACTTGCAGTTTTTCGAAGAGAAGCTTCGTGAGGCGCAGCTGCGTCGGGGTATGGACAACATGTCCATCGGCTCTCCTTCCGGCGACGGCAGGCCTCTAAGCGGCGACGTCGAGGATGCGCCCGCCCCTCCTCCCAAGGACGCGAACGCCTGGGCAGAGCGTGGCGGATATGGTGCCGGGAGCGCAACATCTGGCGGCAATGTCCAGTACAGCCAGATTGGCGGCCACGCCGATCTGATGCCTCCCCGCCATCCTTATGCTAACCCCGGCCCTTCTTCCTCCATCCCTAAGCCGCGTCCCAACTTCACCAAGCTTGGTGCGCATTACCCCGGAAACCCTTCAAATGAACTGAGTTGCTGATTTCTTGCTGTAGATCTTATCAAATATGACACCCCATATCTCGGCCCTCGTATTCAGCTTATGCTGTCGCAAATTCAGTTCAAGCTTAATGTGGAGGAACAGTATCTCAAGGGAATCGAGAAGATGGTTCAGCTATATGGTATGGAAGGAGATCGCAAGAGCAAGGCTGATGCTGCCGCTAGAAGGGTTGAGAGCAAGCAGAAGATCCTATTGTTGAAGCAGGCCATGAAGCGCTACGAGGAGTTGCATATCGACATGGACACATCCGATGCCCAGGATGGTAAGTTTGGAGTTCTCATGTCAGCGTAAATCTCGTCGTATTGCTACTGACTTATGCTTCTTAGATGACTCTATCAACATGCCTAATCTCCGCAAGCCTCTCTCTGGTCAGCTCACCATCCGCGTCGGACAAATTAAGGACGTTGATCACGCATCTATGAGTCGCTTTAGCCGAGGGCCCGAGACTTTTATCGCCGTCAAAGTCGAAGACAACGTTGTCGCCCGCACGAGAGTAACCAGGACCGACAAGTGGGAAGCCGAATACCACACCCTCGAAGTCGACAAGGCAAACGAGATCGAGCTTACCGTGTACGACAAACCTGGCGAGCATGCCATCCCGATTGCTATGCTCTGGGTCAGAATCTCCGATATTGCCGAGGAAATGAGAAGAAAGAGGATCGAAGCAGAGATTAACAGCTCTGGGTGGGTATCAGCCGACAGAATGGGCGCTCCGCCAGCGCAATTCCCAATGAACCCTCAACAGCAGCAGCAGCAGTCGCTCGGTGGCCCTCCCCCTCCCGGTGTTGCACAGCAGGGTCAACAAGGACCACCTGCTATGGCAAACCCTCCGATCGCTCAGCAGCCCATCGACGGCTGGTTCAACCTTGAGCCTTCCGGTCAGATCCAATTGTCCTTGGGATTCCTCAAGGAGAACAACGCCCGTCGCCCCGTCAACTTGCAAGGTCTCGGCCGTGTGGGTGCTGTTCGTCAACGCAAGGAGGAGGTGCACGAGATGTACGGACACAAATTTGTGCAACACCAATTCTACAACATCATGCGTTGCGCTCTCTGCGGAGACTTCCTCAAATACTCGGCTGGCATGCAGTGTGAGGACTGCAAGTACACTTGCCACACCAAATGCTACTCAAGCGTTGTCACCAAGTGCATTAGCAAGAGCAATGCTGAGACGGATCCGGACGAGGAGAAGATCAACCACCGCATCCCCCACAGGTTCCAGGCCTTCTCGAACATGACAGCCAACTGGTGCTGCCATTGCGGTTATATCCTACCATTTGGCAAGAAGAACTGCAGGAAATGTGCGGGTAAGTTTTGAAGACGAAATGACAAGCTGCGCATAACAAGGCTGACTCTTAAGTAGAATGTGGTCTCACAGCGCACGCGGCATGCGTGCATCTTGTTCCTGACTTCTGTGGCATGTCCATGGCTGTAGCGAATCAGATTTTGGAAGGCATCAAGTCAACCAGGATGATTTCCAAGAACAAGACTTCAACTTCCCTGAGCGATCGTACGCTGAGGCAGAAGCCGACGAGCCCAACCAGCACCATCGGCTCTCCTCACAGTGGAGGCCAGCCGCCCTATGCTGGAGGGTCGCCGGAAGCGACCGAGGCTGCCAAGCTGATGTACCAGCAGCAGCACCAGTCTCCGCCTGGCCAGCGACCTATGCACCCTGATCGAAGTTCTTCAAGCACGGCAGCGGCGGCGGCAGCAACGGCGGCCATGAGTGGATCAATGGCTTCCCAGCAAAAGCCACAATCTCAGGACTACTCAAGTTATGGTGGACGCCCTGGATACCCATCTCAGGCAGAGCAGCCAGACTCTTACAACAGCGGTGGGCCCAAGTACAATCCGGCAGACTACGCCCAAGTCAACCAGCAAGCCGGGTATGGCCAACATCCTCCGGCGCAACAGCAGCAGCAGCAGCAGCAGCGACCAGTTCAGCAGCAGCCGCCGCAGCAACAGCAGCCTCCCCCTCAACAGTACCAGCAACCTCCTCAGCAGCAAATGTACCAGCAGTCGCCCGTCTCCTCGCCCAAGCTGCAGGAGCCTCCTCAAATCTCGTCCATTGCATCTTCTGGTGGTGTTCCTAGCTCTGGCGCTGGACGTAAGCCGTTACCTTCCGCCACCGATCCAGGTACTGGCCAACGTATTGGCCTCGACCACTTCAACTTCCTGGCTGTGCTTGGTAAGGGTAACTTCGGAAAGGTCATGCTTGCGGAAACGAAGCGGTCCAAGAGGCTCTATGCTATCAAGGTGTTGAAGAAGGAATTTATCATCGAGAACGATGAAGTGGAGAGCATTCGCTCTGAGAAGAGAGTATTCCTCATCGCCAACCGGGAGAGACACCCGTTCTTGACTAATCTCCACGCCTGTTTCCAAACCGAGACCCGCGTCTACTTCGTAATGGAGTACGTCAGCGGTGGTGATCTTATGCTGCACATTCAGCGAGGCCAGTTTGGCACCAAGCGAGCTCAGTAAGAAGGCCCTTGTCCACTTGTTCAAGAAGTTGACTAACAAAATTTCAGATTCTATGCCGCCGAGGTTTGCTTAGCGCTCAAGTACTTCCACGAGAACGGAGTCATCTACCGTGATCTGAAGCTCGACAACATTCTGCTCACCCTAGACGGACACATCAAGATTGCCGATTACGGTCTTTGCAAGGAAGACATGTGGTTCGGCTCGACTACTAGCACCTTTTGCGGTACCCCAGAATTTATGGCACCTGAAGTATGTTGGTAATTTTCCCCTGTAAGATTTTTGCTGATGACTGGTCCAGATTTTGCTCGATAAGAAGTACGGTCGCGCCGTTGATTGGTGGGCATTTGGTGTCCTGATTTACCAAATGCTTCTCCAGCAGTCACCCTTCCGAGGTGAGGACGAGGATGAGATTTACGATGCCATTCTTGCCGACGAGCCTCTATACCCCATCCATATGCCTAGAGACTCTGTGTCGATCTTGCAGAAGCTCCTGACCAGGGAGCCCGATCAGCGACTCGGCAGTGGTCCCACAGACGCGCAGGAAATCATGAACCAGCCGTTCTTTAGGAACATCAACTGGGACGACATATACCACAAGCGCGTTGCGCCGCCGTTCATGCCACAGATCAAGAGCGCGACCGATACCAGCAACTTCGACTCCGAGTTCACAAGCGTAACGCCCGTCTTGACTCCTGTTCAATCAGGTATGTGGATGCTCATTATAGTTACGAAGAGTTTAGTAGCTAACCAGATTGTAGTCTTGTCGCAAGCCATGCAAGAAGAGTTCCGTGGCTTCTCTTACACTGCCGACTTTGAATAGAGGAATGATGGAGACCAGACTGAAACTGTGCACTGATTGTTGCTGGATCTTAGCAATGACATCGTCGACGAGGAGGGATGAGAGAAGGCCGAGCAGGTACAGCGTGGATAAGTGACAGTTCCACATGCGCCGCATAGGCGCGTCGGGCACGAGCGGCGCTTGTTGCTGTCGCGTGAAGACGCTGCGCGTCGTCGGGTTGTGACGATAAACCGCAGGCGGAAAAAAACGAAGTGATGGGCGAACACGATATATGAAGTGGAAAACTAGGATGGCCTCGACCGTTCGCTAGTGAACGTTGGAAAAGGGGCCGAGTCAGCGGACCGTGACTAGAGATATATCAGCGAGGTTTTGCGCACCCTGCCGCAGCTTCTTTAATAGACGGAACATTCAGCGGATGACAACATTGCTTGCAGTGTCCTGATGATCGCTCTGGATTGTGCCAATATTGAAGAGGATGTCCTCATGCTCTCTCTATAAGGTATCATATTGTACAGATGTATTTACAGTCACGTCCGGTGGTGTGTGTGATTTTCATGTCCTTCTCACAAGCAGCAGTGCTAGAGCCGCCGCAAACGTGGCGCCAGCGGCAGCACCCTCAAGGGCCAGGATAGACGCATCGCGCATGCGAAGATCGATACGACGGTCACTATACAGGTCTGCGATTCTCGCCTTCAAGAATTCCGGGTTGGAGAGGAGCTCACGCCACGGCTTGGCCTCGGGGACTTCCTTGTCCAAGACCTCGAGTGCACTGGCGACCTCGCGCTCCATTTCGTGCTGGACGGCCGGCTCCTCGACCTTGGCGGCCAGAAGCTCCTCCGCCTCCTCGGTTGTTGCTGTGGGTTCCGCCGCAGCCAACGGCGTCTCCTCTACCACTGCGGCAGGTGTCGCTACCGCCGCAGTCGTCGAAACAGCCACGGAATCAGCAGCGGCGTCCTCCAGGGCCTCGTCCCTCTGCGCCAACGCCGCCTTCAAACCCGCCAGCTCGGCCGTCACGCCTTCTAGCACGGCCTTCTCCTCCTCGACGACGCCCCGCACGAGCCGCCTCCGCTTCCACGGCTCCGCGACGAACTGCAGCACGATAAAGAGGAGGACGTTGACGCCCATCAGGCCCCAGGTGCCCCAGGTCGAGGCGCGACGGATGCGGTCTGACCAGATCTGCTCCTCGTGGTAGCGCTTCAGGATGCCGGCGTTGAGCTGCTGGCCGAGGGCTTGCTCTGCGTGCTCGGCGTCCGTGAGGGCCTCGGCGGCGGCGGAGACTTCTTGTTCGAGGGAGTGGTCTTGGCGGTAGAGCTGGGTGAAGCGTTCCAGGTCGGTGGGGGACCACATTTCCTTGCGGGCGAGGAGGGTGGTGACTTCGCGCTGGGTGGTGGCGCGTTTGGCGTTTGTGGTTTTGTAGGTTAGGCGGGCGGTGCGGACGAGGTCTTGGGCTTGGGCGAGGCGGGTTTCGAGGAGGGTGTTTTGGGATTTGATGGTTTCGATCGGGGCGTAGCCTGTCAGGGTGTTTAGGGTTGTTGAGGCGGTTAGGAGGCGGGTTTGGAGGGTGTCCATCAGGTGGGAGAGCTTCTCGGAGAGGGCGGGCGGGAGTGCGGTGTATGTTTTTGTTGCTGTGTCGGGGAGGGGATCTTCGGGGGTGGTGGAAGATCTGGATTCGGAGGAGGAGGAGGAGGACGACGACGAGGAGGTCGAGTCGGGAGCCGTGGTGGAGCTTGAGGAGGCCGCATCCGAGCTCCGGGTGGCCGAGTCGCCGCTGCTCGTCGTCGATGTCGGGGAAGCTGGTTTGGACTCTTCTTCCGAGGCGGAGGAGCTCGGCGTCGGCGGCGGCGGCGGCGGGGTGAAGATCGGAGGCAGACCCGAGTAGAGCCTTCGGGAAGGTGATGGGAGGCTATGGCGCAGAGGCAGAGCTGCGAGGGGCTGCCATCTTGAGAGGTTTGCCGTTCGCAGCCGGGCGTGGGCTAGGCGCGACGCCGGCCTGGCGATTGGGTGCATCCTTCGTTTTGTCCCCGTTTGGATTTGTCGGAATACGACAATGGTATTCGGACAAACCGAGCTTTCCTTTCCTTGGGTTCCCTAGTTGCAGAGAAAGGGGGAGGAAGGCCCAATTGGCAACGTAGTGGGATGGGCCGAGGTGGTTAAACGCACGGGGAAGCCGGGTCGGCGGACGGAGGGCTTTTTGGAAAGGATCAAAAGTTTGGACGAGGAGAGGTAGACCAGACCTGGTAGCTAAGGTATGGTTTCTAGGGCGGGCGAGTGGGTTTTCGGGGCCAGATTCGGCATCGTGTTGAGGTACCTTACCCGGGCGTGTCTGCTGGTTTTCTGCCGGCAAGGTGAATTGGGGTTGTGGTGCTGCTTCACCGCCTGCCGTGGCTGGGACTGAGATCGGGCCGGTGCCGGGGGCATAGCGATGGGCCCGAGAGTGGGGCGGGAGAAGGGCGAGGAAGACTGGCGGCCGGGATGCCAGCCACAGCTGAGTCGTTGTCCTAGCGAGAGGTGGTGATATGGCAACGGTGCCATAGTATCTTGAGTTCTTTTTTTTTTTTTTGCCTTTTCCTTTTGGCCAATCTAGATTCAAACTGTTCCCTCTCGCAGACTACAAAAATAAACATGAGCGTAGTTGAATGTCCGTTGTAACTCACACTCCTCAAACAGTTTCGGCAAAGACATCGTGATGCTCTGGCAACCGAGAAAAATTACAGAAGATGCATAATTTAGAATGAAGCAGAGACTTGGCTTGACTTGACCGGAAAAAAAAGTTTGACCTTCTGGGTGGTCTTTCTATAATCTCGTTGACTGGACTTCATGGCCATTCTTGGAGGTACCTTGCCAGCTTGACAATATTGCACCACAGGCACGTGTTGTCAAACGCAGCTTACAATGGTCCTCGACTCGGAGACCAGCCCCTCGTTCCGCAGCCATGGGGACGCCCTGTAGTAGGGTTAACCTGCCGTGCCTGCTAAAAATTGGAAGACATCTGCGTCCTCAGGGTCCATTGTCCGCGCGCTGACTCGCTGCAGGGGACCGTCAAAGCGGCGGTCGGATAGGAGGGGCGGATGTCGTCACTGGAGCGGGACTAGTAGTGGGATTTTCCCTCTCTGGCTTGGACCAAGTTTGCTTGAGAGCAGTTACTTTTGCTGGTTTGCGCGCTGGATTCGTCCTTTTTAATTCAAGGACGTGCCACAACAGTGGTCTCTATAAGGAGAAGAAGTACATACAATTCATGTAAGGCGCGGAGTATCTCGATCTGAAGCCTCCGGCTGGGGATGCGCCTTACTGTTCCCCGTAGAGCATTGATGGATTTTTTAACCTGCATGAACTCGCGCATACAAGAATCTGTACTAAACCTGGTGACAATCTTCCGCGCTTTTTGAACTTACCCCTCCCCCTCCATCTGTAATTCCACATCCATAAAACTCCGAGAAAGAACGAAAGGTGTCCATCCACTTCCCGCCCGCGACCCTACCGAGAAACATTCACTTGTCCTCTCTCTCTCTCTCGTCCTCTTTTTGAGTCACTTTCTGTCCAACATACACGCCTCCAGCACCGACACAATGGGCTCCCAAGTCAGCGAAACCCCGGCGCTCGCCACGAACCCCAAATTCATATTCTTCACCGACTTTGATGGCACAATCACCCTCGAGGACTCCAACGACTTCCTGACGGACAATGTCGGCTACGGCTACGAGAACCGCCGCGCCGGCAACCTGCTCGTCCTCGAGGGCAAGAAGCACTTCCGCGACAGCTTCCAGGAGATGATGGACTCGGTCAAACTCCCCTTTGACCAGTGCATCGAGTACCTGAAGAGCAACGTCAAGCTCGACCCGGTGTTCAAGGAGTTCTATACCTGGTGCCGCGCCAATAACGTCCCCGTCGTCATTATCAGCGGCGGCATGCGGCCCATCATCCGCGCCCTGTTGGTGCAGTGGCTCGGCGAGGACGAGGTTGACGGGCATATCCAGATTGTGAGCAACCAGGTTGCGCCGCGCGAGGGGAAAGCGAGCATCAACGAGGAGGGCGGGTGGCGGATCGTCTACCACGACGACAGTATCCACGGCCACGACAAGTCGATTGAGCTGCGCAAGTACTCGTCGCTGCCCGAGAGGCCCGTCATGTTCTACGCGGGCGACGGCGTCTCTGATTTGTCTGCTGCGCGCGAGACGGATTTGTTGTTTGCCAAGCGCGACAAAGGTGAGATCTTTTTTTTTCCCCTTTCTTCTCTCTGTCTCAATTTGTTTTACCCCGCCCCCACCATTGCTCATGTCTTGTGCGGTATCGGCTCTCGATGGGCTGAAATTGACGTTGGAAACACCGCTGACTTGATTGCTAGATCTTGTCGCGTACTGCGAAAAGGAGGGCATTTCCTTTGTCACCTTCAACGATTTCTCCGATATCCTGTCTACGGTCAAGCAGATTGTCGAGGGCAAGCTCAGCGTCAAGGACGCCGCGCGGGGACGCATCCACTAGACGACGAATGAAACGCGGAATGAAGGACACACAGAAACTCCAATACAGATACCTGGATAGGAGGAGAAAAGAGGCGGTATAGATACCAATAAAGCGAGGACGTGAGAATCGGAATTTTCGTTTTTGATATTAGATATAGACTTAGACTGGGTCTACGAGTATATACAACGAGCAATGCCACACTGTTGCCTTTTGATTATTTTTCTGCTAACGGACTACTCCTGTGATGATTACGCTGTGCGAATGTGCTATACAAGATCCCCAATCAAGTTATCTTCATCATCATACTCATTGAGGGAAAAATTAACGCCAAATTCCGAATTCGTGGAAATCTGAGAGTCATTATTGCCAAACTAGCCATATAGTGGGATAGTACATGGCTCGACATTCTCAAGATGGTGATTTGCTTTTACCCCATATGCTGCGACCTTGACACCGCACCAGCTTACACGCTTCTCTTTCTGTCGTGGGGCACACCATACCAAGAAGCCATCATCAAGGCAAACAGCACAATGGCAATCGGGTGCAGCACCCAAGGACCAGCAGCCTGCGCAACAATACCCGTCGTAAAGGGAGCAACAGCACCACCAGAGCTCCCAAACGCGCTAATGACGCCCATCCCATTTACCCTCTCCTGTCTCGTCATCCCCCTCATGAAGACCGCCGCCGCGCAAGGGTAAATCGGCCCCAGCAACAGGCCGACAATGGCAACAGACACGGCGGGGCCGACGACGTTGGGCACCCACCACACGAGCAGCTGAAATACGGCCGCGCCGGCGGTGGCGAAGAAGACAAAGAGCTTCTCGCCGACGCGGTGGGCCGGGTGCGAGAGGCATAGGCGGCCGATGGTGATGCCCGCCCAGAACCCGGCCGTGACGTAGCCCACGGCTTCCGGGTCCCCGTTGCGCGTGGCGATGAGGAAGGAGATGACCCAGCCCGAGATGGAGACCTCTGCGCCCTGGTAGGCGAAGATGAAGAGCGCGCCGAGGAGGACGATGCGGATCTTGAGGGCGGAGAACATGCTGAGGAGCTGGGAACTCGACTTGGCTGCCGCGGCCTCTGCGGCGGGTGTAGGCTGGGGCCCGCCGGCGGGGAGGTCGCGCTCGTAGTGCCAAAAGGTGTAGGTCGAGAAGACGCCGTTGAAGATGGCGAGACCGAGGGGGATAAAGTAGTACGTGCTCCAGCGGGCCCGGGCCGCCGTCACGAGCGCGGTGGCGATGAGAGGGCCGACGGTGCCGCCTGCGCCGTAGGCGCCGTGCATGAAGCCCAGGGCGGTGGTGGCGTTGCGGAGGGAGCCGCAAAAGACGTTGTTGACGGCGAGGGTGATGGACATGCCGAAGCCGAGGAGGAAGAAGGAGACGACGACGACGGGGAAAGGGGCCTGGGCGAGGATGGGCGCGTAGGCGATAGTGATGATGGACTGGGCGAGGCCGAGGAGGCGGGCGCGGCCGAGCTTGATGCGGAGGGACTCGAGGAAGACGGCGCCAAAGATGAAGCCCAAGGCGTTGCCTATGAAGATGAGGGATACGATTGCGTAGCCAATATCGTAGTGTCTGGCGTGTGGTGTTAGTCGGAGGATCATCTTTGAAGCTCGACAAGCGTCTGGGTGGGCGGGCGGTGTCCGTCCCTCGCACGCGTGGCGACCGGCGCGGCGGGGCGGGGGGGGGGGCGGGGGCTGGGTGGGGGGGGGGGTGGGGGGGGGGGGGGGGGTGTGGTGGGAGGGGTAGTTTGGTGGGAGGGGGGGAGGGGGGGGGGGGGGGGGGGGGAGGCTTACTTCTCCATGTAGGGGATCAGAGCACCCGGCGCGCTGTCATTGAGTCCGTTGCCAAAGTTCATGAGACACGACGCCGCCATGCGATAGCGGTTCATGTGCGGATCCGAGATGCTCTGCAGGACATCAAAGGCCGTCGGGGTCGAGGGCCGGCTCATTTCGACATCGCTTCCGGACCCCGGGGTGCGGGTCGGCGACTGCGCCCGGGAAGGGCCGGCGCTGCTCCGCGGTGTACCGGACCTGCTCACTGCGCCGCCGCCGGCTTTGTTGTGGTTATTGGCGGTGGTGGTGTCGATGCGGGAGAGCTCGATGGAGGTCCCGTCGCGGTGGTGCGGCGCGCCCGGGTAGGTTCGCGGGACGGCCTTGGCGGGGGCGGCGGGGAGGAGGGGAGGGTGGTTGTCCAGGTCGCGGGATTCGACCTCGACGAGGGTCTTGAACATTGTTGCCTCCATTATGGATTAGGGGCTTGGCAGGATCGAGTTCAGGGTTCTCATGTGAAGACACTGGCCAAGATCTTGGTTGAGGAAGATGAAAGAGAGCAAAGGGAAACGAGGCGAAAGAAGTGTAAAGGTTCAAGTACACCTTAATACCTAGTCAGTAGTACTGAAAAGATGCGTGAGCCACCAAGGTTCCTCGGTGGGTAGAAAAGGCTGTTACAAATGCGGTGAGTAGTCTGGCAAAAGGCCAAAGGACTACCGAGGAGGCAGCAAAAGATACAGTAATAAAATCTCACGATAATCGCAGACCCCGTGGATCCCTGACGACTGTTCAACTTTCCAAAAGCGTAATGGCGTGTGAGTGAGTTGCGCAAGCCTCCCGACCCCCTCGCCTTGCGGGTCGGAACTAATATCTAGAGCCTATGAGCATGAGGCATATGCAGGGTTCAGATAGTCCTGCATGTTCCCCACCTAGCTATGACAGAGGAGCAAAACCTTTTAGGCTCGTGAGAAGATGATGGGATCCGGTCTCGTGGGTTTGCGGCCTTGTGCTAAGCCGGCGAGCTGGAGTTGGTCTAGCCTCCATGGGTGGTGCTGAGGTAGTGAACGGCATGGCGATGTGATACGTGCTCCGGTAGAAAGCAGACATGGTGGGGACCGGCCGATTGCGGTTTGAGCTGGGATCGAGACGGTGTGAAAGCGAGCAAACGGCTGCAGCGAAAGGTAGGGTATGCAAGACACGCCCTTGGCGATGGACAATTCTCTCTATCTACTTGGAAGCATTGCATGCGGACGATGGCACGATGGGCAGGCTAGACAGCTGTTGTGTCACGAGCAATGATTGATCAGCGTCAGTCCGCCCGGAGCGAGGTGAGGACCGGTACTTCGAGAAAAGTTGGGGAGGGAAAATGATTTCCAGATTCCAACTCTTTTGATGGCGGACCCGAGGAGAGGAGACGCTAGCGTGGCCAAGCGGTCGGTTTTCCTGCGAAGGCAGCTCCGGGGGCGCGGAGAAGCTCCGCCGGCAGAAGCTCGGGTCGTCTGCGGGGTGCCCCGGTTGGAAATGCCGGTGTTTTGCCCTGCAAATTGAGGCCTCTGCAACGCCCAGAGTGATTGATACCTTACGAGAGGAAAACATGGGGGGCTTTCAGAGGGTCTGTTACCAGGTTGGCCAATGGAATGATTCGATTGATTTTCGAGCAGCCACAGGGACCTAATCTTCCTCAATTGCAGCTTGCTACCTTAGGTAGTTGATTAGGTCTTGCGAGGAGGGGCCAGAGCCACCAAGGTGCTCGGTGTACGTGCCCCACTCTTTTACCTTAGACAGCACCCACCGCCTCCATCCTCCAAAAAAATCCATAGACGGGGAAGTTACCCCACCATTGTCACTCAGCACCCAAAAAAAAAAAGTTTTGGCCATCGCCTCCTTGCCCAGTCTCGACATCTTGCCAGCCAACCATGGGTAAACCAAAGCGCTCCGCCCTCCAGGCGGCCGAAGACACGCTGACTCCTCCCGCCGCCCTGGAGAAGAACCAGGCCATCGTGCGCGTCGTCAAGGCCGAGGGCAACAACCTGTACTCCTGCGAGCTGCCCAACAAGAAGGACTTTATCCTCGAACTCGCGCAGCGCTTCCGCAACACAATCTGGATCAAGCGCGGCGGCTTCGTCTTGGCTGAGAGATATGAAGAGAATGACGGCAGGGTCATGGGCGAGATCATCAACGTCGTTCGCGACGAAAAGGCCTGGCGCAAGCAAGCCTACTGGTGAGCTTTCCTCCGCACGCATCTGCACCCCACGCGCCTTATTCTCGCCTTGCTGACCAGGTATCGCAGGCCCAAGGAGTTTGCCAAGACCAACACGTACGAAGACAGCGACGAAGACGAGTCCAACGTCGGCAAGATGCCGCCATCCGATTCCGAGGACGACTACTGATGCGAAGGCGACTTTTATGACTGAACAAATTCCCTACTCCCACCGCCACATCACCGCTTCTTGGACTCTGGCTTTACTGCCGGCGCGCCCTCGTCTGCCGTGCCGAACCACGTAGCAGCCACCGTCACTGCCATCACGCCGACGACGAACTCCGAACTCAGGTCCGTGCTAGGATATACGTTCCATGCCCATTCCTGCGCGGCCCAGAGGATGTACACCACGTAGAAGGGGAGACCGCTGCGCCAGAGGAGGTACGGTGTTGACCAGGCTAGATAGGCGTAGAACTGGTAATGGAGAGACCTGGCAAAGAGAAGGCCCATGACGTTGGCCGAGAGGATCGTTGTCAGAACGTAGCGCGGCGTGACCCGGCTGGCCACCTGGGCCTCCTCTAGCGCCGAGAAGGGGGATTTGCCTTGGAGCATCGCTGGGAGCAAGGAAGACAGGGGTCTCTGCGTGGGATTGAGCCACCGCGTGAAGACAAAGACGAGTAGGGCGGCCGCGTGCAGCCCCAGTAGCGCAATCGAAAAGGGCTTGCTGAGGAAGGTTTCCTCGCCCACGAAACGCCAGTTGACCGTCCACTTGAAGAAGAACTGCCGCGACAGCTCGAACGCGCGGCCGAGGTATCCGTTGGCGTTGTTCGAGACGAAGGGGATCCCGATGACAATCTGTACCTGTGCCATCAGCCATGCCGCACGCAGGCTTCCTCCAAATCCGCGTCCGAGGAAGAGAACGACGCCTACGGCAGGCAGGACGAGCAGCAGTGACATCTTGATTCCCAACCCCCAGCTGTAAAGTACCGCGCCCGGTGTCCATAGTCGCTTCTGGAAGAAGAATATGGCGAGCCAGAGGAAGAGGGTCGCGAAGCAGTCGTTAAAGCAGCGCAGAATAAAGACGCTGTGGAGACGCTTGGAGAGGATCAGGAGCGGGAAGATGTAGGGCGGGACCTGTTGTGGAGGATCGTCAGCTTTCTCATGTCTACCTCGCTGCGAGCAGGGGCAGGAGACGTACCTTTGCTTGCCAGTAGCATGCCATCACAACGGCGAGAGTCGCCAGATATAGGATAGCAAACAGTTGCTGGGCCAGAAAGATATTCTTGCCCTCGTCAGTTAGGTAGTATAGTCCTGTGTATGTGAACACGTGGGCGGCAGGGTAGACGAGAGGCCCAGTGCCGCCTTTGATTTTGGTGTAGTCGCGCTCGCCTGAGACGTATTGGGAGACCTGTTCCATGTAGGCTACCCAGTCGATTTCCGTATCTACAATGCCACGTCAGTACTCGGCCATTTGCTTTCTAGGTACGGTCGCTACTCACAGGGGATTTTCCAGATGATGAGCCCACAGAGGACGGCATCTAGCGCAAGGAGGAGGGGTGGTACGGCCTTGGAGAGTGCATGCCGGCCATTGGCAACGTCTAGCACAAATCGAGGCACTTGCACGTAGATGGGGGGCGCTGCATCGGCCATGGTGAGGCTTCGCAGGCTGTAGTGCGTAGACTGAGAAAGCTTGATGATGCGCAGGGGGAGCTTCTGAAAGCTGTCTCGAAGTGTAGGTGGAGGTGCAGCTGTGGCTGCAGGGTCCAAATTACACGGTGTGTTCTTTGTCGTCTCAGGGTGGACCACACTGTAGCTGTAGTACAAGAGGCGTGTCAGACTGCTTTGGTTCATTGATTCCAACTCGTTGGTAATGTTGCACTTCACAATCCTTTCTTCGCTTTATACAGCTTGATTATTACTCTTCAAAACTCAATTTCAACCTCAGCAAACAAGAAAAAGCCTACAACTTGCTCGGCCGGTCCCAGGAGAAAAGGTTGGGCTCAGCAGCCAAATTCTCCCCCTTGTCCGCCCGAATCTGATTCACCAACTCAACAACACCCTCAGCTGTGCCATAAGATCCTTGGTATCCCCATCCAGCGTGGCCGTAGTGGTGCACAATCGGCGTTCCATCTTCCAAAGTTGTCTTGTCAATCTCGAGCCTGAGCCCGCCCTCGCGATATGGCCTCAAGCCAACACCGTGGCGGATGATGCTAAGCGCCTCGATCCCTTTACCGTTCGTCAAGCTCGGGCACAGCTCGACGCATCGCTTCATGATGCGAATGGCAATGTTCGGATCTGGGTTGGCGTCCCAGTTCCCCTTGTCGTACGTCCCGCCCAGGATCGTGCCGCCGCCGGCAGCCCGTGTCATCATGTAACACACCTCCGTCGGCCCGTCGTCCGTGCCGGAGATGGTCGCCATCGGCTCGACCTCGTTTCGCACAACCACGACCTGTCCGCGGGCGGGCACGACACTCTTATCCTCCACGCCGCCCAGCTTGCACGCCAGCAGCCCGGAGCTGTTGACGATGACGTCGGCGGGCTTGCCGGAGTGGTGCAGGGACGTCAGCTCCTTGACGTGCGCGACGTCGCCGCGCTTGAAGACGATGCCGTTCTTGCGGCACTGGCCTACGAGGTAGGGCAGGTAGAGCGCCGTGTTGATACAGACCGAGGTAAATTCGGATCCGGAGTAGGCGTTGGGGGGCAGCTCGTCTTTTGAGAGTTCCCGGTAGTCCGGGAGGACGTTGCGGTACCACGGGTCGACGGCGTAGAGTGCGTCGTAGGGGTTGCCGCCAGCCTCAATGTCCTTCTTGCGTCTAAAGACGCGGCTCTCTGGGGGAAAAGAGGATCAGCGTTTGGTGTTCACGCACGAAGCTGTCTTCTAGATATTACACACTTTGAAAGTGAATGCCGGCCTCGGGGACATCGGCGGCCAGACGGTTCAGCTCAGGCCACGTCCTGCGCTCCCACCTGCTGTCGAACTCTGGGGCCATGCTGGGAATCTAGCTTAGTCCATGTTTCTGAGGTCGAGGTGCATGATCTTACGGCAGCATGTTGGCGCCAGCCCATGGCGAGGTGTATTCAATGTCATAGTCGCCGGGCATGTGCTTGGATATCACGGTTATGGAGTTGTTTTTGCTCTTGGATAGCAGTAGGGCGGCGGTCAGGCCCGAGACGCCAGCGCTGAGTTTTGTGAGTGAGTGGACAATGAGAGGCTGCGGTCTGCTTACCCGAGCACTACAATATTGTTCGTCATGGTGAATCCTCTTGTTGCAATTGATGCTGTCAACTCTGACTGCTGTGGTTGTCCCCCGGGCAAAGTCGGTGAGGTGGAGGGGTATATATAACTATGTACCCAGAGTAGGTTGCAAGCTTCTCTAAACTCTTATCCTGAAGGTAATTGGACGGTTCAGACCTTCTCGACCTTGAGAATCCTAGACAAAACCAACTGAGAAAGTTGTGAGCTTAACAGGATGTCAATCAACGCCTTTTTGCCAATTACGGTCTTCGCGTACACAATATCGCGCCATGTTTATCTCCCAGTTGACACCATGTTGTCAATTCAGGGCGCTTCCCTCCCCGCGGGCAAGTGTCCCCGCCACGCCGAGCCGAAAACCGGCGCGGGGCCTAACGGCCATAAATCATCCTGTATTTTTGAGTCACTTCCCTGCGATAAAGCGGAAACGGACCGCGACCAGCCAATGAATACCATTGCGCATCTGCCGAGGCTGGTCACAAATATAAATCTTCTTTTGTGTGCAGACAGTTCGTCGCGCTTTTAATGGAGTGACGCGACAGGCGCTCAAATTTCGACCGCGGCTTTGCTTGATGTTAATATCACAAGGATCTAAAATGTACTTCAGTGGCGTGGCAAAGGAGACACGACCAATTGCTTCCGCGTGAGGTATCATGTGGATGGTACTTTGACATCACGGGCGTCCCGTATACTGCTAGTATCAGGCACTGGTGTTCGCTTTGCGTTTTGCGTCGCATGTGTAATACTGAGCAATGATCATGATCACAACGTCGTCAAGTGTTCCACACCTTGTTGTATACGGCAGGAAGATGCAACAACGTCATTCTCGGTCCATACCTCCTGCAAGTACACTGATCGGATTTTTTATTTTTATTTGGTATCTTGAATTATGGACACGATCTACACGGGGTAGCTGTCCCTCTTTCCGCCCCATCCTCTTCACGCAAGCATATGATTCCTTACCCCTCCTTGGCCTCCTCAGCCTTCTTCTTGGCCTCCTCAGCCTTCTTCTTGGCCTCCTCAGCCTTCGTCACCTCCTCCAACGCCTCAGGGGCAACAGTCTCCACGAGGTTCCGGAGGCCCTTGAGGTTGGCGCCGACAACTTCCTGAGCCCTCTTACCATTGTTGAAGATGATGAAAGTAGGCATGGAACGGATGTTGAGCTCTTGGCTCACGTCGGGGAGCTCATCGACATCAATCTTGATAAAGTGAATGCCCTTGTTTGCAGAATCCTCGGAGTGCCTGCGGATAGGGTCATCAGCGAGTGATCCTTCTAGCATCGTTGACCATTGCAAATGCTGAGACTTACTTGAGCAGTGCGGGTGCCATGGTCTTGCAGGGACCGCACCAGGTGGCGAAGGCATCAACGAGGACGAAGGGTTTCTCCTTGATGATGGTATTAAACTCTTCAGCGCTAGAACACAACAAAAGTCAGCATCTCGCGCATGATCGTGGCAGACCCGAGGTTCTTTGGAGCGTTGAGGGTTAGGAAGGTAGGGTAGATCGAAGGCAGGCCTAGCGAGGTGAAGGACATGTGGAACTCACCTGCGGACGTTGTGGACAACCATGTTGGGCGATGTAGAGTGGAAGCTCCGTAATGCTGAAGGAAGTGAAGATATCGCAATGCGTTGAAAAGGGCGGAAGAGTCCGGTAGGCATGTGGGAAGGAAGGAAGGGTACCCGGGCGGTGATACGGGAGGAATTCAGACTAAATACCTCGGGGTGGGAGGAGCGGAGGAGGCTTAAGAGAGCAGGTGTGGTTGGGCAAGCAATGGGCGTCTGAAAGTGTAATGCAGCGAAAGTTGAGCGAGAAACGGGAAGGAACAGCTTGGATTTGGTGCTTCCCAATTGTGGAATGCGCAGTGACATGGACGCTGCTGGTAAATTTCCTTCTTGATTTGTCAGGGGTTCAGTGGATCGATGACGCGAGATGCACTCGTTCGCAGGCCCCACGATACATGTCTAGCAACCAAAGTCGTCATATAAACACAAGTATCTCGGACGTGCTCCTGGGGGTACCCTTCCGGGTCGCAATCCGTTTTTTGACCCCCTGCCACAACGGCTCGGCCGTCGCTTGTCAGTCAGCTCGGCTGTCGCTGATGATTTCATAATGCACCTTGCCTTTAAACACCGACAGGCGGCAAGTTGCTTATGATATATTTTTGCCGTTGCCCTGCTGATTCAGCCCTAGCTCGGGTTTCCACATTGGAATGACGGCGTTTAAGTTACTTGACGACTCCTCTGGGTCATTCGTCGCAAATACTGCTAGACAATTCCATTGGCAGCGATGTTGTCTCTTGAGGCTGAATAATCCTTGTTGCTGCCGAGTCCCGTTGCAGATCCAACCGTGCAACGCCCGACTCCTGCATGACAAGCCGCATCATGATGTTCAGCGACAACAAATATACAACAGAAATGATAGAGCTGCATCTACGACCACCGTGAAACGTCAAGCTGAGCCCACAAAAAAAAAGCCCATTTCAATCATCGCCATGAATCAAACAGGCCGACAATGTCAGAATATCCCATGTCCCGGGCTAGCAAACGTGGCGAACCCTCGAGAGTTTCACGGTTGAGGCCTCCAGCTACACTGGAGAGGAGATCAACCAACTCCAACTCACAGTCTGTCATTTCTGACCTGGCTGCCTCCAATCGGCAATCTTGATCGGGGTCCGCTCTTCTTTCCAGGAGCAGTCTCACCGTGGCCGAATCTCCAGAGGCCGTGGCGATCATCAAAAGGGTTACGCCTGCGCCATTTTTCTTATTGATATCAGCCAGCGCCACTTGCGAAATCACCGTCCGTACCAATGCGGCCTTCCCCCAGAAGCACATTAATGGCAGGAAATGGCTGGCCGAAAGATTCGGATCGTCCTGGAGTCTCTCTGTGGTACTCAGGAGCCAGAGGCTGAACTTTTCATCTTTGGCGATGACCAAAGCTACTGCTTCGACATACCTGCGATGAGGTACACGGGCTCCCTTGGCTGAAAGTAGTAGTAGGAGTTCGGCATTCTCTTCGACAGTGAAACCGAAAAGCGACCAAACCTTAAATCCATCATGCAGTTTTCGTCCAGAGCCCACCGTCTTTTCTACGACTTGAAGGTAGTAAGCCTTCAGATCGGGTCCCATATGTGTGTCATAGAAGGCCAACAGAGCCTTTTCGAGGGTTTCTCGGGTGTAAGTAATAACACCCAGCAACAGTTTCACCGCTTCTAGATATGCCATAAAGCAGGCGGTGGACAGGACTTCTCCGCTGTCCTGTGCTCCTTCGTCAAGTAGCTCCTGAAAATCATCAATAAGCTCGGGACGACGCCAAAGGGCAGGCAACAACCCCACCGATGGATCCACCTCCTTGGCGGCGTTGCTGGGAAGATACTTTAGAGCCACAGCTCGACACCGCGAATATCCATTTTCTGTCGCTTGGGCCAAGGCTTCCCTTAGGTTCACCTGGCTGTCTCTATCTTTGACGTTGTTGATTATCAATAACTCCAGCGCTTCAGTGTATCCATGGCGAGCAGCATACGCGAAATCCTCCCTTTGAATGACCAACCCTCGTGCGAGGAGGCGCTCGAGAGCAGGCGTGCATTGGATGGCGGATTGGGTGAGGGACCAAGTCTTCGTCGGGGGACCTTGCACTGCAGGGTTGATTTCCATCCCAGTTGCAAGCAATATGTTGACTAGGTCCATTCTTTTAGACTCAGACGCGTGTGCCAAAGACTTGTGAAGCTGAAGGACTGCATGATCGTATCGATGAAGGATCCAGTGGATCTGATTTATGAAATAGTAGAAGCACGATTTGTAGAGCAGATCGTCATCGTTTACGTCGCGCTGCTCAACACTGGACGTACCTGCCTCTAGCAGCCCTCGTGTGGCGACAAAGTCGTGCCTCGCCGTCGAGTAGTGCGCATGAAAACGACCGGCATATCCATGGGGGCGAGAATCCTGATGCGGTCTCTTGCCGTCATCGAAGAAACTTTTCTGGACATACCAATACCACCAGCCGCCAAGAAATGGCTTTGCTGAATCGCAGATTGTCACGACGATTCGATCAATGCCGGATTTGGACTCGGGTAACGAGTTGCCTCTGAGATGTTGCGTCCAGTGACGTGAAGCGTACACATAAAAGTTTCTTGCCCAGTGAGGCAACTCAGCCAAAAAAGCTTTGTTCGAGGCGAACTGCTCTTGTTCATTTGTCGGCAGACTGGGTCTTGTCGGAAGTCCGTCAAGCGCGAGAACTCTGACGCAGCATCCCCCCAAGTCAGAATGTGCCAACGTCAGTGCAATCCTCGGCCTGCCCTCCTTCGTCATGTCATTTGCTCTTGAGCTAAGAAGGAAATCGCGTGCAGTTTGATGCACGAGAAATACGGTAGAGTCAATGATTCGGATGAAGAACCCTCCCAATCTTTTGATCGTATATTCTGCGTCAGGCTCGAGCTCTCGCTCTAGGGCTTCTACTGAAGTGGTATTCTCCCCGAGACTGAGAGCAATGTTGACTTCATCGACTTTGAGGGGCTTTTTCGCAGCTACTATGATACCAAGTAGCTTGTGTGACGCTTCGCGGTCGACGAAGGCTGTCCAGGCGCTTTCGTAAAGCTGGTCAAGATCACCTGGTAAGGATTCCAAGGACTTTTCGATGGAGCTGAGTTTCCGCGACTGGAGTCGCTCAATTGCGTCAAACACCAAGGAAACCCAGAGGAATGTACGATCAGCTCCTTCGCTCAGCACTTTCATGACCATTGTGCTGGCCTCGTCGGAGAGCGCTGACGACATTTTGAGCTCCCGCACCCGATACTCAACCACTCTTTCCACGTCTTTGGAGAGCGATGGCGATTCGTTTTCTCCACGCAATCGGATCGAGAGCAAAGTTTTGAAGCACCTTTCGATGCTGGGCCACGGACGACTTGTAACCAGAAATTTCAGATTGCCGGCAGGTTTCTCGGAGTTGCTGGTTGAAAATGACGCGATAAGCTGGCTAATGAAGCGATTCCTTGACTCGTCAGAACACTCGTCCAGGGCATCAACGACACAGATGACGGTGCGGTTGCGTAGTCGGTTAGCAGAGTCACACAAAACCGCCCAGAGTGCCTCAACGTCGTTGGTGAAAGCCAAAATATCTTTGCTGGAGTAATCTTCCATTGCTGCGCTTACCAGTTCCGGGGCGGCGACAAAGAGTTGATGGAGCAGGATGCAGAGAGCCTGGTGGGAGCTTCGGCGATTGTCAACGCCGGCCTTGAAGAAGAACGAGCAAACGATGGACTGGTTTTCCCCATGGCTTAAAGCGTCCACGAGGAAGCTGGAAAGAACCGATTTGCCGCAACCAGGATTTGCCGTTACCCAGAGAAGAGAGGAAGACGTGCTCTGTTCCCAGTCGACAAACTTTGGGTGACGAAGAAACCATTGGCAGGTTCCTGGGACAGGCTTCTCGATGCCAATCCTCTGGCTCTCATAGTCACCGCTGGTTGAACAGAGACTACGTAAACAGTCTGTCCTTGAGTCAGTTTCACGTTCCTGTAGCCAGATTCTAGCAACTGAAACTCACCCTTCTCGGAGTCTGACAGATCTACTAGATGTAGTGATCGAGGCTTTCCCGCGCGAGGTTTTTCATATCCATCTGACTCAATCTCCACCATCTTCTTTGCACATGCTGTGACGTACTTCTCTGTTGATGCTTCTCGCAGGTGGCGCTCCGTGTTTGAGCGGACCATCCCCATCAACTTGTGATTTCCCAGATCCACGCCGCCAAGCTCGGGGACGCTATAGCGAAATAGGAGGCTATCTTTCAGCATTTCCTTATGCGACCCTCTGAATCGATTCCATGTTTCTTCAGTTTCAGTGACCAGCTTGGACAGTGTTCTCGCCAGGTGTATGAGGTTCCCCCTGAGTGGAACCGAAGGCTTGGTGCCGGTTCCGATACTGATCAAGAAAGCCTCCCTGTCCGGCCATAGGTCTCGAGCTTCTTGGCGAACTTGAAAGATGGGGTTATTACTCTTTAGCGCTCCGTCCAAATACCCTGCATTACCGCGACGATACTCTTTGAAGTACGTTGTAGCAGCTGATGTGGCGCGGAGTGCCTCCCATAACTGGAATTGCTTGGAATGTTTGTCCATTTCTTGCCTCGTTTCATACGAGCGTAGCAAAAGTAGCTCATTGTCATCTGTCTGAACCGTGGTGACGAATCTTCTACGCGTCAGCTCAGGCATGCGGCGTGACTCTTGAATCTTCTTACACTTTGCCGACCGCATCCTCTGTAAAATTGCTCAACGGGGTTTTCTCGCTGCCCGTTCGTGCTTTGATGATTTCTTTGACAACACTTTCCAACTTGGACGAGTCGTAGCGTTCGCTGGCGGAGAAAAAGTCGACACTGCGGCTGAAACAGTTGTACTTCCATCGCTTCGGCTTGAAAATGGTTTTCGCTAGACGAATATACGCCTCTTCACATTCTTCGACTGTCATTCGAAGACATCCTAACATGATGGCAATCATGCTTCGGGAGAGTATCAGTCAGAATAAACCATTACAGACTACCCAGATAGGTGCAGAATTGATTCTTACCCTCCCGTACTTGTACCTCCGATCAGATCGAAGATTTGCCATGGTTGAAGGTGATTGCCGGGTTCGCGATCCTGGTTCACATGGCGCATCAAATCTTTCAGGATCAAGATGGAGGAGAGTCCGCGGATACCCCCGCCATCTATCATGACATGAGTGTAAGTCGACAATCATGAAAATGAGTGGCACGAACTGGGAAACTTACCCAATGAGAGAAGTCGGACAGGTCTTTGGTCGTCCATCTTTGACTGATTTCACTGCAGTCTGAGCATCAAGAGTAGGACAGAGGTGAGCAAATTCCAAAGTGGCTGGGACTGCGCTACTCATACATAATATCGAACTCTGTCGGGGGCCAAAGACGGGCCACTCGGGTGACTGCATGAAGGCGCAGTCTGCCGGGCAACATATACCATGCAAGACTGGACCTCGCAGTTGACCAGCATGTGCAATCGCCTATGAGAGACGGATCATGCCACCAGCTGCACCAGGCGCGGGCTGTTGGGCGAATCGAAAGGCGGACATTGGAGGCCTGCATGATGTTGCCCTGGCGTTGCGGTGGAGACTCCTTTTGGGTTGAGCGTATGTTATTGGGTTGCAGGGGTTGATCGAGAGGCAACGGAGGTGGCTAAGCGCCGAGACATCCTGGCGCTTAACAATGGTTCTAAAGCTGCATTGTCTTGCCAAGAAGACGCAGTACTTTATCCTCGGAATCAGTGGGAAATCGTCCAAGAATACGAAGAAAAGTGAGCCTTTCTCTCAATTCTTGGCTTAAGTTTGTAGCAATCTGAGAAAAGCCGTGGCTGACGGGATCTCAACTGCGGCCCAGTGCCGGGGCTCCGCCAACATTCGGACCCACTATGGCCCGAGCCGGGTGTGCACGGGTGTGCCGTCCTGATCGGCCTCCCTCCCAACGCCCGGAGAGCCGCGATTCACAGTCCAGTCCAGCAAGTTGTTGTCACCGGGCCAAAGTAATTTTGATTTCCTTAGGATCAGTTTTGTCTAGCGTCTGGAGTGCAAGCTAGGTTCTGGTAATCATAGTGTCCAGAGAACGGAAACAGGAACGAGTGTGCTGCTTTCTCTAGCCAAAAATGATTGTCATTCCCATACTCTCTGCAACCTCCCTCCACGCTTCAGCGCCAGTGTTGCAGCCGTCTTTTAGTTTTCCCGACATCGCAGCAGCCCACTGGTGAAGGACAACCGCACGAGCTCTCTCAATGTTGATCATACCCTGTCTTCGTTCGATTTCAATGAAGGCGTACCTTGCGAGGCCTCGGTCCTGATCCGTCACAGCTTCGCATGCTGCTACGAATAGAGGCCATAGAAGCGCATTGACCGGTCCGCCAGATGCGATGACTGCAACGCAGTTCTCCAGAGTAAGATGGCAATGTTCCTGGACCGCAGGATGATCGACAGGGTGGTCGTGAATGGATCGATTCAGGTATACCAAAGCACCATGACGGTATGCCAAAGAGTTGTGAACCATGGCGCGGAATGCGCCCTGAGTATCGGAATAACAGAAGGTTTCAAAATTCTCGTCTAACTGGACTGGAGGCGCCCAATCTTGGAGTGCCTTCTGTACTGCTTTGACCGTTGATTCATATTCCATCAAGAGAACGGCGGCTTTGGCTGGTTGATTGTTGGAAACAGCGCCGTTCAAATCCCCCTTCAATGACTTAAGAGTGCTGAGACGGTATAGAATTGGCCACAGATTGCCAGTCATACCCAGAAGTGGATCAACAGAGCCGTCTTGGGCTGACTTGGACGGAGGTGATGCCATTGAGTATACCTGCCCAGTGGCGGGCACAGTAGAGACTGGATTATGTCCCAGTGAGAGTGCTGTAATTATATCGTAAAACTGGAAAGCCTGCTCACAGTATCAGTCCTGGGCCGTCTGAGACCTCAGTGGTCCACACATACCTTTTCAAGGAACAAGACACTGTGGCCCTTCTTAGACAGGGGAATCGAACTCAGCACAAGAAAAGCCCTTCGCAGATGCTCATGAACCGTATTTGTAGCCCCCGTCAAGGTGAGCTTTTACTAGTCAGCAACGACCTTTGTACGAAGAGCTGTAAGGGGAAAAGCTTACGGATTCGTAGTAAACCAGCAACATGGTCGCCGCCAATGCCTCCTCCTGCCGACAATTCTGCTGCACAAGTTGAGAAACACCTTCGGCAGCGAGAAGTCTATAGTTTGAAGAATTCTTGGAGTCTTGCACGCCCATGTACTCAAGATGACCCTTGGCGAAGGCGCACAAAGCGTGCAGGACGGGTGAGTTGTCGGAGCAGAGGGGCAAAATGAGGCCCTGGAAAAGGTTGTTCGGCTCTTCCGTGAAGACGATCAAATGAGAGAGAACACTTGAGAAATGATGAACGAGCTTCTTTTCCTGGGCACATTCTGTAATGTGAGAGAATGATGGGCGCGGTATTTCGAGGCTGGACAGTAAAGACGCGATGTCGATGGTGCTGGATTGGGATGACTCTGTGTCAAGCGGGACAAAGCTGAACTGTGAGCTACTTATTGATTTACTCTCTCGATCAAACTGTGCAAGCTGATCTACTGATTTGTCGCAAAAGTCAAATTGGCTGAAGGTGGCCCAGGCTGGTGTCTCAGGGGGTGAGTGACTGGACGTAGAGTAAGCCTCTTTTGGAGGCTCAGAGAAGCTCCCATTTGAGATAGCTTCAAAAGACTCTTTGGGTCTGAAGTTCTGCATCGGATAAACACTACGAGGAGTCTTTGAGGTTATTCCGTTGGCATGTTTGCTACGACGTGGTTCGACAGGGTTATAGATGCACTCCAACCCTCTCTCAGTGCAGCGAGTGCATCGAGGCTTCCGCTCGCAGCACTTTTTCTTCGCTTCTTTGCTGGGAAGGTGTAAGTAAATATCAATCAGCTGAGGCACGAGGTCACAAACCAGCTAGAGCAACCTACATATCAACATAGTCAGCTGTATGTTCCATCCCGTTCTCGGCACCCAACCGACCACTTACCTGTTCTCGCTCTCTTTTTTTTTATCTTCGGGGGCATGGATTTTGTGAAGAGTAGCATGTTGGAAGAATTGAATTTGAGTCTTTTATTGGAAAAAAGAGGAAAACTCTCAATGAAATGATGAGTCTGTTTCATGCGCTCCAGCACGCCGGTGGAAATGGAAAGGTGGCGCACCAGGAGCTGGCATCAAGCACAATTTAAAGCGTATGCCTTTTTGAAAGATATTGGAAAAACATGGTGTGTAAGCGATGGCAATAGACTTCTTCGAAAAGTTTTCCCTACGAACACCAAAGAATCGGCCCAATTCTGACTGTTCGATCTCTGACCCGTCAATCCCAGCAGGTAAGGTGTACGTGTATGACTACGTTATGGAGTAAAAGCAGGTGTTACTCGATGTTTCAGGGTCTCATGAACAAGGATGTGTGCTATTAGCCGCTTCTATAGTTTCGGCAAATACCCAATCGGGATCCCCGTGAAGCTGGAAGGTCAAGATCATTGCCCTCATTGGTATCGAAGGAGGCTAGATGACGGCGACTCATTCCTTGCTGGGAAGGTGATCCCGCAGGCCGAAAAGGATTTTAGTGATGGGTTGCCTGAACACCTCCTTCTAGAATATATCCATGCTGACACAAAAGATGAAAGAGTCGCCTGACCAACCTCTGTTGGCCGCCACTAAATCTGCAAGATTCTGGGTATCATAGCCTCGCTATTCCATCTCTGTCTTCGTGGTTGTATAGAAACTAGTCTAGCGCAAACCTGCCAGCCACGCGCGAACTATCTCTCGTGTGATCCAGCACGCATGAGCGTGGATTGGGAGGAACATGGTTTACATTTCGAGGATGCCGACAAAGCCTCAGGCAAATATGCGGCTGATTATTGGTGTAGGGCAGGTATAGAGAGATTCTCATTTGAAGGCCGCAGATGGGTACGGTTATATCCCACCGGCTTCGACGGCGGTGATACTACCTTGCATTGATGATAATCCCCGGGGAACCAACCAAGCCATTCAGCGGGCAAAAGCTGGGGAAAGAGGCGCATTTTAGAGGCGCAAGTTCTAGATGAAATTAACGTCTACCCCAGCTTTCACCCCACAAACCGGTATTAGATCAAGCCCTGCGCATGGCTCATTGGTGCGCGTCGAATCCTCATGCCAGCCACAAATACAGAACGAGACTCGGAAACGAGCTATTGGAGCGCAAGAGAGGGTTCCGGAACTGGTGTCTGCGTAACAGACTCAGCTTCTGCAGTAAGAAGATGAGCCTGCCAGCGGGCGTTCTGCTTTTTCTACTGCGCCCGTCGCGCATCAAAAAATGTATAAGACACATGTGGAGGACTTGATGACATGATGTGAAAGTTTTGGCCCTGTGAAGTTGCATATGCGCCTGCAACCCAAGGCGCCACGATGGCCGCCGTTTACTTCGAGACAAGCTGGGCCATTTTGAGCACTATTGGCCTGGCCAACACGCTGTTTGGATTCATCGTTGCTGGTATCACGGCCTTCTCGCCTGTATCACTTATACCTATTGTTGTTTCCATCGCAGGCTCTATCGCCAATGGGTTGTGTTACTACAGTTTCTATGCAGACTACCCCATTTTGAACACAGCGGTTGCATCTGGTGTTGCGGATGTCATGTGGATGGTACGCAAGGCTTGCTATTTCTTTTCAGAACAGGATGGATAAAATGCGATCTAATGAAACTTCAGATTCAAGAATCAGGCATTTCCTTCTACAGTTATGCTATTCTCACTCGCGTCCTGTGCAGCCGCGATCGTATTATTTTCAAGTCTCTATTCTGGGTAGCTTTAGGGGCCATCTTCATTCTCAGAATGATGATACTGGTTTCCCGGGTGAAGATACTCGTGAATGGAGAATCTGATCTTATGCCGACTATCAACGATCTTCACGTGGGCTATTTCTCATGCCTAGCTGTGCTTGAGTGTCTCAGCGCTTTCTTCCTCTTGCGCAAGTTTGCGGCGGCGAAATCGATATCGCAAGGGGCATCGACCGCATCAGCGCTCTTCCAGCACTTGATGCGAAGTACGGAGATCCGCCTCGCCATCCTGGCATTGATCGGGGTTACGAGGGCGGTCACCTACTTTTTTCAGCCCGCAGTTCAGCAAGCCCGGACAGTCGCAGGCCAGATTGATAGGTTTGTATACACTCTTGAGTGTATGTTTCCGGTGATGATTTTGTAGGTTTGACTCTCTTCATCAACCACGATACATTTGGATACTCATCTCTGTCTCAGTATCGACATTCTTGCCTCGCGTTTGGTGTATGAGCAGAGCACCCACGAGAATTCGTCTTTTCGGCTTGCGAACAGAAATAATTCAATTCAAGAACGATTGCCGTCGGCTGGAGGTAATGGAACACAGATCGCCTCTGTATGGAGCGGGGGAAAGAGGGCAAAGCTACAGGTCCGGAGGGAGTCCGGGACAAGTCGATCATCGCTTTTCCCACCAGAGAACGTTAGTGACGGCTCAGATAGCAGTAATCGCGACTTTGGTGTGATTGATTTTACCATGACATCGGGGATCACTAAACCGATTGAGATCAAGGTTGAAAACAATACTCAGACGCGTCCGCAAGACGCCCAGGAGACAGGTTCTACTTAAATTTATTCTCAAGCACTATCCATTTACATCATCATTATGACATGCTTGCTGTGCTTTGCTTGCATTTAAATTGAGCCACTTGCGCAGTACCTTCTTTTCGCCGCTGTTGATGAGGGTCTCAAGCATAGGCCTACGCAGCAAAGAGCCAGGTTGATGGTTGGGGTGTGAAAGTCACATCCTACACCAACAAGCTCAGTTATAGGCCGAAATTATAAGCAGTTGCGGTGACCATGGGCAAACCCACGTTGACTTTTGGATTTTCTTCATTGTGATTGAGCATCCAAATGACAGTATAAGATGCCTCCTCTAGAGGCCTTTCGATACCCTGGAAACGTAGTGCAAGAGCGGCACTGATCATTTGCCAACTGATACGAAGTGAACAATCATCTTTCGAGATACATGGGCTCTCATTCAAACTTCCTGATAGCTGTTGTGCACACACAAGCGTCGTATCGCATCTTGGAGTTCCCGCCGCGAGCACTGTGAAAGGGGATAATTAGATTTTGTCTATCACACAACCAGAGTTCAACCATAATGGGCCTCGTACCCGTTTCCGAACTCTAGGTAAATATAAAGATCGTCTTGCAGGAACGATTCCTCGTGCAGAAATCTCCCTTAAATATACATCGCTCTTGGTCAAAAATCCATCATGAAGTCGATTCACAGCTGGCGTCTTTGCAATCTTAACACCGCGCACACCAAGAAATCGATTGTCCAAAACTGCTACACTGAGGATCCTGCTCCTCCCCTTATTGACGACCGAGTCTATCTCTTTACCGGCCGCGACAATGATGGTTCGAAAAACTACGATATGAGAGAGTGGCTTATCTTTTCTTCGGCGAATACGGTCAATTGGCAACACCATGGCAGTCTCAAGAGTATCGGCATATTGGCATGGGCTAGCGCTAAAGCCTGGGCTGGTCAGGTCATCAGCCGAAATGGAAAGTACTACTTCTACGTTCCGGTCACCAGTCACGAGGAAGTCATATGAATGTCCATTGGCGTGGGTGTCAGCGACAGTGTCACGGGGCCATTTGTCGACGCCATAGTCGCCCTCTCTTCGGCAATGGCCAGATTAGTTTCATCGTGATTATTGATGATGATGGGCAAGTCCACATGCTTTGGTGAGACCCAGACCTGTGGAAGTCAAAGTCAACGAAGACATGATATCCTACAGCGGCAAAATCAGCAGGGTTGAGCTCATGGTCGACGGTTTCGGCGCTCACAACGATGACACAGGGCGCCCTACGGTTTTTTGAGGAAGGTTGCTGGGCCTGCAAGCGAGAAAATCTCTAATAAATGATCTACAGAGCTGTGTGCTGCCCGGAGGACATTCGTTACTTCACAGGCCCTACTCTTTTGAGGCCATAGACTCATCAAGGCATTGTCCTGCACGCTGAAGACGGCAGCTTTATGACCCACCCTGATATCGTTGATACCGACAACAACTCATAGTTTCTATATCACCAAGGCGCCTTACGTGGAGTTGGTGGGCTCGCTTGATCAGTTGCGGCCGAGAGTTTTAGCTAGCTTCCCTGCGGGTCCATCCAGAGATAAAGATGACTACCGAGGGCCCAGCACAACGAATGGGTGTGAAGACTTTCGAAAATAAGAAAAGAAATTGATTGCTTGATCCCAAGGCATTGAGTCTGAGGTCTGGATCGATGGCGGCATGACTGTCGCTTTCATCAACGATAGTGATTACATGAAGGTCGAGGGCGTTGAGTTTGGCGACGGCGCGGCAACCTTAACTGCGAAGTTTAACTCGTAATTACTGGTGGTAAGATTGAGATAAGTCTTGATAGCGTGGATGGAAACCTTAACAGTACCTGCGCTGTGAAGGGCACTGGTAGATGGCCAACGTGGGCGACCGAGACACGCCCACCCATGACCTTTACTTCTACTTTACCGGCGAGGGAATCGACTACCTGTTGAGTTTTGACTGGTGGCAGTTCGGAAATAGAACCAACCAACGTTGTCTTACTTCAAGATACCTAGCATATTCGTACAATGGATGGGAAAGTACAGGCACCTTGTCTGTATTTTTTAGGTCATAAGTAGCCCAGTATCAAGGAGTCTTGCAGATTTTGGAATTCCTTCAATCTAGGACACGTTTATAACATCAAAATGAGCGAGCCTACCAGAACGCTATTTCTTCCGAAAATGGTGGCTTCGTTAGCGACTGATTGAAAATGGTTTTCGAAGCCTCGATCTGATTTCCATACATCCTAGATTTTAGAGACATAGGCTGAGAAAATTCAACTAGTTGATGTTTATGAACGGTAATCTGCCCCCAAAATCCTAGCTGGTTTGTCCTGAGAAGAGTCAAGACTTCAATGATATCAGTTTTGAAAACAGAGGCTCAAGGACGTTCCCAACATATTGCCCAAAGAACTCAATGACCATTTTGCTAGACAAGATGGGAACTATTTGACGACACGCTGACAGGACAACTGTCAGGTGCCCGACCTGACAGTCTGACTAAGAGGGCCCACCAGGGCCCCTGCTGTAAATAAGGGGATAAGGGGCACGAACATCAGACTAGAGATGTCCGATTTGATCGTTCGTCACAATACACACCTACGTTTTGGGCTGGTCTTCTATACGTCTCTCACTCCTCGCCGCGCACCTGACAACAACTTGGAGGAGACCCAGTGATGTGAGAAGCCTGCAGAGAGTGAAGTACGTGCGGGGCCGGGATATTCAAAATGGAAAAAGCTCAAACAGAGTCATGACCAAAAAAGGCATGTCGTTGCATTGTACTCTCACTTTCGAACCAATGGTGTTGCAACATAGCCCCTCACTATGCTGCAATGGGGCTATGTCGAATCTCCATTCACGTCAGACAACATTGTACCAGACCAAGGGCACTTGATCCGGGGAGCGAATCAAGAAGTTCCATCTAATCGCAGGCTCCGGTAGTGGAAGCCAAGGCTAAATGCCGCAAAGGCTGCCTCTCATTAAGAGGGCTGAACACCTAGTAAGATCGCATGCACCGTCATGACCATCCCGACTTCACGATGGCTACTCAAGGACTCACAGAAGCTGCTGGCTTCAGCTACTGCCCACTCAATGAGGACCGGAACGAGATCCGGGTCCTAAACCTGCAGACGATTGAACGACCACCTCTTGTCAAGCTTCGCGATGAGCCATCTGAATGGCACGGCCTTGTTCATTGCACGATCGAGCATGTTTCCCTCGATGCACACCTGCCAGACTATAGCGCCTGGTCATCGCAGATGCAGCCGCTGTCTCGGCGAAACAGTGACGAGCGCTGGCGACTGTTCTCAAATGAGCGATATCGATCTTTGAGTCCGACAAGAGTGAGCTCGCCTTTCGAAAGACCACGCGCACATCCCCGCTACCATCGCTATTCATGGGGCGACTATGGAGCCCTAAGCTATACATGGGGAGACCAAGCCGTGAAAGCGCCCATCATCATGAACGGCCAGGTTGTGCTTGTCGGTCAGAGCTTAGAGGCGGCCCTTCGGGCCTTGTCCTCAGATCCAGATTATATTGACGGTCTGAAAATTTGGGCTGATGCAATCTGCATCAATCAGAAAGATCTGGCCGAGCGGAATCGTCAAGTCAAGCGAATGCGCCTTATATATGGCAGAGCGCTCATTGTCTCAATCTGGCTCGGCGACATACCCAATGAGGCTATTCCCGACATGGCTCAGCTTCACGAGTTGATAGTCAAGTCAAAAGACAAGGTTGCAGCATCTGAAGTGCTGGAAGCGGCATTGTTGGACCCAGAGAAGAAAGAAACCATCAGACGGGCCATCGATGTAGTTGTCAAGAAGACATATTGGTCTCGGATTTGGGTGATTCAGGAGAAATGCCTTGGGCCTTTCAATCCTTCTATTCTTTTTGGGACGTTTCGAATGGGTCTGGTGCCGCTGCATAACTTCCTTCAAAGTGTTACGAACATCCATGGTGCTGTAAGGGCCCGTGAGAAAGTGTGGCGAATATTGAAGTTGGTTGAATTGGTGACTGCGACTCAAGAGCGTGTTCGTCGCGGTCGAGCTCAGACGGACGAGGAGCGCAGGCAAGATCAAGACGATCTTGGACTTCTCTTAATGATTGGGAGAATGGCAGGCTCACTCGACTTGAGAGACCGTCTGTATGGGTTAATGGGAATGATACCAGAATATGTGGCTAAACACATCGAGCCGGACTACACCCGCAGTGTAGAAGATGTTTTCTCCGACTTTGCCAGCGCTCTGATTACTGGTTTCGAATCTTTCGACATCGTTCTCACTGGAACGACGGAATCTACCCTCACGCTCCCTTCCTGGGTGCCGGATTTGACATCTCCGTGGGATCCTTATCTCTGGGGAACAGATTGTAACGCCAGTTGGGGACAGAAAGCTGATTTCCGGTTGGAGAAAGATGGAAAGGTTCTCATTACTAGAGGATATCTCGTTGATGTGGTAGATGGACTGGCGCCATTCTTGGGTTGGAAGCACGGAGGACTTGGTGTATGGCAAGATGCCGTCCAGCCAGCATCTGTCGAGATGCCGAGCGATCCCAAGGCCGCAATCGTACGGACTCTTCATCGAGCTGCGATCTATGACTGCGGTTCAGGAACAACCATTCTCGATATTCCTTGGCTCGAAAGCCTGAGCCCCGACGATCCAGACATCATGTCACTGGAAAAGCGTGGTTGGGGCAAAGTTCTCAGACACGCCAATCTCAATGATTTAACCCAGTTCCGCAAGCAGGTCAACGCCCATTTCCAACCTTGGGGTCGGAAATTCAAGGATTTCTTTCCTCGAGTCCAAGACGTCGGAGATTGTACAGATCCTAAGCCCTTTTTGGAATCACTTGACAAGCATGTCGGGATCGTGTACCCGGTCTTCACCACGGAGAACGGTCTTTTCGGGACTGCAATCCTTCAAAAAATACGGAAGGGAGACTCAGTCTTCATCGTCCCAGGTTGTTCAGCGCCCATAATCATGCGACATGAAAATGAGGGATGGCAAGTTGTCTCACAATGCTTTGTCGATGGTCTTATGCGTGGGGAGATCAATGGTTTGGTGGCTGGCGGCGTGTGCAAATTCACCGAAGTCCGTATTATCTAGGCACTTGATAGACTTTTACGCATCGCGTCAAATTACTGCGTGAAACAACCCTATCTAGCTTCAGTGACTGTGATACTGGCGCAAAGTGTTCGCAATCTCGAGACTGAGCTCTGAGCTAAGATTTTCGCACCACTGTGGTAACTTCATTGACCCTTTCGCAGCATCTATTCCGTTGTTTTTGCACTATCCCTTCAAGGCAAAGCACCGCTCAATATTTTGCGCATTATTTCCCCACCAGTGCACCATCACAGCCCCGGTCGTACCCAGGAAGATGAAGATGAACAAGAGATTAGCATTGAAGCCAGTGTCCAAGGCGGCGCCACTGATGTATGCCCACTTGTTCCAGAAAGTACGCCGATAACGGTAGAGGTAGAAGTTGAAAAACGTTCCAACAAGGAAAGTTGTAAACGGTCCAGTACTAAGATTTCCATGGAAAGTTGCCGCGCTAGCAAAGAAAATCGTCGAGTTCCAAAGGTCGAAACGGGCCTTCGGGAACTTCTTATGAAGAAGCCAGATGATGATCGGTGCCAGCGCTCCAGCGGGGAAGCCGTAGAGAACAGGCTTGAAAAAGGATGAAGCGAAGAGCTTCTTAGGCCCAACGAGGGCATACTGAATGCCGGCCGTATTGTAGCTCTTGAACTCTTGACCAGTCCATTGTCCTTGAGGATCCGCAACTCGGCCGCTTACGTAGTCGAATTTGGATGAAATGACCCAACGCATGACGCCGTAATTGATAGGAAGAGAAATCATGTTCGCAATGATTTGGACACCAATCACGTCTCGTGGCGGAAGATGGAGATAGTGTCCAATCTACGTCAAATGTGAGCATTTCACTAATGATTAAGGCACTCGGAATGGCATCTACCTTTTGGTCTTCCAAGACGATACGAGCATCATACCAGACATTGCCGGAAATGATGCGATAAGCCAGCTGGCCCAGTGGATGCCGTGATGATCCTTTCGCGTCGATCATGTCTTAAGTCGCCCATCAGCTACCAAGTCTTAAAGGGTTGGTCATATAAATAACTTACAGCCATAAATAAGTTCATTGAAGAACCCGACCTTGATCGAATAACCAGACATCGCATAAACTAGACTCATGGGGAGCATGGCAGCGCCACCAAAGCCCAGAGCGACGAAGTAAGTCCAAGTCGGCATCCAGACGGACTTCGTAGCAACAATCACAAGAAGGATACCAATGGGGATAATAGTCAGGAGACCCCATTCCCTTTTTAATGTGCATTTAGCCAAAGTGCGACTTGCTATGTTGGGAGGAACGTGCACTTACCAAAGAGTTAGGCCCGGATATTGCTGAATAATGCGACTAAACAAGTCAGAACAGCGCACTTAATATCGACGTATGAATGACCAACCTTAATCTGTCTTGGTGATACTCGCCCTCTGCTTTTCTTGCCTTCCAGATCTTGGCGACTTTAGGGCCTAGGAACAGGCCGCACCAAACGAACGAAGAAATGTAAGATGCGTACCACTGCATCTTTTTAGCGACTTATTGAACCAGAATGAACTTAAAGAAGACTCACCATGAAGATTTCCCATGTGTATTGAGCGCCGGAGTACGCCAGGCCAACCTCGTGGTAGGCAGTTTCATTGACATGCTGAACGCCGCTTGAATCCGTGTAGACTACATGTAGATTGTGGCCGTTAGCCCTTATAGCAAGCCGGGTACACGAGCCCTAAATGATTATGATTCCATCTTACTTAGAGACGCAAATGGATAAGAGGAGCCGTTCTTTTGAAAAACACCATTTGACATGATGTCGTATGTAGGCGATCCCCATAAGTTGCCAAAATAAGCAACCGGAATCAAGATCCATGTCTTGTAAACAGTCAGTGTGGAACATCAGAAAAAAACACCATAACCTACAGTGATAACAAAGCCAACAAAGATAGTCACTTGAACGCTATAAGGATAAGTGATGACAGTAGACGTGATGTTGGACCAATTGAGCGTGATGTTGAGGAGCCCAATGCCTCCACGGCCAGCGCCGAGGAAGTTCACAGTATGATTGCGACTCGCAAACCAACATAGGGGAGCAAGAGCAGCGACAAAGGGGAATAGATACTCGGGGAGGAATTGCCAGACAAACGTGCCAAGCAGAATCCACCAGAACACCTTGATACCATTGTTAGTTTGCTTGCGGGTGTTTGGCTGGTGACGTTCAACCTACTTTCATTTGTTTCCGGGAAACGCTTTTGTGTAACTCGGTCTTCCCCTGCATACTTCTATACAAAGTGACTTGCTGAAGAGACAAAGGGAATATGAACTCGGGATCATCAATCAGGATCTTCCGGACTTCGGCTTGTCAGAAAGTGTTGTGAACAGGACAGGCACTTGGACTTACCCATTGCGGCGAATGAAAACCCGAGTAGAGAAGCACCCTACTTGCAGTTAGCGTACAAGAATCGACCTATGCATCATTGAATCCTACCCATCCAAAGAAGAGTGCGACGGCCGGATTCATCGTGATACCGTAATACAGTGCTGCATTGGTTGGCAAGTAGGCTGGCTGATGTGAGAAAAGAGCTTGAAGCGGATACAAAGAACGTGACTAACTCGCCCATTGGCCTTGACTGCCCGCGTTGGCAGCGATTCCAATGATCGCATGCTCTTTGATGGAAAAAGGTCCCGGGTTTAGGGAGAAAGAGAAGCGTCCAAGAGGTACCGTGTAATCAGGCAGAGTACGGGCTAGTAGCCGACCAAGAGGGGCTGAGGCCAAGATGACGAAGAATACAGGGAATGGTGCCGTGGTGGTTCGAAAGCTGGCTTGAAGTTAGTGCTGTGCCTTATATCAAGCTCTAGGGGGGAGAAGGAGTAACTACTATGAAAGCTGCGAAACAATGCTTCCGGTCGTGCAAAAGATTGCAGAGAGAAGGATTGATCGGAAGGTGAGCACCGGCAAAGACGGATCGTCTTCAAAGCCGACAACGTTGCGAACCAGCTCGGGGATGTTGGCGAACTCTTCAGATTTGAAGTCGTACTCTGGCTCCGAGTCGTCGGTAGATCCTCTCTTTACCCCGTCCGAGCCATCATCAATACCTCCAAGGAACAGCTTTTCCGACGTCTCAAAGACAGAGTCAACAACCACCTTGGGGTTAGTTGACTCCTTTGAGTCGTTCAGAGTAGTATTGTCCTTTTCGTCACGTGTTTTAGACATGGTCGGATGCTGGTATAGATGGGGAAGTATAGAGTTGACACTGCGACGCTCCCAACGAGTATAAGTAAACCGATCAAACCTAAGCTCATCGTTCACGGGGAGGAGCAGCATGCAATTGCGGATCTCCGTGAGGTGCTTGTGAAGGGCGTTGTTGTGTCGCCACCTCGGTAATGCAGAACCTCTTCCAGTCGGGAATAGCTTATCGTCGCCTTTCAAGGGAAGTTACCCAAGCGTTATTGACCATCAATCTGTATTTGGTATGGACAACTGAGAGAGCTGAACTGGATCATTCGATAAAATATGCTGAACCAATGATGCCCTTGGAGACTTTCCTTCTCTCTCGGGTACGCCCTCAACCCCGGCAGACGTTGGATGGGATGTTGATTGCAGTTGGTTTAGCGTCGGCTAATACACCCTGGCAATTATACTGAGCGGCATCGGAACTAAGAGGAATGGCTGAAGGATGTTGATGCTGCAGGCGAAGCCTGCATTATCTGATTGCGTTATCAAGGCGCAATGTAGGTGGAGTATGTCGAGATCGACCAGCGGAAGCGGAGGAGGCCCGACACCTCCTCCCTAAGTTTGATAAGAACTCATCTCAGACCACTAAAAGAACGCTGTTGAAGACGTATAGCGCGGGAGATTCAGACTTTCGAGGAAGTAACTCCGTCGCCCCGCCCTTGGCGCATAGGATGGTTTTATTGTAGCTCTTTGGTCGCATATTGCACCTTCAGCATCTGTTGTTGGTACTCGGCAAAGCGTGAAGAGCTTGTCAAGTAAGGACATCGGACAGGATCCGATAGCATATGATGCATGTTCATGCAACGTGATCTGTTGAGGACTCGCGATAAACGGCTAAGAGGATAGCTTTATCTCAAAAGTGTACACTTATAATTACCTTAGTTGATATTGTAAGTGTGTTATACATGGATATGCAATACGGAATCTTTGGCCCTTATGAGGAATACCAGTAGGCGCAGAGACACTCTAGCCGACTATGGGAGCGTGTCAAGACCCACGTATCGGCTTGTCCTATGTTCTGTCATGTCAACAAAGTCGAAATTCCACTTCAAAGCCTTCAAGCTGAAGAAATGAGTAGGATTACAAGATTATGTAGGCCTCAGTCAACAGTCAAAAGGTGTTCAATGGTAGTGATAAAGAACAAGCCTTGGTTCTAGGCCGACAACATTCTGGGCAACCCACAACTGAGGCTATTATCATGCTGCTTCCTAGGGTAACGAGGAGCTGCATCTGCGAAACATTATCGTTTCGCAGAATGAGTCTCTCATGAGGAAGATACAACTTTCTCGCGAAACTTTATAAATTCAGATTGAAGGCTGTGGAGGGTGCCTCGGGTGGTTCTAGGGGCAAGAATCTAGAGTAGGAGCGAGAACAAAAAACTCTCGACTAAGCACTAGGCTCGTATATTTCATGATGCCATCCCTCACAACTTGAACAGCATCAGAGAGGTGGCTGTAAATATCCAAACCAGCATTATTAAATGAAATCATAGTATTCTCAACTGTATCCACAAGTTGCCACGCAAAAGTCCCAATTGCATGTGCCTACCTAGATATCTATCTTTTGAATTTACACCTTGAAAGCCGTTTCCACGCATCTTTGGGTAGACAGCTTGTATCAGCAGATGCAACATTCAAGGTGTACTCAACTGACCGAGCTTCTCTGGGTAAGCGAGGGTGGTCCCTGCGGCCAGGACAAATAAAAAGAACTCGGTGAACAGCATGTTAAAGATGAATATGGTAATGAGAGAGCTTTGCGAGAGAACTTTGAGCAAGAAAATTTAGAGTTATTAAGAATTGAGACTTGGTGATGAAAGTGAAGTCCAGACTACATGCATTCTTCCGAGGATCTCATCATGTATTGTACGACAATGTCCTCCGTCGATTATCTCCATATCTTGTCATCCGCCGACACCTTTGGCATTTCTCGGGCTCTGTAGCCACCCACTAATCAAGTCCTCCTGAAAGGCTTGCGATAAGACAGCTATGATTGAGACATCCTCTCCGTGGCTGGCCGTCCACCCCTTTGTTGGTAACCGCGAGGTGGGAGGGCTGGTGGAGTTGAGGCTCTTCAAGAGGACCATAGCGACTACGCTCGCCTCGCATCGTGCGGCCTTGGGTAAGGACAGTCCAGCGAATTCTCATAAAAGGGGGTCTTGCTAACCCTGTCGTATGTACGTACTATTGAGAATCCGGTAGGATGATGGGTACTGGTGTAAAGATGACACTTATTTCAGGGCTGAGCTCTTTCGTGTTTGGATTCTGTAACGGTTGTCAATGGCCTTCGCCTCCTCTGACTAGCGGCTATGCATCGGCATACGCGTCGGACCGCAAATATATCCATCTTTGCCTGTTCACCAAATTTGGCAGCGGCCACGAATTTCATTTTTTGGGAGGATAGACTGCGCACCTTCTGGATGTTCGGATCCTGCCCTAGCGGGGGTAAGGATAAAATCTCATGGGCTTCCCTCGATCTTAAGTCATGGATGACGAGATATCCAGGACGCAAGTGAAAATGTGTTAAGAAAGTCAAAATGAGTAGATAAACTGATGAGTGGTGATTGAAGTGAACGTCGGCGTTTCATGCCGTGAGGTAAGAGTAATTTGATCCTCAAACATGGTTCAACGTGGGTGCGATTCTATAGAAACCTAGGACACGGGTTGCCTAGGCAGGGCCGCCACAGCTGTTTCCATCGAACGGGGACGAGAGTAGTACCATCCTTATAGACCGACCTAGATCCCGTGTGACAGAAGTGGATAATCAACTATTTTGATCATCTGGTCTGTGATAGTGTGGTCCACACACATGTGGCACATCACGGCTCCCACCTCCTTAACGCGTCATGGCCCAGGAGGTGGGCGCCGCGGAGTGGAATCTCGCAATACATCGACTACACAGATTGACCCAAAATGCAACCATCATCTCCTTGGTGCCATGACTCGTTCTTGAACTTCTACAAAACAATGCAACCGCCGGCAGAGACTAATCTTCAACCTGCCGCTGCTAATCCCGCCGAGGCAGGCGTGCATTCCAACGGACGAACCCGGTTTACTGCTTTTGTGCACGTTGATCGTCGCATTGATTAGACTATTTTGGAAAATCAGATGAATCTAAAAAGCGGGAACACAGACATCGTGGAAAGAAGTCAGGATCATTAACCTGCCGACGAGACGTGCTTCCCCGGATTGTTCTAGAGACAGAACGGAGCAGTGCCACAATCAAAAAAGAAAATAAAGAGGGCCGTGAATGCGAATTCTCCTTCGAGGCTGACTGAGTGACCTGAGACGCGGTAAACTGACGAGCTTTGGCCGGTCGCAACCTTCTTTTTCGACGTGACTAGGGTTTAGTTTGCAAATTCCAGTGTTGGTCGGAATTGTGACCGGTCACAATCCTGGCAGGATAAGCTTAAATCTTGCGTGACGGATTTTCTGCTCGGGAATTGTCATTGCTGTGCACATTAGACGTTTTCTTTTTGCGGGACTGACTCAATGCCATGAGAACGACTTGGTATTTGCTTTCCACCTTCAACTCACATCCTGCTCCCATCGTTATGAGCCATTCCGACGATGTTTCCCCAAGCCACAAACGCCCCCCCCTTGCTCATCGGAAAGAAGTCTCGACAAGAATAAACTTGGCCCAGCCACAACACCTTTCTCCAACGCAAGTCGACCAAACTAGATCGAGCAAGCAGGGCTCGCCGCTATGACACTTAGGTCTTGGCAGAACACCTAAACCCCCAACTCGTCATTGTCAACTCTGCCAAACCCCGTCTGTTCCCATGGTAGGAGAAGAAAGCTTTGAGATTCTCGTCGTCTTTTCTTTTGATGGTCCGTCACTCCAGATTCTGCTCCGAACAGGTAAGCGGGGGGCAATGTGTTCGGCCATCTCAACCACGCACCCGCCGTCAGTGTGTGCTCGCCAACGGTGACAGCGCTTTGTGTCTGTAAGCTGCCAATCAGGCCCATGTTCCGTTTCAGAGTCCGGAATGTAATTCAGTTCAGCCGGCGCGAAGTTACATGTATCGTGACTATCTAGATGCTCAGCAGCCCTAAATTGTATATATGAGGTGTATACCATCCCATGCTCAACTCCCTTCGAACCTGCTCAGGCAACTCTGTGTAGGAGCTCCCTAATCTTCGTCTCGTTTCAGTCCATCCTTCGTGTTTGTCATTCGTTGTCTTCAAGACATTCGTTATTTAATAGTATATTCTACACTCGTTCAGAATGCAGCTCTCCACTAGAGCCTTGTCCCTCGTGGCACTCGTCTTGCCCCTCCTCACATCGGCTCAAGACACGCACGATACCCTCAATGTCTACCAGATGCCCGCCGATGAGCCCGCGCCCTCGGGCCAAGTCCATCTCGGCTGTTACCAGGAACGCACTCGCGCCACCGCCCTCATCGTAACGGACCAGCCCGCGGCCACCGACGTTCCCACCTCCCAAGGCACCCGCTCCGACAATATGAGCCCCACGACCTGCACATCCTACCGCTCCCAGTTCAAGTCAAATATGTACAGCCTCTCCCGTGGCGGCACCAACTACGTCAACGCCTACGGCCCGGGGACGATGATGACGGCTGCGGCGTCCCCTTCCAAAGCGCAGCACATCGGCTGCCAGCGCATGCCCACGCGCGGTGACCCGTTGGCCGAGCACGCCAAGCTCCACTCCTCGCAGATGACGGTGCAATGGTGCCAGGACCACTGCGGACTGTACCAGAGCAAGTACTTTAGTCTCCGCGGCGACGGGCGGGACTGTTCCTGCGGCGACGCGCCGAGCGACCGCGGCACTAGCGGGAGCAGCTTCTGCAAGACGGCTTGCACGGGTGATAAAGATGCGTTCTGCGGCGGCGGCACGGGCACGGCCGGATATTATAACTTGGGTCAGCTTGACTTTTCCCATTTCGAGAGCATTGGACAATGGAGTGCGCTTGTCAAGTTCCCGGTCGTACCGGTTGCCGTGGCTTTATTGCCCAAAACTGGGGAGTTGCTGGCGTGGTCTTCTGGCTGGAGGTCAATGTTGTATTCCTTTCCGTGGATGCCGAAAGTTTGATTTGTTGATTGGCGTGGATTGACTTGTAAAAACCAGGAAACGCTGGACCTTTCCCGGAAATGTACACGTCAATCTACAACCCGTCCATCAAGGAGGTTACGGAGGCCCTGGTTGAGAATACCCAGCAGGACATGTTCTGTCCGGGTATCTCCATGGACGCGGACGGCCACATTATCGTCAGCGGAGGCTCCACTGCGGCTAAGACGAGTATCTTTGACGAAGACAGTAATTCCTGGGCCGCCACTGGTGAGATGGAGATCCCGCGTGGGCACCAGTCTAGCACCCTCACCTCCGACAACAAGGTCTTCACCATTGGCGGCTCGTTTCGGGGGGGTTGCGTAGGGAAAGCATGGTGAGATCTACGACCCTGCGAGCAAGTAGTGGAAGAAGCTCGATGGGTGCTCGGTGACGCTGACGCTGACGCAAGATACCCGTGGTTCTTTGCGAGACGATAGCCACGCGTGGTTTCATGCGTGGAAAGACGGATACGTTTTCCAGGCCGGCCCTAGTAAGGCGATGAACTGGTAATCTACGCGGGCGGGACTCGGGAAACGTCAAGGGTGCTGGAAACCGAGGAAGTGACAACGATGCCATGTGCGGTGTCAATGTCATGTACGAGTAAGTGTCGTCGGCCTGTCTATTGCCGAGTTTTGTCGTTAACAGTGACTTTCAGGGCTGTTGCCGGAAAGATCCTCATCATAGGTGGTGCCCCTCGCTACGACGGCGTCGCATCGACCGCCAACGCTCATGTCCTTCCCATCGGCGAGGCTGGCGGTGCCGTTGAAGTTGAGAAACTCGAAAACGCCGAACTTAATCGTGGTTTCGCCAACGGCGTGATTCTTCCCGACGGCAAAGTCTTTATTATCGGTGGCCAGAGCCGTACTGTCCTCTTCTCCGGTGCCAACCCGCAACTCTTCCCCGAAATCTGGGACCCTGCGACCAAGGATTTCACTGAGGTCAGTTCATTGAAAAAGCTCGGGAGGTTGCAAAGTTGACTCCCTCATAGGTCAAGCCACTCACCACCCCCCGCAACTACCACTCGGTAGCACTTCTTATGCCCGACGACCATTTTCTCCGGCGGCGGTGGCCTTTGCAACGGATGTACAGCCAATCACTTTGACGGGCAGTTCTTCTCGCCGCCCTGTCTCTTTGAATCCGTGGGAAACGATGCTGGATCACTGATACCCAAGAGAACGTCCAAGCTAACTTGGTTCCAGGACGGGCAAACTCTTGCCAAGCGCCCCGTCGTCTCCGAACTCTCGGTCTCCGATTGCAAGGCCGGGAACAGCATCACCATAACAATGGAAGAGGCGGCGAACTGCACTTTCCCGATGATAAGGATGGGCACTTCGACACACGCCGTTAACACTGACCAGAGACATTGCCCTCTGGAGGCCCAGACCAACAATAATCAGTACGCAGTTACTGTTCCAAGCGACGCCGGTATCGCACTGCCCGGCTACTGGATGTTGTTTGCTGTGAATGAAGCTGGCGTTCCAGGCGTCGCAAAGAATTTCAGAGTCGCGGTGTAAACGTTGTCCACCTGCTCAATAACTGCAAAAGGAGTAAAGAGTGCGATGCTTGGCCGTACAACATTCACTTGTTTGATTAGAACGTTACTTGCCTCAATACCTCTCATATTGTTTGAAAATATTTCTCCCGACCATTTCCAAGGTCCAGATGGATAGAGCAAAAATTGTTACTGGTTTTGCTGAGGTCGATCGAAACGCCGAGAGAAAATCGGAGGCAGAAGAGAACGAACCCCACCACGGGCAACAGCCGTGAAGGGCCGATCCCGGGCCCCGCACAAGTCTCGATCGGATGTTGCTTCGTTTCTGCAGATCCGTCCTGTGCGCGAAACGAGATCCGTTGGTTATCAAACCTCTCAAGACGGTCGATGCCCAGACGGAGACAGCTGCAAGCCGGGCCGAGAGGTGCAATGCTGACATATGCGAATCGCTGAGTCGACTTTGCTTGATAGCAGGCGACATTGAGGAAGCTCTCCGGCAGACGGCTAGCTCGATAGAGTGGCATTTTGTAGGAGCGAGGCACCCGAATGTCTCGGCCAAGAACGCGGGTGCGGCTCAGCTAGGGTCCCATCAACACGAAGCCAAGCATGCACAAGTTGCGAGGAGGAATGCCAGCGAACCCGCGATCCTTCAAGCCAGCATTGTAAGAGTCCCCACCTCGGCGCTGACAGAGGACTGGAGACAGGCATCAATTGGACTGGACTTGATGGCGTCGAGGCAGTGCTAGCTTGATAGACGGTTGACGGAGTTCAAACCTGCGCTGAACGGGTGTATGGCTCTGCAATGCACCCATGCAGATCGCTGTAGGCTCCGAGTGCCTTTTCCAAGAGCAGTTGCCTGCCTATCTCCGTCTGAAGGAATGGACCGACTCTGCGTGCTCAGGTTTGGTAGTAAGGCTGCGGCGTCTTATGCATGCCATTGTCGCGATGGCGAACCCAACCCGTTGCAGGCGCTTATGGAAACAACTGCGGCCAAGGGTAACAATGGGTGTGAACCCTCAACGGGGCGTCCTTGTGCGTATCCGCTCGCAAGGCTGGCATGCCCTGCCACCGCTGGTCGTCGAAGGGCAGTGATTTGGAGTATCAGAGGCTTGTCCGGTAAGGAATTCGTCTGGCAGGCATTGCTCGAGATGCAGGCAAAAAAAGTATGTGACACCCTTTGCCAGGTGAAAGGGTCCCTGGAATCGGTCGTGGCCAACGCATGGCGCGTGCGGCTAGAGTTGACTCGCGCGTTGCGGATTTGAGTGATTATAGTGGGATTCAGCGCTGGAGACGTTTGGAGGGGGCGAGGAGGAGGAGGAGGAGGTGCGGAGGCGTCAGCCAATCACCGACAGCTGGCAAAGGATTGTCAGTGTAACTTGCCGGGTGCAGGTAAAGGACGGCTCAATGACAGAGAGGGAGGTACGTATCTCATCCGTATCAGTCTGGACTCTGGAGCACCGGTCAGGTTGCGTGGTGGGGTCGATCGGGCAGCTGAAGCAATTCAGCCAAAAGGTGCATCATCCTAGACATGGCCAACGCCGCTGTCATTGTTCCAACTTCCAAGCACAAAGTGGGCTGCCCTCTGGAGCTAGCTCGGCTCATCTGAATATGCTCCTAGCTTCTGCGTGAGCCACGGCTGGTCTAGACTGCTGAAAATTGACTGTCTGGAATCTTGGCGTTGCGAAGGCTACCGGTCAACACAAGCGAGCAATGTGGTGTCGGCTTTTGTTGACTGATTAAAGATAGAGTTTGATTCTGTTGCCACGGCAAGAGCGACCGCCCCAGGCCGTCAAGCATCCGAATCGAGGGTGGTTGTCGCACGTTGGGGTGACACGGGCCTATCAGCCGTTGCAGAGAGCCACATTCCTGGCTGGTCTGGAGTCTTGACATCACCGGCCGGGATGGTGGATGCTTCAATGGGACCTTGGTTTCCCAGCACACAGGCACAGGCATTGAGGATAAGTACTGCCATGCAGGGACTCGGAAGGGGGATGTTGGCACGGTTGGCACGTTGGTTGACTTTGGAGACTCGAGAGCGGTTGACGTATGTCGCATCGTGTCAGACGAATGGGCTTGCAGGCGGGAGCCAAAGAGATGACAGCGCTGACTGACTTGCGCAAAACATGTGTAGCAGAAGAATACGGGGCGACGTTGGAGAGAGGCTGATGTTGGCGCTTTCGTCCGGTCATTGCGTCGAGAGTGTTTTCGAGAAATTTGCGAAACACCAAGACTCCGACGGTCAGCGACAGTCTCGAGCTCGAGCACGAGTACGACTGCCGCTAAGCTTCTTCCCGGGTACTGCCCAGGACAAAGGACATGCCGAGTGCTTGGAGGCCCCAACTTTCTCCAGCTTGAACTGTTCGGATGCGACTGGGTTGAAGCCTGGTGATGTCGTGGTGTGGGAGGTGTTGGAGCGGCACAAGGTGCGTGTTCGCAGACAGTGGACGCAGTGGACGGTTGGTGTTGGGACGGTCTGAAGATGGTGTGCATGTCGTTGCTTAATGCGCGCTCGGTGGGTGTCGCCAACGTGCACCCATCTCGTCTATGCAAACGTAATGAGGCTGATGGACCACCCGCTTCGCTCGAGTTTGCCCGCTCGAGATGTCCCGACCGTCTTCAGAATGCTCATCAGGTCGAAGCTCGAGTACTTGAGAGATGGCGGAACAAGTGGGTGTTGAAGTGACAACCGGCAAACTGTCACTCTCGGAGTCCGACTTGAGGGGTCTGGCCGGGGAAGAAAGTCAAGAAAGGCAGCGCTGGGAATAGAATGCGATGGGGCGCCAACTTTGACCTCATTAGCCTGATCTGTCCGTTCTTTTTTTAATTTTACCTTTTCTTCCCAGACAGCAGCATCCTCCCGACTGCAGCGTCTTCGACCCTTGACAACCTTACCATAGGTACTGTGCCATTGGTCTTCAAACCAGTCGCGCCAGAGAGAATGGGACTCAAAGAAAACACTGGTGACACTAGGACGTTGATCTCAGCACGTTTTCACCCACCAGCCAGGTACCTACCTTACTGCGCAAGAGGTGGCTGGCAAAGCCCCTGGGCCCCACCTCGACTCTTTCCAAGAACAGGGTGCGTCCCACGCTGCGGGAAGGCGCTAAGCGCAGCTTCTCCCACTCCTATCCACCCACACAAATCTTTCAGTCCAATCAGAAGACGCAAAGTGCCGGGGTTCTAGGCCAGGACACCAGCATCTCCTGGTCCGTCGTGTTCCTTCCTCCCCGAATCCCAGTCTACCCAGCTCAGCCAGTCCACCCAGTCCAGCCTAGCCATTTTCTTCTTTTCTTTCTTCCCTCGGCCCAGACTCCCAGCTTCTCTTTCCCATTCGAATCCCATGTTCATGCTGTGCGCATGTTGTTCAATTTCCTGACTGGGGGGCCAAGCACTCTTCCTCTCCTCCCCCCCCAATTCTGCATTCTCTTATCAGCCAAGCGCCCGCCGTTCGTCTGCTCTCTTACGAACCTTTGGTTCTTTTTGCAGATACCTACTCCTGCATCTGCCCTACAAAATCCTATTCCCTACGGATACTTACTGACGACGACCTTTGACGAATTCCTCGGGTCTCGTCTGACCTCAGCTCTGCATGCAAGTGCGCTGACGCAAGCTTGTGTGGCGAAGACAGACTTTCCGCCGTCAATACGAGTACCACACCACTAACTACGAATATACTACCTACCTGCCTTTGCACCCTGCGGCTACTCCATCCTACTCGGACCCAATCTCGACACAGCCTCCTATCGAGCGCCCATTCTCACAACCCACCAAAGTAATCACCTTTCAATCCCCCGCCTGTACCGACCTCAAACTTCCGTTCTCCCACACCACTGCCTGCGCAGTCTGCCCATATCCGGTGTCGTGCACAATTTCCCCGTCCTCGCGACCACTGTCCGACCTCTCGAAGCTTCGCCAAGGTTGTTGATATTCGCATCTTCCCGACAGCGGACAGCCGCCAAACCTCCAACAACATAAACCGAGTTCCTACCTTGCTACTATCGACTGCCGATTTCTATGCCGAGCGCCCTGGAGATTCTCGTCAACAATTCCATCCCTGATCTTGCATATCGTAACCAGATTCAGCGAATGATCACGAATCTCGAATAACGATAGCCCCTCTCTTCTGAACATCACCCCGGCGACCAAGTCGCCGGCGTCCCCAACACCCGCAATGGAGCAATCCGCGGAAATATTGACGGCGGCGCATGAGATATATGCACGGATGGGTGGTTCTACTGGTGATACCGCCACAAGACCTCCCTCATACAAGGCCATTGGTATTTCCCTGGCCGTGGCCTCTGGCGCATTTATCGGAACCTCCTTCGTCATCAAGAAAGTCGGCCTTTTGAAAGCAAACGAGAAATATAACGAAGCTCCCGGTGAGGGCTATGGCTACCTCAAAAATGGTTGGTGGTGGACGGGTATGACTCTGATGATCATCGGCGAGATCTGCAACTTCGTTGCATATGCCTTCACCGACGCCATCCTTGTTACCCCGTTGGGTGCCCTGTCCGTTGTCCTGACTGCCATTCTCTCCGCCATCTTCCTCAAGGAACGCTTGAGTATGGTGGGCAAAGTCGCTTGTTTCCTCTGCATTGTTGGATCTGTCGTCATTGTCATGAATGCACCTGAGAATTCTGCCGTTGCCAACATTCAACAGATGCAGAGCTATGTCATCCAGCCTGGGTTCCTGTCCTATGCCGGTGTCATTCTCGTCGGCAGCGCCATCACTGCGTGGTACGCAGGCCCGAGGTGGGGTAACAAAAACATGCTGGTGTACATCTCCATCTGCAGCTGGGTCGGAGGCTTGAGCGTTGTAGCCACGCAGGGTCTGGGATCGGCCATCGTGGCCCAAGCCGGAGGAGAGGCCCAGTTCAACAAATGGTTCACCTATGTCCTGCTGGTCTTCGTCATTGGCACTTTGCTGACAGAAATCATCTACCTGAATGTGAGACTACCCTTTTGTCAAACACTTGGGGGCAGTACGAGGCTAACCGAAACCACAGAAAGCACTGAATCTTTTCAACGCCGCCCTCGTCACGCCGACATACTACGTTTACTTCACCAGCACCACCATCATTACTTCGGCAGTGCTCTTCAGAGGATTCAAGGGCACCCCGACTGCCATCATTACCGTGGTCAACGGCTTCTTGACCATTTGCGCCGGCGTTGTGCTCCTCCAACTTTCCAAGTCCGCCAAAGATGTGCCAGATACCGCCGTCTTTGCTGGAGATCTTAACCAGATTCAAACGATCGCCGAGCAAGAACAGCCCGAGACCGAGCCCAAGGCCGATGCTATCCGTGGAGCTGCTGCGATTGTGCGCCGCTTCTCCTCAGCCAGACAGAAGATGGAAGAGGACGAGTTCAAGCGATTACAGGAGGAGAAGATGCGGGAGTCATTGGAGCCTGTTAGCGAAGATGGCCAGCCTGTCTACGAATGGGACGGATTGAGGAGACGCAGAACCATGACGGTTGGAAGTCGAAGCACCCGAGGAACGATGCGATCACCTTACCCATCCTCTCAAGCCGGTATCCCTCGTACGCCGACTGTCATCTCTCCCGCCTCTCCTCAGGCTCACCCACCTCTCGGCATGTCACATTTTCCCACCGAAGAGGAAATGGCAGAGCATGATCGTCCTACCTCTCCTGGTATGCTTTCAAGCATTGCGGGTACCATCCGAGAGCGAGCACGAAGTGTGCTGTCGCCCAACCATCCACAGTTCCAGGATCCGAGGGTTCAGAGCCCTATGCATCCGGTCCCTTTGACAGAAATTGCCGTGTCCACGCTCAAGTCAGATGATGATCAGACTCCGTACTACGGCAAGAGCAGAGAGCATACGTACGGGCTTCCAGCTGGTGACCACGGCGACTTAGAGTACGCCGGTGCTGCCGGCGTGTATGACGAGCGTGCTGTGTCGCGAGGTAGTGGCTTTAGCGGCGCCAGCTCGCATCTTGCACCTACCCCCCCACCACACTCAGCAAAGAGGCAATTCTCCTTTTCCAACGTCTTCAAAAGGCATCATGCCGATTCACCACACCACGAGGACGATCACCACCAGCAACAGCCGCAGCCTCGACCCACCAGCCGCTACGGCCTTGGGTCACGGGGTTACTCCAGCCCGCAGGTCAAGAACGCCACTGAAGAGGAGCGACTCGGCCTTGTCAAGGGAGACTCTCGCTCGCTGCCTGCCTTACAACGCTATGACGACGACGATGATGAGGAGGAATCCTTCAACGACGACAAGTTGAGGCATGTGGACTCGAGCCCGAGCCCACCGCAAGCTTCGAGATACGGACGCGGCATCACAACGCCACCTCGGAGAGGGAGTGATGGACGCGATACGGACTTTGAGTCTGAAGCACCCACACCGCCTCCACATCGGTCACAGCCTGGCAGTGGTCGCCCGAACGCATTTCTCTGAGCTTATGATTAGCATGATTTTGGATTGATTCGACGCCGAATATGACATGACGTGGCAGGCTTTTTCTTGGATGCCTTGGGTGTTTGAAACCTCTGTAAGAAAAATAATGGACGAGTAGGTACATAGCAGCATTATGAGAGGCCACGTCCACATGAGACGGATGGACCGATGCAGGTCTACAGTAGATGGGGTAGAACAGGCCCGACAGCCTAGGACATGAACACAGCCATTGTTGGCTTATCAATACTTATATAAAACACAAATATAAGCACGCCAAGCAAACGTGCTTGATTCCGACTTGCTGCAGGTGTCATTGCTCGTAGACCTAGCAACGCTCCGTTGCGGAGGAATTGCGACGGTCAACTTTGGTGTAAACCAAATGTATTTTCCAAATTCGCAAAACTGGACATCAATTTCGAAGCATGGTGGCTGTTGTAAAGGTGCCGAGGTTTCACGACATTGTCTTTGAAGAGCCGCATCATTGCGCTGTGCGAGTGTCTGTGATGTTTGATGACTCTCCGTCTCTATTCCTGGCGCCGGGTGGTTGAACACACCAACATGGGACCTGGGGAGTACTCGAGAAATGAGGTCCGCCCCAAAAGAACTGCGTCGAGTCTGGTTACGCAGTCTCGCGTAATGTGTGTTTGTACTGAGTAGGATACCTAAACTTTGCAGCTAGTACTTGAGCTTAGGTATGTCCTCTGTTTTCTCTTCTCAATCCATGATGGGTATGTTTCAAAGCAGGTAAGGAGATCTGAAAGGGCTACGGATTCATCATTGAAGTACCTTAGTGTAACTGCCGAGAAGGAAGGAAGCTTCCCTTTCTGGATTCGGGCATGTGTTTCTGCTGGCCTGTCCAAGGTACTGTATGCAAGGGTAGCACAAACAAGCAGCGGCGCCAACCCGGTGCAACTTGGGATTTCGAGTTTGGTGGAAAGGCCTTTGTACTAGGTTGAGTAACGTTTCTCCAATCGAGGAGCTGTAGATGATGAAGATTTAGGTGGAAACATGATAGTACTGTAGGCGAGTTACCCTGACATACCTCGGGTGAACTTATTTGTACAAAATAGTTTAATGAAGTCCATGACTATGTTTAAAGGTCAGCCCAGATACCTTTGGTTTAAAAAGCTCTCGTCGGCATGTGGTCAATCTCTCTGGGATTCAATGTTCAGAAAATGCAGGTTGTTTCCTGGAGATGGGGGCATCTTGTCAGCGTCTGAGCTCAAATATGGAAAAGAATTTGGGTTGCAGTCATTTCTATTCCTTGTGGTCACCAAAACTCGAGACAATGAATCGGCAATGATCTCTTGCACGTATTGATACAACATCGCCAGCTCTTTTCCTATGTGAAAGAATTTCGTCACATAAGGGTGAGCGATAACTTAGAATCGTGACTCTGGAACTCTTCTACCTCGATAATAGTCGTATTCACCATGTCTGGGTACGATACATAGTGGGCAGTGAGTATTGGAGGAAGGAGCAGTCGTGCTTTCCTGGGCCATTCTTTCCCTCTGAATATCTTGAAAGGTTGGACTGACCGCCTCGCTTAGTCTTTGCCTCGCTCCCACCCTTCCACAAAATCTCTTTCACCCTCTGAGGCTGTCGCCAAAACGTCTTCTCCCTTTCCCATCCGCTCACATCGCACCTTTCATACTTCTCCCTCTCCAGGCACCTCAAACCTGGTATTTCCTTTTTTCATTTCTCTAAAAACCCCGATACAAAGAGAGCATTGCTGCCGCCTTTTTGCGCCTTCACCGATCTCCTTTACACAAGTTCACCACTCTGGTCGGTCGATCAAGATGGTGGCCATCGGTCTCGCTTCTGCCTCGCCCAAGGGCAAGGCAGTCATGATGGGAATATTTTCCCTCATTGCAGTACTCCTTCTCGGTGTCGTTGCTGCTGAGAATCACACAGAGCCCGTCACTTCTGTCGACTTCAACTGGGACCCCAAGAACCCTCCTCTCTGGACCATCCGCCCTGAGGATCGCGAGGAGTTCCTTGCTACCGGAAACATCACCAGACTCATCAAGCGCAACGATGTGACTCCTTGTGAAGATCATCAGCATCCCGCCCTTCTCTACTACCAGTACTGGGAGAAGGACTGCCCGGCTCCTACCAAGTTCCATCCTGATGACTACAAGTATCCGGGAACTTGTATCCATTGGGATCGACCATGGTGGCCGGAGGACAAGGCTTGTGGTGGTTTCTGTCAAGTCCGTAAGTTTGACTACTGAATCAAGATTACTGAGCTGGCAACCAGCTGACACTTTCATCACCTAGGCACCTACTTCGAATGGGCTCAGGAGAGTCCCTACCCTATGTCTGAATGTCACTTTCCCGTCGCATGCGGCTTATCTCAGTCTGATTCAGCTTCTGTTGGATGGTCAGCTACTCTCAGTGGCAAACTCGGAAAGATGTGGAAGCTTGGTGCCTCTGGAAGTTGGAGCTGGGCAACGACCACTGCTACCGGACGCTCCTTCAAAGTCACCCTGTTGAAGGGTGAGTGCGGCTACTTCACCTTCGTTCCAGTCAAGAAAGTCATGTGGTAAGTTCGCCAAGATTCTGTTTGATATTCACATTACAACCGCCATCAAAAATATCATAGAGCTGATGATCTGGTTCTTTAGCGGTACATATTCCTTTTCAGAGGCATATCCAAACCAAATCTATGATTATTGGCTCTGCCACAGCGAGAGGGGCCCGACCAACCTACCCAACATCTGCGATTCCGAACCCTGGAAGATCAAGAACACTGGCGATGCCAAAGACCCCGATGGATTGATCCCCGATGGCACTGTCCTGTTCGTCTACACGGACTGTCGCACACGCTTACCCCTGCCGAAAGAGTTCCAGGACCCCGTGTACGGCACCCCGGGCGTCTCTCTCCACCCCAACACCATCGACAGCATCCAACAGGGCTGGGTCTGGAACACCTGCTACTTCTGGGACATGAAGGTCAAGGGCGAGCGCGCCCTCTTCATCCGCGGCTCGGGCTTCAAGGACGAGAAGATTGGCGACAACGGCGAGTACCTGCGCAAGGTCGTCGAGGCATGTTCCAGCCAGGCCGGTGGCGCTTTCAAGAATCACAAGTTCACGTGGTACGACAATGGCAAGCCGGAGGACTCGGCTATGAAGCGCGGCGCTGCCTGGCTCTTTGAGGGCGATGTGCCTGAGACCATCCGACCTGGCTGTGTCGGCGAGGCTCTCATGGACATGGGCGCTTCCACTCAGGATCAGTGCGTCGGTAACAACATGGAAGCCTTGAGCTTCGATTAGGCCTGATGTACACCAAAGTCATTTAGAGACATGACAAGGACGATGGATTAACGATGATGATTAACGATCGATGGAGATACCTTCTATCGTGGTTCTGGAATGATGGCAACTAGCTATACAGACGCGAGATACCACAAGCAGAAGAATAACACAACAGTTTTTAAAAATCTCCTTCCTTTCGCATGCTGAATGTCGAAAAATGTTCAAACTGTTCCGTGTGATATGCCTGTTCCCGATAACCTTCCGATCCATGCCAACATATGCTCCAGAGAGCGATGCGCCCTTCGCTGTCAAAGTAGTTACCTATTCGCATTGCGGTTCATCGTTACAGCATCCGCGGGTATGTTGACAAAAAAAGTCAGTCTAGCCGAGTCCGAAAGTCAAGCGTGCTCGGGAGGTTTGACAAAAGCCCAGCATAACCAAAACAAGTGAGAAAAGCGAGACCCTGGATTCTCTTCAACAAGATGCCCACAACCCCCTCTTCCATCACAGTAGCCTACCATGCCTTTGAGGAACAACAGCAATACCTAGTAATCACACTCACGGCGCATACGCCGCGCAAGGACTTGGTTCCGACAGCAACAGAGAGGGGACGAGGGGACGATGGTGTGCGCGTATTACATTTTTTCCCCCCACACGCTGAGAGTTCAACCTAAAGTTTGGGTGATGGAATTATCGCCAGGCATTAATGGTCGACGGAAGCTTCACCTTGTCTTTTTTGGGGTGATGGACGTGCTGGTGGGTAAACTCGTCTGATATCTCAGGCAAAAGCTTCAGATAAACTTCAAGAGTCGAACATTACCTCCCCCCCATATTTCCAGTCTAAAGCGAGACCGAGCGCTGCAGGGTCACCTATTTAAAATGGCCATAGCTCCGCAAGTCATATACTGTTGGGTGCGGCCAGGTCATTTGTATTTCTCTGTGAGAAGCCCTAAATATCGCGAAGAAGGCAATAGCCTACGCGTCCAGGCCGCTGCTGCGTCGGAGGAGTATGCGGGCAGGGGGCGCGAGGGTGAATCTTGGTGCTCCGGGGATGACGGAGACGAAGACGCTGGTGGCGGAGAGGGAGGGTGACAGCGGAGATGAGATTCGGGAGATGATCAAGGCGCATCCGTTCAAGAGGTCCGCGACTGCGAAGGAGATTGCCGATGCTGTTGCGTTTGTCGTAGGATGTCAGTATGTTAACGGGACCGATGTCTTCGCTGATGGGGGATGGATTGCGAAGCTGAGGTGGGGAGAAGGGGACATTGTCAACGAAATAAAGAAGCACATGGGGGCTTCAACTGCGGGATAGAGTATATCTTGCAAAAGATGTCAGAGAAGTGGCATTCGAGTATATTAGGAAAGGCAGATGATCCTCCTCGGGGTGGTTAATTGATGGTGGTTAGCGTCTAAATCATCTGCTAGAGTCTTCTTTACACACTTCCCTCTGCTTCTGTAGGGTTTAATCTCTTGATTCAGTAAGAATTTAGCTTGTTCTATGACACGTGGTGGCGCATGCTAAACCCATTGTACTTGGATTCCGACCAACATTCCAAGGGTGGCATGTTGTGAAACAATGAAGCTAAGGAATTTCAGATGGTCCAAGTCTTCCAGCGATAAACTCCTTGATTTTCCATGTTTAAAAAGTACCAATAAACTCCCTTTTTCATGATTTCATATCCTCATTACAGACGGCTCTTGTTGATCAAGTGGGCATTGACAGGTGTGACGCCCTTGCCGGTGCTCGCAAAGGAAAGAATGTTTTCCATACCAAGCCTCTCGAAGCCCATGTGAGCATCCAGAGAGGCACCCGCATTGTGCGACAGGACCTCGACGTTCCTCATCTTGATGAGCTCCTTGTTCACATGGGGCTCGTTGTAGTGCACGTCTAGACCAACGGCCGAGAGGTGCCCGCTCTTGAGCGCGGCAACAAGGGGCTCCTCCTCAATGAGCTTCCCACGCGCAATGTTGATGAGTTTGGCGCCCTTCTTCATCCTGGCAATCGCGGCGGCGTCTAGCAGCGTCTTGCCCGCAAAGGGCGTCGCCGTAAGGACGCAGTCGGCCGTGGCCAAGAGGTCGTTGAGGTTCTTGTAGTACGTCGCGTTCGATGGCTTCTCGAGGTCGGCGGGCATGCGGACGACGTCGTTGTAGAGGATCTTCATGTCAAAGGACTTGTGCGCCTTCTCCGCGATGCGGCGGCCAATCTTGCCGAAGCCGATGATGCCCAGGCTGAAGCCGTTGGGGTTCCGCGAGACGGCGCCGACGTTCTTGTTGGCGTCGACGAACTGGTCCGGGTCGCCTGAGCGGGCGGCGGCGGAGGACCAGGAGAAGAGGCGGAAGGTGGAGAGGATGAGCCAGATGGCGCCGTCGGCGACGGATTCTGTGCATGCTGCGGCGGCATTGCAGTAGATGATACCTAAGTGAACTTTGTCAGCTTGTCGATTCTGGTTCAACTAAAGCGCGGCAACACCAGCGGGCTCTTCTTTGCGCCCATGTCATGAACCAACCTCTACTTGCGAGAGTCTCTGTGTCAACCCAGTCGAATCCAGCCCCCGCGCTGGCGTACACCTTGCATGACGATGGCAGAAGCGAGATCAGCTCCTTGTCCCAGTTGCCCATTTCGCCTCCCGTGTTCCAGAACGGGCGGTAGATGGCAAAGAAATCGCCAAACTTGTTGTCCTTCAATGCCTGGATGAACTCCGCGCGCGGCATGCTGTATGACCGGCGGATATCGAATTTGGAAGTGAAATCCTTGTAGAGGTCATGGTTCCACTTGATGTCGTCGCCGAGCTGTAGAACGATTGGCTTGCCCATCTTGACTGTGTGTAGTCGTGGTTCGTTTGTTCTGAGCCTGGGACCGTCGCGGGTGTATGGGAGGTATCGTGAGGTGAGGAGACAGAAGGCTGAGCAAGACGGACAGTTGCGCGGGATTGCCAGTCAATTGAAGGACCTTGGAGCTCGGTGAGCTCTCCGCAGTGATCTGTATATCGGACGACTCGTGCGCTAGGAATATCTTGCTTTACATGCTGTCAGCGGTCCCCGATTGGGTTTGATTGTGTTTTTTGTTGGGTTCCGGCCGGCGATATTTACCGCATTAGGAGAGCTCGCAGCACCCTGGCGCGAGTGGAATGGCCTGCGTCGAGCTACTGGCTACGATCCTCCCCCGCTCCCGCAATTAGCCTGTAACGGCTCCATAACCCGCGGGGAATTTGGGGCTGTGACGTCCCTTTTGCCGGTTGGTCCAAGGACGGTCAACGGCCCCGAACGTCGCCAAGCCCGAGTACCACCGCGACTTGGCACAACCAGGTCTGCCTCGCTTCACCGCCGGCGTTGACTTTCCGAACCTCCGATTGACTGGGCTAGAGAATCGTGATAATGAAGTTCGCTCGAGGCTGTTGAGTTCAGAATGGCTCTGCGCATTGACGTTCCGAGACCAAACAGTGCCGTTTGGATTCTCCTCAGTAGAGGCGCCGCTCGCCGGGGAGAAGTCTGAATGACTTCAAAAATATGGACTCGAGAGAATGTCGCACATGGAGCATTGTATGGATATACCATATAGCTTGAAAGCCTACGTTCGTTCTAGAACTCAAGTGAGCTGTGGACGCGCTGTGTTAGCTCCTGTTTAAGCGGATATCCATCATGCCTCGTTTTTTGTTTGAAATTTTTGCATGAATCGAGACGTACGTCTGGATTCTTATGAATTGCTACTATCTTGCACCCATGCTCAAAAGTGGAAGGCTGAAATGTAGCAAGGCTACGAGCTTGACCTGCCAGAGTCCTCAACAATGTGCTCATCGAACCACTCCTCACTAGCATCGAGCTTCCCATGGGGCAAAGTGAAAAAGACGAAAACCACCCTCCCAAAAAGTGAAATTCAGATGCAATAACGTCCATTACGATATCCAGCAGTGGTAGCAGAAGCTCCACTGATCGGTAGTGCATACGGATGACTTTGAAAAATAAAATAAGAGAATGGCGTGTGCCTGCACTGCCTTCTGCAGGAAGTGGTACAGAGAACTTGGCTTTCTAATTACTAAGGTAACATGAATGAACCTATACCGGATCGACGACATGCCGCACTGGTCCCTGTCGATTGTATTAGCGGATGTGCGACATGGAACGGTCCGGTCGTATCGGGGCTTACCTTATCCAAACGACACGGCAAACATATAAGTACACATAGATGTGAATGATCTCATCCGTCGTCCTTGTGGTAGGTATATGTAGCTGGCTTATATACATAGAACCCGAAAAGAAATGACCAAAGGAAAAAGAAATGGATGGAGGGTGATAACTGACCTTGTTATTTACGCTACATGCACTGTCTAGGTTCAAACAGCGCGCCCCTCAGTAAGGTAGCTAACAAATCTACTCCATTAGAGTATCTTTTAAAGCTGGTACCAATCTGCCAAACATTTTTGTTAGAGAGGGGCCTTGGTTTGAGCGGTTGCTAGTGACAGGAACAGCGTTGGATCAGGTTCAATTAGATTGGTAAGTATGTCATCTGGGTAGCCGTCTAGGAGGAAGGAGGGACGCAGAGACGGAAGGTACTGGTGGGGCACTGTCTACTGCCTTAACTAGGAGACACTCACTCCCTGATCAGTACAAGGGTCTCAAGGAGGCGAACATCTTTACATTGTCATCGCTGACATATAAAGGGTCCCCGCGATTCGCCATCAAAGTTCATGTATGAGTGTCGCTTATTATAGTCGTGGCCAGATCGACTAACAGTCACCACTTTGGATGATTAGTTATGCAGCCTCCAAAGTAGCGCTGTGTTTGAGGATACTAATAAACAGGGTACGAAGGGTGAATGCAGATGCTGGAGGATTTTGGCATCTGCCATGCTGGTTTATCAGTTGCCAGTAGACTGCACACCTACAAATAAACGAGACAAGTTCTTATGGAAGCTCTATGAGATCTCTTAAGCAGTTATCATCGCCAACCTGAGCTTCAGATTTATATCACTACGTGTGGGTTTCCAAAATAGGTCAGGTCAAATGCGCAAAACCGCAAGGTAGATAGGTACGATCTGTACATTTTCTAGTCCAAACTGCTTTCAGATCCAATGTTTGGTGCTTGCCCACATCGAGGAATAGTTCTTCCAAAATCAAACAAGCGCGGTCACGATGGCTTCGCATATGTAACGAAACCTCCCTAGAATTCGCACCAGCGAAGTCGTCTGCCACGTGCCTTTTTCACCTAATCATTTCTTTCACTTAGTATATAGATTTGATTCTTTTTCCTCTTCACTTTCTTGGCCAATATAGTCTGCCTTCTTTCTCTATTCATCTGCCCATTTCAGTGAGCTCAAACCTATCATAACTTTCAGAGGCAGGTGCTCATCAAAGCATACGGATCATACCCGTTTATCCTCGTACTACTCGAGTGCAACCAAGCTACAAGTCCCTGACTTGCAGTTACGTACCTTTTACAGTAGCAGTGTTCATTGGGGTGAGAACAACGAAAGTGATACTCTGAATGTACCACCATCGACGCCGAAATTAAAGCTTCTGTAATCCGCAAGTCGGCGCCGGTGCTGTAGTCCAGAGCCGTGGCAGTGTTATTCCGTCGTTCACGCTTTCCGGGCGCCGTGAACGTAGATACCGGCGTTGCAGTCGCCAGGTGAAATCAGGTTGCGGAGAGCATACATCAGGGTATTGCAAGGGAATGATATTTGTCAGTCTAGTAAAGCTGTGTTAGGTCAGATCGCCTCGATGATCCGGTCGTCATAGTGTTAGCCGTGTCACTAGTACTCGGCTCGCTTTCGACATTGATTTCCAACAAGAAACATGATGAATGGCCTTGCTGGTAGAGAAGCCAATTCTCCTCGGCATATAGAAATTTTTTAGAGAACTCTGTCCTTGAAATTTGGTCATTTGAGCTTCCTCGTTTGATGAAGGGAGATTTGAAGTGGCCCGAGTTAAAGACCGAACGCACAAGGTCCTCCGGTCTGAACTCACCGGGATTTCAGTGGGTTTCTTGCAAATGTTCATCTTTCAGAGAGGGGGATCACTATTCGCTCGGCCGATACCAAAGCAGGTTTTGGTTCCCCCTCATCCGGTCGTACGTCAGCACTGGAGTTTGGCGCAGTATCACATGAGTGATTAAATTGCGTATGCAGCACATTTACGGTTGCTTGCACGAAACATGCTAGGCAGGCTAAAGACTTGAAGCCAGAACCCTCTTATGCTCATTGATCCCTTATAAATCACTTACACATCACGGCAGATGGTCTTCTGTCACGTCGATCCGTACCTCCGCATTTCTAAGTTCTCAGTGCAGGGTCCCGTCGGCTCCGGCAAAAGTTCAGGCACGGCGATGGGTTCCCCTTGCAGGCCGAGCTCCGGTACTTTGGTTCCATATTTCAACCTTTCAAAAGACGCCTTGTCGGGTGGGAGTTGAGTTCACTTTTTGGGATGAAACAACAGAGCATGGCTACTAAGCCTTTATTTATTCCCGACTAGAATGAAACCGCCCTCCCATGCTCGACCAGCAATGGAATCTTGACAAGGGGTACCATCTAGTCGGAACACGCGGGCTGACCAACTCTGGAACTCCTACGTCACCCGATGTCCTTACTTCGGGAGCTACATGTAGATTCGTTGCTCCTTACCCTTACCTTTGTGGATGGGGCTCTCTCGAACGCCTCCATCTACGTCGCGTCTCTACAAGATTCTCATCAGGATTTCCTACCATTTCTGGGAGCTTCGGAACCGAATCAATTCGAGCAGAGGATTCTTCATTGCCCAGACCTGCAAGATGTGGTCGTTTGATTAAGCGGGGATTATCTCTGCGCGACCCATAACGCCTGTTAAATGGAGACCGCGTTAGATCTCGAATCCACAGAGTCACAGACCCCAGAATCCACCAAGTTACGTCCAGGCTTCTGCCAACGGGATATCGGAATGTGTGGCGGCAGATCAATGATCGGTCATAAGTTTTCGCGCTTGGCGAACCAGGGGGGCGGGCGCCAACTTGGGTCGACCGAGCCGGCACTTGCGGCTTGGGGTCTCCTGCGAGGTTACGCGACGAAAGGGGAAGGTTACCGAATGCCGTCATCCAAGGGGGCTAATGTCCGCGTCCGCGTGTCTTGGGCCGTACACTAGGATGCGAGCGCGAAAATAGAAGGTCTAGCCATGAGAGGTCCTTGCATGCGATAGATTGAACCAGCTTCTTGGAATGGATCATGGGGCGAGCTTGTTTTATACGCTGGGGTTGTGATGGTGCCCCAGTTACCGACTCCATTGGCCGCCTGATTTAGGGTTCAGAGGCTTCCGATGAACGTGTCTGACAGGCATCATGCTATGCATGCCAGAGCAATGTGTTTGCAGTGCTACTTTGACCACTCTCGCCAGCCAGGTCGGCGAACGGCTGAGCTGGCTTACCTTGAGTGATGGTGACACTCGCACCAAGCCGCACGTTGGAAGTTCTCAATTCTGCCATGTTGATGACTGAACTTTCGTCCAAAGTGTTTCCAAACATCTACACAATTCACTTTCCACACGTTTTTCTTGTAACATCAGAATTAGAGCCTAGAAAACATCCATGTGTTGAACAACCTTCCCGCTGTGCAGGAGTTTAAAAATTTCAAAAGCTAAAGGCTGCGTGGTTTTGACTTTGTTGATACAGCTTAGATATCCATGATGTGGATGATCAACCCAAATAACAAGTAAGCAACTCCTAGATTTCACGTAGTACGCTGAGCTAGGAGGGCAGAGAAGTTTTGTCGCGAGGAGTAAGAGAGCCTGGATAATTCTGACTTTCCGGCCATTCAAAAATGGCGAATGCTGACTATACCGGCCTTGACGAGACTGAACATTGATGGACAAGCAAGCCCGGGCGATTCATTGCCTCGGCTCTCATTGTGGCAACTACTGCGATCGACAGAGGTAAGTTCCCTATTTACGCCCTTTTAGATTTGAAGGAAGGAGAAAAGCATAGGAATGACACGGGGAATATTCCAAGCCAACGGCTCGCTGCATTAGGCCAAGTGTCCGTGACCCTTGGTAACGGAAACGGCAGGGCTTGAGAGGAGGGTGGTATGCAGCGCAGCAGCAAGGCACCCACCCATCGATCGGCAATTTCACATGTGCTACTGTTACGTCTGTCATTTTCTTGCACCGAGACAGTAAAGTTGGTGTGATCAGTAAACTCCAGCGCCGTCAGCTACACGTGTAGGTAATTAGTGCAGTGGTCTTGTAAAGTCGCGCGCGAGGACCCCCAAACCACTAGCGCCATCGATTTAGCGGATCTGTGCTGCGCCATGTCTCCAACGGCTCTCTACCTTAAGGTACGTTATCCTACCTTAGATTGGACGCCAGAGGACGGGCCTTCAGCTGAACAAACCTGGATCGATGTGCAACGGTGCCTATCCGCACATCGTAAGGGTGACTTTCCAGTGTCGCCTCCTTGGACTCTTCTGCAATTCTGACTGGGGGTTTTCGTTCCAGAGCGTAATTCATCACAGATAATTGGGACGATGCGAACAAGTCACCCGCTGTTTCCAACTTTTCCCACAGCATGTTCGTCTACCTACACTAAGACATATCGCGACCGGTTAGGGCAAGGGTAAGTGCCTATAGGTAGTAGGCTGCGGCATGTCTTGGGACTATGGAAAGACCTATCGAAACAGCCGGGATCATGAAATTTACCGGCGGCCGAGCGGCAATATCACACCCCAAAAAGGCAGGTTGGTAAACACAATTATTTACAGAGCAGTGGGAGTCTGGGAGAGAGATGTTTTTTTTTTACCGCTCGCTCCGGCAGAGTGCCGACTCCAGGGACGCGTGTATTCGTAAAGGGGGGACGGAACCGAGGGGGTCGCCAGGGTCCAATACACTGGGGTCCCATGGGTTTGAACCGGGGAACCGGGGAAGTCCGGGGTGCTGCGCATCCTTTTCAGGACGCTATTCGGTGATGGGATGAACCTGGATACCAGCATTCATCCCCGATCGCCATGCACGATTGCAGCGTACATCCAGACGTCGCAAGACAACCAAGGATCATTTAACGGATCCGTGGCTCTATGGAATCCAAAAGAATACGGATAATTCGGTGACTTTGAGCTCAGCTGAGGTGTTTGTCAAGCATGACTAGACGAGCTGCCGCGCGGGGCGAAATCGACTCTTCAGTGCGACGTTTTGAGCAGCTTGAACCTTAAACTGATTCAGCAACCATGCATCAGCACATTTCTCGCAACCGCTTCCCGGCTGCAATCTCCGGATAACCTGTCCCAGTCTCCCAGAAACCGGTCCTGCTCCACTTGGCCTGTCAACCACGTGCGGCAGTTACAGCTGCTGTTGCTGAGCAAGCAATCGCTAACAGGCTACGGATATTGCGCCACCCAAGACAGCTCAGGTAGAGTCAGGGATATTGGCTGAGTTTGTCCAACAAACCCCTTTGTCCCCCCTCTTTCCCCTGGTACTCTGCTCGTGAGCCCATGTCTTGCCCTTGACAAGTCTACTGAGGCAAGCAGGTGATATTTGGTCTGGGCCAATATGTCGTCGTTTAAGGCAAGCGGCGCTTGTCTCTTGGCTGCCTTGTTTCCCCTGACTGTTGTGGAGAAGAGAGTCCATAATCGGCAGGCAAGTCCGGCAGCATCAATGGCAGGGCACATTCATAAGCCTTGGAAGGTCGTTATCAGACGAAGTAATCCCATCTTTAGGGACTCGCGAGATCATATAACGGTTCGTCCCGAGTCGACACAATTCTGCGACTCCTTGCGTCTCTACTCACTCATTGCTATACCCCTGTACATACGCCTTTGATCTTAGAGTCCCATTCAGACACCAGTCACCATGGCATACGTCGTGAAGATGGCTGTGGCTGCGGCAGCAATGCCGCTCCTCGGAGCGCTTGCTCGTCCGTCTTCTCGTTCAGTTTGTCTCCAGCGGCAAAACGACACAAATCTGCTGCCTATCTACGACTACATCGTCGTTGGTGGCGGTGCCAGTGGGCTTACTGTTGCCAACCGCCTCACGGAAAACCCAGGTGAGCGGCATAGCACTGCAAAGCGTTAATCAAAGGAACAAATAGCTGACTCCGCACAGCTGTGACTGTTCTCGTTATCGAGGCTGGTGAACTGTGAGAATAGTCCCGCATACTGCAAGGCTTCCTGGCATCCTGACATACAGCTTCTAGTGACAAGGGTGAGGATTTCGTCAAGATTCCCGGATTGGCTGGCGGCGCCATTGGAACCCAGTACGACTGGAACACGACCTATGTCGCCAACGACGCACTTGGAGGCCGAGTCGTCTCGATTCCCCAAGGAAAAGTTGTTGGAGGTTCAACTAAGCTTAACCGCATGGTCTTCGACCGGGGCTCGAAGTCTGATTACGACCGTTGGGACGTCCTCGGGGCCGAAGGATGGAACTGGGAATCGTTGTTCCCTTATTTTAAGAAGGTCGGTGCCTGTGCTCCCTGGTGCAATCGTGGAGGCAAATTGAGTCGGCAATCTAACTTTATTTCACTTACAGAACGAGAAGTTTACACCTCCAAAGGCCGACATCGTCTCCGAGTGGGGCGTTGAGTTCGATGCCGCTGCTCATGGCAGCGACGGGTTGATGCAGGCTACCTACTCGCCTTTCTTCTGGCCCACAACCAGTTGCGTGTCCCTTCCCAATTCCCGGTGACATCCAAGGACGGGCTCTAACCTGCTTTTTGTAGAGTACATGATCGAAGCTGTCAAGGAGCTTAAGATCACCATCCCAAAGGATCAAGCCAACGGCAGCGCGATTGGAGCCTACTTCTGCCCCCACAACCAGGACCCGATTACTTCCACTCGTTCCTCTGCCAGGGAGGCTTACTACGATAACTTCACCGGGCGCAAGAATCTCCACCTTCTCACTGGACGTCAGGTTACCAAGGTCCTGACCGCTGGGTCAGGAGATTTTGTCAAGGCCATAGGTGTTGAGGTGTGCTTGCAATGCTGGAAATCCCGACTTAGAGTATCAAAGCTAATGTTCTACTCAGTTTGCTGCCAGCAAGGGCGCTCAGACGCAGACTGCCAAAGTCGCCAAGGAAGTCATTCTGGCTGCTGGAACATTCCACACGCCTCAAATTCTCCAGGTTTCCGGCATTGGAGACCCTGCTCTGCACACCAGCATCAATGTCCCGACTGTCGTCAATCTTCCAGCCGTTGGCCAGAACCTCCACGACCACGTGATACTGACGGTTGTCAACACCAGTATGATAGTCCAAAATGGCAACGAATCCTGACATGAGCTGACTAGAGCACTTAGTTAACACCACTCTGCCCGTGAACTCCATGCTCCAGAACAACGCGACCTTCGCCGCCGAGGCCAGAGCCCAGTACGACAGTCAGAAGAACGGCCCTCTCAGCTCCCCTACCGGTGACTTCATCGCCTTTCTCCCGCTTTCGACCTACTCCAAGGCCGTGGATGTTCTCAGCTCCGAGGCGGCCTCGCAGGATGCAACCACCTACTTGCCTTCCGGCACCCCGGCTGAGGTGGTGAAGGGATACAAGGCACAGCAAAAGGTTCTCAACGAGCGTCTTACCGCCGACGACTCTGCAATTCTGGAGATCATTTGGTCCGACGGTGCCTTTGTTCTGGGTCTCCAACACCCTTACTCGCGTGGTTCCCTCAAGGCTCCTTCGTCCAGCACTTTTGACGCTCCTATCGCCGACTCAGCCTTCCTGAAGAACCCTCTTGATGTCTCTGTCTTGGTCGAGGGTGTCAAGTTCGCTCGTACCATTGCCGGCACCGAGGCTGTCAAGCCTCTGCAGCCCTTTGAAATCGTTCCCGGCGCGAACGTTACCACCGACGCTGCGATCGCCGACTTTGTTCGCCAACAGAGTGGTACCCTGTACCACCCCGTCGGTACCTGCAAGCTGGGTCCGAGGGAAGAGGGCGGTGTCGTCGACGCCAACCTCAATGTTTATGGCGTCAAGAGTCTCCGCATTGTGGATGCCAGCATCATGCCCCTCTTGCCTGCGTCCCATCTTATGACTACAGTCTATGCTGTTGCTGAGAGGGTAAGCTCAACTATCCATCGAGTGCCTTTTGAATGATACCTGGAATCGTTCGCTGACAAATTTGGTATCTAGGCTGCCGATATCATCAAGGGCAAGACGGTATAAGGGGAGTAACGATTATGAAAAAAACTCATATTCATCCTGGAGGAACGGACTCTGCTATTACTCTGGCCCGAAGAACATTTCGGATAGCATTGTGCCAGATTTGACTTTTTTACATCGGCCAAGAAAGTATTGATTTAATGAACTACGAACTGCCTTACGCCTTCCGTAGACGACACCTGTTGTCTTTCTTTTCATGCTATAAGCATGGTGTACTTTTTGTTCCACTATGTATGATCTAACAATGTTTCCAACAAGTTTTGGGATCGGGATATCATACTTTTAAGTTGTTTGCCGCACACTTCAACAAGTTTCTGCGCATCTTGAATTCTAGTCCATCTTCTGCATCGGCAAATAGCCGTAGTCTGGAACGTTTTATTCCACTAGCCAAACCTTGATTCTAAGGCAATAAAGCAAGTTCGGAGGCCAAATTTTGGACCACGCAAGAAATAGATGATTTAAATCAACATGAGGATATCAAAGACTAAGCCGTGAAAGACTGTATGATTCTGCATCGTCATTTTCGCCATTTCTCTAGGAATAAAGATCGTTGAAAGACTCTAGTCCGGTGGCACCCATCTGACCATTTTTTATCGAATTGGCAGATAGTCGGCATCCAGGGACAATGTATTCCTTGACGTAATTGTCCCATCTTTGGGCGCTTATAGCGTGTAGCGCCCCTACTTTGAGCCGAGAGGAAACCAGGAGAGGGCAAAAGCCTTCGATTACAAGTTCTTGCTTTGTCTCGGTGCGTTCTGTTTCTCTCTGTTTAATTCCGATTTTCTTTGGCTTGGCCTTGCAGCGTGACCTGATCACAAAAACGAGAAACTTAGTAACTACTTGTAACTCCGTTTTGAATTGAATGGTTCTGACTTCATGCGTAATTCGATATCTCCAGTAATACGGAATACCTGGCTTATGGGAAAGAAATTTCCATAGACTTGCATGGCACGGTACGTCGAGACAGCCTTCGACAATACCATAGTCTAGGCTAGTGTGGTCTCAGAGCCTGTACTTTGAGAAATCATCTTGTCAATGTAGTAGTGACGTAGGCTGAGGTGAGTGTCGCTAAGTTTTGGTATTATGGCTTTTCTTGGAACCTGTGAACCTTTCACGTGAGAGGTACCTGCTGTCAATTTCATTGAATAGCATTGTGCTATATATTGTAATGCTCAGTGCTAGACAACGAAGATGATATAATAATATGATATCGTTGTTGGGTCTATAGTTCTAGAAGAGGCCAATTTGTTGGCTATGGCTTCCCCAGTTGTTAAGGAATGTGGACACAGCTAGTCCCTCCTTGTCGATTTAGAAAGACGAGAGATTGCTAATGCTTGTTTATACTTGGCCCGAGGCGAGGTAGACCTATCAGCTACCAATCCAAGTGATATATCTGCATATTTAGCAACTGACGTGTTACCTCCATTAGGCTCCAAACCAGCCTCTTTGCTCCCGCAACAATATCTTTACGAGGTCAACTGACGTGGATGAATGCGACTTGTAACCAGTTCCACGACAGAACGTCGAGCTTCGAGAGCGGGGTAGTTGTTCTCCTCAGATATCTCGAAGGGCCGATTTTGTCTACTCAAGCCTAAACAAAGTTATGTGTATTCGTTGTTGCAGCAATGCTGGGCGAAGCCGGAAACCAAGGCTTGTCAAAAGCAGTGAAGAGCAACGTCCTAATCGACTGATGATGATGGCGATTGGGACAGCAAGAGCCGCCCTTGAAGCGTAAACAAGCGATTTGACCCGCTGCTTGGAACGCTTGCGAGTGATAGTCAGTAAGTCATAGAAGCAGAGATGGCGATCAGCCTTTAAGCAGCCTCGCTCTGGGGATTTTCTTTCCGGAATGGGGTGTCTTGACATGAGGTAACTAGTATGATGCAACAAGGTGTCTTGAGTGATAAAACAACTGCACTATCGATCCGTATCTTGTGAACAATGGGTCTGTGTTTTCACTAGCGCATTCAGAGTTGGGAAATTTCATCTCATACAGATATGCTACTGGAGTGATTGCAACTCAACATCAACGCCGTGACAACAATTTATATTCTATGCTTCCGAATATGGTCGTTCCAGTAATTCTGCTGGACTCCATTGAGAGCTATTTAGTTGTCTTGGAACACATTTAACATGGCTCAAGTGTGTAATGATAGTCTCCAGATGCGTTCCTGATGAAAGGTGCGGAAAGGGGATTTTTATTGATGGGGCTTCAGAGGTGTACTTCCCCAGCTAGTAAGTCTATAGTCGCTGAGTAGCAATGGCAAATTCGTACCTATCCAATCCGGTATTTCCTTCGCAGCCAACCAGTCCATGAACGCCATGCTATGCATTTGATTAAATCAGAGGGTGCCACCAACACATGCAAGCCAAACTCTGCAGGATTACCAGTCCACCGCCCACCCGTTATCTTCGAGGAACTCTTCACAAGCCTGCCTAAGGCCAAGATTAGGTCTCAACTCGGACGGCAGCAGGGGTTCGCGTGTAAGGGGGTCGCTCGGGTGGCGACGGAGATGCTCCATTATGGATGCCCTCTCGTATGACTTTCCCGTCTTGGTCTATGAGCGCGTTAGTAGGCGGCAAGGGCCAGTAGCAGAGCATGGGTCAACTTACAAGGACGGGGTCGACCATGATACCGAAGCTAATGTCGTCGATAGCCCACTCCGGAACCTCACGTCTCTTTTCCTCCGCCGAGCGACTCTTCTCGAATGTATTCCTCAACATCTCGATCTTCTGTTCCCACTCAGCCTCGATTTCCCTCTTTTCGCCGTCGTCCATTGCATTCGCAACGGCTTGTTCACGCTCCTTTTCCATCAGCTCAATGACCTCATTCTCGAGGTGTCGTGCCTCCCGTGTTCGCCGCTTCTCCATCCAATCCCATCGGTCCTTCTTCGCGCGCAACACCTGTGCGGTGATGGCCGCGAGTGATTTGTCGCCAGTCTGCACGCAGAGCTGGTGGGCCTTTTGAGCGTTTGTGAGAGAAGAATCGTAGTCTTTGAGGGCGAGCTGGGCCTGGGAGAGGTAGTAATGGGCCTTGAGGTTGTCGGTGGTGAGTCCGAGACACGACTCGCAGTCGGAGACAACCGAGTCCCATATCTCGAGCTTGAGGCGCGCCATTGCGCGGTTCGTGTATAGAGCGGGGTTCTTCGGATCGGCAATGATGCTATAAAGGACCAAGGATTAGCTTCTTGGTCAATGCGATTGCCATGTCTGGCTGTCCTAAGTGCACACCCAGCAGGTGGATCAGGTTGGGGCTGGCTCTGAAGTCATGCAGGTGCAGCTTACGCCTTGGAATACAAAGCCTCCGCTCCAGCATAGTCGCCATGCTGGAAGTGGCGATTGCCTTCCTCCTTGAGTTGTATCGACCTAGACATTGTTTTGTTGTTTCCCTTGCGGCGCCTAGTTGTGGTTCGAATTGTAAAGTTCCAGTCAATAGTATATATATATATAGAGGTATAGTAGGAAGAAAGGACGATTCGGCGACAGGCTGGAAGGACAGGTGATGTAAAGATGCGAAGCAGAAGCTAAATGCAACGGTGCAACCTTGGCAAGCCTGGCCGTTGAAGCAGGAATCAGCCCGAGAGAGGTATGTCGAGGCAGAGAGTACCAGGACAGAAAGGCTGCACAAAGGCCAAAGGGACTGTTCACTGCGCGTCGAGGCGTACAAATCAGTGGGGAGTACGGTTCGGTGAACAGGAAGAAGGCATCCCTCTTGGTCAAAGGTGTGGAGAAGAAGCCGTTGGGCACACCGGCTGCTGCAGCTCAGCCTCGGCGCGTTGAGATGGGGTGCCAATCGAAGATTCACTGCCCGCCAACGTTGCTGCTGCTGCTGCTGCAGTGCGTGTTGGCTGCTGTCACCACTTCAGTAGACGTTGACGCGGGACCCCCGCCAACCCGCGCCGATGGATTGGACGTGGATTCCAAGGGTCGCTTCTCCGCCGACCCCACCTTCACCCGAGACTCGCGGCTGTCGTTACCTTCTCGAATCTTCCGCTTAGAAATGGGTGGCTGTGGAGTCTCGAATGATCACGTGATGTGGCGCAAAAGCATCGAAGATCTTGGCGGCTGGAAGTGGGTCTGCTCCCGTCCTCTACCTTACGGTTGCGGAATGGTCTTCGGAGTTCCACCTGCACTTGGTACTTGCCTTTTTTCCTACATAACATCAACTTACAAGCTTAGGTATTCTTCATTTGTTATCCGTACTAACTATCCCTGTTAACCTCGCATGAACCTTGTCCCTATTATTGCAGTCCGACAAGTGGGCAACCCCTCTTTATACAACCAGCCCCCAAGCAAGGGGTATGGAAACGCGGGCACAACACCATCAGTTCCTTGCTAACCAAATCTATCCGTGGAACAAAGTGGGAATATCAGCTTTTGTTACCATTGAGTCTTCGTACAATCAAAACTCCTTCCACAGATCTCATGATCCTTCATACGGCTGATCAAATCATTATCGTAAACACTCACTGAGGAGCTCTCAATCATCAAACCGAAGGTGGAGTGGCCATTGGAAGGAACTCATTCCCTGTGCAATGTTCTTGATCTTCCCATCCTTGATAAACAGCATGAAGAACAGCCAAAGTCCTCGAGATATCGTCGCAGCAGCAACGACGATAGCTACCACCTGGCCGGTAGACAGTGCTTGATCGTCTTCTATTCTAAAGATTGCGTTCTTGCCCATGAGCGCGATCTCCGCGGCGGCCATGGCGGCCACCATGAATATTCCGTAAACGATGTACATGAGCGATACGGTTGTTGGATATGGGCCATATTTCACATCCTGTGAGTGTGCTCCAAGCCAACCTCGGAGTCTCCCATGCCAAGATTGCCTCGAGGCATCGTTTTCGTCTTGGCCCAGCGATGGATGTGTGATGCCTTTGAGGGTGCACGAGGAATTCTTCTTGGCTTCGTGAAAAATTTGGGTGTTCATGAGAGCATGGAAGCTGCTCTGAATGTAGAGGACACATCTGAAGGTATAGTACAACCAAAAGACGTTTGAATTACTCTCAACAGTCGGTAAGTTCTTTTCGGATTTCCTGAGTCTATCCCACCAGAAAATCCGAAGGGAGTCGCAGTCACCTTTGTCCGCACCTAGGCACAGTCCGGTTCGTCGGGGTCCGTCGAGGAAACTTTCGACTAAGATCGGTATGAGCACCATGCTTATAGCTTGGCAGAAGACCACTATGCCAACTTGCCACCTGGATGCAAGAGCTTCTTTGGTGATGAGGAGGATCGAAAGAGCGCTGTTCTGAGAGTCGAGAATCATGGCGCCTAGGATTGCACTTGCCGAGGTAAGAATCCCGCAATTCTCTTTATGTTGGGCCAGCTGGACAATAAGCGCCACAGCTAGGGAAAGGTGTGTAATGATGAGACCAGCACCAATTTCCTTAGCGCCTGTGACCTTGGAATGAAATGTACCAGCCAGGGCAATGAAGAAGATGACGAATTCTTGTGCCCAAATAGCGAAGCGGATACCGTAGCCTCCAATATCTGCATCAACCTCGGCACGGCAGGTTGAGCCATCGTCCTTTTTGGCGAACACATCTCCTCCAGTGGTATTCTTGTCGATCTGAAAAATGATCGGTATCACAATGAGACTAAATATGCTGATGAATGCCGGTGCGGTCAAGTACTGGAAGAGAACCAGCCATTTCCGGGTCATCTTCTTACGGAAGAAGATATAGAAGAAGGACTCGACGCCGAAATAGACGATTTGGAAAGTAAGCAACATAGCCAAGATGGCCTGTCTGGCTGACTTATCGATGAGCATGGTGTTGGCAACGCTCAAAAGAAGAGGCGAAATGCCGTTGCCCTTCGGATACTGCTGTTGAGTTTTCCGCGAATTTCAGCCAACAAAGTATTTATAATTGGGAGAAAAGTCGCCCCCAAATTGAGGCTTGAGAGCCTTACCATAAAACCGAAGGGAGAACTTGTGAGGTACAGCTGACACACCCTCACGAATTGGCCAACCCTTGTTTTAGCTGTTTTGAGGTGAGACTTGTGCGAAGCAGGCCAATGGGGCTATTTGCCACGATCCATGATGGGTGCGGTGAGATTAGCGTGGCACCCCAAGAACAGATTGGGTGGCCTCGGTGTAGCCTTGTGAGACTACCTAATGTCACTGCTCTCTGTTGAAGTACGGCAGTGGGATATCAGAAGTGAAATGAAACCCATTTTGTTTTCACTGTAGATTGGCTGCTGATAGCAGCTGAGCCAAATCATTATGAACTATTTTACAAGGCTGTAAAAGATTGCAAGCACAAGAACAAAATGTCTATATGTACTGATTTGAATGATATGTATACAAAAAGCTTTACGTGAAAGCTTTTTAAAAGTATAAACAGGGTGTTTTCGATGCCACAAAGCATGCCTGCCAACCCTTTTGATGTCTGTCTGGTATTAGCGTATTCATGCTTCCGCTGGCTTTGCCAGTGACATCTACTGAGCTGAGTAAGAGGCTGAGTAAGGCTTAGCTACTCTTTTACTATGTGCTCTGTTTTCCTGCTGTCTTTTTCCATAGTCGTCTTTGATCTTCAGCGTATACCGTTGATAGCATTTACATGGGCCAGAAGATAGTCTTCTAATATAGACTGCTATATCCCCTCGCAACTCTTTCACAGAATGTGTAGCAAAGCACGGGTCTACAGAAATGGAGCAAAACCCACTGCCTGTGCGGAGAGTGCTGCTCAACCTTGATATAAAAATGCATCAGATGCTGTGAGTCTGGGCTGCGGCGTTTCCTGGATCTCAGCCGGCCAAGTCTTTCAGTCTCCACAAAAGTTGCAAAGTTCTTGATCAACCCCCAGGGTAAAGTTCGAGCTTGGCAGCGGAGATGATGCATCTCCTGACATACGCACCTCCCTCATCTATCGGATCAGTTTGAGGGAGAATAAATTGCTGTTCAAGTCTGACGATAGTCTTAACAGTGTCATACCGGCCAGTGGCTTCGTTTGGTGTCCTCTGAAGGTCTCTGCATATAGCGATTGAGGGTGGTACCCAGACTGATGTGTCAGGTTTAGGAGAAAGTTTTCTCACATCTCCCCACATGAACAACTGAGTCTAACAAGAGCGCGAACCATTAATACAGTGGCCTGATCTCTTGATGCTTGATGGATTCTGAATACTGGTTTCGTACAATCGTGGAAAGCAAGACTGAGCCTCACGCTGGCCTCCCCAAAACTAGAAAGACAAAGCTTTTCCGCCCTCATTCAAGGAATTCAGACACCACAGCAGCATCCTCTCAGCTCACGACCAAAACTCCCTCCAACAATTCAACACAAATTTCTAGTAATTGGCACCCCTTAGGGAACATCCGTAAGCAAACTTCTCGAATTCCTGTAGGACTTCAGACGACTGACTAGAGTATAGACATGAAGACCGCTTGCATCATCGCCATTGTCGCTCAGGCTACTGCCATCTTTGCCAACTGAATTGTCCAAATCCCCGATGCGGGCAAATTCTCGCTCGGCACCGTCTGTATTCCCAAGGGTGAGAAGGGCTCCACCAGACATAACGGCAGATACTACTTCATCACTGCCATCTCGAGCTGCAGCCTGGGATTCATCAGCACTCACACCCATCCCGCCGGCTGGCAGCTCAAGCTCCTCGGCAAGTGCTAAGTAATGATGTGCCAGATGAACAAAAACAAGGAGTTCCAGGCCGTCTCCTGTGGGTGGGTTTTGCACCGGTTTGGCAATGTCTGGGTGATGGAGCGCTTATACGGGATAACATGCGCGAGTTTAACAGAAAATAGCAAATTTCTTGATAGATAGTCCTCACTTAATTAGACTACGACTTTCAGTGTTTCCTGAAATACCTGCCATTATTTGCTTAATTTCTTCCAGACACTATAAACACGCGGGAAAACCCTCATTGATATTGGCAGCAGAAGATAGGGAGCTTCACATCCAACACATCACACCTCTGTCAAGTACAAGGTCTGAAACGCTCAATGGTGGCATCGTTGGAAGGTCGAGCTATGCTTTTCCTGTCCCACCTTCTACGCATGACGTTATAACTTGTTCTACTTTCTATAGGTATTTATGTACATGTAGGTTAACCTTTCCTACTGAGGACTGTACAACGGAAATTCTGGTCTGTAATTTCCTCCTACTATTTCGCCAATACACTGGCGCTCTTATCATTGTCCCTGACGTGCTAGAAATCTTGTCATTAAGTCTATGGCTGGGTTTTAGTCATTCCTTTATAATACGTGTGTCGAGTTACGGGAAACAGTGATAGGGATATAAAGTAGGCAGAAAGTAGCTTATGTTAACCTAGAATAAAGAAGAAGAAAGCTCACAAGTCCAGGTATTGAGTGAGACTGAGGGCTACGTGAGAAAGCATGCAGCAGGTGGCTGCGTCTATGGTGATAGTAGGCAGGTTTTGATCACAACGGAGGCCAGGAACCTCATGAAATGTAGGCGGTGCAAGGTCGAGAGCTAAAACTGTAAAGAATAATACATTTTGGTTCGTGATGAAGACTGCTATAATTGGTGGAGTATCTGACGAGCGACGGGTGGAAGCAAAATGTATTGGTGTCATGGTCTAGACGGTGTAGACGGGATATTACGCTAGATCTGACAGCGCTCAGGTAGCCTCTATACTCAAAGCCCTTGATCCTTGCATTCATGTAGTATTGCTAGGTGGGTAAAAACTTGATCATGGAATTGTTTTCTGACGACCCTTTGGTCATAGCATATAACTTGTGAGCTGTTTGAAGTCGCTCTTCAATAGTTATCATTCACTGATACCTGACCAGAATCTTGAAACTATCCCGAAGAACTACATTTGTCTAGCACACTATCTCTTGCATATTTCCTCGGATGTGGCGTGCTTCTTGGCCAAACCACCCCGCAAAACCCCACAAGTTCTAAGTCAATTGAAGATTGTTATCTTAGGGTAAGATGGGATCGAAAGAAACCTGAAGAGAGACCGGACGAGACGCTCGAAGAGGGAAAGTCCCGGTAGGCCGGTGGTGACTCGGTCAGAGAGGGGTTGGACGGGAACTCCTCGGGCTTGGTACGAAGGATGGCCGAGGAAGTGCAAGTTGGAAAACGGTCGTACGACAGTGGTCTGTCAATAGGGATTCTTTCTGCTGGCATCGGGACAAACCGCGATTTGGGATCGAGTGTATCCGGACAAGGCCTATTGGGGACGAATGACTGCAGGCTGAAGAAGCTGAACCGAGGGGTAATTCAAGACACGCAAGGCCAATGTACCTAGGCGTTGCAGAAGTTCGGCGACTTCAGATGAGTAGACCAATTAAACATTCGTTCCGAGGCAATGGACTCCTTTTGGTAGTAAGGTTACAGTTTCGTTGTTTTTGCTGCGAACAAGAGAATGCATTCTCACTCTGACGTCGCCTCGATGCTACAGTACCTGATATTCTGTACCGAAAATTGACCAAAGGGCGGGGACAGTACGTCTCGAGAAGCTTGGCGAACGAGGTCGCACTAGAGCACTCGTGGAGATGACGGGCGCCGCGGTGGCAGCCTCAGAGTGTCAGTACACCCAGCTACCAACATTTAGGAAGAGCTTAGAGAAGCAGGCTAAAGAATTACAGCAGAAAACATGGCGGGCCTCAAGCGACCTGTCAGTCACGTTGACAAGTTGAACTAGGTATCTCGGAGCGAGCAAACGGGTACCTAAGAGGCACCCTATCAACCGAGTACCTACCAACGGAGACCAACCGCGAATTGCAGAATTGTGGCTGCACGTGCGATCCTACGCAGCTGTGCCGCTGCGAGCCTGCGTCTCTCCTGGCGTTTCGGTTCCAGATCTGCGCGGCGCTGGCAAGCCTTACTGAGACCAGCGAATAAGACGGGATCTGATTCGAACGGGCTTTCAATTATCAGATCATGTTTAAAAGGCAAGGAGCAGGCATCTTGGCCGATGGTTTGTGTACACTATGTATGTGTGTGTGGGGATAACCTTTCGACAAGGAACTAACGGTTTGGATTATGGTTATAGACAGTCGCGGGGATTGCTGCCAGGAGGGTACGTTGGTAAAAGCAAACCTCCAATAGGTAGATCTGGTGAGATGCCACCCAAGAAGGCCAAGACAGGTAATCTTTTCAGTCGCCGGAGTCTACGGATATGTCGCGACCATTTCGGATAGGAGAAGACTCGGGATGCAGTCGGACTCGAGAGTTGAGGTAAGGTAAAGAGAGAGAGTCGGGGAAGAGGGACCAGGGGAGTAGACCTCGGATAAGATAAGATAAGATAAAGCGGCAGATCCGAGTGGACGATGGGCACGCTGGTGGCTTCCTGCCCCGACTTTTCCAAGGACCCGAATCCCCACAAGGTCGGCCTTGGTCGGTAGGTACGGATACGTATTTCTTTTCCCCTCACATCGGGACAGGACCCGAGGGGGAACTTGGAAGTCTCGACCAAACCGACCTATGGTGACCCGGTCATTACTCACTGTGGAGCCCATATTGACTGTGGAACATCCCAGGCTGCCCAGCCCGTGCTCGCCAGGCGGTCGCCAGGCCCAGCGTCCGGATTCCGGGATTGGCCGAACGGGAGTCCTGCCGCCTGCGTGTGCTTCCTCCTCAAAGTGCCTGCTTCGAACTTGGAATGCGCCCCTCCCCCCCTCCACTCCCATCTGCCATCCATCACCATTCCTTTTCCAGCCGACTCTGCTCCCCCTCCCACATCCAGTTTGGCGGGCCACAAGTTGGTCGACGTCAGGATTCATCTCACACAAACCTGCATCCGATGCGACCGCCTTCCCCCACTGTGACTTGACTCGACAGCCAGGGCACACGCGAAGCACTCCGACGCACGCCGCATTCTTCCCGACATACAGCAGCATCCGTACTCAGTCAGCCAACTTCCCCATCCCATCCATCCCGCCCGTATCGCGCCTGCGCTGCACCTCCACGCCGATCACTCATCCGAGTCACCCCCCCCCAGGCGCTTCCGCAATCGAAATACCGCGCGCGGGATCGAGACTCGCTCTTCACCCCTCCAAACACCATATATCACCCACGATAACAACACTTCCGCTGCCTTCACTGCTCGTTTGTCGAACCGACCTTTCCACACTGACGAGCCGACAAACAACGGGATCCCGAGTCTGAGTGCCCCCCTCGCTGTGGCTCCTCATTTCTTTCCCCCGTGCGAAACCGTCCTGCTGCGCAAGCTTGGACGTCTTGCCCTAGGATCGACCCGGCTTTGGCACGGATGACAGCATAAACCCCAGCAAGCCGGAAGGATATCAAACCAGAGAATAGGGGTCCCCAACCGAAGCGCTTGCTTTTTATCCTTTCGCCGGCGGAACCTCCCCGTCACGCCTTACGTCAAAATACGGCAATTTTCTTCCTCCTCTGCAACAACACACGCACGAGCGGGTGCGGCTTCGATCTGCACACTACCGGCACTACCACGATAGAGCGAAGGCGACCGACGACATCGCGACCCGACCCATTCATGATGCCTTCCCAACGACCTTTCTTCCTCTCCACCTTCTTCGCCTCCTTCAGACAACAGTCTCCCTCAGCGACGGCGCTATCATCACAGCAACCGAACAAGCACACCACACAGACATCATCGTCATCGTACGCCACTCAGTCCGCCGCTTCAACGCCACGAGCCATCTCTTCCAGCGCATCGCCAAGTAGCGGTGGAAACAATGTTAACGCCAACTCGACGACCAGGTCGGCATCGGGGGTCGTGAACCAATACCCATTACATTCACCCCGTGGCGGCATCCCCATTCCAGGCAGCGCGAATCGACGACGCGGCAGCGACAGTAGCAGCGAAGGGTTCCGCGATGTACTGGGTGCCGATAAGTGGTACATCGGAGGGCGCACTGCCGGCGGCGAGGAAAAGTTCTTCAAGCTTGGCGTTGTTCGGAGGGTGCGCAGTAACGACGGCCTAAGCCTGGATCGACTGAGTTTATAGAAGAGAACAGCCGCGGCGACGGCGATGCCGATGACGGATGACGGCGACAAGGGTGACCGTAAGAATGATCAGACATGACGAGGGCTTTCAGACATGACGAGGGTATATAGGCGGAACAAGGGAAATGGCATCATTGATGACCCCCCCTAAACGATACATCCGGGAAGGGAACATATCGAACAAATCCCCAACAGTGATGGGGTCACTGGCGTTTGGATGGGTTTATGATTGATCGAAACAAATAGCAACCTGAAAAGGGTTAGAGCACACATGAGAGTGCAAGAGAAAAGCATCAAGTTGAACAAAACAACTGAACAAGAAGAGGTCACATTACATTTTTTTCTTCTACCTCATAATGTCTTGTCCATAATCTAGCTGTGACGCAGCAACGAGGTAGCGCTTCTTTCACATGAGGCACTGATCCCTCTACCACATGAATCGCTGCATCCGACCGTTCTCTAAAACCCTGCCGTCCTCTGACCTCCACAGGTACGGTTTGGCGAGGAATATGTACATGGTCACCAGGTTGACAATCGCGAACCAAAGTGTCTCCAGAACGAGCCGGACATCAAATTTCTTCCCAAATCTGACCAAGGAACCCAGCACAGGGAGCCTTTCAGTCTTTGCAAGGGCTGGATGTGTGGCCGCGTGCTCGTGGAGCCTCCACGCGGGTACGAGAATGCGCCAGAAGACCCAGGGGAGGATGAAGTAGCGCGGCTCAACGAGGGGTGCCGTCATCAGCGAGAGGGTCGTCGCGAGGAGGAGGAGGATTGCGGTTGATGAGGCGGTGGGCTCGGTGGTGTATGATGTCGGATCGGCCAGGGTGATGATGGCGTAAGGGTTGTGCTGGTCTTTTGCCTCCTTCCTCTCTGCTGATGATGCTACAGTCTCAGAGTCCTCCAGAGGCTCCGTCGCCGACGGTTTTGCTTCGCGGGGGTACGGGGTTGGTGTGCTAAAGGGGTTGTTGTGCCACGGGCTCGGTCGGAGAGCGGTGTATCGTCCCGAGCAGTCCGCGGTGTGGTCCGAGAGGCAGCCGCCCTGGCCGCAGCCGCCGAGGGCGTCCCAGCATAGCCAACGGGCAAGGGTGTAGGGGGCGACGAGGTAGTAGCGGAACAGACCCGGGCGGCGGATCGTGTAGCGGAAGACGTAGAACATGTAGTGTCTATTGTCTGCGAGGGTGAAGGGGTGGATAATGGTGTTAAACTTGACGATCAGGAGAGTCAAGAGGAGGAGGGAGGGCGTGAGGAGGACTTGGTAGAGTTTGGATCCGATGAGCTTCTGGAGGAGGGTGAGGACGTGAGATGTTGTGGGGGTCTGGGCTGAGCTGTGTTGCTCTGTTGAGTTTTGGCTTTGGAGCTTCTGTTTCTTTGTTGAGCCGTCTTGTGTGGATCCGCCGAGAGTGTGCTTGCGGCTGGATGTGCCGTTGTCAGATTGTACGGACTTGACAGTGCTCGTCTTGAAGATCGTGCCAAACAAGCCATGAATAAAGCGGAGGACCCCGATGACGGAGGGAAGGAAGAGCGGGAAAGAAAAGAAAGCGAAGAGAGGCCAGATGTAGAGCATCTGAGCGAGATGGATTGTCGCAACGTGGTTGGATTTGTCACCTAAAGACATGTCAGTCCATGTGTTACTATAGGTGAGCAGTAGTACATACCGAGGACGACGCCGCCGTTCCAGGCGACAAAGCCGGCGAAGAGGGCCATGGTGACGATGTGCGGATAGATCTTCTTGAGCACGTGAAGAGGGTTAGCCAGAGCCGCGATGCCGATGCTCAGGGCGGAAAAGAACACGTCTGGCTGCGTTAGTAGAATCCCTCACGGGCGGCTTCCAGTCGACTCACCGTCCGGCCAAGCAGTGTTGAGAGGTGGATCGTGGACGTCCCCAATAGAATACCTCCATGCGTAGAATCGAACAAACTCGCCGACTGTTGTTGTGTTGGGCTTGGCCACCGGATCAGGGCGCAAAGCTTTCACGGCGGCGACGGCTTCTAAGCCGCCCATGTACACGACCACCCAAAAGACATTGGTCTGTCTCATGACGAGTGTCAGGACGCCGAGGATCATGGTGGTCCAGTCGCTCAAGAATGAGCTGCGCTCCTCGCGAACGCGGTGGAGGTGGTGGTAGTAAGCGACCAGGACCGACAAGGTCGAGACGACGTCGGTGTAGTATAGACCCGAGAAGAAGAAGAGGACGGGGAACAGGGCAATGTTCCAGCCCAGATGAATCGAGTGGAAGGAGAGCACGGCTGGCGGGGCTGGGGACTTGGCGTCGGGACGACGGGTCTCGAGAAGGTGGCGGCAGTGGGTTGCGAGGATGCCGACGCCGAGAACGGCGATGATGTTGACGCCGCGGAGGTCGAGGACGGAGCACCCGGGCCTCATCATCACTTGGAGGTAGTACTTGGATAAGATGTACCTGGAGCTGTTGTTAGCTTGGGTAGGGAGATGGCTATAATAATGGCAGCGGCGACTTACAAGCCGGGCGGGGTGGTAATTTTGTCATCCCACTCCTCCCATCTTCCCTGACAGAACTTCTGGGCTTGAGGAATGTGAAATATCTCATCCTGTTTCCTGTTAGGACACGGGGATGAATCGATCTGAGGGATGGGCGCTGGGCTTACGAGGTACGGCTTGTCAACTTGAGCCATGACATTGCTGCACCAGATCCAGCCGAGGATGAAGATGATGATGTACGACACTCGCATGAGCACATCGTAAACCTTGTTTGTCTTGGGGCCCGACGGGTCAGGATTTGGCATCTTGGGAGTGATGAGCCATAGTAGTGAGTAAAGAATGATGACAGACAGGATGTTGAGTCCGTCGACAAAGGCTTCGACGGCCTTCATCTTCAGTGTGAGATGCCCAAAAGGGCAGATGAGATGGAAAGGACTGGCTGTGGTTTTTGTCTGTTGCTACGATGTACGCACTCGAAATGTGGTAAGAAGAAAGGAAACAAGCTGGAAAAGAGCGTTGGAAAAAAAAAACAAATGTGCCCTAACTTGCTGAAAACAATGGTAGTTGTCTCCTGCGGCAAACGCTCTCTTACACAGAAAAGTGAAGTGGAACAAAATGAACAGTTCATCAATTATCGAGGATAGGGCAATTACGCGTCTTCGCACTGTCTACGCACGGTCCTTCTACCCTTGCTGTGCTGAAGCTGATGATCCAAGAAAGGGGCATTTCAATGGCATTTCAATTTCCAGTTTTACTACAAAACTCCTCTTTCCGATGATTCCCCATGAGACGAGATGTAGCGAGGACGAAAGGGTTGGCCTAGTTTTGGATCACTGCCTTATTCAAACACATTGACTAAAGTCAAAGAAAGAGTCTATTGTATCTTTTATACAAGCCCCGAAGGGTGGGCACCCCTCAATCTCAACACGTCATTCAACCATGCTCCCCCATTTTCGGCATTAGAAAAGCATAGCCGGGTCATTAAAGGCATTTAGAATGGCTGTTCGTCCAATATTAGCATGCTGTTGCAACCGTTTACAATCTCGGGGGAGGCTCACGTTGTCAGAGGCGGGAAGCTCCTCCTTAGCGAACTTGGAGCCGATAATGGGGATCTTCTGTAGAAGTGATTAGTTGTCCAGTAACTTCCGTTCGGAGACCGTATCTGCCTTACGATGAGGATGTCATTTTGGATTCTGGGGATGCCAGAGGTGTAGAAGAGGGCGGCAATGCCGGCGGCAGCGCCGAAACCACCAGCGCGGGTTGCACTAGCACCGAAAGTAAGTAACACAATTCCAGGTCTGCCAAATGTGCATGGATCGATCTTGCGGCCGCTTCCGATATCCCTATGTCGCCTGGTGCCGTCGTTTGCATTGCCGTCTTGGCCGAATAGTAGGATTATGTACCCGTGGAACCGAGGGTTGGGGCTTGAATAATCGGGCGGCCGTGCAAAGAGTCCAAAGGGCAACTCACAACTTGATTGCCGAGGGAATGGTCCAACCACCAAAGTTGGGAATCGTCTTGTACCTAGAGTCGACCAGTCAGCCCACTGTCCTGTTGGTTCTGCGCTCGTTGTATGGGGTTTGTCTCGCAGTCTCCAGAACTCAAGAGGTTTCGCCAACTGCTGCCGGGACGGATCAATCGTAGGAATATCGTAAAACGTACTTGGGGCCGAACTTGCTGTGGTAGGCAGGGTACGAAGTACCGACGCGGGCCTGGATCACAGGTTTTGTCAGTATTTTGTCATGCCCGGGTGGCTTCAGTGGTGTGAAACATGGGGATGGGAGCCCGGGAAACAATGCGACTTACGGGAGAAGGCATCTTGAACGTGGTGGTCGTGCGGACGAACTGTGGGGTATTCAATTGCAGATGCAAAAGAGTGAGGTCGTGAGAGAATGGTGATGTTGCGCGAGTTTCTAAGCGGGAAAAGCCGGCCGGATTTCCAATGCGCCTCAGGCTACAGGCTGGGAGCGAACATTGAAAGCTTGAGCCAATCGACAGGCATTCTGAGGTGGGTCCGCGCCACGGTCTAGCGGACCTCAGCTCAGCCTTGCACCTATTTCCTCTCCTCCGCACCTCCAGCTCGACCAGCGACGCCGGCCGATCGACAAATCTCAACCGCAGCCATGGACAAGATCATTGACGCGCGCTTCGAGCGCGTAGAGAAGGCTCTAGCTAGTTTGATCGAGTCGGTTTCCAAGTATCATCCCCACGCCAAGCAGGCATTGGACCTCCACGAAGCCGACCATGACCTCGCAAAAGGCCTCGACGAGGGTGGGCATACCATCGACACCAGCCGTCATGCGACCAAGCTAATCTCTGTGTCACAGTCCAAATCCATCAAAACAACAATCTTCGCTTGCAACAACTCCGAGCAACTACTGCCTCTCTCGATACCCAAATTCGAGAGACCCTTTCCAGTCTCGCAACAACGCGCAAGGACATCACCACAACACAAATCACGGTCCACCACGACGGGCCCAACTACCCCGTGAGATACGACGAGCTACTCAACTATGCTCGTCGCATCAGCAAAACTACCCTCCCGCCCGCCGCCCTCACGAACGGTGGCCTCACCACCGGCGGAGGCTCCCCCGGGCCGGACCCGAACGCAAGCATGACTACCAACCCAAACACACCCGGTGCGAACGGCCTCCAGAGCCAACCCGTAAGCGCCGCTCCAACACCCAGCCAGGGCCAAACGCCAGGTCCCTCAGGCGCAGCGAACGGGAGCCCCGTCGGCGGCCTGCAAGATCTGCTCCCAGGAACGCAGCAGACCACCGCCACGAGCGGCGCGACCTCGCTGCCCGACGGCCTCCGCAACCACCTCAACCCCCACTTCAACGCAACTTTCGTCCCCTGGCCCAACGAATTCCAGATTCGCAGCGGAGCCATGGCCGTCTACCAGGACCTCTCGGACAAGGGTGTCGACCCTCGCGGCTACGATCCGCAGCAGATTGCCGAGACGAAGCGGAAAGAAGAGGAGGATCGCAAGGTCCGCGAGGAGCAGGAGAAGGCGGAGGTTGAGAGAAAGAACCGGGAGTACCAGGAAAAGATGGAGAAGATCCGCCGCGAGCAGCAGGAGGCGTACCGGCGCGACAGTGTGGCTGCTGGTGCGGTTGTGGGCGCCTCTTCGGCCGGCAAGAGCAAGCAGTTCCAGTTCACGAGTCTCATGGACGATGACGATGACGATGAATAGCCCAACGGACTGGTTCGCGAGAGCTAACCTATTTTACCAAATAGTTCACACAAGACATTGTACTAAATGAAAAGAACTGGACATGCGCTGTTGTCTGCTAAAACCTGGAGGCAGCTCGTTCTTGTTTACCAATCCCTGCCGTCTACCATCTAACATCAAAGTCCTCTTTTTTTTTAAAAGAAAAAAAAAAACTCATGACCAACCATGCGTCGCTCCTAGGCCAAAGCGTGTCACCGATACTACAATGCAACGCTCGCGGGACGAGAGTGACTATTCGTACAATAACGTTGATACAATATGATAAATGTGTCGCCACATGTCAACGCCCGAATGCAATGCCATTTAATCAATCTTAATGGAGGCGTAAATCTTCCTGACGAACCACCAACTTGCAAAGTAGCCAATGGATCCTGCAAAGCAATGTTAGTATGGACTAAAGCCGAGGACCGAGGCTTGTACTTACCAGTGAGAATGAAGAACAAGAACGAGATCAAAGCACTGTAGCCGATGTAGAGAACGGTACCAGCCAGGTTGCTCAGGTTCAACTTGGTGAACAGGTACAAGAGGCAGTTGAGGAAGATGTAGCCACCGCTCATGCCCGCAGCAAGGAATGATCGCCATTGCCAGTTATAGTTCTCGGCGCAAAGCAGGAAGTACACCATGAGAATGGTGACAGCGGCCGTCGTGACAATCATGAGGCCGTATGAGAGAAATAGGAAGCCGAACATGTAGTAGATACGGCTAAACCAGACGGAGCTCATAATGAAGTAAAGCTCCACGAAGATGGCACCAAAAGGCAACAGACCGACAATGAGCATGCTCGGAATCGGTCTGAGGTAGGAGGTGGCAGGAGGGATTTGGCGAGGAATTTGGTTGGTTTTGACAGGCGCCTCGACGGGAGATGCGCGGAAGCCCATCCAGGATCCTGCGAACGACAGAGGCACCGATAGGATGAACCAGATTGCAATGATCACCAGCATGGTAGTGAAGGGCACGGCGCCGGAAGACTGTTTCGCCCAAAGGAAGAGATCGAGGAAGAAGAAAGCTCCGAACACGATGCTGGGCACCAAGATCGGAGTCAGCGCAATATTCATCTTCCACTTCTCGCCCTGCAACGACTTGTACGTTCTCGCAGAGATGTAACCGCCAACAAAGCCCAAAATGGTGTAGAGAAGGAGGATGATCGTTCCGAGCGACCCACGGTTGGAGGGCGATAAGAAGCCGAGGAGAGCGAAGCAGATAGTGAAACCTGTCATGACGAAGAGCTGAACACCGTTTCCGAGCAGGACTGACAGCAGAAGAGGGTTCGATGGGTTGCGGAAGACATCGCCGTGAACTAGCTTCCATCCTGAATCCTCCTGTACCCCATCTTCGAGTGCCGAAGTACCAGACAAGTCGTCCAAGTTAATTTGGTCGAGGCGGTTGTACCTGGCGATATCCTTCTTCAGGGCTCTGACAAGGATGGACATGACCGTGAGGATCAAGATGACGACGATAATTGCGGTGTCAATGAGCCAGAACCAGTGGATCTTGGGGTCAAAGACGTGTAGGTATTTGTCCCATCGGGTAGCCCAGGCTGTCTTGGACTCAATCCAGAATACTGAGTATGAGAACTTGACCTCTTTCTCGGTGCCATCTTCCTCGAAGATAATGGGCTCCATTTGGTTGTTGCAATCGAGGAGACCAGGGTAGGCACGCGAGCTCGGCTCGACAACGACACCGACCACGCGTAGCTGGTTCTCATTGCCGTTGACGGGATGGTACTCTATGTTAATGTCGTAGTGGTTGTTGAAGATGACGTTGCTGTTCTCGTCCAGGCCGCCCATCAGGAAGCCTGGGTTGTAGAAAGTTGTGTTCGTGAAGTCATCATAGATCTGCTGTCCAGCGGGGAGGCCGTCGACGAGCCAGTTCAAGCTGTAGCCTTGCTCGATGCGGCGCTTGACGAAACCGACGGCCGCCGGGGGGTATTTCTGGATGCAAAGCGGCTTGCATTTCTCGTCGTTCTTCATGCGCAACTCGAACGGCGAAGTCATGATGCGGTCTCCGAAGAGAATGCTGCCCAGACTCTCCGACACATACTCGGGACGGGGTTCTGGCTCGCAGAACTTGAAGCCAGGGTGATAGTAGTCGTAGGAAACGATGGAGTGCAATCGGGAATCGGAGGGGGCGGCGACCGGCTTGATGCTGTTCACATAGAGAGGAACGACGTCGCCCTTCTTGTAAGAGGTGGGCGCAACACCTGGCAAGTAGAAGGCAGAAGCCAGCTGTGGGATAGCCAGCAAAGAGGCCACGAGCGCCGACGAAGGCGCCATGTCTCGTAATTGCATCGTGACGAGATGTTAGAGCTCTGCCAGAAAATTGCGATCAGTCCTGATGCTTTGCGAAAGAGAGACGGTAGCCAGAGGAAATGTAGCGTCAAACATGAAACCGATGGGAATAGCTCCCCCGATGGATGGATCGCGATTACGTACCCTTGGTTCGGTAAGGTAGCGCAAAGCGGCTTAGAGCCGGTGGGTCATCCGGGTTTCGTCTGCAGCTGGGTGGCTTGAGGGTGATAAAACACAGTTTGGCAAGAACACGGAAAACCTCGCGATGATGTTTAGCAAGAAGCAAAATTGCCTCGAGGTGGACAGATGGCCAATTGCCTTTGTTGTGTCAAGTCCGGGAGCTTCGCATCTCATTCACAGGAGCTCCTGCTGCCTCTCGAACAACTGTCCCGAATTCGGCTTAGTCACCAAACACCCCTGTAATTCAGCTGCTGGGCTGCCGCATGCTCCACAAGCCGGAACATTGTGAGTCCGGGGTCTCGCAGCTGCCAGGGGCCGGGCGTGGAAACATTGTGTTATTGGAAGTGGGAATCGGCGGTCGGGGCCCACAAGTTCCGATGCACAGTGCCCCGCAAGTCCGCAAATCGGTTTGGCGTTCGCAAAAAAAAAATTCCTGCATCGCGCTCTTGCTCTGTTGCGATCTCGAATTCTCAAACTGCACCAGACAGCATCGCCAGATTCAACATGGCGGCACCAAGCACTCTTCCAGCATTGCTGGATTCCTTGACACAGTCATTGACAACATCACTCGACGCGGCACCGAAGGGCACCATTGCGCCGCCTCAGAACGGAATATCCCTACTCGACACCAAGAACGAGCTTCTCGCCTCCTATTTGCAAAACCTCGTTTTCCTGATACTCTTGAAATTGCGCAACGCCAAGAAGCAATCAAGCGACGATGGAAATGCCGCAAAGACTATGGAGACGGTTGTCAAGAAGCTGGTAGAACTCCGACTGTACCTCGAAAAAGGTGTCCGGCCCCTTGAAGACAAGCTGCGTTACCAGATCGAGAAGATTCTTCGCGCCGCGGACGACGCCGAACGGAATGCTGAAGCAGTCAAGGCCGCACAAGGTGCAGGCTCCGATGACTCTGACGATTCTGCATCCAACGGAGAATCTGACAGCGACGAAGAAGAGGAGGAACTGAAGGTGGCCCACCTTCAAGCCCGGCCAGATGCCTTTGTCAGACCCGCTGCGGCCTCTGCTGCCGTCGCAGCTGCTGCGAAGAATGGTGTTTACCGCCCCCCAAGGATTGCCCCTACCATCATGCCCTCCGAACGCAAGGAGAAGTCTGAACGCCGACCACTCAAGTCTCATACCATGGACGAGTTCATCGAGCACGAGCTGTCGACTGCACCTATCGCTGAGCCCAGTATTGGAACGACGATTGTCAATGGTGGTCGTAGAATGAAGACCGCCGCGGACCGCAAGACCGAAGACGAGCGTCGCGAATACGAGGAGGCCAACTTTACTCGTCTCCCCACGTCGAGCAAGAAGGCGAAGAAGGAGGAGGCTATGAGGACTGGCAACGGCAAGCGCATGCAATTCGGCGGAGAAGAATGGAGAGACCTTGGAGAAGGTGTCGACCGAATCAATAGGCTCACGGCGCGCAAGAGCGGTGGCAGCAGCCGCGACATCCTTGACAAGAGCCGCAAGCGCGGTAGAGACACTACGGACGGGCCGAGGGGCAGCGGCCAAATCGAGATGGGCGAGAGATTCCAGAAGAAGGCCAAGATGTTGGAGGCGGGCAGACGTGACAGAGGCAAGCGATAGACGGAGATACCCACAATATACACGGAGCACCTCGGCAGGAGCAGCAGCAGCAGCAGCCGCCGTCAGAGAAAGCTGTGCCGATATCCAAGGAGCCACTTCACTCTCGGTTCGTCCAACTCTACAAAGAATCGCCCGTTGTGTTCGTGTCTGTGTGCTGTGTGTGAGCTGGGCGTCAAGCCTGTTCCTGGATTTCTCCGTGTGGTGGTGCTGATCCAGGCTGGCGGCGCTAGACCGGGAGAGGCGGAAGGCATCCGATCGACCTATGGTCTCTTAGATTCCCGATGAAAAAATGCCTCTTTAGTTCTAGACTGTGACGACGGCCCAACCAACTCAACCGGCCGAGGGCCTTGGTTCTCGGACCATGCACCAAAGCCCTGCCATGTTGAGCCAGTCCGGCCTTGGTTCCCATGTCGAGCCCCTCTAGCATCTACACTGTAGACTGAGACACCACACCGCATTACTGTCATAGCATTGGGTCGACCTTTTCTTCTGGAGGAAATGCTGCGTGGCTGTATGGTTTTCCTGACGACTAGAGCAGATGACGGCCCAAAAACCCCCCTCGAAATGGTCCCGTTGGTGTCCAATTGGGAAGACGGCTGGCAAGACTGGGCCGAACCCTCGTCTTCACATGCTTCAATGCGGCGTTTCAATGGGTTCCCTTAGCGTTCTTGGTGACGTCAATCGTCGATAATCGGTGGGCCTGTTCGCCGGCCACCTCAGTCTCACCTCACCTTGCCAGCAGGGCAGCACCTGCACCGGCACCAGCAGCACTAGCACAGGGGAAAAGGGAAGAGCTCACATGCCAACCAGCTGCCCAGAGCTCCCGGAGCTCCCTAGGCTCATTACTCCTCATACCATTTTGTATGCGCGCTCGCTTCATTTAGTCCTCGTAGGGTTTATTACAGCTTCGTGCCCTCTCCCTTCCTTCACATTGTAGCACATCGTGGTTCTTCTTGCTTCACCCAAAAATACACAGCAGTACCAATTGCAACACAGCCAGCTGTACCCCAAATACCATCGATTTCATCTCAGGCTTGCGGCCTACTCGCCACGATGCCCTCCGAATCTCGTGTAGAGAACCCCTTCTTCCATCCCTTCCTTTTCATCTTCCAAATATGGCAGTGGTTCGCCGATAAGATCTTCTCGCCCACTCCCCCGGAGCCCAGCACCCGCCTCAGCCGGCCCAAGGTTGCCGTCATCGGAGCCGGTATCACTGGTGTTACTTCCGCTGCGCACTGCATTGGTCACGGATTTGATGTGGTGATCTTTGAGGCCGGGGGCCGCGAAAACCTCGGTGGTATTTGGAGCGTACGTCGTCCATTGGATATCAATAAGCCAATGATCATTACTAACGATTCTCGTAGAAAGTGAACAATTCATCCAGTCTTCAAATCCACTCCATGATGTTCCGCTTCCATCCATCAGTCAAGTGGGAGCGCGGATACCCCGACAGACAGCAGATCCTCAGCCAGGTAAAGCAGCTCTGGCAGAAATACGGACTCGAGACTCGCACCAAGTTCAACACACCCGTGGAGAAGGTCTACCAAGATGAAAAGGGTAGATGGGTTGTCAACAACACCGCCAATGGCCACTTCGAAGGTGTCATCGCCGCTGTCGGTACCTGTGGTGAACCCAAGATGCCCCAGCTCCCAGGCATGGAGAAGTTCAAGGGCAATATCTACCACTCCAGCCAGCTCACTGGGTACGCGCGTCTTCAATCTCTCCGGTCCGACGCATAGTGCTAATCAGACCACAGAAAGAACGCCAAGGGCAAGAAGCTCGTCGTCATTGGAGGTGGAGCGAGCGCTGTCGAAGCTCTGGAGTTTGCCGTGGATGAGGAGGCTGAAAAGACTTCCATCCTGTCTCGCAGTGACAAGTGGATCATCCCTCGCAACCCGATCGTGAACATGCTGCTCGCCATGAACATTCTCGGCCAAGAAACTCGTCTCTCTTGGATCCCGGAGACGTTGCTTCGCAAATTCTTCTACCGAGACCTGCAGGAGATTGCACCCTATGACAAGGGTATTTACATGGACACGCCAATGGTGAACAGTCATGTGATGGAAACCATCCGATCCGGCCACGCCGAGTGGGTTCGATGCGATATCGAGGGCTTTACGGCGGAAGGTGTCATTGTCAACAGACGCGCTCGAGGCGTTCCCAAGGGCGGCCCTGGCAGAAGGCAGGTCATTCCTGCCGACATGATTGTCATGGCCACCGGATTCAAGCGCCCGTCGCTGGATTTCTTGCCCGATGACTGCTTCAATGAGCCGTACTCGCCTCCCAATTGGTACATCCAGACGTTCCCTCCTCACCACCCGTCTATCTCTGCTATCAACTGGTAAGCGCCTTTCCATCTATTCCTGAGAATGAGCTGGATCCTAACCTTGCGCAGCACATACGTCGCTGCTATCGGCACTGTCGGAAACTGGCATATCGGCATCTACACCAGAATCCTCCTGATGTTCCTCATCGACCCACTGACCAGACCCCATCCATTCTGGATGAAGGCCTGGATCGAGATGACCAAGCTTCTGAAATCTGCTTCGCCTACCGGTGCCTTTGACTTCTTCACTTACCTCGAGCTTATTTGGTGGTTCGCCTTCAGCGTTACCTTCAACCCGTTCCGCTGGAAGTGGGCATTCTTCGTCTTCTTCGGACTGGGCTTCATGCTTCCCAAGCGAGTTGTCGAGGTGGAGAGTCGGATCCGTAACGGAATGGGTTTCCATGAGGATGTCGGACGCGATGTAGGACACAGCATTTGAGTTATGCTGGGCTGGATTGGAGACACGCATGAGTTTGCGGCGGCTGGTGAGAAGGAGCTCATTAAAATCAACCCCCCCACATGATCACCTGGCCGTTGGCGTTCCACAAAGGCCCTGAGAAGAGTTTGCAAGCAGAATGCATCGTGTAGGATGACTGGTACGAATTACCGAGACTTTGAAATGAGACAACACTACTCATGTAGATGCCTTATTACTCGATCGAACGCAGCCAAAATTGACTGCGCTGCTATCCCACCCGAACCCGCTGTGCAACAACATCGTTAAGACGAGGACTCAATTGATCCCAAAATCGTGGAACTGCTGACATCTTAGAATTCTGCAACCAAGATTTCGAATCTACTGATGCTTTCATGTACCTCGGTACGGAGATTGAGCCACGGCGGTCAAAGGGGGCCAATCGTTGGCCATTTCTGATAATCTGGTCTTACTCGACGCAGTTCTTCCGCGATGCGTGTGGAGTACCGGTAGAGACACGCTCCCCGGATTTCCAGCTCGGGCTAGTCTTACACCCGACAAGTCCGCTTCAGTTGGCCGTGGGAACGCCACACTGCCGTTTCGAGATTCATCACATATCAATACCGTTCAGCTCTCGTATGTGCATTCCAAACCCCGGTGCCCAAGCTCAATAGTCACAGCACATGCAGGTTCACAGCTTGCTTGTCTGCCAATGTGTGTGATGTTCGCGAGGTTGTGGAGATGACTCTAAACTTCTTCCGTTCGCAGGTTAGCCTTGCAAAGGTGACACAAGCTCTGAAGGCCGGAGGACCCGACGCCCAAGCAGAACAAGTGCCGGTTCGAATGGTCGCATCGACAAACGTCGCTCATTTCTATATGCGGAGACCACTGTTCAGAACACTCTTCATCGAGATCAGCCAGCCACAAAGGTAATAACGTTCACCCAACTTAGAAGCTCCCGCTACTCGCACCTAACATCAGCTGGGGAGAGGGGTTGTCTGTCCAGCAAGCCATGATTCGGACCATCAAACATCTCACTCGCCCCTCCTTCATCGCGGACTTGACTGTCTTGGGACTCATCTTTCTGGCGCAATCTCTCATTGGTCCTTTGAACGAAGCTTCATTGGTAAACAGAGGTGAGCTTTGCTGTGCTCTCGGTGCCATTTTGCAGTGCGAGTATCTTTAGAGAAATGCGGTAAATCTGCTAGTCCACTCATACACAACTCGGGGACGCCAGTGTCTTAGAAGAGCAAGATGATCTTCAGCCCTTGTAATACCCTGGGATGCCCGTCAGCGCTTCCATACTATTGTATGAGAAGGAGAGACTCTTAAAGATCTTTGACTGTACCAAAGCTCCTTATAAGGTGAGGCGAATCCCCCCTTGACTTGAGAAACACCACGATCATCCATCTCATGATGCTTGGATTTCGCAGAAACCCATCGAGTGTGTTATTATCCCCTCTTTCCAATACACCTTTCCTCCCATAAAGAATCCTGGCTGAAGTATTCGTAATCTTCAAACAGGTCGCAGAAAGCACTCCAACTCCTCATCAATCCTGTCTACGAGACCAGACAGCAAGTCCATCGACGACGTACCGACAGTGGCAGACACGAAAATGTCCGTCTACGCAACCTCCAATCAGGCTTCCTTGGCCCGGAACTCCATCAAGGAGGAGTCCAGTGTCGTACATATTGACGAAGTTAACGTCAGCGACGCTTCAAGGTCGTCATCTATCAGCATGGACGCATTGACGATGGTCGCCTCCAACGAAGGACACGTATCATACCGCGTCGTGCGTGTCATTGACACAGCCAGACGTATCCAGAAGAAACTTGTCCGCGAGGTCGAGGAAGTCACCCACAATCACTTTCAGAGCATCGATCTCGACACTTACCTGGCCTACATCTCCGATGAGCGTCTCACTCACATGCCTCCCAAGGGAAGCCAGTGGGATCGCGTGCTGAAGTCGGCCGAGTTCTTCGGACTTCAGCTGGATGAATACTCGCGTCACATCCAGTCCTTCATCGAGGGCTGCTCGCTTGTTCGCGACACGGCGTTAGCTACTTGCTACCTGTTGCTTGAGGTAGGTTGCGACACCCCTGCACTCCTGGTCTGGCATCGATGCTCACATTTCCTCACTAGCTCGGACACGATCAAGCCCAGGCGCTGGAGCCAACCTTCAATGCCTTGTATGAGCTTGGCTTATTGCTCGGTCACGCAATCAGACTGAACGGCATGTTCACCGCGAGTGATGCAATCCGCTCCGAGTTGAGTCGCATCTTCGACAGTATGCTCAAGCTCGTCGGAGACGTTGCCATCTACTACCGCTCCCGGATCAACAGCATCTACAGCGGTTCGGTGACAATTGACTTTGACGCTCAATTCGGCTCCCAAATCACTAGGATTTGGACTCAGCGAGAGAACCTCTTCAACCACATGTGGCAATACAAGCTCGGCTCAAAGAACCGTCGACTAGACATCACCACGCTTCGCCGTCACTTGCTTCCCACACGGGAGTCGGCCAAGTCACATGTGTATGGACGCGTCGCTGATCGCAAGTTGCGTGTTGATGGGACATGCGAGTGGCTCTCACACGACTTGCACGACTTCCTCAGCAGCGACGACAAGATCTTCACCGTCACGGGTGGAGAGGGTTGCGGCAAAAGTATGCTTGCTGCGTGGGTGCGGGAGAGGCTGGAACGCCCAATCAACCGTGTCCAGTATGAGACCATCTCCTACACATTCTGTGAGTATCTTCGGTATCGATGGCAATGGTGGTCAGCGAGCTAATTCGAAACCTCCAGCAACCGACATAGTCTCAGAAACAACACCCATTACTTTCCTCAAGAGCCTTTTGGCCCAGCTCCTCGAGATCAACGTCGGTGACGTCGCTCTCTTTGAGAAGCTGGAAGCCATCTTCGATCACGTCTCTCCTTACCACAACAGCTCAAAGCTGGAAGGTGACCTTTGGGAGGCCCTCGACTCGAGCCTGGCTTCGATCAACAGCAAGAAAATCAACCTCAGTATTATCATTGACGGCCTTGACGAGGTCTCGGGTGGCGCTGCCAAAGCGGGAGAGCTGCACAAACGTCTCCACGCTAGCATTGGAAAGCTGCCCAGGACCCAAGCAGTGACGTTCTCACGACCCATCTCGCACCTTGGTGGCAGCGGCTGTAAGCATGTGGTCGTCACCCCCGATCACGTTCGGGACGACATTGAGTTGTACCTCGCCAACAGACTCGGGCAAAACTGCTGTTTCGTGGCACAGAACGAACAAGCCAGACGAGACTTGCTGTGCCAGATTGCAGATCAGTCCAGGGGCTCGTTCTTGTTTGCCTACCTCGCCAAAAGACTCTTCTCGGCAGTTTCGGACTTTGGAGCTTTCAGAGGCATCATCGCGGGCTGCAGGTCAGATGTCAAGGCCGTCATCGGAGAGCTGATGAAGAAGGTTAATCTCAAGGAGGAACACGGTGAGAGCAAGACGTACAACCTCTTCACCTTCATGGTCACCGCCCAACGCCCTCTTACACTTGGCGAGATGACCGACCTCCTCGGGGTCTCCTTGTCGACTCGCACCGTTTCCCCTGGTGCTGATGTCATGGGACCTGTCCGCAATACCCAAGGCCTTGTTGTGGTTCGCCGCGGTACCCTGCGCTTCAAGCACTCCACGATCAGGAAGTATGTCCAGAGCCTCTGCGGCTCGACCTTCATGTCTCTTCACGACTCTCACCGTCACCTCACCATGGCTCTTCTTCTCTTCGCCAAGACCAAGTTCAGTAGTTATACTTGCGAGCCGTCCATGGAGTTGGTCGCCGAGGAGACCTTCCAGGAGTGCTTCCAAGCGCACCACATTGTCAGCTACATGATGCGCCACTGGGTCACGCATTTCCGTTCATCATCCTTGTATGGCCAAAATGGCACCATCACCTTGACTACAGAGTTCAAGAATGTTTTCCCTGACTCCATCTTTTTCACCATGCTGGAGTGGCACTATTGGCAGACTCAGTACGCCATCAAGGAAGCGATCGAGATGCACAGCTTGAATCTGCGAATCCGGTCTACTTGCTTCGGCGAGAAGAACCGATCCTACCTCCAAAGCCTCATCATCCTCGGAAGTCTCCACCGGAGTCAGTCTGAGCACGCCTTCGCAGCCGAGTTTTTCTACAAGGCTTCCCATCTTGGGCAGGGCATCCTCTACAAGTTCAGTCCCCTTGTGGTCTCGTGCACAAACTTGTTCCTCACTTGTACCGAGACTCTGACTTTCACTAAGCGGACTCAGACGGTCATTCATCGCGAGGAGATGATCAAGTTCATGATTGAGATCTCCAAGAGCAAGCAAGGAGGTCGCAGCGATGCCGTCATTAGGTGGTATGATGCGCTCGCGAAGCTTTACGTCGACATCAAAGAAGTGGAGGCTGCGTTGTCTGTCTACAGCGAACTCCGCATCATCATCATTGCCCGTTTTGGCAAGGGTTCGGAGAAGGAGGGTTCAATTGCCGAAGAGATCTCGCGTATGCCCATTGTTCTGCAGCCTGGCGACAAGAAGGTTCATACTGGCCACTGGCACTCGCTCTTGTTCGATACAGCGGACGACTTGTCGTTCACAGATGTCCGTCGCATCAATATTCTCATCAGCCTGGCTCGTGAGTACGAGTCCAAGGGCCATTTCATTCATGCCGAAAGGCTGTACGTCAGTCTCTGGCGGGGCATCCTCGAGGTCTGCCGCACCACCAAGGTGACCACCGAGCTTCACATCCAGAAGATCAACATCGCCATCAAGTACATCAAATTCCTCGAAGGCGTCAAGCGAGCAGAGGAGGCCTGCAACATTATGATCTGCGTTTGGGCTGAGTACGAAAACCAATCCTTTGAATCCGAGACCATCATGATCCGCCTCAAAGAGCTTGGTGTTCTCGCCAAATCTTTCGGCATCCTAAGCGTATCCATGTCCATTCTCAAGAAAGTCTGGGGCTGGTTCAAGGAGAGAAAGACTCTCGAGAGTGAGGAGGCTCAATCCACAACCATCATCATCACACAGGTCGTCGAGGAGATCATCGAGACCTATGTCGAAATCAAAATGAACATAACTGTCATTGAGACCGTCACTAGGGAGATCTGGGAAACCAACTACCAGCGTTGCCGAGGTCGCAAGGCCGACAGTCAATTCTTCAAGTCCTGCTTGGCCATGGTCAACTTCTACCTCAAGCTTGAGAATTGGGCCGAAGCCGAGGTCGTGATTCGCAAGTCTCTCGAAATCACCTGGAAGGGCGTCCTGTCAGTCGACTCCAAGTTGACCATCGAGGGTGAATTCATATCGGATCGGATCCTTGTTGCACAGCGACTTGCTCTGTGCTACCATCGCCAGAGACAATTTGAGAAGGCGGATTCGATCTACCTCCGCATCTACAGCGCCTGTTTCTCGACCCTCAAGGCCGACGACGTGTTAATCTTCAAGGCGGCCGAGGCCCTCGTTCAATTCTACGAAGACTTCCACCGTCATGAGAAGGTCATTGACATTTACGTCAAGCTCCTCCAACACTACCGCAGACATCTGTCTTCTGGCCACAATCTGCAAGTCAGCATCCTCTACAAGCTCGCTGCTGTCTACCATAAGCTTGGCCGCAGGGAGGCTTACGACTGCTATGGTGAGATCGTCACCATATTCTCCAGGGACGGCTGCTGCCACGGTAGTACACTGGATGCAGCCATCCTCGTCCTCAACCACTTCCACGCCGAAAAGCGGTGGACTGAGTTGCAGAAGATCTGTGTGACTCTCTGGACCACCTTTTTGCACCACAACCATGAGATCAAGTTCACCCAAGAGGTTGTGGAGCTCATTTACGAACGGTATCGCTATGTCCTGGAGTTCCACGCCAAGGTCGAGTTCTCGGTCCGCTACAAGCTCACGATTGAGTATCGCGAGACTGCAACCAAGGTTTTTGGCGCCTCCGCTGCTATCGTCATCAAGGCTTTGATCGCTCAGGCACAGTTGTGCGAGACATCCGAGGAGCATTACCACGAGTCCATCACCATCTATGAGGAGATCGTCAAAAAGACTAAGACCACGAACATTGTCTCAGAGATTACGGTCAGGACGATCAAGAAGCGTCTGTCAACGCTTTACGTGACTGTCATCACCAACAACAAGGTGACAACTACCACCACTATTGAGCGTGCGATTGAAGTCAGTCTTGAGATCTACGCACAGCTCCAGATCGATTTTGGCTGGTGGCACGAGAAGACTCTGTCCAAGCTCAAGGAAGTCGTCTCGCTGTACAAGAAAATTGGTAGCAAAGAGGCCCACTCCTCTATTGCCCAGCTTCTGCAGGTTTCCATAATTGAGATCATCACTACTGTCACGATCTCCGTGAACCTCCACGCAGCAGCTAAGACGCTGGCATCCATCTACGTGTCTGCCAGCATGGTGCACTATGGTCAGGATCTTCTGCGACAGCTGCGATACCTGCTTCTCTTCCCTGGGTTCGAAGGTGGAGAAAAGGACGTCAACATCAAAATCTCCGGCCAGTCCAGCAAGGTGTACCTAGTATTCTTCATTTCCTTCGAGCAGGCCCTCAACGTAGATGCCAAGGTGCGGTATAGCTTTTCTGAGCTGATGGCAGATGTACTCCTCGAGACGGTTCTTTACGAGCAGTACATGTCCGTCATGACCACCGTCACCGACTCCACGAAGATCGAGACCATCATCGAGCCGGCAGCCCGACTTCGCTTCGTCTGGCAGTCCCGCGGTCGCACTGGTTTTGTGGACGTGCTTGACAAAAAGCTTTTCGCCTTGTTCACATCGCGCTACTACAAGTCAAAAAGCTCTCAAGACGACAGAAATGTCAGGTTTTCCTTCTACGTTGCGCTTCTCAACGAGATTGGTGGAGGCATCGCGGACAGGGGCTCCGTCGACTTCGGTGTCGTATCCTGCAAAGCCGCGTACACTTCTGTCAGGAGACTCTTGGTCGAAGAAAAGGATTTTGTCAAAGCTCAAAAGGTGGCCCAATGTGCCTTTGATTTTGCGCAATCCCAACGATTCTATTACCAGCGCAACTGCTATATCTGGGGCTTCCGTTTGGCCGAGGTCCTGGCTGGCATCCGTGTAGATACGTGGAAGTCGGCTGATCAGCAACAAAAGAACAATCTGCTATCCACAAGCCGAAATGTTCTGCAGCATGTCTTGGCCGTCCTGAAGGACGGCAAGGTTGAGTTTACTAGCCTACAATTCGACGACATCTCTGGCCTTGTTCGCCTGCTTGGTGAGCAGAAGAATTGGGCAGAACTCGAGGTAAGTTTTCCCGAAATTCTTCACAGCTCATCACTCTTTACTCTGTACTAACGAATCTTTTGCAGAGCCTTCTTACCTCGCTTTGGCGATCCAGAGAGGTCCAGCGCAACTGCGGCGTATGGTCTCCTGACATCGTTCTGACAATCGGTTCGCTCTTGATCAACGCGCACGAGCTCGCGGGTCACCTGGACCAAGCCATTACGCTCTGCGAAACCGTCTACTATAACGTTCGTCAGTCCCGTGGCGGCTTGGATTCTTCCGCGTTCTACTTCTCGAACCGCCTGGCCTACCTCCTGCGCCATGCCAATCGACTGCGCGATGCCGGACGTGTGCATCTGGACGTTGTGTGCGACCTGGACGAGCACCTCTCCGCAAGCCAAGGCGCAGACAAGGATGAGCGTCTTCGTGCTGCGGCCGACATGCATCTCGATGGTATGCGACGATGCGGCTGGGCTACGCGCGGTGACGTAAGAAACATCAGTGAGATCCTCGAGAGGCTGAGAGGATACGGCAAGCTCAATGTGCCGGTCATCGAGAACTGGTCGGCAGCGGATGTGAAGAAGGAGACGAGCCTCGTGTGGCCCGAGGCGATTAAGTGGGATCTCGGCAAGCCTGAGAGTGAGGTCCAGGCTCCGAAGAAGAGAGACTTGCTGTCCCCGGCCAAGGAAAGATGGGGTCGTCTAGGATTCAGGCGGCTCGGTTCCGAAGCCGTGCACTGAAGCTGGACCTGAGATCTTCTAGTTTGGATTCTTCTGCGGGTTCGTGCACATTATGGAAGGGAGTTTTTGGGGAGGTTCACACATTGCCCAACACTGGGTCACGTCACGTTTCTTTGAGTCATACTTTCTTATGTCGATTCATCTTGATAACTAGTATTGTCTACACATCTAATCCCAGAATTGATTTGTTCTAAATATACGCAGATGATGGCTATAGCAATCCTGCATGTTGGTTGGGCTATTGTAAGTGAAGATGAATGCATGCATCATGGTCCAGCCGTCGCCCCGTCCGGGCTCTGATCCAACTTTACCGATTGGATGAAGCGCTCCAAAGTTTTCCCGATGCTCTCGATGCCCTCGCGTTGAAATTCAAACTTGTGACCGCCCACCTCCCCCGACGGATAGTTGACCTGGTGAACACCGTCCTGTAGAGCCAGCCACGCAGCCAATAGCGCGCCCTCAAAATTCCAGACTTCATACTCCTCGGCAGTTTCGAATACCGGACTATCGTAATCCTGATCAAGCATAAGGGCTCTGAAAGACTCCGTATATCGATCGACCCATTCTTCGTACGCCTTGAACCATGCTTTGGAATATCTCTCTTCCAAATCGTCATCCTCGACAAAGATGCCGCCTTCGGGGTTCCCTGGCCACCCGGGCCATTCATACCACAAGAAATTCGTCCCGAAGTCCGGAAGGACGTAGTATTTGTATCCTGGCAGCGACGGTCCATACTCTGGCTGAGGTTCTGGTTGATCGTCTGACTGAGATTTCGTTTGATCACCCGATATCAAGGGGTCGTCTTGATGTATTTGCAGTGATGCCAAGTCTGTTTGCGGCTTCAGGGCTGGATCTTGCTCCTCCGTCTGGGACGAGGGTTCAGGTGTGGCCTGAATGGCTGGAAGTTGGAGCCCAGCGTGCGCGGCAGGGATATCAGGGGTGGGTTCCTTGTCCTCCGTCAAGCGAACCTCAAGAGACTCGCCTGATAGCTCGACAACAAGGCCATAGGGTGTGGTAATGGAGAAGTGAACATCAAAGTTCGAAAGTTCAGCAAGTGCCAGTAGCACCTTGATTGAGTTCATGGGAGAAGCCATTGCAATGTACGACTTGATGAAGTTCTGAAGTTCTGAGGTGACGGAAAGCATTAGCAACTGACTGACTGCGGGATACTGCACGTATTAGTATTCAGAGAATCGGGGCTGAGGCTGTGGCTGTGCCAGCGCCAACTGACAGAGGGAATATATCACTTTTTCCACTTGCAGGGGTGACACAGAAATGGCCTAACCAACAGACCTGACCAACAACCTCCCATGACCCTGAACATTTGCAGAAACCGCCTAATAATTTTAGAAATTCTCGAGCGCTTAGAGATAAAATCTAGGCTCTATTTACCATCTGCAAATGCTCCGAAGCGCCTATGTGTGATGGAATGCGTCAAGACCATGGCGAACACCAACTGCTTGCAGGGGTGCAAGCCCTCGGCCAGACATCCGCGGCAACTCTGCTACCAACATGTTCTCATCAGTCCAGTTACGTGCCAAATTTCTAACTGTTGGTCACCGTTGACATGGCTATGCGTCATGGCCGCCGGTCGCGACCCGGTGTCAAATGCATATGCCAACACGAACAAGCCGGCGCCAAATTCGACAATTGGACATGTGAGATCCACCGACGACAGATACCACACGAAGGACAACGAAGTGGAAATTGTATTTATACTCTGGCCTTTACTCAGACAAGTTACCGTTCAAAGCAGCCATTCAGACAACAACCATGATCCTTCATATTCCCGTTTCTACTAGTTCACTTCGACTATATCCTTACGTAGTCTGATGCCAACTCGATCTGCCCATTCACAATGTTTGAGTGAGTCAATCCTCCGTAAGAATGCCCACCTATGATATGTTTTACTAATACGTATCGACCAAAGACAATCCGAGTCCACCAAGCGTGTCATACGTGATATCCAAAACGATGGTCACAAGATCACCCCCAGCAATACCCATCGCGCCTGACGCGTGCCCATGACAAGCGAATTCCCCACGCCCCCAAAAGCCAATGGGCGTCTGGAAAACATGTGGATTGAAGAGGGCACTGGAGGTACACGTGGTGCCGGCCTGCAGCATATGACCACAGACGAAAAGAAGAAAAGGTCATGGGAAGGGGTGGGAATCCCGAGGGAATCTCAACGAGAGAAGATACCAATCATGTTTGAGGCAGCGACAACGGCAGGTAGACATATTACCACTCAGGGCAGAACAGATGATCGCCGGATCATGTCAACGTACGTCGAAGGTCGTGTAATGAAGACTGCGGTCACAGTTGGGAGCAATGGGTATGTGGTAGGGGCCAATCCCGTTACCACCAACTTTATGGTTAGGCCGGGCGACCCGGGAGAGGTCAGCGACCGGACGATGGAGAATCTGTACAACTACCCGCTTAATTGCCCGGACAGAAGGCAGACTGATGAGGCCAAAAAGGGTCAAGCAATGGAGCGCAAGGAGCCCGCTGTGCCAAAGGCCAAGACCTCCTATCTTGGAAGGCTTCTCAAATAAGATAAATAGGTGAAAGTCCAACTGGCATTGGCAGGTTCTCATGGCATGCGGGAAGTTTCAAGGCGTTACTGGTGGTTTATCTGTATTTACCTGAGGTATTGACAATATATCCTTACTCTAGGCTGCACTTAGAGAAGACTTTACAAAGCTACAAGACAAGAAACATACATTACATACTCGGAAAAAACTTGGCTCGGCTACTTTGCCATAGGAATGAACATAAAGTCTTGTCAGTTATAGCACGTTGAGAAGATTGGGGAGCAGCCATTCTCTCATTAATATCACAGGTATTATGTCTTAGGAGGGGACGAGCCTTCCAGCACCATCAACTTGAAACAAGATGTACGGTACAATACTCGAGGTATTGTACGCTAAATCGAACGAAAAAGGCAGAGCCTTTTGCTGGCATTCATAATCCCTTGAACTGATAGAACCTCAGCTTTCAGTCCAGGACGGCGGTCTAATCTGACTAACTACCGAATAAGTGTGCAGAGCGGGCAGTTACGGGCGACTGAAACCACGTGAAGGTCTCTGTCGACAGCAGCTCTCCAAAATTACAAGGTGAAAGGCTAGACTAGGTACCTTGGTCGTGTCTACAGAATTGTAACGGACGCTTTTCTAGCATCAAAGGAAGGTTCGACGCGCCTTTTTGAGATGAAGTGAGGATGAGACGGAGACCACGGCGACTCCGCTCGTAAAGCCAGTGACTGCATGTAAATCGAGGAACATAGTGAGCAGTCTTGCTCCTTTCTCATTCAGTCAGTGAAGTAGCTTGGCCTTTCGCTGGCAAGCCCGCCATCTTCTTCGCATACCTTATCGAATTGACCAGCAGCTCAAATCGCCAAACAACTTCAATTCCAGTAGAAACATGTCTCATTCATTTTTTCATACGCCTAAGAAAATTGAAAAGTTTTACCCTTTGCACAACAATGGTATCATCCAAATCCAAACCCGCGACCACTTCATAAATCTTTTACTCCTTCTTAAACATGCTTAGCCCCATCATCAATGCCCTTTGAAGGACCAAGGACTCTCTCCTCGTCATAGTCCTGGCTACCAGCATCATACGCGACACGAATATCATCAATCTCTTCTCCAACCTCCATCCACCTGTCGCTAGTAGCGGGAATGGGGGAGATCTTGCACAGACTCCAGTATACACCCCCAGAGACGATGAAACCAGCAAAAAAGTTGAGGTTATAAATGTATGTCGCGCCCGCGGGGACATCCACGCCAATGGCACCAACGAATCCGACGACGTTGGGCAAGATTCCGGCAATGTATGCGGCGTAACCGCGCCAATGGAAACCGTAAGTGAAGTAGTACGGCCCGGTCTTGCGCGCATCGTATAGCTCTCTAATCTCGAGGTAGCCCCTTCTAACGACGTAGTAATCGGAGCACATGACGCCGGCGATGGAGCTGAGAAAGACGCTGTATGCCGACAGATACGTGGTGAACTTGTTGGAGTCCGTGAGCAGGGTGTACGGGCACATGGCCAGACCGATGGCGGCGCAGATGTATCCGCCGCGACGGATACTCAGATACCGAGGCAGGAGGGCCGTCATATCGGTACCCGCTGAAACGGAGTTGGCGGCGATGTTAGTACCGAGTTGGGCCAGAGCAAAGGAGAAAGCGATGACGAATACACCGAATCGCTGAGCGGAACCGCCGTCGTCGATGAATCTCTCGAGGAGCTTGAGCGGGTCCCAGATTTCTTCGCCGTAGATAACCGCCGAGGAGGAAGACACCATGATGCCAATGAAGGAGGTGAAGGCAAAGCCGATGGGGATCGTGAACAGCTGGGACCAGAGAGCGTCGTTGGGCTTCTTGGAGAAACGGGAGAAATCGGGGTCGTTGACGATGAGAGTCGCAAAGTTGGCAATGGACGACATCACACCCTTGACAAATTCCCAGGCCAGGTCACTGCCTTGAAGTTTCGCGGGTTGACGGACGATGGGGCCGATGCCGCCTGCGCGGACAATGGCCCAGATCATGAAGGCGATTCCGGCGCAGGGAACGATGTACGACTTGACCGTGAACAGGTGACGAATTTTGTGGACGGGGAACCAGATGGCGGGCAGCGAGAGCACCCAGAAGAGGAAGAAAGAGACCCAGTCTGCGGTGGTGGTGCCGGATGATGCCGAAAACGTGTTAGGGATCGTGTCTCGGTCCTGTATAGCGTTAGATTGAAAGCCTCTCAACGGTGCCGCAAGGTAGTACTGCTCACCCAAGACTTCCAGATGGAACGGATCATGAGATAGACGCAGTGGCCGCCAATGTAGGACTGGACACCGTACCAAACACAGGCTAGAATGAATCAGTAAAGTCCAAACTCGCGAATAGGTCGGCGGGCTTACCCATGGCGGCACGGTTGAAAACAGGCCACAAACTTCCCCAAATTCCAAAGGACGATCTGTTCACGACGGGGAAGCCAATGTGGTACACTGCGCCGATACGACCGGTCATGCAGATGAAGCATCCAGCAATAGCGTAACCGATCCAAACGCAAAGCCATGACTGCCACCAAGAGAGACCACCCACGATCATGGAGGACGAAATCATCCACGTGTTGACGTTGAAGGAGTCAGCGACCCAGAAGGCGACGAAGTTCCAAGGCCCCCATTGCCGTCTCTCGGGCTCGACTCTGTCTAAATGTCAGTGACCAGGCGTCGCATACGCTTTTCGCAATGGCAGTCACTCACGGTTTCAAATCATAGTTCATCAGCTGTAGATTGGAAATATCAGAATCTTTTTCAGATGCTCGAGAAGTTCTGAGCCGGCAGAACTCACCATCAGCTGAGCGCTGGTCAAACCAGGCTCTGATTTGACAGCGATCTTGTTCGTCCAGTAACCCAGCCTCGAGCTGTGGGCCTTCTCTGGCCGAGCAGTGGTAGTTGCGGTATCCATGTCCAATGGTGATGGACTTTGGTCGGACGTGTAGAGGGGTGGGCTCCGTGACTATCGTGGCCACTTTCGAGGAGTATCGACTCGGCGCGCAGACTGGAGAGGTTGCCGATGTTCAAAAGACGAGGACACGGACCGCCACACGTTGCAATGACGATATGCACGTGAAAGACGAAAGGGAACCGAAAAACTGGGCTGCAGGGTGACACGGGTCGTGAGCTGCAGGATGACACTCCCAAGGTGTGGCGAGGTCAAGGCAGTCAAGTCGTTCGGTTGAGGGGGAATGATTCCAGCTGATCTTTTCAGACGAGGAGGAGAGACCCAGTGGGTGGAGGAGGATATCGACTGATATTTATTCACTTGCTGGGCCGGTGTCGCTCTGGATATGGAGAGGCTGATAAAAAAAAAGACCTCGTCAGTCCACGAAAATGAGTCGGCGGTAGGTTGGTGTCAGCGATTGTCGACTGATGGACCCGGAAATCGCTGCGACAACCCCCACATGGATAAGGTCTTCAAAGTCTTCGCCTCCATCTTCCCATCCCGCCGGCGCTGGGCAAGGAGAGGCGACGGTTGGGGAAAGGATGCGGCCGGGGAGAGACATTGAACCCAAGAACGCAGACAAGACACGCTACGAACCGCTTTCAGACAATGGTGCTGCCGGTCTCGCCGTGATTGCAGCAAATCGAACGGCTCTCAACTCGACAACGACGTCAAATCTGATCGAGTAAGAGGACGAAAGCCCCGGCACTGGAAACCATAAAAATTCTGGTCCTTTGGACACAGTCCGCGGCTATCATTGGTTCGTCATAAGGAGACAATGGTCTTATCAGGGGCGTTGGAGGTGGCACCGTGGCACCGTGGCACCCCCCCGTTAGGACGGCGACGAGGAACGGCTCCCGCTCAACTAGCGGTAGCTTATCATAGATGGCGCTCAAACCCCGCATGCTGCGAAAAATCCATTACTCGATCTCATCGAGTCAACCACCAAACCGTGCGACTCGCGGCACGGTATCGATCGCCTCACGCAGCCTCAAAGATACCCGGCAATCAACATGATGAAGGACATGGTATAGAAAATTTCTTCACGCCGCTTCGCTCTTGGTCATTCGGAACCTCTATTTCCTGCCTTCATATTTCGCAACTTGACGCGGCAGTTTCAGACCAAGGCCACATGTCATCTCGCCGCAGAATCTGATGAAAAGAAACCCTCGATGGAGCTCGAATTTGAAGTCAAGGTCTATTGCGGGCCATACCTAGATTTCCCATCTAATATTCAATATTGGACATTTGCTCATCCAGCAAAGGCCATCATTGTTCGCTTGTCTGGACTCTGAACAGCTCGCGTGCTAGCATTCCGCATCTTCGGTAAGTACCTTGTGCTCGGAACCCTCTCCCGCTCAAATTTTTGCCTCGCAGCCACCGGTACTTCCTGGTTGGATCATCCCCAGATAAGATGATGGCTGAAATCCGATCCAGGCGTGCCAGGCCAAGATAAGGACTAGGAGAAGGGAACCCTTGGTCCCACTCACTTCACATGGATCTTCCCCCCGTTCGATCGACACACCAACTCGTTTCCACTTATCTCCAGACGTCCCCCCCTCAGTTTCTACTGGACAGCGGACGCGACAAGCAAGACATCTCCCTATCTAAAGCCTAGACAAGCCCAAACAGAGTGCTGTTCACCCCTTGGGTGACAGTCGTTGGTTGCTAAATGTGAAATATTTAGGCGCTGGTTGCCGTATCTTGCTAAAGAAGTATGATAAGATCATGGCCGCCGGCGACGCGCACTGGAGTCCGCGACCTCTCACACAGCAATTCAGCCGCAGCTGCGATCACAGAGTCCGAGATGCCGCCTCGGAATCGCAGAGGTTGATCTTCTCTTTGGGTCTTGGTTCTGCTGGTTTGTGATGAATGGCACTGGTTGAAGTAAGGCAGGAGCTCACAGGCGAAGTCGAAAGAGAGAGAAAGTCGGCGCGGTGCGTTGCGAGCCGTCGGGAAGAATTGAGCATGGTTCACCCTGACATCTTGTAGTGGCCGCGCCTCCGGCCACAGCAAGGTTTTCGCCACGGAAATGGCATTTTCAGCGCCACTATCTACTCCGTATTTCGTGGCTGACAGCTTTCGCAGTGGCTAGTGAACGGTAAGTTGATGTTCTGGATTCGTCCGGCACCCAACACCCAGCTTCTAGCTGTGCTTCTAGAACAACTAGGCGTTTGGTCCTATCAATCTCAACCGATGGCTATCACTATGAAATGGAACTTCAGGCTTTCATGTTATTTTCTGGGTTTCTTGGTCAACTGCCACACGAAGCATCAACCAGCACAGGCTTTCAGCCACCTGTTATCAATATGCCTTGTGATAAGGAACAAAAATGGCATTCCACATCACGTCCGATCGAGTGATGACTGGTCAATTTCTATGCTCACACTCGGCTTTCAGAAAAAGGTGTTTCGTGTTCCATATGAACCATAGCCCCTGTCTAAAACTGACATGGCCGAAAACACGTGCACCTAGCCTAAAGCCATGTCCCATTAGCACATGGCCAAGAGAACATGGACATGTACGTAACTAAATGATTTATTCATGTCTTCGCGTTCATCAGCTTCCGTCACAAAGTATGCATCATTTAGTTGGGCGAGTAAAATCACTTAAGGAATCACGCCCGAGAAAGATGAACCCACCATCTTTTGGTTGTATTGCTGTTCTCAACAACTCTGAATACCTATACTGTTTTATGAATTTTGCCAAATCTTCTCACCGCCATGAAAACTGTCGGCCGGCAAAGTGAGCGATGAATAAGGAGTCTTCGTATTGTAATCATTGCCAAGAGTTCGTGCCAATTTGCAACAGCCCGTAGTGTTGACTGTGGTCCACTTTAAGCTTTGTCAACTCAAAACAACGATTCAACGACACAAGTTGAACATCGAGAAGTCTGCCGTACAAGACCAAGTGGAACTAGCTGTCGGACATTAGCTATATCTGAGTGGCCAAGAAAGACAAATAGGTTGAAAACCTACACTGTGCCGTGATTACCTACGACGTGCTGTTCTCATGCAACTCGGTTTGTAGTTTGGAACACAGGGAAATAAACGAGCAAATCTTTCAGATATACGAATTTCGTAGGGAAAGTGTCGTTTCATAACACCGCTGCGCCTTCATTTATTGCTTGTTACTAAACTTGGTTGAAGGCACGCTATCATAATTGAGTTGGGAAACAAGGCATACCGGCATGGGAGTTGATCTTTAGTCAGGTATATGTGTGTCAGTATTGACCCCACTGGCGCCCGGTAGCGACTCGCCTTTTCAATATTTTGAGTTAACGCTACCCTGCTGTCATGGAATAGTGTGTATGGATACTTTCAGTCTTGCATTAAGGTTCCCTCATGCAAAACGCAGGTTCCAAGTCGGACAAACTATAGCTGAGTCAAAACGGGCTTCTGCGGGAATCGAGACACCGCTTGCGTCCCGGCTGCCATCCCGACGCACAGCCAAGATACGGATGGCTGCAGCAATTAAATTCAAAAGATTCCTAAAAGATAATTTAGCGTCATGGAAGAATGTTCAACTATGAAGAGTCGCCGGACCCGAATCAAGCCCTACGTAGTTTGAGTCCATATCAGTTTTATTCCTTCATTTGTGGCAAGCCGCATGGACATGTGGCGGCGGTTGCCTCGCACCCCTCGGAAGCCACACCTCCCAACCGTTCTCTAGCGGCCGTTGCCTGCGCTAATTTCTGACCTGGAGCTTGATTATCATTGTATCTCTGCATTTCGAGGGGCTGGATTGCTAAAGTGGCTGATATTCTGTCCACTCACAAGGCGATACCAAAATGCACAACATAGCGGTATCCCTTTCCAGCCCTCGGTAAGGCACAATAAGAAACTTGCGGCGTCCTGGCATAGCTAAAGTCGACTTATCTCAGAGTCAGGCCAATGGACTCGAGGTTTGCGTCGCATGCTGTTGCTTCGCAGGGCTGACTTGAACGAGGAGAGGAGGGGTTGCCTCCGATCACAGACGTAGATGCCCGTATCCCTTGCTTTCCCCATCGTATTCTATTGAATAGAGCTGTTCCCACGATTCGCGTTCTTCAGGGTTAGTCCCTCTGTCTTCATAGCTCTACATATTATTTATACTGATATAGTGTTTAAAAATTGCTCTTTGTTCAACGGCATGGTGATCGTGTGCTCTGGTGTAGGCCCGTGTCGGCCACTGTTCCGAATTATCCTCAGTGCCCTTCTCGTTGCCACGCGTGTCGTCTACGCACAAGAATGCAACTATGCCGGCGGCTGGTCTCTTCGATTTCCTAGCTCTTCCTGCCCACAGGACGCCCCTTTCGAGTGTGGCAAAGCTGGAGGACTCCAGGTTCGTTGTTGTCCATCGGGATCGTCGTGTGCAGGCAACGGCAGCTACGAGGGAAACTATTGTTGTCCAGGTTCGTGAAGGCATTGCCCCCCCCTCTCTCTTTCAACCGAAATCAGACACCTATGGAGCAACATGCTGACGGTTTCCGCTGAATTAGACTCCACCGACTGCTCGGCCTCGGCGTATACTCACCCCAAGGTACCTCGCGCCGTTCCCTAGTGCGATACACCGAGATGAGTATCGTATTAACCAGCCAGTGTCCTGATCCGGCGTGGAGCATTTGGGTAGCAAATGATACAATCAACGAAAAGCCCGATACCGGCGCATGGTGCTGCAAGCCAGATTATAAAGGTGTATATCGAGACAACGGCACCGCCAACTACTTCTGCACGGCTACAACCATCACCACACTCCAGCCCAGCTACTACTGGGCACATATCCTGACCACGACATCATGTTCAGTGACGGGAACACCCGTCGGTTTCCCAACAGCAGCGTCTACAGCAATGTCTTCAGGAACAACCAATGCAACTTTCGCTGAGACTCCACCAGCCACAGCGTCCAGCACGGGCACCCGGCCTGAATCGACCAACGCAACATCTCCCGGCAGTCAAGAACCGGCAGGAATCTCACTCGGTGCCAAGGTGGGAGCAGCAGTTGGATGCGTAGCCGGCGCCGCTCTGATCGTTGCAGGAATCTTGTACATCAGGAATAAGAAGCAAAAGACGATAGAGGGCGTCACACTGACTGGGGACACGGAAGAGGGACGCGGCAAGCCTGCCGCAAAAAATTTCCACAAGAGCGGAGGGAGACGCCCCAGTGAGTTGGAGACGGTCGAACGCACCGTCGAGCTTGATGGTGTGAAACCAACCTATGAGCTCGATGCGACAAGGAAAGAAGACCAGTTTGGCATTGTGTCTCCTATGAGCACGCAGCCCAACGTCAACTAGAAGGAGCCTTCATATGTGGACAAAGGATTGGACTGGGGAATGCATAGCATCGGTTTAAAGGTGATGGTGATTCGGATGGGCTGATAGGCATCGTCTTCCCGTATAATTGAACATATGCATTGTTGTCTCTTGGTGGAAGGGTTGCCGAAGGCTCAGACACGAATGACTAGCCAGACGGACTGAGAAGGATCGATGTCCACAGGCCCGTTCGCTGCAAACAGTCCCAACTATCCCTCAGTGTGATCCAAGTTACTAATTCATGGCCCTACCCAGGAGACAAAACTCGAGCACAGTTCGACGAATTGTTGGTCATGCCAAAACCTCTACGGCCGTCTATACTTGACAACTTAGCGTGAGCTCGTTGTTCACCTACAAACTTGCTCACAAATCTTGATGAACTTGTGCGCCTACCTGCACCCATGTATCTATCTACCTATCCAAAAATGTTACGCCCACGAATCCCATTATGTCCTCAGCTCCTCCTATCATGCAAATTAGTTGTCTGATAACCAACAACATGATCACAGGCAAAAGATTTGATCAGTGGGAGGCTTGAACTCCCGGCCTTGGCATTACACAACATTCCTGATGAAATATTAGTACCACGCTCTAACCAACTGAGCTAACCGACCAGTTATTTGTGTGTTGTGACAGTTGTGCCCTAAACCCCACCAGAAATGAAGCCCGGACGTGGACATCGTGAGATTACGGGACCCACTTGAAATGGGGCAAGTTCACTGGATGAGACCCGGATGGCCTGGTACCAGCAACTTTAAATCTTTCTCTGGGCCTGCAATAGTTGCCCTTCGTAGATTGTCTTCAATTTGTTTCGTCTCGTCATTTGAAGTAGGCATTTTGATGGATTCAATATATGGTCATAGTGTCAAGTCATGATTACTCACGAGATATCCATTCTTGAGCCTGAAACTGTTTGTGTTGTCAATGTTCGGAATTAACCTTCTCGGATAAAAAGCAATCATCTTCTCATTCTCTTACTTTGAAGTTGAATGCCAATTCGCCCAAGAACTCTCACAAGACGGTTCTCTTCTAAGCTGGAAACACGATTCTCGTTGCAATGGTACTTTACTGTCCTGATGGCGTAATGTCGAGCAATGGTCTCTCGAGACTTGAGAAAGCGCCATGGAATGGCAGCTTTCTCCGGTAACCCAGTTCATGGCATGTATAATACCAGCATTTTACCTATACGTGTTCTCGCATTCTCAGACCAAACCGTCCTCATATCCCGCTGTTCATCACTTCAACTCACAACTCAATCAACCCAAACGCCAACAAAATGCACCTGTCATCCTTGATCGTCGTCACCCTTGCCACCATGACCAGCATAGCCATCGCCAAAGGCGGCGGCCCAGCCAAAGTTGCCATGCCCCCCAGCGACAGCCCAGAGCTCTGCCTCAAGCGCCTCAACACCTACCCGAACCGCTCGCCCAAGCGCATCGACCTCCTCGGCGGCCGCTGCGTCCAGGGCCGCACCTACAAGGGCAAGTTTGGCCCTTATAACGGCGACTTTTTCTTCGAGACGTGCTGCACGGACAAGGATGGCAACTTCGGCGAGCCGACCTTTATCAACGTGGACGAGTGCATCGTGTTTGATCCCGTGAACGGGACTCTCGCCTGGAACAACCAGAACTCGCACGAGATTCGGGATCACTGCGGCATGTGTGAGGTGGATGGCATGCTCTTCGCCAAAGACGGGTTTCCTGCTGGTCCGTACTTGAGCTGCGACTGCAAGAAGGACAATAATGAGGTGGTCAAGGCCAAGATCGGATTGGGAGTGGATCTTGATGCATCCAAGGAGCCCAAGGACGAGCTCTGGGTCACGGAGGCGGGCAAGCTTAGCTGCAAGAAGCAGTGAGGTGCTCACAGAATAGCGTGGTGGATATCATGACTCAGGAGAGTCCATGTACGATAGAATACAGACTTCTTCTTCAAAGAGGCATCCTCGAGGGACCGAGCGGCAAGGAGTATAATAACAATATTAAGAGGGGCTGCCGTCAACTAGGCGTTAAATGAGAGATGTGTAGGTTGCATTTATTCGATAAATACTTTATCCTGAAGTACGTTATGTGCATCCCCAATAAGGGCCATTCTTTGGTGGCGATCCTCACATGCTAGTGTGATGCTGGTGTCAAGCAATTCTCCAAAGGCTTGGAGGCGTTGGGATTATCATAAAGTATACCGCTATGAATGCTCGATCTAGTCCTACTGGTTTTACACTTCTAATTATGCGTTGCCTCATCGCTGCGTGATTATCCATTGCAAGCTGCAATGATGGGGTGGGAGGTTTCTAATGTCGTAACCCATCTGATATTATCATGAGGCCAGGGCTATGTTATCCGCGGCATAAACATCGAATCTTTTCACATCTATTGAAGGAGATTGAAGACGAAATTAAGCGGAAGCGCAGTGTCCACCATCGACACGGAGATCTGCGCCGGTCATGAAAGAGCTGCCTTCGGACAGGAGGAAGACGGCGGGCGCTTTGAAGTCTTCGGGTGTGCCCAGGCGCTGGAGAAGGGCGCCTCTCATCCAGGTCGTTTCAACGTCAGGCTCGGCCTGTAGGAGCTGGTCCGTCATTGCCGTCCGGATATACTGTTGATGGGTCAGCAATGAAACGTGGTGATTGAGGATGACTAGAACTTACGCCAGGCGACAGAGTGTTTACACGGATACCATATTGACCCCATTCCTGAGCAACAGACCTGCACATCTGCTGAACAGCAGCCTTGCTGGTGTTGTAGGCACTGCACGTCAATCCCTGCCAAAGTTTGTCAGACCAAGAGTCCACATGATATGCAGCCGTCACGGGTAAGGCGGGAGTGATCAAGACTTACTCTGTTGGCGATTTCTCCAGACATGCTCGAGATGAGCAAGATGCTGCCCTTGCTCTTGCGCTTCACCAAGACGCGGGCGGCGTGCTTGGCCGTCACGAAGACGCCGACGACGTTGACCTTTTGGATCCGCTCAAAGTCGGCGACGGGATACTCGAGAGCGGGGATCTTTTGCTGGATGCCGGCGCAGGCGACGGCGCCCCAGAAGGGAGCGCCGCGGCTGTCGGCATCGTCGGCAATGTCCTCAAAGACCTTTTCCGTGGCCGCCTCGTCGGTGATGTCGCACTTGTGGTAGGTGACGGAGAGGTTCTTGGAGGTGGCGAGCTTGGTGAGGTGAGCCCACTCGACGGGTGATGGCTCCGGGAGGATGTCGAGGCAGGCGGCACTGCCTCCGGCTTCGAGGATAGCGAGGGCGAAGGTGATGCCTAGGCCGCGGCCGCCGCCGGTGATGACAATGGTCTTGTTGGCGAGGGAGAAGAGTTGGGGTGTTGCGACGGAGGAGCCGAGAGGGTCCTTGGCTTCGGGGAGAGGGTGGACGGGCTGTGCGGGGACGTCCATGTCACTTACTGCTACGGAAGGCATTGAGAATGAAATATGAAGGATCTAATTTCTTGGGTATCTTTGGTGAACGGACGACGAGAAGAGCGAATTACAATAGAGTGATGTGGTTAGGGAGTCAGACTACGGCTCACGTGCGAGGTCAAAAGTTGAATGGAGCGACGGTGAGTATTAGTAGAGAGAACTGGTGGTAGGAGAGTCAAAACACGGGAAAAATTGTGGTCACAGATTAGTTATTTGAGGGATACTGGACAACCGGGGAGGACGGGGCGGACGGAAGAAGAGTCAAGACACGAACGGGCGTCGCTTGGAGTTGTGTGAAGGGTGTGAAGGTGCGAGATGCCGGCTGAGCCTCGGCCATGGGAAGGCTCGTTGCGCCGAGGCCCCAGACTGGTTGGAGGTGTGTCTTGACTCCCTCAAGAAGCCTTGAGACGGCGTTCGGCATTGAGTCCGCGCGGAGACAGACTTGGAGGGGCGCAACGGGCAGCGTGGTGGGAGGGCAGGTGGAAGCGCTTCTTGGCGGGACGCGGACGCCAGATTGGCAGATGGCGGGGTGAACCGGGGGGTTGGGGGAGAGGAGGCGAGAAAACAAAACGAAAATGGCACGATGGGAAAGTTTGACATTGCTCAGGACTTGAGGGACGACTCGATCGGACTGGGAGGGCTGCGGCAGAGGTGCTTGGTGATGGGTTCATGGATAAAGTTTTGGCGGCTATGGTTGTATGTGAAGCCATGAAAATAAGAGCAGTTCCAACAAGATTGATGCACCGGGCCCACCGGAGCCCAATGCTTCGATTAGGTACCCTGGGGAGAGCAGTTGGGCCGCAGATGGCAGAGTTGAGAGGAGGCCGAAGCGATGCAAGGCAAAGTAGGCGATGGGCTAGCGGGTTGTTTGGACTCGTGAGGACTGTTTGAATCTTTCTGAGGTGGTGATTGTGGGCGTTGTCAAGTCCGAGCCCAGATGATTGCAGTGTAAGGTATGAATAAAGACTTTGAAACTGTCGAGGATCGTCAACCTTGGCGACCTGAAGAGTTGGAGAGCTGGAGGAAGGACGGGAGAGAGGGCGCGCAGGTGCGGGTAACCACGTGGTACCGTAACTTGGCGGGGAAGAAGAATGAGACGGTAAGTGGTCAGCGTGGATTATGTAAGGAGACACTTGATCCCCGGTAGGTAGTGCACGTACCGCAGCTGCGCTTCGAATCTCCCAAACTGATGGGCACGGGCCATGGCGGGGCACACACACCTTTCGTCCCGCACTTTAGCCCCATTGTCCAATCACCAGCCGCCAGAGCTACCGGCATCCACTCCTGCCGCCTGCGCCCGAGTCTTTGGCATTTTTCCCTTCTTCCTTTTTTTTTTTATTTATTTTATTTTTTTATTTTATTTCTAACTTTTTTTTAATTCCTTTTAATTCCGTTTTTCTTGACTTTGGGAGAATACAACAACCAGGTCATCATTGCCGATTATCAACTGTCGGTTTCGATTTCAACCTTCTCAGAAGAAGCTTCCCATCGTCCGAGCACCTCATTGCACGTCTGCTGACCCTGAAATCACACCGGCTACGCTGTACACTGCGTCTAGCCACGCTTCATCAGCCCAAAATCTCGGCTTCGTCAAGTGACACTGGAGCTGTTCTTCTGCCGAGCCCAATCTGTTTAGATCCACCCCAAAACGGAAAACATAAGCGCTACTTTCCTGATACTGCACTGCTTCGCCTTCGCATTGCTGGCCATCCCACTCTCAATCCCAAAACGGTCATCTCAACCACTCGGAGGGGTCTCGAGTTGCAACGTCGCCACGATTATATTTGTCGAAATGGCCGCTTTCAAGTGCCATCCGTCTCTCCTATTTCATCATCTCTTGCCTGAATTGTACTTCCATTCTAGAGTAAGAGACCTTCAATTAATACCAATTGCTTTTTGCATACAACGACTGCGTCACGCATTGCCCGTACTCCCTTCACTATTCCGAGCACATTCAACCAGGTGAACGGACGGCCCGGTGCTACCCCTCATAACGCCCACCCCAAGATACCCTCATCTCCTAATAATCTATCGACACACCAAAATGGCACCGAGTGCAGTTCCTTCAGAGCCCGTGGCCCAAGGCATTGTGACTGCCAAGTCCCTCAATGGCCCCAACACCCAGTTCCACCTCATCGACAGCGAGAAGAAAGAGGTCGACTTCGTTCTACGCACATTCCGCTGTCTCATTGCCGATTTGTGTGAGCAGTTCAAGGGCGGCCACCCGGGCGGTGCCATGGGTATGGCAGCCATCGGCACATCTCTCTGGAAGTACGCCATGAGATACTCGCCCAAGAACCCAAACTACTTCAACCGGGACCGTTTCGTCTTGTCAAACGGTCACACGTGTCTGTTCCAATATACCTTTCTGCACTTGACCGGCTACAAGAACATGACGATGGACCAGCTAAAGTCCTATCATTCCGCTCGCACCGACTCCATCTGCCCCGGCCACCCCGAGATCGAGCATGAGGGCATCGAGGTGACGACCGGTCCCCTGGGCCAGGGTATTGCCAATGCCGTTGGCCTGGCTGTAGCTACCAAGCACCTGGCCGCCACTTACAACCGCCCCAACTTCCCCGTCGTCAACAACATGACATGGTGCATGATCGGAGACGCCTGTCTGCAGGAGGGCGTCGCCATGGAGGCGATCCAGCTCGCCGGCCACTGGAAGCTGAACAACCTCGTCGTCATGTACGACAACAACCAGATCACCTGCGACGGCAGCGTCGACCTCTGCAACACCGAAGACGTCAACAAAAAGATGCGCGCCTGTGGCTGGAACGTCATTGAGATTGAGGACGGCAACTGGGACCTCGAGGCCATCGTCCGCGCTATGGACCAGGCTCGCAATAGCAAGGACAAGCCCACCTTTATCAACATCCACACCGTCATTGGAGTCGGCAGCGCCGTTGCCGGTGACGCCAAGGCCCACGGTGCCGCGTTTGGAGCCGCCGATGTCGCCAATATCAAGAAGAACTTTGGCATGGACCCCGAGAAGCACTTTATTGTGTCGGACCAGGTCTACGACTACTTCCGCAAGGCCATATCCCGCGGCGAGAAGATTGAGGCCGAGTGGAACCAGCTTGTCGAGGGATACTCTCGTGAGCACCCGGAGCTCGCCGCCGAGTTCAAGAAGCGCGTCTCTGGAGAATGGGTCGACGACTGGCGCAAGTTCATCCCCGCCAAGGAAGACCTCCCTACGACGCCCACTCCTTCACGAAAGTCGGCTGGTTTGGTCTGCAACCCCATTGCCGCTGGTCTGAACAACTTGATGGTCGGCACTGCGGACTTGTCTCCCTCGGTGAATATGATTTGGAAGGGCAAGGTTGACTTTCAAAACGTAAGTTGTTGATGACAATGCTGGCGCTACGTGTGCTTCATGGATGACACTAACAGACACCAGCCCGACCTGAGAACGACTTGCGGCATCAACGGCGATTACTCTGGCCGCTACATACACTATGGTATCCGTGAGCACGCCATGGCTTCCATCTCCAACGGCCTGGCTGCCTTCAACAAGGGCACTATCCTGCCCGTCACATCCAGTTTCTTCATGTTCTACATTGTAAGCTCTCGTCCGAGCGCTCCACAGGAAGGCTTCCTGCCATGCTGCCGAAGATGACTCTGACAAACCACTAGTACGCCGCCCCTGGTGTGCGTATGGGTGCTCTCCAGCGCCTCCAGCAAATTCACATCGCGACGCACGACTCGATCGGAACCGGCGAAGACGGCCCCACCCACCAACCCATTGCCCTGCCCGCCCTCTACCGCGCCATGCCGAACCTGCTCTACATCCGACCCTGCGACAGCGAAGAGACGGCCGGCGCCTTCATCCTGGCCATGCAGGCCAAGGACTCTCCCACAATCATCTCCCTCTCCCGCCAGAACCTCGAGCAATACCCGCAGTTCACATCGCGCGACGGCGTGCAGAGGGGCGCCTACGTCTTCCAGGAGGCCCAGGACGCCGACGTCACGCTCATCGGCGTCGGCGCCGAGATGGTCTTCGCCTTCAAGACGGCCAAGCTGCTCGCGGACAAGCACGGCATCAAGGCGCGCATCGTCAGCTTCCCATGCCAGCGCGTCTTTGACCAGCAGCCGATCGAGTACAAGCGGGAGGTGCTGCAGTACCGCTCCCAGGCGCCGCGCGTCGTCATCGAGGCCTACGCCGTCAACGGATGGGAGCGCTATGCCGATGCCGGCTTTTCGATGAGCACCTTTGGCCACTCGCTGCCGGGTCCCGACGCGTACAAGTACTTTGGCTTCGACGAGGCCGTCATCGCGCCCGAGGTCGCCAAGCTCGTCGAGGAGGTTAGAGCGAACGGGGTGGATAGCCTCAGGGGCGAGTTCCGCGACCTTAACCCTGTCCACCACCACTGAGAGCCATCATCCATGAAACACCCTTTTTTAGCTAGGTGGTTTGTTGATTTTTTTTTTGGACCGAAAAACTTGTATAGGCGGGTTCGGTGACGGGAATGGGGCGCTAGCGGCGTTCACGGCTTGGGGGGATTTTGGCAGGCAAGGATTGCGCAGAACACGGATCACCCTTGATTCTCGATTATAATTGAGTGCAAAGAGTCACGACTGCGGCCCGTTTTGGAATTCTGAATAACGGGGACGCGACATCCCGTGTCATGGATTGAACCGCTTAGATGGCTCGCTGTGGACGAAGTTTGATTATGTTCATTTCGTCGGGTTGAGTTGGTGAAGATCGCACTTTGACGTTATGAGGGTCAACCTAGATGGAATCAAGCTTTCGAGGAAAATCACACAATACAATACAAACGTAATTGTACAGCACTTTGATGTCATACTTATTATTTCTCAAGCGAGGATTGGATGAGACTTTGGCTCCAAAGGTGTGTCTTTGCAGGTCTGCGCTTCAGCTACTATTTCTCATCTTCAGGTTAATCCAACGCGGTCAAAATCGCAATAGACAACTGCTTGTGAGCCCAACCAACCCCGAGACTACAGACGACGCTGAACAAGATTTTACCCAAGTCCGACAGGAGGACTGGTTTCTGGAACAAGGGTGAGAAAAGCTTGAGGGTTGCTCTCGGTGGCTCTCTCAGACGGGGTGTGTGGGGGGTCGCTGGAGTGCTACTCCAACGACTCCTATCAAATGCCAAACTCTCTACGAATGCAATCCTTGCTCCCGAACCGACACTAAAGAGAGAATGGCGGGGTAGACGGAACCCAGGCAGAAAAGGGCCACTCGTGACGAGGGCTGTTGGGGTTTTGGGGCTGCAGAGTTTGTCCCAAGTCGGAGCCAACAAGGATACCCCATGTCGTCCCCGGGCCAATCTCTTAGCCTCCAGCAGACGACTAAACAGGAGACGCCAGTTTTGCATGTCCGTCCGACACCGCTTACAGCTTCCCCCAGACTCTCCCCGCAGAATCCCTCACTCGTGTGTCCCTCTCTTCATCTGCCTCCCCCGTCCCCGTGGCATGTCTGGGTGCCATAGCTCCCTCAGCCACTGCCGAACGCGCAGCGCGCAGCGGCCAACCAACAGTCAAAAAAGAGTCAGTCGTCATCATATGCTGCGAGGAGGCTGCCGCCGTCGGGCACCAAGAAATCAGTCTGAAGTCGTTGATTGAGTGTTGCCAAGAGCGGAGGTAAAAATGTATGTCCAGCTCTCGGCAGATGTGAATAGTAAACTCTGTTTGATATCACGTCTTGTGGCAGGGAGGCTCGCGCATCCCGCAAGAAACTCTTTTCCTCTTGCCTTTCACTACCTCCAACAGCTCTCCTGACCATTGGTGCTTAACGGTTCGCCGGCTTGGTCCATATTATTTGCTTCGCCTTGCCTTATACACATCTCATCTCGACCTACTCACAGCCGCACCCGCTCCCGCTCCTCCGCGACAGCGCATGTCGAAGCGCTCAATTTTTTTGCTCCATGAACATCTCACATAGCCTTTTCTCCTCTCATTCGTCCCCTTTTCCACCTGTGGAGGGGGACATACCCCTGGCAGCACCGGTCTGCTTCAGCCTACGTCAAGTTCCACCACACCAGAGAGCTGCTGCGCTTACGGATTACGAATTCGGATGCCCTACTCCAGACGGTCTAGACCACGTCCACAGCTCGTGCCGATGAGCTCGACTCAATCATGGCCGCCGACGACGAGACGCAACGCCAATCGTCTCCCGTTGTCGACGATGACAGGACCTCACGTGCTCCGACCGACCCGCCGGCGGATGGGCCTCCGCCGGCCAAGAAAAAGAGGACCCGGACCCGGACGGGCTGCCTCAACTGTCGCCGCAAGAAGCGCAAATGCGACGAGGGCCGTCCGGCTTGCGGTGGGTGCTCGAGAAGGAAGGAGAATTGCGAATGGGGTATCAAGGTGACCTTCCGGGCTGAAAACGCCCAGACGATATTACAAGACCACCCGTCGATGAAGAAGGCTCGGCGGCCACCTCTCCGTCGTCACTTTGAGATCCTCGACGTCACCAACGAGGTCATCCGCGACTATCATCTACCACCCGGCTTTCACGACTATGACTCGGATCGAGAACTTGGACCGGATATATCGCCCATCGAGAGGGGGGCCCCTGGTCCACATCACGAAGATGACGATGCAAAGAATTTTGACAGCCCCGTATCCTACACCACTTCCACAGCCGGCGGCAATACTACATCTGTTGCGGGATCCAGCACGGCGAAAAGAACATTATCCTCATCTGGACCGAGTTCCGCACCGGCGGACCACATTCCCATTACAAGCTACGGCTCTCTTTTGACACCGTCGACCCGGCGAGAGGATGCCTCAAGCGATAAAGGACACCCACCAACGGGCGACCGTATGGATTTCCAAGCATCTTCCTCTTCAGCATCGCACCTCATCACCGATAGCGCCGTTGCAAACCTCATTTACCTAAGCCAGGGAGGCGCAGGTCAAGGACCGCACGAACACCCCGTATCCGCCGTCAGCCGTCTTCCCGTCACAACTTTATCCATCGACCCGCTGATGGATGCACCCTTTGACTTTATGGACCAGATGTTCACGCCCGAGGGGTCATACGAAGACGGCATATTCTTACCGGGCTCAGCATACCATGAGCTCCACTCCACCTTGCGAAACCATTTGATCCAAGAAGTTCGCTCCAATGGTCCTACGAGACCAGCTTCGCCGGCCTCTGGCGAGAACACCAGACCTAGATCCATCGACACCAGCTCCGGCCCTTGCTCGTCAAACGAGGCGGCCGAAGCAGTCGGTGAGGTATCTTCCGATCACGAACCCCCCTCTCTTCCCTTGGAAGAGGAATGTGCGTTGTGGAAGAACTGGGTAGACGAGATCTCTCCCTGGCTCGACAAGTTCGACAACCAGCGCCACTTTCAGCATTCCCTCCCGACAATGGCTCGGGCACACGATCATCTGCGGTACTCCATGCTGGCTCTTTCGGCCCGTCAATTGGAGCTGAAAGACAAGAGCCGCCCCACAGACCAGAGTCTGGCGCTTTATCAAGAAGCGATACACTTACTTTTACCCCAACTCCCGACGCGCACAACCGCCGTCATAGCTTCGTGCGTGGTACTCTGCGTTTTAGAAATGGCCAGCTGCTCTCCAAAGGCCTGGCGTAGGCACCTTGACGGCTGCGCCAGTCTGATGGAGGCCGTTGGCATGAACGGCTTTGTCGGCGGCGTCGAGCAGGCGCTATTTTGGTGTTTTGTCCGGATGGATGTATGCGGTGGCCTCATCTCGTCGGTGAAGACCTTGATACCCGTCAACCATTGGGCATCTCCAGTCAACCTCGAAACAGACGTTGGTTTGTTCCTCAACAGCCCCGGCCATGACATGTGGGCCAACTACGCAGTCTATCTCTGCGCCCAGGTTCTCGACCTGCTGGCTCCACTGGCCAAGGCCAACCCAGGCGGCCTATTTTTCGACGGACCAAGGAATGACATGAGATACCGAGTGCAGTGGATGAATCTTTGGAGGTATGTCGAGAACTGGCACAGCCGCCGGCCGTCCCAGATGCAACACATCATGTCGATACCCTCATCGGACGCGGAACCGTTCCCCAAGATTCTGTACAGCAACCCCGCCGCCATATCGGGTAACCAATTATACCACACGGCGTCTCTGTTGATGCTACAAAACAGACCGGCCTCGTTACGATTGTCACCGAGGCCCCGGTCAGCGCTCTGGCATGCCAGGCAGATTTGCGGGATTTCAATGACGAATCACCACCACGGGGCGTGGACCAACAGCGTCCAACCCCTTTGGATTGCGGGGCGTTGCATGAGCCACATTACGGAACATCGCGCGATACTGCAGTTACTAGAAAAGATCGAGACAGAGAGCGGATGGGGCACCAAGTGGAGGGCAGATGACCTAAAGGAGTTTTGGGGCGACTTGGGAGACGGTTAGTATCCCGATTGACAAGACAATGACTTTTTTTTCACTTCTTTTTTACTTTTGTCATGATTTAAATATGGAATAAGTGCTCTGACACTAAAATCTGCGTGAGCAGCTCCAGCCGCTGGGGAAGGCGTTGGCGCAACGAGACCTCCACGTAACGCGTCGATATTCAGTGTCGGCTCTAGTATCGCCTCTAGTTACGGATCAACGTCCAGTCTATGAAGAAAGTTCCGCGTGGCACTACCTACAGTAACCTACTACATACTTCAAAAACGCCACTCAGTCAAGGACCAGTCACAGTGGTTGACAGCACGCGGTCTCCGAACTGCTGGAATCCTAGGCTAGCATCAACAACAAGCCCGCGCCCCCCGCCCCTTCCTCCCATCATCCCCGCGGTTTAAAAACCAGACGTTGCGATTCGATCTGGTCCGAGGAAAGCTGCCCTATGGGATGAGATTGGCGGGTCCAGACGTCGGGACAGGACGGGTTCAAGGTCAAGGGCGTCGGTCGCCACATCTCCACAGTTTCTTCCCCCTCCCCCCTCCTTTCCATCCCCAGGAAGCTGCCCTGTGAGTACTTATACTATGGAGACCGAGTAGCGGCTTGCTGACGGCAGGCGGAAGCCCCCCCGTGGTGCGGCGTTCATGCGGGATTGCGGGTTTGCGGAGGAGTGACCAGGGACTGGCCGGGGTGGAAAAGTGCGGGGATGACCTCATTTCCCCGTCTCGTCTTAGAATGGTTCGAGGGGAGAGGAATAAGCACGGGTGTTTGGCATGGCCCCGGTCTAGCAGCTAGGCTACGGATGAGATGGTGGAGAAACCGTCTGGATTATGAGGCGATCGGGCGGCAACCCGAGGCGCATTTGCGATGAAATACTTTGAGGTGTGGCTCATCACATGCGGTTTCACGCATCACGGGAGTTAACCACCTCGTTTGCCACTGGACTGCCGTGGCCCCAAGCCAGTTGAAGCGTGTTGCGTTCATCATCCCGCGGCAGATGAACGTGTCCAGCCATCAAGTCACAGGGATCTTGCTCAGGCGAGGAAAGCAAGACTCATCTCTGCTTGGACAGAATTGGATGGGCGACAAGATGAGAGAAAAGTCCTTCAGGGTTGATGGATGGCAGTTAGGGGCCGTGAGTGTTGTGTGGCAGGTCGAGCCGCAAGTCTGGTGCACAGCGGCTGAGCGGCAGCCTTCATGATTTCTTTAAACCGGCGCTACGAGTAGCCGCTTTTTGAATTGGGTAATAACGAGAGGGCGTCGGCACCGAAGATACACAACGCGATGGAAGTCTCATTTAGCCTGATTAGGTTGGCCGTTGATCGCCCCTCTACACTTGAGAGGGAGCCGGAGCGCCGATGATGAGGAAGATGAACGGGTGAAATCCCACCGGCCACATGAAGAACTTGAAAAAAAAAAAAGCGCCTTCAACTTCCTTGTTTTTCCTGCAGAGGGCAGCTCCACGCATCCTTACGCAATGGTCCAAACTCGGCGCTTTCCACCCTTGTCCCTGTCCGTTTAGTCCGTCCACCCCCTCCGGATTCGCAGCCGGGACCTTGAATTTTTTTCCCTAGTCAATCGCGAAAAGCCCGCTCGGGGGCCGCGTGGGGGGGGGGGGGGGTGGAGGACACGGTCCCCGCCGTGACGCGGCCGCGTTGCAGACTGCGAGCCAGCGTTTTCCCCTCCCGATGTCCGCCCCTTCCCCCACCCCCCGGGGAAAGCAGGGGGGGGGGGGGGGGCGAGAAACGAGTCCACCTGCAACCCGCCTGCATACAGAAATGCATACAACGTTTGTTCGTAACCATATGCTTCCTAGTCTCTAATGCCATTGGAAAAAAAAGGGGGACTGTAAGGGAGCATTGGACAATGGTACAACCCCCCGTCGCGAGTCAGTTGGATAGCCATTCTCACCCAAACATGCGCGTCCAACTGCCCGCAGAAACTCTAGCCAAGCAGGGACGGGACTACAACCTCCCCTGGCCCTCTTCACCCAGTCCGCAAGTTCTTTCCGATATGACTTAATCAACCTCCGCGCTGGGGTCCCCGCACTGCGGTTCTTGTGTGGGGAGAGAAGTCTCCTCTCGCCCCTCCAAGGTGGGAAAAGGTGCAGCCGACTTGACACACTTCTGCCTCTACAAGGTTTTGCAACAATCAACTGACGTTGTTTCACCACGGACCAAAGATTTAGACGAAGAAGAACAAACTGTTCAAGAAGAATTTGAGCTAGCGGCTGCAGTGTACCGGACTCCTCCTTCAACACCAAAGACTGTTGCGTTGCATGGCATGCCTGGATCTATACATATAGAACAACGTCCCCATCCATCGTGAAAACATAGGGATCCGTTCTTTGTCCGACTCTTCGGCTCGAGTCATCCCAACTTTTCCTTTCGTCTCATCTCGCGGTCTAAACCCCCATCGTGTGAGGGCATTTCCATTGCCTGCGCCGCCCCATCACAATCCTTTTCTTCCCTCATCGTCACCAATCATAATCCCTTCATCATGACCATCCTTGTTGGAAGGCCGCTCAACTGGGCCATCACGGCCACGGCCGGCTCAGGCTTCCTCCTCTTCGGATACGACCAGGGCGTCATGTCCGGCCTGCTCACCGGCTACGCCTTCACCCGGACGTTTCCCGAAATCGACACGGCCAACGGCGGCGGCGGCAGCTCCTCGCTACAGGGCACCGTCGTGGCCATTTACGAGATTGGATGCTTCTTCGGCGCCATCTTCTGCCTGCTCGTCGGCGAGAGGCTCGGGCGCCGCAAGTGCATCATGCTGGGGTGCATCATATTGAGTATCGGTGCCGCGCTGCAGGCTTCTGCATTTGGGATCCCGCAAATGATTGTGGGACGTATCGTCGCTGGGCTTGGTAATGGCATGAATACGAGTACTATTCGTGAGTCACGCTTTACAGTTCCGGCAGGTCTACTTTCTTATGGTGTGAGACTAATATCAGGCAGCTGTGTGGCACTCGGAACTCATGAAGGCGGATAACCGTGGCAAGGGTCTCGCCATCGAACTAGCCATCAACATTTTTGGCGTCATGTCCGCATACTGGGTAGACTACGGCATGAGTTACGTCTCCAACGACGCTCAGTTCCGGTTCCCTCTTGCCCTGCAGATCTTGTTCGCCTTGGTCACGCTCAGCGGAATTTTGGTCCTGCCCGAGTCTCCCAGATGGCTCATCGCCCACGATCGCCACGATGAGGCTAAGCATATCCTCTGGGCGGTGGAAAAGGATGCCACGTCGATTACCGAGAACGAGCCCAAGTTGGAACGAAATCTGGCTGAGATTCAAGCTGCCATCAGAGAGGAGCGAGAGGCTGCCAACACTGGCAGCTTCAAGATGATGTTCAAGAACGGCGACCAAAAGTTTCTTTACCGAACTATGTTGGGCATTGGAGGCCAGTTCATGCAACAACTGAGTGGTATCAATTTGATCACATACGTAAGCGCTCTCGTTCCCTCTCTCGGTCAAGATTGTGGCAGCACAGATCACATGCCACCATCTTGATATATTACAATTTTGTTTGAACAAATCATGCTGACTTGATTTAGTATGCTCCCGTCATCTTCCAAGAGTCTGTCGGCATATCACACAACCTCTCCCTTCTGCTCGCAGGTTTCAACGGCGTAGCCTACTTCTTCTCCTCCCTCATCCCGATCTGGATCATCGACCGTCTCGGCCGCAGAAAGCTCATGCTGTTCGCCGCCGCCGGCCAATGCGCCTGCATGGCCATTCTCGCAGGCACCGTCTCCAACGGCAGCGTCCCCGCCGGAATCGTCGCCATCGTCATGCTCTTCCTCTTCAACTTCTTCTTCGCCGTCGGCCTGCTCGCCATTCCTTGGCTGCTGCCCGCGGAATACGCGCCCCTGGCTATCCGAACCCGCGCCGCTGCCCTTGCGACCGCTTCGAACTGGATCTTCACCTTCCTCGTCGTCGAGATCACGCCGGTCAGCATCAAGAGCATCGGGTGGAGGACCTATGTCTACTTTTGCATCTTCAACGCCTGTTTCGTGCCTCTCATTTACTTCTTCTACCCCGAGACGCAGAATCTTAGTTTGGAGCAGATCGACAGGCTTTTCACAGGCGGCAAGGTGCAATTGTACTGGAAGGCGAGTATGGGCACTCCTGGCGAAGGATCCCACGTTCTCAGTGAGAAGGACTCTGAGTCTGGCTCTGGGAATATTCAACGCGTGGAAAACAAGGAAGAGTTCACCAATTGAGATAGACGCTACCATAGAGGGAAACAAAAAATATAATGCTTGGTTAGGCTAATTTGTATGGAAGATGGTTCATGATATCCAACGGTCTGCGTGCCGTACAGCAGGAAACGAGGTGTTTGATATGATAGTACATACGGACAGCAGGAGTCAAAAATATTACATTTTTCTTCTGTAGCTCAAAGCTCAAAGCTTGCTGTCCTTGTACACCGGCTTTCTCTTCTCGACAAAACTCTTGACACCCTCAGTCATGTTTTCTCCCGCTTCCATCTTGCGATAAATCGTCCGATCAATGAACCCCGTCGCCTCTTCAGGACCCATCGGCTCCCACCCCGTCTTCAGTCCTTCTCTCGAGACGATGACCGAATCCGGTGAGTTTCTCGCAATGGCCTCCGCTGCGCCCAGCGCAGTCTCTATCAAGTCGTCTGGCTGCACGACCTTGTTTACGAGGCCCCAGGACACCATCTCCTCGGGCGTGTAATCCGTTCTTCCGATAAGCGCCATCTCCGTGGCACGCTGTCGGCCTACCGACTTGATCAAACGAGGTAGAGCGCCGGCAATGGCAATGACGCCAATGGTCACTTCGGGGAGTCCAAACTTGGCCTTGGTGGACGCGTACACCAGGTCCGCGTTGATAATCATCTCCATCCCACCGCCCAGGCACAGGCCATTGACGGCAGCAATGACCGGCTTCTTCCCGCCGCGATTCGAGAGTCCGCCGAAGCCGGCGTTGGAAGGCCACTTTTCACCTGGTTTGGCTTCCGGGTGGTCTGCCGTCACCACCGGGGCCTGTGGGGCCGGGTCCGCGCTCACGGAAGAGGGCGTGGGGGATTTGCTGGTAGTGTTGCGGACGTTCCACTCCTTCAGGTCCGCACCGGCGCAGAATGCGCGGCCGGTGCCCGTCAGAACGGCGCAGCGGAGGGAGGGCTCCGCGTCGTACCACTCGTAGAGACGGGCGAGGGTGTATTGGAGTTCCGAGGGGATGGAGTTTAGGTGGCGCGGCCGGTTGAGGGTGATTAACATGACGTGTGGGCGGGGGAAAGAGACGGCGGCGTCCGGGCCGACATTGGGGGGAGGATTGGCGAAGTTAGGCTTTTGGGACATTGTGAAAGTTGTTGGCGCAAGACGCTATCCGTGTAAGGTAAATCGTAAGGCTCGTGAATGACAGTGGTTGAGGCAGAGGCGAAGTCGACGTCCAAGGGGGACTGAGGATGCTTCACCGTGGTTCAAGGAATCAAGGGTCAGAATAGAGGGTCCGAAGTTGTTGAGTCGTATTCGATGCGTGTCACGCGTATCAAGTGTGATTACGTGCCAATTGTATCAATTGAGTCCCTGAGAGATGGTTTGACAAGTTGTTGAAAGAGCCGATGAAGAACGTAAAAAAGCAGTGAGGTTGGGGACATCCGGGGTTAACATGATGTGTTACAGGGGCGATTTGACCATTTGCCTCGGCTCGCTTGGGTAACCGGAACCAGTTTCCGTGCGGGGTACACCGAGCTCGGTGTGAGACGGTGAGGTGAGGCAAGGCCTAAGTGTGTAGAGGCAAATGGAGACGCTGAGAACATTACACCCATTCCGGCTCCGCACCGGAGTTCAGTCTACCTAAGCGCTGGGTAGTTTACATGTGGCTATGCGCACGGCATCGGTTCTAGTGTTATACAACTCAGCTTTGAGGTTCAATTGAAAGGCCCCGAGCTGGAAGGCGTCGAATAGATTGGCGTACCAAGGGTCCGCCATAGAGGAATTACCTTCTATATGATCGTTCGGATATTCTACATGGTAAACTAGATTATCTGTGTTCCTCCGATCTCGCTGTAATAGTTTGATTGGAATTTCCAATCAAAACTATCCAATACCGTTAACTTGCTAAGACTTCATCTTCGGTGAATGCGTCTCCCATTGAAGCAACCGTGATCGAGGTGATTTCCTTCTACAGGCGCACTCAGACTTGGTCGTCTATTTCTAATTCAAATTTTCTCCGCCTGAGAGGTTCCTGAGCCACAATTTTTTAAAGGAGAGAGCTTCGACTAGACGGTTCATACTAAATGCATTCAATACATATCTTCGTTGTAAACTGGCTGATTTTGGTACAGCGTGGACAACTTGGCTAGTGGCTTTCAATCTAAACAGCAAGTACATAACACCGTCATACAATTCATTTCCTGGGATCGAACTTCAGAAGTTGAGCTTCAAGCGAGAGAGCTTTCGAAATCCGAATGATTTGACCGTTGGTTCAATCCACGACAAACGTTTTGCCTCCACGCCGAAGACAGTCGACGTGTCAGCTCAGAAACTTGATAAGCGCAGATGTTCTCCATAAGCGGCATCACAGGAAAGGTTGAAAACTTTGCGACCAAGATGGACTTCACTGCCAAGAATGTGCTTCCTTTCAATATGATTGACAATACATTTGGATCATGGCGCTTCGTAGTAGTATTTCACAGCACCGGCAATGAGCCTCTGAAGCAGGTCACGGAGCTTTTCGCCAACGGTGAGTTTTCTGCCTGAGAAAGGGCAAATTGCAAAGCTAAAATGATGTAGATCTCGCCGGTCTCGGTGAAATACCACCTTTCTCTGCAAAAGAACCCCATTGGAACCGCAACTCAGCCCACTGGTATCAAGGAGGCAGTTATCTTCGGCGGCATCTTCACGGAGGATTCCACCTCTGGAACGGTAACCCATCAATAATTGGCCGATAGAACCGGTCTTTGATTGTGCTTCTGCAGCAGAAGGCAATATTTGATGTCAGTCCCACGCGTCCAGCGCCAAGGAGTATATCAGAATTCACCCGCTAAGCCTATCTGAAGTGTCTATTTTGAAGGAAGAAAAAAAAAAAGCCATTTCTTCTAAACCAGTTAAGACGTTCTTAAGATTTAGCGCGAAACTACCTTTTAGCTCAGACACTCACAACGAATGCCTAGTACCCAAGACTTGGTAGCAAAAGAAGCCAAAACCATCTTTATGACCACTGATTGTCGGAGGTTTTGAGACATATACCATAGGCTTCCTGTCTGCAGCGGGAAAAATCAAAAGACTTTCTCCCTGCGCATGAAAACACTGCATACCACGCAAATTGCCCCAGCAGCAATAATTGGTACATACGCCAGCTGAATTGCCCGAGTGATCCCATGAATCGCCTCAGCTCTCACATCAGGAGAGGCCGAGTCAATCAAGCCGCTGCCCACACCAGCGAGGGCGTCAGAAATCACGTCGGCAGAGACGTGGGGGAAAACCTTCGCCAACGCCCGTTGCCCATAGTTGACAAAGAGCGCTCCAGACATGCCTGTGCCAAGGACAATGCCAATCATCTGACCAACAGTCATGAAGCCTACGCTGTAGGGGATCTCATCCGGCTGAACTTTCATCTGAGCGACGGCAAATCCAGCTTGGCAGAAACAACCGACGCCTGTGCCCAGAATGATGGTGTACCCGTAAATCTTGGCATTTGAGGTATGTTCATCGACGATGTCTGATAATAATGGTTAGCGTGGACGAAACTTAGAGACCAAGAACCATGACTCACAGAGAAGAACGCCACCGATGAGTTCTAGGGCTGAACCGGCAATGTACCACGGGTAGTAGTACCCAGTACGTCCCATAAACTGTCCATTGAGTAGGTTGAAGGCAACCAAGAATAGGATAAACGGCAGAAGATGGACAGAAGTCTCAACTGCTGTAATGCCGCGGGTGAATTGGTAGTACAGCGGCAGGTAGAAGATGCCGATGAAGCTTCCGAAGGTCGCAAGCACTGAGAGCTTTGTGTTAGTCATGGGGTTTCTTGCGGAAATTTCCTGAACGCGGGGAGTGAGCCATACTCATAGTAAAGAACAAGCAAATCATGGTGCGGCTTTTCCAGAAATGCATAGGAAACAGACGATTCTCTCTCGATGTGCCCACAAAGTAGATTTGTTGCAAGACGAAGAGGATCGCCAAGGCACCCGCTGCCACAAACAAACCAATGCTCTCGCCCGCATCCCAGCCCCAGAGAACCCCGCCAAAGTTCATAGCCATGATGACGCAGAGCATTGCACCAATAGAGAGCGCTGTCCCAATGAAGTCGATCTGAGCTAGGCGTTTAGTGAGGGGAACGCCCGCTTGGGGTTTGAAGTCGGGGAGTAAGATGATGTAGATGGGTCCCACGACGGCGCCGACCAGCAGGTTCAAATAGAAAGCCCAGCGCCAAGTCGCTTTGCTCTCGCTGATGGCTCCTCCAACAACAGGCCCGAGAACAGTCCCGATACCCCAGATGAATCCAGTAAGACTCAGGTATTTGGGGCGTTCGGCATTGGTGGTTGTTACGGACAAGAGTGTCAGGAGACCCATGTACATCCCACAACCACCCGCGCCGGCAATCGCGCGACCGACAATGAAGGAGTTGATATCGGGCGCGGCACCGCAGAGGGCTGAAGCCGCCATGAAGACAGTTGTAGATCCAAGATATAGTTTCTTGGCCGAGAACGTTCCGTAGGCCTTTGACCATGGAAGGGTTGTAGCGGCCGAGGCTAAGGCGAAGGAAACCCCGAGCCACGGTACGAGATCGACGCGGTGAAATGTTTGAACGACTTTTGCTTGAACATTCGCAACAACAGTGTTGTCTAGAGCATAAAGGAACAAGGCCGATAGGAGGGCGCAGATGACGAGGGACCACTACGGTACAGACGAATCAGCTTGTATCCGAACAGAAAGGGCAAGCTTGGGGAGCTAGAGAGCTGGAGACTATTGCAACATACCTTGACACCGTGGATAGTTCGTGGCGGATCAGCGTCTTCAGTACCATCGAGGGCCTGGGCACTAACGGCTGATTCCTTGCCCGATGGCTGTGAAGATGGCGAAGGCGGTGTAAGGGCGCCTTCGTGACTCGGCGTAGCCTCCTTCGTCTCCAAATCGGCCATGGTTGAATGAAGGTCCGGTTACGAAAACTCTCAAAGATTTCAAAGAAGTGTTTTTGCAGCAAGGATCCAGGGGGAGAAGTCAAAAAGATGGTGACCTCTGTGAACTTTCCTGGCAGCTTGATTTGACTCCAGGTGTGTTGCGTCCAACTCTCTTCACATCGGCCTCGTATATGTATCGCGAGAAGAGTTGACTGCAGACACGATGTGTCTGTCGACTGGGTTGAAACAAAAACTCTGCAAGCAAGCAAGCCAACAAAGCCTCGAGGATGATTAGAAATCAGCTGGCCGAATGTGGAAGTGTCGTTATTGCGAATCGAGAATACTACCTATGGCGAATCTCTCTTACGACGGGTAGTGGGCCCAGCCCCCGGTCCGGGCCGTCGTAAGTAGGATCTACGATGCGGCTTTGCGCGGGCGACCCCTAGGATTTGCTGCGATGCTAAACTCTAATAGTGCTGCACTGTGTGACAGCGTGTGGCTGGTGACAAGGCTAGTGCCCAGATTTGTCAACGAGGTCTAAGTCCAGGGTGTCTTGCATCATCGTGCCCTGGAAACCGTTACGTATTATGGGCAACCCCCACGGCGCGAGGATTGGAAAGCTTGTCAAAAGCAACAACGAAGAAGCAACTGAGGTGACTGGGGCTCCGAGATCATGTCATTGCCCCCCTTCACTTGTCCATAATACAAGGACAACTCCGTTGCTACAAGACTCCAAATTGCACACACGTTTTTGTTTTTGGACCCCAAGCTGAGCAACACCATTTGTTCTGTCAAGAATTCGGATTCGAACCAATCATCATGATCATCACCCAGTCTCAGCGCGTGGCTGACTCGCCAACAGCTGTCCGACTGCATTACCCCCAGGCAGAAGGCACAGGTCAGGTCGTAGACCCTGGCAAGGTCCTCGTGTCTTTCCTCTTCTCTCCGATCAACCCACAAGACTTGTTGGTCATTGCGGGTCGATATCCCGTCAAGCCATCTTACACCCACGACGGCGAGCCCATTCTAGGGTACGATGGCGTCGCGCGTGTCGAGGCTGTAGGAGCTGAATCCTCGTCCCCAAAGTCCCCGACCTCAGCGCTACGGCCCGGCGATCTCGTCATCCCGCGCCGCCATGGACTAGGAACGTGGCGGAGTCAGGCTGTCCTCAACTCTGTCGATGTCATCCGCCTTTCACCTACAGACGATCTCATCGGCGCGTCACTCCTTCGGATGGCTTTCCTACCTGCCTACCTTCTCGTCGAGGACATGAGAACACTGAAACCTGGGGACTGGATTGTACAGAATGTAGGATCTGGGACCATTGCGCGATTGGTCGCTCAATTTGCGCGCATCAAGGGAGTCCATACAGTCAGCATCGTCCGCGATCGCAGTGCGGAGGCTTTGGAATCCCTGAAGGCTGAGTTGTTGAAAGAGGGGACTGGAGCCGTTGTCACTGAGTCCGACCTTGAAGAACGAGGTGCCGACGCGCACCCTGCTCTTGCCGACGCAGCGGGCCGCAACCGCGTGGTCCTAGCCATCGATGGCGTCTTTGGGGAACCTGGAGAGCGCCTCGCGTCTTTGCTCTCACAGGGAGGGACTTATGTTAACTACGGGTCCCTTGGCGGGGCAGATGGGGTTGTGCGTCTGTCGCAACGCCTCTTGTTCTGGTCCGAGATCAAGTTCCGCAACTTTCGTCTTTCCGAGCAGCTCAATCAGCGTACACCAGCGCAACTGGAGTCTCTCCTGCTTTGGTTCCAGGTTCTCCTGACTCGGGGAGCTCTAGTGACACCCAAGGTGCAGGTACTTCAAGTCCCGGTGTCGGCCGAGGGGGGAAATGACCTTGAGCGGAGCATCAATGTTGCCGTCTCTCTTAGTCCTGGGGCTGGGGTCGGAAATGTGAAGCGCGTACTTGGGTTTACCCATGCTTAGTTTGTTCAGACCCTGGGCTTCTGTAGATTAATGCATGCATGTGCGAATACCAGGCACACATCCATATAAATTTGTCGCAAGCCATCAGATGAAGTGATTCCCTGGTAATGTGAAGGCAAGCTAACGATCTGAACAGAATGCAATGAATTTACTGCCTGAGGGCAAGCTGACTGTCTGTCTGGTCTCTCTCTCTCTCTCTCTCTCTCTCTCTCTGTGTGTGTGTGTAGAAGAGAGAAGTCTAGATAGCTACAGGTGTGGAGGTGCCGTCAAGGGGCAGCTGAGGCGGAGCCTGCTGACCAATCACACATGGCAGGTAAGCTAGGTAGTGGAAAGAAGTGTAAGAAAGGGCTTCCACAAGTCTACTACACGAAAAGAAAGTTACATGTAGTTTCCTCGATGACCAAAAATTGCTTATAATAAAATGGGTAGCCAACGCGAATTTAGTCAAGGATTTTAGAATATTGAACACCGAGATTTAGACTCATTACCTAATTCAATTGCAGATTCTACTCTCTACTTCCAAGCTCAGTCTACATACTGCTTCTCCTTCTCGATAGTCTTGGCATTATACTTGCGCAGCTGATCCTCCAACCCAGGGATCGGCTCGTCAAAGTCAATGCGAGCACTGTTCATGAACCTGGCCAAGAAACTATAGATTCCCTGCACATAGAAGATCTCCGTAATCTCCTCATCACTGAAAGTCTTCTTGGCCTCCACGATGGTATCCTTGTCGACCTTGTTCTCGCGCCCGAGAGTCGTAACGATGCGCCCCAGAAGGCGTTGGCGCGCAGAAAAAAGACCCTCTGGTAGAGGTTCATCGGCCTTGCGCAGAGCGGCGAACTGTTGCTCGGTAAAGCCGAAGATACGAGCAACGGGCTCGTTTACATCCCACTCGTAAGGAGCGTTCAAAGTGGCCGCCGTACGCAGAACAATGAGTTGCCAATCGGTGGAGCGGATCTTGCGCTGTTCACTCCAAGCCGAAGATAGGATGTTCATGAAAGGCTTGAAGAACACGTTGCTGTTTGCAAGAAGCTTTACATAGAATTAGCATCAAACCCTTCAGAATCTCTTCCATAGCCGTAAACTCTAAGCAAGTATTGAGCGCACCTTGAAGACATTTCTTTCGAAAGGCATGGTATGGAGCGCAGCCTTGATTTCGGGCGGAGCCGTGTTTGAGTCTACATAGGGCAGCAAGTGCTCATTTGTGACGGTACGGTCATTCCAAGAAGCCATTATTGCGGATGAAATCGTTGAAGGCTTGTAGCGAGGTTTGAAAAAGATGATCAATGAATTGGATGAGATTGATGGTCGGAAGCGCAGAAAGAAACAAGCGTACAACCATGAAACTTTTAAACATAATGACATTGTTGCCTTCATTCATCCAGTCAAGGCAATGTCATTTCCTCCTCGTCTTGCATCATCTTGATAATGGCGCCATGCATTGAACAGATGATGACCTGCTTTGAATTCCGATCGTTAAGCATGGCCATATGTCAGAGTTCGGGTCGAGGTGGTATTACCGGCGACTCAAGCCTACGGTTCATCTGAAGTGGAGAACAGGCAAGGACGATGGCTACTACGGAGAACACAGTTGGGAAAACACTGTGCGTGTGGGGGGTTGCATCCTACTCTCGTTGAAGACTTCTGTGAATCGATTCAGGAACAGCAACCCTGCCAAGCTGCAAGTAAGACCATGTTTTTTCTACTTTTTCAGCCCATGTGGGTCTTTTTAGGATGATGAGTACCCCTATTAAGCAATCTTTTACCTCGTGTTATTGACTACGGCTTCTCAGATCGACAAAGTGGCTAGCGGTAGACTCCTCTCATGCGCAACATGGGTTGACATCCTTAAGGACTACCTACATCGCCCCTGCCGCGCTTCCGCTCGACATCTCGAACGACATCCCAGTCTTGATGCGAGTCTTACGACCGACGAGATCTCTTGACCAGGATATATCACATCTATTTCGTGATGGAAGATGACTCGTCGGATTCAACAAGCAGCCTACACGCATATCCCTTCTCATGTCGCCATCCTTTATGACTTATGCGAAACGGCTGAAATCGGCGATTCTCGGAATTTTTCCGCTTGCTGCGGCACATGCTGGCGAGTAGAAACTCGATCATCGTCAAAAATTTCCTTTGAATTCGAATAGGGCTGGAAGAAGTCATTTTTCGGGCAGTCTATGAGGCCCAGAATGTTTCTTCATCACGCCCCGATGAGCCATTTTCCTACAGCCTCCATGCCGAGTGTAACTGTTCATGCAGCAGCAGAAGTGCCGTCACAAAGTCGTTTAGGGCTCCTTGTAGATATCGGCGACCTTCAAGCTGGGCAAGAAGATGAGAACTTGACCGGTTTGGCCGGAAAACGATTGTAACTCCGCCAAGACTGACTCAAGCTGGAATCTGCAGCTAGCTGGACGCTTGTGAATAATGAGATGAGTCTTGGCCAATTTCTCCAGATGTATCACGTAATGACATCGACTACCATCAGGAGTGACACCGGCACAAAGTTGCCCGGCTCTAACCCTTGGTATTGATGTGAAGTTGTTGTCCGGTCACCCGGTCCGGTATTTTGACTCGTAAGCGTATCCATATCGGCGTATCGCCTGATCTGAGGCATACTTGGAAAGTTGAAGACAACTTACCAATGTCAAGGTTTCAAGTAAGCACGCCATATCTCGGCCATCAAGAGCCCACGATGTGACTTGAAGCTATCCTAACACAACCGCTGGACTTTTGACAGGGTTCTCGTCACTACTTTCGCAATTCTTCAGGAAGTTGACGGGATCCGTTTCCTTGCGCAACAGGAAATCGACTGATGGCCAGACTGGCATTTGTGAAGCTTGCTGCAGATGATGACATGGGAACCCCAAATTGCTTTCGCGTGAGGGTGGCTGTGAGATGAGAGTGGTGTAGATATCTTGAGATGTACGTAGACTGAACTCCCGTTTAGCGCATGGATATGGAGCCTTGCCACAATCCGTTAGATCTTCTGGGCCTACGAAAGATCGATATCAAAGTAGAAAAATCCCCTCTCATTCAAACTGGTGTCATTTATAAACTGAATGCCGCACTCATGGTAGAAGAAAGCAATCTCCTGGAATAACCCATTGAACCCAATAAGATTTTTTCTTTCGAGGTATAACACCGTCAATCTCTTTTCTAGATTCTTTCCCATTCTGGAATCCCTGCTATCTATGAGCCAGAAGCTGCTACGATGCAGTTGATTCGTCACATCGAAAAGCATGAGGACTTTTTCCTCCCTAGCCCAGATGATCTTGCCTTTGGCATCCACGACAAGCTCTACAGCAAGGAAAGTGCGTTAGCCTTTTCGGAGGTTGAGGCCCGTTTCCCTGCGACGGAGATCCAACGAGACATTCTCGGCGAAGATGTCCAATGGGCGGAAGTTGAGCTCTTTTCCGGGAAGCCATCTTCCTTTGGTCTCGAAAATATCTTCAATGCCTGGAATTCTCTGGCCTCACACCGTAAGTTTTCTCCTGTCTCTCTTTGTTATTCCTTTTACCATTCGCCCAGTCCTGACATACTTCTCAACCAGATGTCTGCCTCCGATCCTACATCATGATTGATACCAAATCAGGCCAACCGCAGGTCGTCGTCCTCCGACGTGTTGAAGGCATCAGGTGGAATCATCCTGAGAAGAGTTCCATTGAACTCAGCGAGACTCCAGCATACGTGACAGTTGAGAGCACTCGCCGCCGGGATGGAATTAGCCTGGTGCTTCATTTCCATCGAGCTTTGATCGATACAACGTCTTTGCACATGATCAAGCTCGACTACGCTCTTCAAGTACATGGGTTGCCAAGCCTCGAGACTGCCGGATTCGCCACATATGTCCGATATATCGACCAACAAAGAAAGAACATCAAAGCCTCTAGAGCTTTCTGGATTGAGACCCTCGCCGACACTGTCCCGCAGTCTGTATTTGGCGCTCACGCTGGTGGACAGTCCCAAAACATCACCAGAGATAGGCATGGTGTCAGTGCTGTCATCAGTGGACCGGAACTAGCGCAGCTGAACGACCTCGAAGCTCACCACGGCCTGGGCTCTTGGCGTCAGACATTCTTCGAGGTCGTGTGGGCACATGTCATCCGTACTCATACTGGCTCCGACGATGTCGTTTTTGGTACAGTTCGACGAGACGAAAGCTTCATCGGCTCAGACACCTGCGTCGGATGTGTTGATCAGACATATCCCGTCCGCTTCCACGTTGCAGACGATCAGGGCCTCGCCATCCGTGAGGCTTCCAAGGCTCTCGACTTGTATCACAGCGAAGCTGGTCGTCATGCCTTCGTAGGACTCAAAGAGATTCAACGCCACGCCGAGAACGTCCGTTTAGTGGAGACTGCTGTCAGTTATAGTCAAACGACAAACACGCCATGTATTGCTCCTGGACTGCGACAGTTTCCCGTCGTTCTATGCATCAGCGATAGCGGCGTGCTGAGGCTTACTCTCAAGTGCAAGGCTTACATCCCTCTTGAAGAGATTGAGGTTGTACTTCAGCACTTCGTTTCCGGTATCGTTAGTGCTGCATCCAAGTTGAAGCTTGCAGACGACTGCAAGCTGGTGGCCTCTGATCTAACGTCTGAGGATGAGCAACGATTCATCATGTCGCAGTCGCTGGCTACGCGCACTGCTGAACCCACGACTATCCCGGCTCTGTTCGAGAAAACCGCCGCTGCCTTCCCCGAGAGAATCGCAGTTGAGTCGGAGGGCAGTGCACCTGTCACGTTCCTCGAGCTCAACAGCCAAGCCAATTTGCTTGCGAGAAGACTGAAGTTAACAAGGGGATCATACGTACCCATCCTCGCCGAGAGATCCTTGGAGCTCGTCATCGCGATCTTGGCCGTACTCAAATCTGGCGCAGCCTACACGGTTCTCGATCCCGACACACCGTCCAACCGCCTTGAGCAGATCATTGACGACCTCAAACCAGCCACCGTTTTGGCCAGCCATCGGTTTGCTAATGTGCTCGAAAACGCCAGAGACATCCAGCATGTGCTCCATTCTTCTAGACATAATTTGTCTGGTCCTTCACCTGATGAGTTGAGCAATCTTGGCATCGAGATTCACCCCGAAGACCGTTGCTATGTGATTTACACATCTGGCAGCACAGGAAAGCCGAAAGGTGCTGTCCTTACACATCGTGCTGCTACAAGCGGCATGGCACATCAATCACTGAACGAGCTTGAACGATGGCTTCTGTTTTACAATCCCAGCTTCAGCGCCGCTCAACGTACTATTCTGGGCACGCTTGTGCATGGAGCCACCTTAATCCTTGCCAGCAAGGAGTCCCTGACCGATGATCTTGCCAGTGTCATCAACAAGTTCTCGGTCGACTCCCTTGGCATTACTCCATCTGCTCTGTCACTTTTGCAGCCAAGTGACGTCCCCGGTCTCAAGCAAATCACTCTGGTGGGCGAGCAAATTCCGCAGGATCTTGTTGAGATTTGGTCGGCGCAAAATGGCCTACGTCTTAGGAACACCTATGGGCTCAGCGAGTGTACCCAGCTCAATTTTGGAAAAGAAATCCAGCTGTCATCAGGAAGCACCTTCAACCATCGCATAGTTGGGTCTCCAGCCGATACCACGGACGCATTCATACTTGGCCAAGGGAACGGACAGCTTGCGCCTTTACTTGTCGCGGGTGAGCTCTGTCTTGCTGGTCCACAGCTCGCTGAAGGCTACCTCAATGAAGCAGCACTCACAGCGCGCGCCTTCGTCGACAACCCGTTTGGTGCTGGCAAACTTTACCGGACAGGTGATAGAGCCCGTCGACTTGCAGATGGCCAGATCGAGATCCTGGGACGAGCGGACATGCAAGTCAAGATCAATGGCCAGAAGGTCGAACCTGCAGAGGTTGACCGACTGTTGCGCTCTATTGGTGCCGTCAGCGCATCTGTCACTCTGGGCATCAGCCTGAATGATCGTAAAATACTGGCTTCAGCTGTGGTTCTTGCAAGCGACGCGATTTTTAGAACTTCGGTGATCGCGGCCAGAGAGCACTTGCACCAGAGTTTGCCTGGCTACATGGTGCCCAGCATCTGGTTCCCTGTCACGGAGATTCCCAAGAATGCCAATGGGAAGATCAACTACGCTCACCTACGGAACTCAGCCGAGGAGCTAGGAACCACTGGGTTCGCTAAACTCATGGAGACTGACGACGATGATTATGTTGTTGACAGCGTTGCCGACGACACGGAGGTGGCCATCGCATTGGCTTGGTCAAGCGTTCTGAGTATCGGCCCATCAGCCATCAAACGATCGCACTCGTTCACAGACTTGGGTGGATCATCCATTGAAGCCATCAAGGCTGTCTCTGAGCTTCGGAAAGCTGGCCTATCCGTCGACCTGAGTGAGATTCTGGGGGGAGCATCTCTTGAAACAGTGGCAGCTCGGTCACAAGCTTTCAACGCCGAGTCTCAGCAAGAACCAGCCTCTTTCGCGCTTGTTGCAGACCCTCTTCTTGCTTCCGACTTGCAACGTAACTCGAACATCATTGACGCCTATCCTGCTACACCATTCCAGGAGACTATGTTGGCGTCTTTGAACACACCATCCGATCCGTATACTTATTCTCGAACTTGGGATGTTAGTGGGGTCGACCTGCGAAAATTGAGAGAGAGTTTTAACCAAGTATTTCGTACTCGGGACATCCTCCGCGCGGTCTTCCTTCCACACAAACGATCTTTTTTGCAGACGATTCGCAACGATTTATCTCTTCCGTGGCACGAGTCCTTAGAGTCCCTAGAGTCCTTCACTCTGCATAGAAAGACTCAACAGTGGGAATTGGACGCCCCTCTATGGAAGGTCACAGTTCTCACTGGTAAAGTCCTGATTGTCACAATGCATCACTCGCTCTTTGACTACTGGTCTCACAAGTTTCTGTACGAAGATGTGGCATCAGTCTATCTGGGCAAGTCCACCATAAACCGGCCAGCCTTCAGCAACTTTGCCAGACATCTGCAGTCCCAAGACAACACCGCCAACGAGATATTTTGGGCGAATTATCTCGAGGGGGCGCAGACTGCGAAGTTGAATCACTCCCCGGGCGAGGAAGCCAGCAAGATTGAAGTTGGACTCAGTTTCAGTGTCAGCGAGCAAGCTCGAGGTATTGGTTCTACACTTGGCGCAGTGGTCTACAGTGCCTGGTCGATTCTGCTTTCCCACCATTTGCGGAGCGACGATGTCACATTTGCAACAACGATCTCCGGAAGGGAGGTTCCCGTGGCCGGCATACATGAAATCGACGGTCCGACCATGACCTCGGTGCCCCAACGCGTCAAAGTCGATCCCAACTCGACCGTCAGAGATCATTTGAAGAAGACACTATCAGGGTTCGCCCAACTGCTTAAACATTCGCAATTTGGGATCGTTGGCGCTATGCGTGCTGGAAACCTGCCCAGTCAAGCACTCGACACACTTGTCAATATTCTTGTCAGCCAGGGCGACACGGAGAGTGGTCCAGGACCAAACGTTGAAGAGGTTTTCCGGATGCATGGCCGTCGACCTCAGTGGGCGTCTGGCTCTGATACCACTGTGCTTGAAGTAGAGGAGGCAACGACAACTACCATTCGTTTGATCAGTACGATGGAACCTCGCAGGCTGGAATTCCTCAAAGAATCCTTTATCAAAATCCTGAACATTTTACTGAGTCAACCTGACACGAAGCTTACGTCCGTGTCAGTACTGGGCAATGCAGAGACGGACTACACGTCCAACACGCTTTCGAATCGCACACGGCTTCAAGTTCCTGAAGCAGAGCTCCTCCATAGTGCATTTGAGAGGATCGCAGCCAGTGCTCCGGATGCTGTTGCCATCGATTTCGATGGCAAAGACATTGTGTCGTATGCACACCTCGACGAAGTTTCGAACCGATTTGCCCACACTCTCATTGCTCATGGCGTCTTTCCAGGAGATCTGGTGCCTCTCATGCTTGAAAAGTCAGTCGACATGATGGTTGCCATACTAGGCGTCATGAAGGCGGGAGGAGCATATGTCCCTCTGAGTCCAGACAACCCGAATGAAAGAAATGGCTTTGTGGTTTCTGATACCAGAGCGAAGCTTCTCGTGGCTCATCCACAGCATGCAGACTTTGGTGTTTACGTCAAGAAACTTTATGGCATCGAAACCTTGGTCATGCCAAGTCCCGAAATGCTGAGCAGTGTCACGAGCAACGGATCCGATGCAAATGTTCGGCCGACCACACTCACAACGCCCGACAACCTCGCATACATGATCTACACATCTGGCAGCACTGGCATGCCCAAGGGGGTCATGGTGCCTCACCGAGCTGCCGCGGCTGCCGTCACCAGTATGGCACAGGTCGAGGGCCGATTTCAGGGCACATGGCGCACTCTGCAGTTCGCCAACTACGTCTTCGACGCCTCTGTGCAAGACTTCTTCAACACGCTTAGCACCGGCGGTACACTCTGCATGGCGCCCACTGAAACCTTGCTTTCCGATATTGCTGGATGTATCAATCGGATGAATGTGAGGCAGGCAATCATCACACCAACGGTCGCGAAGCTCTTCAGCCCTGAAGACGTCCCTGGCTTTGAGACTCTGATTGTGGGCGGGGAACCCCTAACTCCAGACGTGGTTGATGTCTGGAGCCCTCACTGCAAGATCTTGAACGTGTACGGCCCGACGGAGACGTCCATGGTTGTGACGACTAAGAGCATCGAGCCGTCATCGAAAGTCACGAGCCATCGCATTGGCAACATTGGCGCTCCCTTCCCGACGGTCATGGCATTCATCCTCAGCCCAGAAGGGGAAACGCTGGTACCATACGGCGCGATTGGCGAGCTCTGCATTGCAGGACCTCAAGTTACCGACGGTTACATGAACCGACTCGACTTGACAGAGGCGGCCTATGTCGACAGCAAATTTCTGGGTGCACGCATCTATCGTACAGGAGACTTGGCGCGCTGGCTTCCCGGGGGTGAGATCGAGTGCCTTGGACGAAAGGACAACCAAGTCAAGATCCACGGCCATCGCATCGAACTTGGTGAGGTCGAAAACTCCATTCGCCGGTCCGGACTCGTCAAGGATACCGTGGCATTGGCTACCGATATTCAGGGCAAGGCTCATCTGATTGCATTCTGCGTCTTTGACGAAGCGTCTGCAGCCGTGGGCGCATCTGGCGTTCAAGATCCGTCCACTTTCCGAGGCTCTCTTGCTGAGCTGCGTGAAAATCTGAGTTCACTGGCGACGTACATGGTTCCAAAGTTTGTTGTCCCGATGAGTGCCTTGCCCACGCTGCCCTCGCGCAAAGTTGATCGCAAAGCACTCAAACTATTGGCCAACGAACTCGAAAGGGAGTACTTGGCGCAATGCGTGCTCGAGACCCCTGGCGAGGACCACGAGGTCATTCCAGTCCAGACAGCATCTGAAGAGGTCTTGGAGCTTGTCTGGGTTGACATCTTCGGCGTCCCCCAGAGTCAGATCGGACGCGAGGCGAACTTCTTCACGCTTGGTGGTGATTCGATCTCGGCCATCAGCCTTACGGGCCAATTGCGGCGGGTAGGATACTCGCTGACGGTGCTTGATATTCTGAAGGCCCCCAAGCTAAAAGATATGGCTTCAAACTTGCGCAAGACCGAAGCGCGCGGCCCGGTGGTCAAGCGGTCTTTCGAGGTTCCCCAAGCCGTCAAGATAGCTTCCCAAGAGAAGGGATTGACATGGGATAAAGTTGTCGACCATGGTCAGTATTTGCTTATGACAGTTCCATTCAGACCCCTAGCTAACAATTCTCCCAGCGTATCCATGCCCGCCCGGCCAAGCAGAGTTTCTCAAACAGGGCAGCCGAGAATCGCAAATGTGGGCGCTGCAAACTGTGCGACGTATGACGGCAGACGTTGACCCAGATACGTGGATTCAAGCAACTACTCGTCTCACGGAGCTCAACGAGATATTGCGGACGACATGGCTCGAGACCCTGGAAGCTGGCTGGGTCGGTGTTGTTCTTCGCAGCCCACAATTGAACGTTACCCAGGTGGCCCTGGACTCCGAGGCAGAGTCTTCGAGCTTCGTTGAAGAGTTTTGGCAGGCTCGTTTTGAGTTTGGTCGTCCATTCATCAAATATGCCGTCATAACCCACAGCGATGCATCTTGGGACCTCGTCATCAAGATGGATCACGCCGTATACGACGGGACATTACTGCGTGTGTTTGATGAGCACTTTGGCGCCATTCTTCGAGGCGAGAGCGTGCCGCCGCCGGTCGAGTTCCGCGACTTCTCTCAACATGTCTTTGCAGAAGACAAGACGTCTTGCCTTGGTTACTGGAAAGCAAAGATGGATGGTTTGGGGCCCGTCGACCAGCAGCTGCATGGTCAGGATCTCGCTGCGGCGTCATCGCCCAAGATCACTGCCAGCTTGCGGAGAGACGTCGACACCACAAACATTGACGTAGCAGCTTCTCGGCTTGGTGTCACTCCGAGCATCATCTTCCAAGGGGCATTCTCCCTTTGGCTTGCTGCAGCAACCGACACTACGGATGTCCGCTTCGATTACTTGCTGAGCGGTCGCAACGTAGCGCTGCCGGATCCCCAATCAATCAACGGCACGCTGGCCAACTTTCTGCCATTCCGAACGCCCGTTGATTCGAAGGAGTCAGTGCGTGACTTCCTCGCGAAGCTACAGGACGACTTCTGGGATGTGACTGAGAACGGTCTCGTCGGCCTCGACGACATTTACGGCGTGACTGGTCTGTCTCGCGGGACACATGGCAATCGAGTCTTGTTTCTCTCTCAGCCATTCGAGCCGGCGGCCAAGGACGACCCCAACGGTCGCTACCGGTGGCTTGTCATGGCCAAGTCAAAGGTGCGCATGTATCAGCCCTATGCGTTGGTTGTAGAAGTGTCCAAGTCGCTGGGTGATCGTCATATACTGAAGGTCATGTATGACGACACCATCTGGGACCTCGCAGTGGCGGAAAAGATTGCAGATGATATAGTTGCTCTGATTGAGGTCCTGACCGACGTTACGACCGGGGACCTGGCGCTTGAAGAGCTGTGATTTGGATGAGGGTCTTGATGTACCTTAGCCTGAGAGTGATGTAAGTTTCCGTCTGGTATAGAGCAAATGATCCCTATTCAGCTTTTGAACCAGTTCAATTCGGAGACCGCGGAATGAAGTTGTCGCAACCGCTGTTCTCCAGGCATCGCCAGGCGCGGTGTGAAGGCGATGTTGGTCAAGATTGAATGAAGCCTTGGCATTCACCTCAGCGGCAATTATCTCCGGAAATCAAGACGTGGTATTTCTTGGCAATAAAGAAATGCCAAGTGGCCAAGACAACGACCTAAATGACTAAAGCTTTGGGGCGTCGGCACCACGGACAGGACTCCTTTCTTGGCCAGCCCTCCCCGGTTCCTCCACAATCCACTATCCACTTCACGACGACGCGGGGGACGACAGGGGAGGAAGTTTCCAATAAAGAGATGGATAACTGGGGGAAATTGGGCTCTGTGCGGGGGATTCTCCACTAACGGCGCAAGTCGAATCCATCCGATTGTTGGCTACTTTTCTCCGGTGACCACGGTCGAGATATTTCCATCAATCAGTTGCTCGCGTAGACCAGACGGCGCAGTCGACCCCGGGAACCGACATGCAGGCCACCTGCACAATCTCCGAATCCACCTCTGCTAGACTGCTAGAGCTCGTTGGCTTGCCATCTTCCCCAACTTCTCCCCCCTTGTCCCCCTCGTCGCGATGGGGTTCGAGGCTGGTTAACCGTCCAACCCCATGGGCCACGGCTGGGGCCACTGCGAGGCCGGCGAGAGACCCGGTGCGGCGGTCTGCTGATTATGCGGATGGAGTCATGTACTGATGCAGGACGCTGGACGGGAGGAGAGACGAGGGCTTGATAGGTGGAATGGGCCGTGTTGTTTCTCCTTCGTGCAGTGCGTTCTGGTTATTTCCAGATGGCTGGGCGAAGCGAGACTAGCTTCAATTGATATCGCCGCAACTAGCTGCTTATTCTCCCTCCCCCTGCCATGCTACCCCAAGTTTGGAGGGATTTTGAACATTTTCAGAGTCGAAGAGCTGTTACGAGTGATGATGCTCCCTTGGTATGTAGAGCAATTGGGCAGAATGGCGACTTGGCGATGCAGGTCCATTGCCAAGCGGCACGAGTATATGAAGGCGCTCGCGCTCTGGGAGTTGTTCTGGATGGCTGATCACCTCCCCCCGAGCAGCCTCCTCTCTTGGCTCCTCCCTTGGCACCTCACTTGGCAATCCTACTCAACGCGTGTGTGTTTCCCTCTCACTACCCAGTTTCACACGCAGCCATGAGAGTCTCGTCCATCTTCGCCGTTCTGGCGGCTGTCGGTAGCGCCCTTGCCTACTCGGCCGAGTTGATTCCGGCCGGTGTCCCTCGTAACGTGGAGGAGTTTCGCGTCAAGCACCCTTACGAGAAGCGCGCTAGGGGCTGCCGCAAGACGTACACGCTGCGGGCCTCCAAGAACGACCTGGATGACATCTCTGACGAGTTTGTCGAGGGCCTGAAGAAGGCCAACAACGGTGGCACTCTGTACCTGCCCGCCAACCAGACATTCATCATTGGCAAGCCGCTCGATCTGACATGGCTCAATGATGTGCATGTCCACTGGGAGGGTGAGATCAAGTTCACCAACGACACGCCGTACTGGCAGGCCAATGCCTTCCGCCACCCGTTCCAGAACTCCATCATGTTCTGGAAGTGGGGAGGCAAGGAAGTCAAGCTGTACGGCGAAGGTGTTCTGAACGGTAATGGTCAGAGGTGGTGGAACGAGTTTGCCGGTCTTGAGTAAGCTTCTTGTTTCCTTGTCGTTTCTCTAATCAACTGTTTCGCTAACAACTGTCAGAATTCTGGATCCGACGAATGCCTATCTCCGTCCTATTCTGTTCTATGCCGAGAACGCGACTGGACTGGCCATTGAGGGTATCCATTTCAAGGACTCTCCTTGCTGGACTACCTTCATCGTGACATGTAAGTTGTGCAACTGGAATTGCCCTGGAGTGGCCAGCACTAACACAACACCCAGCCAAGGATATCTCCTTTACGGACGTCATTGTCACTGCCGAGACCAACAACCACACCGCCGAACCCAAGAACACCGATTTTTTCGACTCTTTGAACGTTGAAGATGTCCGCGTCAAGCGTGCCTGGGTCAACATTGGCGACGACTGCTTCTCGCCCAAGTCCAACGCCACCAACATCCACGTCGACACCATGTACTGCAACGGCACCCACGGACAGTCCATTGGATCCCTGGGCCAGTACGCCGGCGAGAAGAGCTTCGTTCAGGACGTCGTCATCGAAAACGTCTGGATGCTCAACGGCCAGCACGGCGCCCGTCTCAAGACCTGGGCCGGCCCCAACATTGGCTACGGCTTCATCGACAATGTCACCTTTCGCAACTTCTGGCAGGCGAACAACGAGTACACGGCTTTCATTGACTCGTGCTACTTCAACATCAACGCATCCACCTGCGCAGCATACCCTTCGCAGATGAACATTAGCAACATCCTCTTTGAGAACTTTTCTGGATACTCGAGCGGCAAGTATGGCCGTGCTGTCGCCAGGCTCACTTGCTCGACCAACCCCAACGCCGTCTGCGACAACATTCAGTTCAAGAACTTCAACATCACTACCCCCTGTGGGGGCGACCCTGTTATTCTGTGCGACGGTATCAAGGGTGACATTGGCACGCCTTGCGTTTCCGCCAGCAGCACTGAGGGTAAAGCTGCTCTAGCGGCCAAGTGCACAACGGCTTTGGCTGTGGCGACACCCTGGAACGTCAGACCTTTTAAATAAATGGTTGGGTTGGACTTCTCTCCGAGTAGAACAAAATGTCAGGGGTTAAGATAGTGGCCAAGTCGCAACAGTGACGACGTAGATTCTTGTATAAAATTCAACTTTACATATACAATTTTGACAACCCAACAAGTACAAGTCCAACAGCCTCTTTTTGTTGCAACAGCCCCCCTTCCCCATTCACAAAAAGGCAGCGACACCAACGAAGCCGGCGGCAAGAGCAGCAGCAGCAATCATGCCGGTCTCACGAGGTCCGGCATTGACGGCAATCTGTGAAGGACTACTGCTGCTATCTGTCGCACTGGCACCGGCACCCGTGCCGGCGGCAGCTCCACTCCTGATCTCGCTGGTAGCGGAGGGAGAGTCGCCGCCCGCCGTGGTCTTTGGTGCCGAAGAACCGGAAGCAGCAGCAACGCTACGGGTTGCCGTGCAGACCGGGATCTCGGTCTCCAAGTCGGTGAGGGTGGAGCAAAAGGACAGGGCTGATGCAATCGAGGCCGAGTTGGCGTCGACCCAGCTGAGGACTTCGGAAGTATAGCTCGAGTAGTCGGCGCTCAGGTCCGCGGGGACAGTGACGCTGCAGGGGTCGGTTTGCGGAGGGGCAGTCATCTCATACGAGAGGATCTTGGGAGGAGCAGTTGGTGCGTTGGCGTAGACTGTGCCCAGAGCGTTGAGGCATGGGTCGGCGGAGAGCTCGGTCTGACTGGGGAGGACATCGCGACGGATACGATTCGGTCTGATGTCGATGATGGCAGTGGCAGAGCCGGCGAGGGCAGCGATCAGGGCGGTCTTGGCATACATGTTGAGAGAAAGGATCGTGAAGCTTGCTTGGTAAAGACTGTTGATGGAGATTTACGAATGAGTGTCAATTGATGAATAATTGCAAGAATGGGCTGTAGCTGATGAAAAAGTCAAGCGATCGGAAGTGCGGCACGCGTCTGAATAAATATAATCGAAGACGGATCTCGTGCCCCTGATCATCATGGTGTAGCTTAATCTCAAGCATGAAAAGAAGGATTCCTGGCTTCAGTTCGCCGCCGCCGCTCACGGCCGTGCTCTACATAGTGCTCTACGTAGTGCGCACAAATGTATGACAAGATCGACCACGAGGCAGACAAGCTTCACAAGAACTGAAGTGTACGTTGTCAGAGCGGCATCCCTACGAATGACGGCGTCATCCTGGCCCTTGAGAGGATGTTAGTCGTGGCTTGTGAAGTGGCGACGAGCCCCTCAGCTAAGCCAAAAACCTCGTTGAGGATGACTTACAGCTTATTCGGAGAAAGGTTTGGCTGGGGGAAACTTGTTCAAAATGAGGCTAGTTTCGTTTCGGTTCAAGAGGCTTAAGGGACCGATTCAGGGGAAATCGTGAAGCTAGTCTTTAAGCTAGATGAGTCTGCGTAGAACTATTTTAGGTAGTTGCACGCCGCCCAAGCAGTCAAAATGGGAACTCGTGAAAAGCGAAATGGACCGAAATCTCTCTTAATTAACACGAAGGGAAGGATCTCTGTCAAGCGAGTTACCTGAAGTCTCGGTATCTATCTCGATGGAGATGCAGAACACAGACAGCATTTCAGACCCATCTTAAGATTGAGAGTATGCAGCGCTCGCAGATGAGAGGGCTAGAAAAGGCAGATCATGGTTGAATGACGTCTTCTCGTGCAACCTGATGTCCCCTTTGGGATTTTTCGGAATTAGAATTTAGAAGCTTTGGACAAGACATCGACATTAGGAAGTGAGGTGGACTAGCCAGATGCAGACGAGACTGCCTAGATACTTCATAACAAGAGTGGACTGAGTTTCAAGCCACCGTATTTAACCAATGTTCCAGCCTTACTCCAACTGTCTCTTGGCAATCCAAGCTTTTCACCGCCTGGCAATGTTCGGAGTCTCGTGGCGTTATTCACGACTCCGTCAATTTTGCCAGCGCATATTCAGACTCAAGCTGTTTCAAGTCGTTGCACAATGGTATTTGAAGCCCTTGAAATTTGCAGTCGTAAGGTGCAAAATCAATCAAATATACTAACGAGAGGTTTCTAGTCTACACAAGTAGCATTCAAGCCGGCCGTTACCGTGTCTTGCAGCGGCGTGTCGCAGTACTCGTACAAACATGCTCACTCCTGAAGTCCAACGATGCCAACTTTAAGATAGTGGTCGTTCTGCTTGATCTTCTCTCCCAACTCACCGCTTCTGAGCTCATCAATATCCCACTTCGCCCAGATGAAGCGGCCATGCAAAAAGCGCGCCTCCTCAGAGGCAGCCCAGACGGCGAAATTCCCAGCCAAGTCCACTGATAAATACCGGGAGTTATTAGCACACGCATGCTTGGGATGAATTTCTCAAGAACCCCTCTCCTCACACCCCAAAAAAATACATGTACATACCGTGGTCAAATGGATAAATGTCCTCGGGGATCCCGGCGTTCTTGAAAGCCGAGGTATGCACCACGCCCGGATGGAAGTTGATAACCTGCATCTTCTCGGGAGGCGTGTCCTTGGCGATCGACTGGATCAACATCGTTCCCGCGTTCTTGCTGGCACTGTAAGCAGGCCAAGGACCCGATTTGGTAAAGTTGTGAACGGCCTCTGTGGACAAGTTGACGAGGAACTTTAATCAGACTGTTAGCCCTGTTTCCTTTGGCGCACTGCGCCGATAGTACAGTACACACCTTTTGACGGCCTTCGCCGTTCTTCTGTTTGTAAAACCTCTCAGAGAGATCCAAGAGCGAGCGAACATTTGTGGTGAATGAGCTCCAGACCTCGTCCCTTCCAAGAGACAAGATGGCCCCATGCTCTGAAATCTTGGCAGCGTTGAGCACAAGGACGTCAATGACAGTGCCGTCCTCCTCGAAGCCCTTCCAGAGCTTCTCCACGTCGGCGAGATCATCCACGTCGCTCGGGTAGCCGTCGAATTGCACCTCGGGAAACCCCTTCTTGAGCTCCGAGACTGCTTCGTTGACAAGATTCTGGCGGCGGCCGAGGATGATGATGCGCTTGGCATGGGCCTGCGCGAAGCCCTTGGCAATGGCGAAGCCGATACCGGCTGAACCGCCGGTGATGAGGATTGTTCGTCCAGCTTGGGAGAGTTCTGGGCGGGAAGGGAAGATGGTTGGGTAAGTCTCTTTGTGCTCCTTCTTGGTAAATGTCATTCCGGTCTGGTAGATGGAGGTGGAAGTCAGTGCTGCGAAAGCGGCGGCGCCAACGTCACTGGCCATGATGAAAGTAGTGTTGGAGGTCTCTTGGAGGTAATTGATCTAAAGGGGATGGGTTGTAGTTGATGATTGTCCGATGTCAAGACTGAAGAAGCTGGTGGTGTGGATTCAATCGCTGGACATCATCCAGCAAAAACGCGGCTGTCTTATACCGTATTCTAGCAGTGACGCAAACCATCATGTTTTCAGACATCTTTTCAGTCAGCAAGACGCAATCGATCGCTCCACGTTATGGTACACTACGGTGTTTGTCATCAAGTAAGTCATCCGAGGCCGTTTCGCGATAAAACCCGTTCAAATCCGGCTAATTAAAACCGCTGTGGCCGCGAAACCCGCAAAAGACCCGATAGAGTTCCCGCTAGTTTCCCGCAACTCTTCCGCCGAAAACCCGCAAAACCCGCACCGGCGCGGTGGGGCCCTACTCCGTACCACTGCTGACGGCGTGCCGAGCCCGCGCCCATGTCCCTAGCGCTGACAAATGCCACCACCATCCTCCACCGCGAAAGCACTCCTCTCCTGGATTCACTTCAGCAATCCAAGTCTCGAATCTAACACGAAAGCCTGGTGATGACAAACCCGGCTCCATACAACGAGGGACACAACGTTACACAGCAGAGGGAACCTGGTACGGCGCACACTGGAGCGAACATACCTTGGCCAGACGAGCTCTCTAACTTGCCCACCTCACCCATACGGCTGCGGAGGGCACAAATCTTGAGCTATGACTCGCCTCTCAAAGCAAAAGGCATGCATAGCATGCACAGAGTCCAAACGCCGCTGCGATAAGAGCCTCCCTTCATGTTCCCGTTGTGACGACCGCGACGTGGACTGCCACTACCCCGTCACAAAACGACGGCGGCGGCCCGAGGCGTCCAGGCCATTCCCCGAACCACAACCACCACCGGCACCGCTCCAGCACTCCGTCCCGGCAACAATGCCGGATACACTTCTCTTCGACGCGTCCCCCCTTGCAACAAGCATCTGGAGCATGCCATGGTCGGACCTTGACTTTGGTAACGCGAACTTTCAGCTCGCCATGGGACCACCATCGGCCGCCGCCGCCTTCTCCCTCCCGCCTCCAAACCCCGCAACAAGCCCGCAGCAGCATCCCTACTACACCACGAAACCCGCCTACCCGCGCCTCTCCTCCTCGGTAGCCGCCTCCCTCGCAGGAAGCCAATGGTTCCTCGCCCCCTCGACCTGGAGAATCGACCACTGGCCCGCACCCCCGCGCGACGCCTACCCCGTCTCCGTCCTCACCAACTTCACCCGCGGCCTGCAAGCCTGGGTCCGGCGGTGGGTCATGGAGGGCCACAACCCCTTCATCCACCGCAGCCTGTACGCCGAGGGCAACTACTTCCCCTCCTGCGTCCAGGACGCCTTCGCCACGGCCTCCGTCTACTTTCACAAGACGTCTCTGAACGAGGCCTTTGTCCACCGCATCCTGGACGAGCGGGTCACGGCCTTGCTGGCGAGCCAGCCCGTCGTCGAAGACAACTCCATGTCTGTCCCGTTGCTGGAGACGAGGGACCACCTAGCGCGCGTCCACGCGCTCTACGTCTACACCATCATCCGGCTCTTTGACAGCTCGGTCGGTCAACGTGCCGCCGCCGAGGAACATCTGCCGACCCTGGATCTCTGGGCGAGGCAATTGTGGAAATCTGCCCAGAGGGATGCCGACACTCTATACGGGAACCGGTGTCCCCCTTCGACTTGGCAGTGCCAGGCACAAAAGAGCTCAGATCTTGCAGACCAGAGCACCGCGGCGACCAACGCCACGACGGGAAAAACTAGTCTCGAGAACAACCATAAACAACCGAAAGTGGATTCCTTCAATTGTGACCTCTGGACCTGGAACCTCTGGGTCCTCTCCGAATCCATCCGCCGCACCTGGATCATCATCGTCTGCACGCTGGGCGTGTACAACGCCCTCAAAGGCCGCTGGGGCGAGTGCGCCGGCGGAGCCCTCTTCACCGCCCGCGGCGGATTATGGGACGCGCCCTCGGCCCCGCGCTGGGCGGCGCTGTGCCGGGCGGCTGGGCCCAGGAACAGGCGAGATACAGGCGGTGTGACTGACCGTCCGGGGTCGGAGGATAGCGGTGACGACAACGGCGGCGGTGATCGAAATTTCTTTGTGCCTTCTATTGATGGCGACGGGTTGCTTCATAACGCAGCCGCGGCTGATGTGGATGAGTTTGCGAGGCACTTGTTCACGTGTATTTGGGGCCTTGATCGGGTCGAGGATTGGGCCTTGAGGACGGCTTCGGAAGGCGAAGTCAATTTGGTTTATTGAAGAGGTCCAACACAAAACTGTCTCAGGTGTACGTGGCTTTGAAATTAGCAGGGCTATTCTGCCGCGTACAATTTCGACATGGAGGTATGGGTGGCTAGAAGAGATCTGAACACAATACCGCGGACAGCATGTGTAAGATCAGGAAAGTCATCGTTGGTTATCAGCGGGGACGAAGGATGCTCCGGACGACTAATCTTCGATAGCTGATACCGAGCAACTCGGCAGAGCATCATGACTCAAGTGACTTTGCCATAATATACTTTTACATATGCATCTAGGAGCGTGACTAGAAACGTCATGACACAAAAACATCTTCCATTTATTTGCAAGGCATGATCATTACCGTCAACGCCCGTCGAGGCAGGGCCATTCGACATCTAGGCCTTTTACGATCCCCGCACCGTCCTTAATCAAATTGCGTTTTGAGACACCGAGCACACGGCTTCCTACTCCTCATCCTCTTCCGCCTCGGCCGTCTCCTCGGCAGCGTCTTCTTCGGCCTCCTCGGCTTCTTCTGCCTCCTCCTCCTCCTCGACCTCCTCAGTCGCGTCTGTTCCATTGGTTGTAACCTCGACGACCTCGGGCGCGGCGCCACCCTGCTTCTCGAGTTGAAGCCATTCGTCCCACTCGGGAAACAAATCTTCGTCTTCTACCGGCGCACCGACCATCTTGGCGACACGGCCCTTCTTGCCCTTCTCGAGAGACTGCTTCCATTCCTTGACGACATCTGCCGTCAGACTGGGCTTGTACGTTTGCGAGAACAAAACTGCCTCCGCTAACCGTCCAGTCTTCTTAAGGATCTCTACGCAGCCAGCAACGTCGCCGAGCAGCCACTTGCAGCTGAATGCGACATTGTGGGCGCCAGCCTCTTGCGCTTGGTCAGAGAGGCTTGAGAGACCACTCCGGTCGGATGTGGAGGAGTAGAGAAGGAGGAGGGAGCCAAGGTCCTTTGCGTGTGTAAAGCACTCTTGTGCCACAGCCACCTGCCATCCGGCAAGGGCAGCATCTCCGACAGTCTTCCACTTGTGCTCGACGTCTGCTGCTCTCGCCAACTCGAGGGCAGTGTCCAATTGACCCAATCCGAGAGCCAAGTCGAACTTGTGTTCAGGGTCAGTGGCAACCTCCAGCGCAAGTTCCTTATGGCCCTGTCCTTCCAAAAAGCGTGCGATCTTGTTGAGTTGGTCTGCCGGAATCGTGTGCAGGAGCTCTTGCGCGGTTTCCATATCGTCGCGAAGAACCAAAGTCTGGTACTCGAGGACAGGCAAAGACAAGGAGAAGGAGGTGACACCAACATCCTTGTCAGCAAGGTAGATTCTTGAATCACGCTGAATGTAACCCAGAATGTACATGGATTGGTCGAAGTGGGAAACTGTATAAGTCTGGTCGCCCACAAGGTAGTTCAACCGGTTGGTGCTGTTGGTGTAGAGGAAGCAGTCGCCAACCCACTCTCCAGTGCGGACACTACTCTGCGTTAACGATGAGCTGCAAGGGAAATGAAAAGGCGTCATACCTCTCGTTAATGTCCGTGATGACCTCAAAAGCGGCCTCGACACCGTCCTCGTCAATCTGGTTGGTTTGAACACCCTCAACGTAAGCCTCGCGCGAGAAGCGCAAGACATAAAAAGTATCTTCGCATGCAAGAGCGACCAATTCGCCGCTATCGGACCAGTACACCTGTTCAAATTAGCACACGGATCTGACGTGATGCGGAAAGAGACCAACCTCTCTCGGCTCGACCTCAATACGTCTGACAAGACCGCCGGTTTGCCAGTCAAAGAATGAGATACCCCCTTGGCCCTTGACACCAAGAAGGACACCACCAGTCAACCCTTCGGCCTGGAAACCAACATCAAGGCCGCCGGCCTTCTCGACAAAGTTCTTGTAGACCTTTACGCTGGTTGCTGATTCCCGGATGGCGAAGTCGTTGGTGTTATCCTTGGACGCCCAGACAAAGTCCAGCGCAGAACCAAAGGACTTGTTTCGCCAAGCCAGGGCCGTGTAGATGATGTACTCGCCATCTCCGCAGACTGCAACAAATCGGCCATTCGGGTTGTGCACGAGGGTCGAGGGGTACACTTCGCAGGTGCCCAGCTCCTTGACGGGAAGGGAAATAGGCTCGTTATCCTTGATAGAGGCGTCTAGCGATGTTAGCAAAAATAGTTGGAGGCCTACGACTGACGCAACATACCTCCACCCTTGATGATTGCAGAGACGACTTCGTTGTGGCGGGCCCAAACAAGCTTTCCTGACGCGTCCATCGACACCGCAGGCTCCTCGCGACCCAGCTTCACAACGACGGCGCCATCGTCGAAACCAACGGCAACTCCCTGCTTGCCCTTCTGGTAGGAAACACACCATGCGCGCTCCAGGCCGTAGTTGAGGGACTGCTCGAACCGGTATGTGTTGGCGTGCCATATCCTGATGGTGCCGTCTTCGGAACCGGAAATGATGACTGGCAGCTCGGGGTGATAGCACGCGAAAGAGACATTATTCGTGTGGCCCTCTAGGGTGGCGATCAGAGATTTGGTGGTATAGTCCCAGACCTTGACGGTGCGATCGTCGGATGTCGTCAGGAGATAGGGCTTGTCAGAGTGAGGGTAGTAGTCGACGTGGTTGACACCCTTAGCCTCGTGGGCCTCGAGAGTGAAGTTGGGCGTCGCAGAGCCGAGACTCCAGATCTTGACAGTGCGGTCAAGGGATGCGGAGGCGAAGGTGTTGGTATCCTTGGGGTTGATGGCGAGACCCATAACGTAGTGACCGTGGCCCTCAAAGACTTGGACGCACTTCCAGCCCTTCTCCCAATCCCAGAGCTTAATTGTCATGTCATCGGAGGCGGTCAGCACGAAAGGTTGTGTGGGGTGAATGGCGATAGCGCGAATATAATCGGGGTGAGCTTCAAACGAGGTGATCTTCTCCGAGGTGTTGTAGTTGTATACACGAATCTGGAAGTCATCGGAACCGCAGACGACCCAGTTCTTTCTTGCGACGAATCGGCCGGCTCGGACAGGAACATCTGTGAGCTCGAAGGTCTTGACAATCTGCTGAGTCTCATACGACCAGATGTAGACATGGCCGCTGTACAAAGTCGTGAGGATCCATGGCTCTTGGGGGTGGAAGTCGATGCCCTTCACCCGCTCGCTGCGGGCGAACAATTGTCGCTGGAAGAACAAGTCAGTTACCCGGAGCTCTTCAGGAGACAACAGACTGGCGGAGGCTATGAAGCTACAGCTGCGATTGTCCTGATAGCTCTTGCTCGAACAAGGCGCGAAGCTGTGGAGTTTGATTCGGACTGATGCGTACCTTCACGTCAACCTTCATGATGACGACCTGTGCCTATATACCAGCAAGGGAGAAAGTTGAAGAAGAGGTGATGGTGGCCTCGAGAAACGAAGTGGGGGGAGTGGTTCTTGCGCAGGTGAGGACGCCTAAGGAGGAATCATGCGTAGCTGTCCGGCGATTGCGAGGAATAAGAGGGAATTAGGAGAGGCCGCTGGAAGCCGGTCGCGGAGGGAAGAGTCGGGAATCCTCGTCAGGATGTGTCGTGGGAATTGGTGGCTTCCAGAGCTTCGGCAGGCGCAATTTTGGCCAATTCGGTATTTCGAGCTTCAACAGATGTGTCCCTACCACACGAGGTTCAGGAGCTGATTGGTGCCTGAATGATGTGGCTTTTGCCTAAGGCACAGACATTTGAGCCACGTAGGTACCTTCCTACCTGAACAGTCTACTATTGTAAGGTAGGTGAACTGTCAATTGCATCGCTTATCTTATCTAAAATGCAAAGCCACATCGATTCGCTAAGGTAGGTAGCCAGCCACAGCATCATCAGCCACGGTGAGTATCACTGACACAACCCGGTCGCGAGGTAAATCTGATGGTGTATGAATGGCCTCAAAGTTTGATGGTAAACATTATGCCAGCAGATTATAGTTTGCGTCCAACAAATTAATATCACGGCTGGCAAGAGTTACAACAGTTGCACTTGCGCCTGTGTTGCGGAGTGTACGTTCAGCATGATGTACATCACGCAGTTATACACGTTTCGCCATGGACATGACATACTACCAGGAATGACTTTGATATCTGAAAAAATTGTCACGTGTGTAGTACACAATCATGTTGGCCGTTGGAAATTCTTGTTTGAAATTGAATCTCTAGTTGTTTATGCCTAGTCCAATCCGTTGGGTTGGAAATTTGAAAAATAGCGCTGAAATCGACGCGCTGCCTTGTTTCCCGAAACTCCATGCTTGTTCCCCAGTGATATATGCTAAACTCCAAAATCCATGCCCATCATTCGTTACACTCGTCAAAGCTTGCCGGATAGTCATTCCTCACTGTCGGCCTGAACTCTACGAACAACTTCAGCGAGCATCGGGTGAATCTTCTCCGAGGACTGAATACCACAGATCTTGGTCACAGCGTCCTCGGGAGTATTCTCGGACATGAGCTGGGAAAGTTCCTTGCTCTCATCATCACCCTCGACGTCCTGGAAACGGAAAGCCATCTCAGCGGCGCGGAGGAGAGCGGTGCAGTCCTCTCCCTTCTCGGCAAGTTCTGCAGCGGGGCCGACGAAACGCTCCTTGCGACTAAGCTTGCGGAGCGGTGCGCGACCGACACGCTCAACGGCATCCTCCAAATGGGGGTTGCCGATGCGGCGGATGATCTTCGCAGCGTATTCGCGCTGTGCCTGCTCGTCAATGCCGTGCTTGCTGATGATCAGGTTGCTAGTCTCCTCCAGTGCCTTGCGAACCTCAGCCATGATAGCCTTGTCCTGCAGCGCATCGTAGACGGTGCGCTTGCTGCGGTTGTAACCGTGGTAGGCAGCTGTGGCATGACCAGTGTTGACGGTGTAAAGTTTGCGCTCGATGAAAGGAGCGAGCTCATCAACCCAGTTGATGCCCTCAATGCTAGGGATCTGCTCGAAGGGAGTGCGTTCAACGACCCACTCGTAGAACTTCTCGAGGGTAACGTCGAGGCCAGCGTTAGGATCTTGAGCGGGGACAATGCGGTCGATGGCAGAGTTAGCGTAGCGGGCACGCTCGTGGTGATCCTCCAAACGGTGGGGAGCAGTGTTGCGGGGGTCCTTAATGTGCTCAGCCAAGGTGTCGGTGGCGCCAATTGCATTTTCACAGGCGATAACTGAGATGGGTGCCAGGTTGCTAGGACGTTTGTCGATACCCTTGGCAATGACAGGGGCGATGAACTTGAGAATGTTTGGTCCAACGGAGCACGTAACGACATCAGCAGTGGCGATCTCATCGACAAGCTCCGCCTCGTGTGTCCTTGAGTTGATGGCACGGTAGTTTGTGATGGTGTTCTCATTAGTTCCCTCGGCGCCGACCTCGATGACCCGGTATGACGGGGTCTCGTTCAGCTTGTCAATGAGGGCATCAGCGACATCGGCGAAGACCACTTCGTAACCGGAGTTGTGCAGAAAGCAGGCAACGAAACCACGGCCGATGTTGCCGGCGCCGAAGTGGACGGCCTTCTTGGTGAATTGTTGTGTTGACATGTTGGGCATATGTGTAGAGTGTGAGTGTGTGATGAGTAGGGGATTTTGTAGATGGTTGGAAATGAAGTGTAAGGCGATTGTTTGATGCCTCGAATTGTTTTATGTCTAAATCAGTCAAGACCGAGTAGTGTGAATGAAGTGTTGTACGGGATGGGGAATCAGGAGGGTGTGACACGAGTGGGAAACAGGTTGTCTTTATAATCTGAGAGTGCCGCCTTCACGAGAAGGACCACCACGATGTAATCGAGAGCGAGTGTGTCTGGGAAGGCACCATGGGATGGCCTTGACGTGTGAAAGGCTCATTTACAGTGGGGCATCGGCTGGAAAAGGAAAGCATCAAGGGGTGGAGGGGAGACCCATGCATTAGGTAGGCACGTTGTCCGTGGCGGGATATGAGGTAAGGTAGCCCTACATAGTTCGTCATACGCATAGGTACCTCCGGTGAGGGAGGGGCAAGAACGTATCTTCAAAGTACGTACTCTTTTTCCGCGCTGAGATCATCGCGCACCCTGAGTACTGGGTACATCTGACGGGCGCTCACTAAGAGCCTGTGTCAAGGACAGCCCCAGGGCAATGACATAACGCCGCATCCCCTTCATCCCCAGCCATGCCATCATCTCCATTATTCCAGGCTCTGCGGCGAATAGACAAGCCGGCTTTTTGCGTCCATCCCGTCACCTTGTCCGCAAGGGCTCCGCTTCATTGAAACAGAGTCGGCGCCGCCTTAGCTCTTTGGCTACAACCCCTTGAGCCAACGAACATGCAGCATTTCGTCAAGGAGTACCTACAGCCTACCCACCCGTCTCCACTGAGGGGTGAGTGGAGAGGGGTGTCGTCAGAGGAAAACACCACGGACAAAGTGACAACGGGCGCAGTCGGAGTGATGCAACTGGTGAGAGGAGTAATTACCTAGGGCGTGGAGGGGTCGCAGACTCGCAGCCCCTCCGCCAGGCTGGGTTGGGATGGATGCTGATTGTGGATGAATGGGGAAGAGGCGTTGAGGCACAGGGAAATCAAGGGGATGGGAAATCAAGGGGAGGAAGGATGGTCATGGATACATCGCTCACCAATCATCATGGGCGCTTTGTCGGTTGCCTTTATCCCTCTGCTATTGTTCGGATACTTGTTGGTTTACTGTACGCAGCAGAGAAACATTCTGGTCAGCCACGTTGGCCTGATGACTATGTGTACATCCCATGTGAGAGATCATCCTATACGTGCTGTGGCTTCAAGTGTTTCTCTGCTGGCTTTGCATCTGGATGGTGGGAAGTTTCCAACCCTCATGCCCGTCAGACAACAATGGAAGTGGCCATGGCTCCAGTGGACCTGCGAAGGAGAGCAATGATAGCCCGGAGAGGCGAGGGAGGCCCGAAAGGGCCATCCGTCGTCCATCACGAGCATAACACGTGCTGGGAGGTTCAGGGGACAGGTGTGCCTAGGCTCGTATGTAGTTCTGGGTGCGTGTGCGTGCGGATATCACATACAGCGAATTGCTCCGGTGCCTTAGCATTCGTTATATCGCTTCGAAAGAAATATACCAGCCGACACGTTCATGCTGGTTGCTCCTGAATGTTGCTGTTGCCTGTCTACAGGGAATGCTGTAAGCCCGCTGTATGGAAATCCCATACCCCTCTCCTCCTGATGGTGGTCCTGGAAGGTGGTGGATGGACGGGTAGGTGGACAAATGGATGGATTTCCTTGCCGGTTCCGTCCGGTCTGAAACCACGAGGATCTGAATTATCAGCAGCTTGGAACATGTGGCTGGCCACGGCGACGATCCAATGCTACGAAGTCAAATGGCGTGGCCGCTGCCAATATCCGTATGGCATCGAATCTTGTGGGTGGACTTTGCCGATGCGGCAGGTGCGTCAAAGAATGCTGCTGCCCACCAGATGGGCACAAAGGTGTCGGAAAGAGTTGCCAAGGGAGGCGAGGGGTAGAGGCATTTCTTCCGTTATCGTGGCATCTCGCACCTTCAAAACGCCATCGTGGATCAACAACCCGTTACCGATAAGTCGCACTACAGTGTGCCAGGGGACGGTGCCTCCGTGGCCTGTTACTGAATCTCGCTGCGCCGCCTCACGATGAATGGTCGAATGGCCCGCCGAGGGGCCGAGGAACCGTGGAAACTGGGGAGCTGTGCAGGCTGTATGGATTACATGTAGTAGAGTACAATCGTGGGATTCGCGGTAGATGAAAGGGCTAGCCTGCCAGTCGGCGCAAGTAAGTTGGCTCAGCGCTATGCAATGCCACGTCCGACAATCAACCGGAGACGCGTCAGAGAGGCAGATGAAGGCGGCGTTGCATCGATCGTGAGAGTTGAATTTGGATCACTGGTCGAATCAGACGACGCCATCCGTGGCCTCATCTTCGGTGGATTGGTCGGCCTGGGCTTAACGGGCTGCCCCTCCTTCTGGCCCGGCCTTGCCTTGCTTGCCCTTGCGGCTTGCGCTCGCGAACTCAGACTTGGCCATAAAACGGGATGCATTAATACCGTGGAATCTCGAGAGCCTTGAGGGATAAATTACGGCGGCGGCTGTTGTTGGGCTTGTCCGCCTAGGTCGACCCTTGCACAGGATGTCGGCCACAAACGCAGAACTGCGATTCGTGGAGATGTCGACATGGCGCCACTCTGGTGCTTGTCGTCGCCGCGCCCGGACGATGGAGATCCGTAATTTCTCGCTTTGTTGACGCCGACGGTGACCAAGAGGGCCAAGTGCAGCGGAAATTCGGGGAGATGGCGAGTGTGTTTGTACTCTGTAGTTTGTACGGTGGCGGGTGGCGGCAACTTCCTTGGGGGTGCGAGCCGCAGGCTATTGGTGGACTGCGGCTCGTCAGGTCCTGGAGAATCCGCGGGCGATGAGAAGAAGTGGAAACTCCGGTCCTCAGGCGCCGTTGGCATGGCGAGCCTGCGAGCCCTCGACTGCACATGGCCAGAGGATATGGGGCTTCATCAGCCCATACGGCGGTCTACTTCGTAAATGTAGCCTCGTCGTAACGATTGTGCAGGACCACAACCGGCGATGCTGTTTGTAGAGAGGTTCCTGCAACCTACCAGGTCCAAGGTGGGAGAACAAAATGTAGCACGGCGGAGAGACAACGGCGCTATTTGCTTTCCCACTATTCTGCCCTCGTTCCCGAACGCGAGCCTCGATTTGTCGATCGTGGTGAGGATGATTCGCCTGCGGATGGCTGGGCTGCATGGGACCCAGCCTGGCTCGCTTCTCTCCCCTTGCCCATACGGTTTCCGTATTCCTTCTGGTCCGCTGTTCTGCCCTCCGTGGTGATGCCGGGGTAACTATTCAAGATTGATAGTCGATAGTAGAGTGGATTAAGCCGAGTAGCGACCCGATTGTCGGATGTGGTTGTGCTCATGTTGAGTCACCAAACTGGAGGTTATTGCGTGTGTATGCCGTGGAATGATCGTTCACCATGATGTCTTTCGCCTGTGGTTCTTTGGGAGGAGGGCCAAGAGACATCCGGAATCTGCTGGAACAGGTACTTCTCCATGTTGTGTCAAGCGGAAAGTACCTCCACCGGGCCCAGCATTGTGTTTCTGGTGGGGGTTGTCCCCGTCCCCAGTGAAAAACGGCCCCAGTGTCCGTTCTCCTCCATGGCGCAACTATGAAGTTACCTCTGTGTCTGGAAGGAACGAAAGACGGACGACATTGGGTCCGGTATGGAGCTATTCCGTTGGTATTTGACAAATGCTCCTTCCTTACCCTTCTTCTACCTTTGACAGGTAGGTAGTGTGTATCTTTCTTTCCCTCCAGATAGGTACCTTAGTACGTGCCTACCCCACTAGAAAGTACCCAAGGTACGTGGCTCATGCACCAGCTTCCTTGTTCGTTCCCTTTATCCTTTCAAACGGTGGGTCCCTTATCTGTGGAGACGCTTTTCCGTCTCGACTTAGGAAACCACGGCACTCCCGACGCTTCCGTTTTCGATGTCTGGCCGCTTGGTGCATTTGTGGCCCGAATTCCCCTGCCCACACCTGTCTCAGGCTGTCGCTCATTCCGACTCTCCGCCGGCCTGGTGCCCACTGCTCCCGACCATGTTCCCCATGTCTTCGGCATCGCAAACCGTCAGAAATATTGCCTCGCTCTCGCCTTGTCTAGAGGTTCCTCATGAGATTGGAACATTACCGTTATTCTTTCTGCTGACTGTTGAAAGCACCTCTTCTTCGCGTTGCAGGGTGTGTTCGGCTGAGCAACCACCACATCCGACGCTGTGTCCCGGATACGCAAGATGCCGAGATTTCCTCTAACACACATGTGTTCCTCCAACTGTACGCCAGCCCTCGTCTCCGTAAAGTTGATAGGCAAGTGTGCCTAGTGTCGCGAGTACAGACTTTGGCTTCCGGGCGGGACCAGCCACGGGAGCACCACACCAACCGACGCGTTGGTGAATGGTGATACATTCAACCAACCGAACAACATGGACCAGCCCGAACCAGTTTCACCATGACCCTCCTGGTAAATGAGGCTCGTGGCAAGAAGTTCCTCTTCTCAGCAACCTCGAGTACCTAGCTATTGCGGGCTGTCGCTGTCCATGTCTGCCAGCAAACGCCTTCATCTCCTAAGAGGTGGTTCTCCCGGCGCCGATATTACCAAGCTCGTAACCTAAGTCCTGAGCTTTGGCCGCTTCTACTTCCTCAGACGGAGGCCGTTGTTGTTGTCGTCGTCGTTTCTTGACAGCTGCGTTGCTTCGCTTCCTCGTGGTCTCTAACGCAGCACGCTCGCGCTCAAGCTGCGGTCCTAATGCCACCATACTCACGCCAAAACCGACGCACGGCAGCTGCCACTCTGCCACGGTGTCTCTAATAGCCCTTGGTCGATCAGACCCGGCAACTTGAGACGGTAGAAACAACGCCTAGGAACAGACGCAGTTCAAGCGTGGAAGTGCACCGTCGTCACCACCTACTCTGGGCTAAGAATCAGATACCAACCTCCACAACACGAGGGCTGGAGAGGTCATAGAGTTCGGATTCATGTCACAGAGTGCGCCGGCCCATGGCTTCTCCCGCCCGATGGCCTCCGATGACATCGGGCCTAGATCATCACCGTCATTTCCTTGATGGGCAGTCCCCGCGCCGATCGAAGCAAGGGATCCCCCCTCCAGCCAAGTAGCCTCAGCGACCGCGGGGACTACACCGCGGGCATCCGTCTGAAGACTTGAAATGCATGCTGCGTTTGTTGGGCGCTGTTGTGCATTGCATCACACCGCACGGCATGTCAATCAGCAACCGTGTTAAGGGACGAAAGTGTAGCAAAACGAACCTCGCAGGTATCTCAAAGGAACGGAATGACGTCGATATATCGCTCGAGCAAATCACACATCGACTCAACGACACGAGGAGCATTGCAGCCCAGGTCTGGGCCACTCTGGACGTTTGGATGAGTATCGCTTCGGGCACCATAGCACTCACGTACCGGTTCACTGGAGACGTTATCCCGTCATCACGTACTACTTCAACTGAGCGAAGGGGCAATACAGCCAGCCAGTTGTTAAGCATCATTTCAAGATGAACTACCATCGCATAGTAAAACGTGGGCAGTCTCTCTCCCTCCCCATGACTTTGAACAACCGTGGGTTTTCATAGCGCTCGAACATGATGCCTTGGGCGACCGCAATCCTGGCTGGCGCCCTCGATCCTGGCTAATACACAATGCTGTTCTAGTTGCCTTTTGAGAACTCCAAGAGTCATCCACAGACATCCCGGCAATCTCACAATCTTGCGCACAAAAAGCATCGTCCCTTGGAAACTGCATTGCGGCGGAGCCCGGCACAGTCGTCAATTGGCTAGGGATTTGTAGGACTCCACGAGAAAACGACATGCAGATACTTTCTCGCTTTCTGACTGGACAAAGAAGACAAGACCAGCAACCCAAGGCTTGGGAGACTCAGTCCGACTACGAACGCTCTCACTCTTTGGATTTGTGTCTTGGCATGCGTCATTGCTGGGGCTTTCTATGCGTCCACACCCGCCGGTCCCTCTCCAGCCCCGCGAACCCGAGCGCTTCTATGCAATCTGACTGGCTGGTGGCTTTGCCCGCCATTCTGCACCATGTAATCCTAGGCACCAAGGGTCCTCTTAGCCCCTTACGACCGACGAGTCTTGGATACTTGAGATAAAAACCCCTCAGGGTGTGTCGTTAGCTCGGAGACCCTGGTCATGGCCCGCGCCCGTTGCAGCTTCACATTCACGATGCGCCAAGTTGCAGTTTGTCAGAATCTCACTGGATCCGTCATCCCCTCGAAGTCGTTCGGCTGCGGCAGATCAAGTTACCAGAAGGAAGAGCACGTCATTTCACTCTGCTAGCAAACAATCAAGGCGCTCAACTGTCGTGAGTCTTGTTGAGTTTCGCAATTGAATGCCGGGCTACTCTGGTTGGGCCGTAATTTGACAATGTTTCGTAACAATCGCTCATGAGAGTGCCAGGTCTCTTATGCTCATCGCCTCGTCCCCTCCTAGATTGCCGCAAGGCCCACGGAAGTCTTTCTACGAATCGATCGTCCGGCCTCGAAAGAGATATTCAGGAGAGACTGCCTCTCTGGAATTTCACTCCCGTCGATGCACCCGTACTTCTCTCGGCTACAGCGTCTATCCCACAAGATAAACGGTGGTCATAGCAATGCTTGAGTAGTTGACGGCCCGCTAGTGGGCAACCCCAGATGATCCCAAAGTTGGTGATGGATCAACGGAAGGTCGTTGTTGTGGATGCTGGGTTCCACGTGAGGAGGACAAGAGATCAAGCGATCCACGAGCTGGGACTGGTGTGGACTACGCGTTTGGCGCGGCCACCATAGCGGTTCCGGCGGTTGAGCACATGCACCTTGATCGACCCCCTATCTCACGCCGTATCGTTGTTGCAAGCCTATGACAAGATGACACTATTCGTAGAAGTCCACGTGCTGGTGGCTACCTGACTTCGACTTTGTGGTCTGCTTCACGTCGTCCCGAGGTTCACAACCGTTCAGAAACAAATCAGTCGCTCGAACTGTTGCTTGGTTCATCATCTCAGCTCTTGTCGTCCTAGTCCCCGTCCAGCAAGGCACATGAAAGTTTATGGAGAGGGACTTTATCCGGCAAGTTCATTCCCCAGACGCAGGTCCATTGCGTCGGCAAACGCAACCTTACACTGCGAGGCTGGCTTGGACGGCCCGATATCAAGGGTGTATCTCCTCCGGGCAGCGGGATAATTTCCGGCAAAGCCAAATCCAATCTGGAAATGGCTCACCACTCCTCTGTCGTGGGCGGCCTCACTTGCCTTTCACCCGGCGGAAAATCTTACTGTACCGCAGTGCTTACCACCCATAAGACCGTGGACAGACTCGGTTACTCTCTCTCACTCCTACCCCAGGAAGAGCAACCAGGGGCTGACTATCGGTAGGTGCGTCGGTTCTCCACGGGGTTGACGATGCACATGGACTAAAGTAGACAGGAAAAGTCGCCCTGGCAGCACCGAATTACGTTCCCGAAGTGGGGCCGATTTCCTCCGATCCACACAGAGTTCCGAAGATGGTGTACTTCTTCCTCACTTGATCACTTAAGCTGCCGCTTACGGAGTTTCTGCATTCAGCTGCTTATCGCCATGGATGCGATTGTCCTCGGCCGACAAGGTGGGATTTGAAACATACCTAGGCTTTCCGAGATCACAAAGATCGGCACACATCGATTCCACGAAGCTTGTGGTCATTGTCAACGACTCACAAAAAACAAGATGGAATTTGGCCTGTGAGAATGAGACTTTCGAGCCTCCGGTCGTCCGGGTACTCTGTCCCCAAAACGTTTACGTCTCTATACACTTCGTCAAGGCGAAGAGTATCGCACTGCGGCTAGAGCGCCTTTTGCCATAAAAAAAAATCGAGCTGACATCAGCAGCTTGTTGGTGTAATCCCGCAGGCGGGCTGGTGACGGCCGGCCATCGGCGTTGGTCGGCTAGGCGGCAAAGCGAGACGCCCTTGGCGGGACGGCATCCGTGGACCCTCACGGTAGAAGACCAGGAGACGGAGACATTCAGTCCGAGATTCGCTCGGCACGCTTCTCGTCATCGGCCCACCATGAGAGTTCAGCCACTGCTACGCGTTCGGAACTTGCTTCTTGTTTTACCCAGTTGAATTTTTCTTTTTTTTTTTTTTTTTTAGGGGGGGGTATCCAAGCGTGCCAGAGAAACGGTTTGCGGTGGTCTACCAACAGATGCAGCTCGCTGTCGATCCGTTTGTGTCAGGAGCCCAGAGGAAGCTGAGAACTGAGCGGGTTAACTCGCCATTGACGAGACGCAGACGCGGTGGTTTTCGCCGACCCGGCCAAGTCGCTAGTCAGAGCCATGCACCAAGACCGCACCGCCCTCTTTGGGCAGATGCAGATGCGAAGTTACGTCTTGAAGTCGAGTGAAGCACATCTCCACACTGGGCGTTCTGTGGGGAGCACCGGTATAGAAAGCGCTCCCCAGACCAACCAGCGGAGCACGCCTTTTTTCGGTTTTGAGGAAAGGGGAGGGGTTTGTTACCCACAAAGATAGGGAGTGCGTTCGTGGAGCAAAGAGATAGGTAAACGTGTGTACGACGAATATTTGCGGGTTCCCCTACTGTGTAGACACCCTTTCGTGGAGAATCCGCCGTGGAGACCGCATAGTCGCTCTGGTTGCTGCTTCATCCTTGTTCTTCCTCTGCCGCAGGTAGAAATATGGATCCTCGAGGTTTCGTGTCGAAACTAGGTAAACCCCAGCGTTTGGACGGCACACGCCGGTGTGGGTTCTTTTGCAGTAGCAACATAGAAGCGGCGATGCGCTCTGACTTCTCAGGGTAGAACGTTGATCCAATGTCTACAGACTAGAGGAAGACGTCGGTAGGGTCCATCCACACCGTGGACACCCCGTGGAGGGCGAGGAAGTGGTTCAAGGAGGAGACGAGACGTTCGAGACTCTGAAGATTGTGGTCTTTTTTTGTCCATCATGATTCGAATCGCAGCTCAGTGGTTGTGGAGGGGACCTTTGGATGTGTCCTGTTGCGTTTGGGGCAAGTTCCTTGACGATCCCTTGGGAGTTGCGGGTTTTGGTCAGCCCCTGTTACTCCCGAGTCTCGAGTCGCCGCAGTCGACGATCTTTCCCAGGGCAACCTCTTCCTCGTGAACTTTCATCCTGCCACTTGTCCAAGTGGAATAGCCAACACAAGTCACACAAGTCACAATCATGACATTGTAGCCGAGGATTGAGCCATGGGTTACGAGTTTGTTCTTCCTGTCTTCTGAATGGCCCCATGGCATCAGTGCCATGTTGGCCAACTATGACTTTTGCAATGGCATGCGGCGAATAGAACCCCCGAGTAGCCCCTTTGCCGTTATGTTCCTGATTGTAGGTTCCGGTGGTGTTTTCTTCATGATTGCATCTTCTGCTCTCCATATTGCGGCATTGGGACGCTATTCAGCAACGCAAGGAGCGACTAGCCTATTAAGAGATCAAAACGCACTTTTGTCAACGGCACCTAGGTATTGAACTCGTAGTCTTTTTATGACTGCCGAAGCGCGGCCTTCTCGTCCTTTACTTTCCTTTGAGGTCTGCATGTTATTAGATACACAATATCAATCATTGGCAACTCTCTTCACCCTCTTCCGGTGCCCAGATTATTCCTAATCTTATAATCTCGCCATGTTATACACATCCCGAATCTGTTTCTTCTGTTTGTTCTTGCGTCAGAATTGCGGGCACTTGATATCGAAAAGAGGTTGGCCTCGTCATTGCTATTCTTCGCATCAAGTCCTCCATGGAATCACTACATTCGTTTCGTTGGTTACATGTACCTACCGTCACAACCACTCCGGTGAAGCCGGTCTCGTGAACCTCTATTTGGATCGTCATTTTAGTGTAGATCCAGCAATCGAATGAAGTTAAAGGGGTAAAGGCAGCTTGCAGTCTAAACAGTCGGGTGGTTTCCTCAGCCGCTGCTAATATGTTACCTCTTCGGAGGCAGCACACCTGTCTTCGGAGGCAGCACAACTGTCTTCGGAGAAATTCTTTGCAGTACTTCGATATTGTACTACCATGTTGTATTGTTTCTAATCTCCTCACTGGTTCATGATATTCTCTCATCGCTGTGACTGTTAGTATTGTGTTCGTCACCGATAGGAGGGGGACACCCAGAAAGAATTAGAACCCATCACAGCGGCACTATGAGGTCATTATGTGTTTTTGTGTGCGATATGTCCTTTTGATGTGCAAGCCACACATATCATGACAAAGGCCCACATCAACAAAGCCAAGGATGGCCTCGGCTAGAATAGGACCATACCTCAATGCGAGCGTTTGGCTGCAGACCTTGCAAATCAAGAGGCCTGGCTTACCATGCCCACCATCTGACCAACGACGACCTCACCAAAGCTATGACCGTGTGCGCCATGGTGGCCACGACCGCACCGCCTTGATGGAAAGGCGCAGGCCGGATCGACCGCATGTATGTGACCTCCCATTACGCAAGTCCACAGCGGCATGTTAACTATCCTGGTACACCACGAAGACCCGCACCTGCAGACGACGGCGATATAGGCCAAGGAACTGGTACAGACCAACGCGCAAGAGTATCCTGCCGCCGGGACGTCAGAGGAAATAGAAAAAACACGGGGAACAAAGGAGTCTCATAGCCGGCCATCCCATGGCACTACCTGCCTACCTCGCCGGAGCAAGACCGTCGGCCTCTCAGCCCAACTCAAATACCAAGCTTGGGGGCTCTGCACGCGATAATTGCATGCAGTTTGCGGTTTCTCGTAGCCAGAGTGATATACAGAGTGTGAGATGTTTTCTCGACGCCTTTTACACTACATCACAGAATATCCCTCCCAGTTTTGCCGCGTCCCTGCTTGTTTCACGGACAGGAGCTGGGACGTTGAATGGTTGCGGTTCTTATATGCGGGAGAGTATATCAGAGAATTACATGTAGATTACGCGACAACACGTTCATCTAGTATCGTCTCCAGAGAGGTTAAAAACAGATTAGAGACAAATTTCTCATTAAAAATGTACGTTGATGAAGACTGCGTTACTACAAGATCTTAGAAAACTATCGTGCCATGAGGGCCGGCTACTTATGCTAAAGACTTCATACACACAAGATTCAAAGGCTTCACCTTATCAAAGTGAAATTAATCAAGTCACTAGGATTTACCTCATCTACAGCACCTATCCTTAAAGTGCTACGTTGTGGTACTGAAATCGTCTTGTTCTCATCCTTTGAAATTGTAGTCATCTCAAGGGCTGCTTGAACAACCAGGATGAGATGTGATGGGGATCTCTGCGGCAATAGACAAACTTTTGTGACATTTCAAGGTGATGGCGTATCAGCTTTCCATTTCCTATAATCCGAACAGCCGCCGGTCGTGCTGCCCCAGCATGGCATTGGCAGCCCAAGAGGACCCCAGAATGACATATCTAGATGAATCTCAACTGCAGCTAGCTAGATGTTGAAAATTGAGTATATTTTGTGTGTATACGCGGCTATTAAAGTCTTGGATACCAAACATAACAATGCTCAAGTGGGAGAGAGTATCTGTCATGCAATTCCCCCAACTTTCTTGCCAAAGAAAGCAAGTACAAATTGCGTCTTTAAAACATTGAAATAATATTTATCCTGTCTCCTTACTTCTACATATACCTTAGGTGAGTGCCTTCGGTATTGCTAGCATTGGAGGCACAAAGAAGGATAATCAGAATCGAAAGGCGATTTCTAGTCTCTCAACTAACATCAGACCCTTTCAATGACCCGATGGACATCAAGTACTAATAATCTTCGCACTTCAATCGCACATGTGGACAAACAATTATACTTCACAATTTCATTGTATCATAGGGTAAAGTGTGGACAAAAGACTTTTTAAAATTTGTATGCTCCTGGCTTTGTCGGAACGTGAAGCTCTCTTCACACCCCGTCTCTTTCCAAATTTATAAAACTACCAAGGACAGACGACATTATTCATTACAGGTTGGAGTATTTCTTGAAGGCACCAATCAGACCGCCGGTGGAGGCGTCGTGGCCCTCGCCGTTGCCGGCCTCATCAAGCTCCTTGAGAATCTTCTTGGCCAGGACCTTGCCCAGCTCGACACCCCACTGGTCAAAGGCATTGATGTCCCAGATGGCGGCCTCAGTGAAGGTGAGATGCTCGTAGTAGACAATCAGAGCACCCAGCTCAGCAGGGCCGATGTGGCCACCGACCAGGATGCTGGTGGTAGGGCGGTTGCCCAGGAAGATCTTGTGGGGGACGAGCTCCTCGGGGGCACCCTCGGCGCGGACCTGGTCTGCGGTCTTGCCGACCATCAGGGCCTCGGCCTGGGCAAAGTAGTTGGAGGCGAGCATCTTCTGGTGGACGCCGTCGCCAATGGGGTTGTGGCTCTTGGCGGCCAGGATGAAGTCGGCGGGAATCAGCTTGGTGCCCTGGTGGACGAGCTGGAAGAAGGAGTGCTGGGCGTTGGTGCAGGGCTCGCCGAAGAGGATAGGTCCTAGTTGCGGCGGTTAGTCTTTGGAAAGCACCTTTCAACCCAAGGGACATCCTTACCGGTGGTGTACTTGGCGGGAGTTCCGTCAGAGGTAATGGTCTTGCCATTGGACTCCATAGAAAGCTGCTGGAGGTAGGCAGGGAAGCGGTGCAGGTACTGATCGAAGCTATTTGTGGCGAGTTAGAAGAAAATAGTCTGTCTGTACTCGGCGTAGGAAACACTCACGGAGCAACCAGGTGGGTCTGGGCCTGGAAGAAGTCAGAGTACCAAACGCTCAGGAGACCTCCCAGGACGGGGATGTTCTCCTTGAGGGGGGTCTCGCGGAAGTGCTTGTCCATCTCGTGAGCACCGGCAAGGAACTTGTGGAAGTTATCGTAGCCAACGTAGATGGCAACGCTGAGGCCAATGGCACTCCAGACGGAGTAACGACCGCCGACCCAGCTCTCAAAGCCGAACATGTTCTTGGCGTCGATGCCGAACTTGGTGACCTCCTCCTCATTGGTGGACAGAGCAACAAAGTGCTTGGCGATCTCGCCCTTGCCGTCCGTCTTCTCGAGGAACCACGACTTGGCCGTGTTGGCGTTGGTGGTGGTCTCTGCGGTGGTAAAGGTCTTGGAGGCGATAAGGAAGAGGGTGGTCTCGGGGTCCGAGTTGGCGAGGGCCTCGGCCATGTGGGTACCGTCAATGTTGGAGACGAAGTGAAGGGTCTGGTCCTTGGCACCGTAGTGCTTGAGGGCCTCGGTGACCATGACGGGGCCACTATTGGAGTTGTTAGAAAGCCGGGAGTCGTGGATTCATGTTTAGCAGAGGGTTCGGGTCAATGACTTACAGATCGGAACCACCGATGCCGACGTTGACAATGGTGGTGAGCTTCTTGCCGGTGTAGCCCTTCCACTCGCCGCTGCGAACCTGCTCGGAGAACTCCTTCATGTGCTCGAGGACTTCGCGGACGCCGCCCTTGTTGCTCATGACGTCGACACCGTCGACCTTCATGTCCCAGTCGCCGACGTTGCGGAGGGCGGAGTGGTAGACGGCGCGCTTCTCGGTGAAGTTGATCTTCTCGCCGGCGAACATGGCATCGCGCTTCTTCTCGAGGTTGGCCTGCTCGGCGAGCTTGACAAGAAGGTGAAGGGTCTCATCGGTGAGGAAGTTCTTTGAAAAGTCAAAGAGGATGTCGGTGCCCGAGGCCGAGTTCTTGAAGGTACGGCTGAACTTGGCGAATCGATCCGTGTCGGATGCGAAGGCTTCCTTGAGTACAAAGTTCTTGCCGACGTTGTCGCGGTGAGCCTGGAGCTCGGCCCAGGCGGGAAGGCTAGATGCTTGAGGCATTTTGGGCGGTATGGAATCACTCGACGGAGGCTAGTGGGAGGATCGTGATCTTTGTAGGAAGAGAAAGTCAGCAATAGGATTCTTTTTGAGTGTATATGCAGGTTGTGGTGACGAAAAACATACCTCTTGAGTAACGAATTGACCAAGAGACGGTATGTAGAGGACAGGCTAGTAATAAGGAACGGGGGTATGTAAGAAGTCGAGTACGGTGTGTTGTCGTGGACTGACTATGACAGTGGGAGGGAGCAGGTCGGGGAGAGTTGCGGCGGTTCTGCTCGGAAGCACCCTGGAAGTGGGATAGATGGGGGCAGCATGCAGAGCTCGAAAGCAGCCAATCAGAGTGCTCAGTTCGAGGTGGCATGTCTGGCGTGGAGGGGTAATTGCGTACAAAACCACTAGGTATGTGCTGGAACGCGGGGCACAGCACGCTGTAGTAACAGGAAGCAGACAGGAAGCACTGACCTTGGGAGGAATGACGCCAGGCTAAGGTAATGACCTAAGCGTGCTACGGGACCTCGAATTGGGATTCTGCAAGGTGGACAGAGCTACCTATAAGACCGATTTAGTCCTGGCGCTCAGTAAGGCAGTCGCAGGGGATGGATGGAGGGGGGTGGGGGGTATCAATGCTGTTTTTGGAAAGAAGGAGGGAGAGGCAGAGGTAGAGGAGGGAGAAAGAGAGCGAGACACAAGAACAAAAGGTGGGAGGAGGTCTGCGTGCTCACTTACGGATGATCGATGTCAACACTGCTCAGATACCTGTCAGCAGCTGCGTTGACTGAAATGGGCTGAAATCGGGTCCCGTCGCTACCCATTGTTGAGGGTTGAGGGAATGGGCGAGGGAGCAGCTCGTCACAATTTCTCCGTCATCGTCCCGTCCACTGTCCCACCCCAGGCCCCGCCGCTGTCGCGCTGGGACCAGCCCCGAAGCAAAACTCGGCTTACTTAACGCACGATGCATTGCTCCGTGAGGTATCCGTACCATACGAATACCTTCCTTGATTGCCTCGCAATTCCCTCGTCTCAACCTTCCACTATCACCTATCGCCATCTTCCACTCACAGCCGTACCAATTGACGCTCCTTTTTCCTTATCTGCTATATCCGACAGCCGATTACTCATGGCAGTTGCAAGCCAACCCCCCTCCACCTCCCCCACCCTCCAAGTCCCGAGGACAACTCAATTTTTTTTTTCGGCCCTTCATCTGGAGCTTCACCTGCTCCTCGGGACATTCCCATATTTCGTCATCGGGGCATTTCCGCCCGGGCAGACATGCCAGGCTATCCAAGAGGCTTAGGCACATAAAGTCGGCCTCTGATCCTCTGCGGTTGCCATGAATATCAAACTCTAATACAGATGTCATTGCGGGTGAACCCAGCAGAGCCTGTAGACAACAGTTCTAGAAGCGGTCACTCCGACATGGTGGGCCCTGCGCTTACTAACTCTCGCTACCTCCCGTCCCGGTAGATCCGACGTCTGATCTCATCGTCAGACACCGTCATGGCCCATGGACGTCCCGGCCCGAATCCATCCTGAATCCCCTGGTGCGGTGCGGTGCGGTGCGGTAGCTGGGAGTTCGAAAGGCTGCAAGTCCAAACTGCATACCTTACTCTGTACAATTACTCTGTACCTTTATCCTTAGCACATCACAATCACCCCCAAGTGGTCATCATCAATACCTCTTAGTGCCAAGCTGCATTGCGAGTAAACAGAGATGCCCATGAATGATGCTGAGAGCGGATTCGTCTGTCTGCATGCTCAATGATCTGTCCTATCTACATTTCCTTTTCCCCAAAGGCGTCATTATGCCCGTCCCAGAACGCCGTACAAAGACGAGGATGCAAAGCTGTTTGTTGCGCGCGCGTGCGCGCCAACGAGCCCCGACAATTTCCTGTCGAGTCGCTTTGCCGTAAGCTTGAGCTAAAACCTGAATCACCAAGTCCACTCCACACAATGTCATGCTTCGCTTTCTAGACTCTGCCCCTTGCTGAGCCTGTCTCTCCAATTCTATTCGTCAACCTTGGCTCGTCGAGCCGCCTATCGGTTATCCTGGATGCTGCCCACAAAGGAAGGGTCCTTGACACTGCCACCGGCATCGCCCAGTCCCGCGATAGGTCGGTTGTAGCTGAAGCCCTGGAATTGGTTCTGCATCGTCTGCGAGAGCATCGGGCCCTCCACGTACGAGTCCTGAGGTGCCTCTGACGTGAACTCGGGGTCGAAATTGGCCGTGTCGAGGGCGTCCACCTGGAAAACCGAGCGTGTTAGCGAAATCCTGCCATAGACGATAAATGACTCTTTTTTGGCATTGCTATTGCGTTGCCGCTACTTACCACGTTGGGCTTGAATGCAGGCTCGTACTTGCGCTGCAGAAGCTTGCGCCAGTCAATGGCGTGGAAGAAGGGGTGTGCCTTGATCTCGGCCGATCCATTGGCACCGAGACGCTCCTTAGGATCGCGGTTGAGCAGCTTGGTCAGAAGATCCTTGGCCGCGGGAGGCACGACGTCGTGGCCAGGGAAGTGCAGAGGCTCCGAGAGAATTTTGCGGTACATCTCGTTCGTATTCTCATCGTAAAAGGGCGGCAATCCTGTCAACATCTCGTACAGGAGAACACCCAGCGTCCACCAGTCCACCGTCTTGTTGTAGCCCTGACCCATGAGCAGCTCTGGCGCCAGGTACTCGGGCGTACCGCAGAAAGTGTTGGTTCTGTCCTCGTCCTTCATATCCAGCTTGCAAAGGCCAAAGTCGCAGAGGGCAATGTGGCCCTGGTAGTCGAGAAGGATATTCTCGGGCTTGAGATCTCGATAGATGACGTTGAAGCCGTGGAGGCACTCGAGGGCGCAAAGAAGTTCAGCAGTGTAGAATCGCGAGCGGTTAACATCGAATCTTTGCTCCTTTTGCAGGTGATGGAAGAGCTCGCCTCCGTTGATCAGGGCCAAGACGAAGTAGAGCTTCTCGGGGGACTGGAAGGTAAACTTGAGAGGAACGATGAAGGGGTTGTTAATCTGCGCCAATACCGAGCGCTCGGCGAGGGTGTGGGCGACCTCGGACCGAGAGATGATGTGTGCTTTGCGGATCGTCTTGAGGGCGTAGATTCGGTTCGTGTCTTTCTTGCGCACCTGCATGACCTTGCCGAAACTGCCCTTGCCCACCACCTTGAGCAGCTCAAAGTCTTCAATCTTGAGCTTGCCGGCGCGGTTCTCGACGTACTCGACACCAATCTTGACCTTTCCGGTTCCGTACTGCACATCCACCCACTCGACTCCGCTGTGGCCGAGGGCGCGCTCGCGAGTGGCAAAGTCTGCCGCAGCCTTCTCACGGTCCTTCTTGCTCGCCTTAGGGTCCTCGACAAACTGATGCTTGTCTTCGAAGCGGGGGTTGATGCGAGCAACGCCAAGGAAGATGTCCTGGCTGCGACCGGATCCGGGAGGGGCTAAGGGATTGCGCATATAGAGGTGAATGACGAGTTCCGTCACGCGAGACACATCGAACTTGTACTGGGTGTTTCCTCCAGCCCAGAGGGGGTTCTCTGGTGTTCCCTCGACAGAATTGACAAAGACCTGCATCTTGTCGAAATCCAGCAAGGCATAGGGCATGTACTTGCCCGAAATACGACCGTGGTTGGTGGGGATTCCAGTAAATCCACCACCGGACGTCTGTGGCCGAGCAGCGCCATTGATGAAGGAACCAACAACTCCTCGTTGTGAAGAAGAGGGACGCACGGAGCCGGCGACGCTGAGGGCGCCACCTGTGGACAGCGAACCTTGGTGTGACGAGGCAAAGGCTTGCCTGTGTTGCTCGGGGAGGGAGAATCCATGGCCCTCGTGTAGGGTGACGACGAGAATGCCGGGTTTGGGAGGGTTGACAACTGGTGCTTGCGCCATGGCCTCGGAGGCAGCTGTAACAGTCAGTCATTGTGAAAACGGAGGAGTATTGATTGAGGTAGGCTTTGTTGGAGATTCATATACGGGATCGCGTACCGATGGTGTTTTCATTCGTGGGCGTCGCTGAGCCTGCCATGTTGGCCTGGGCCTTTTCGCTACTGTCGGTGATGGTGGATGTGGACGGAGATCTCGAGAAGGTGTTGGCCAAGGGACCCAAATGGGTCTCCTTGAGCTTCTTCGTCAACTTCCACGACATTTTTGGAAGGAAGGAGGGAAGAAGGAGAAGAGGAAGGGGGGATTTGTTATTGTTGTTGCCGAATGCGGTGATGGCGAATCGGATTAGGGGTGATGGAGGTAGGAGTCAACGAGTCGAAGCCAGAGTGATTGATGATGGGCGAGTTCGAAGTCGAAGAGGATGTGGCAGAAGGGATGCGAGGTGAGGTGAGGTTTAGGTGAGCCTGTGAGGTGAAGCGAGGCGAGGCGAGGCGGGGCGAGGAGTAAAGATTGCTGTTGGTGTTTTTGGGTGCGGTAGATAATGCACAGGTAAGGCAGGAGAGAGGTCGCTCTGGGGTCGTGATTTGTCGGTGGAGGTTCAAGGTTGGCGTGCAAAGACGCTCGTTCGCTCGCTCTGCTGGAGGAACCCCGCAAATTCCGCCCCCTCTCTTAGTTACCTTAGGCCTTTGGGGGTGGACACTGGACGGAGGGTACGTGTGTGGTGACTCTGGTGAGACAATCTGGCGCCGACCGGCTGGGTGGTTTGGTTGGTTAGCTAGGTAGGTAGTGGCTGCTGCTGCTGCTGCTGCTTGGTTTTTGGTGCTGGAGCTGCTGACAAACACGGGGTGGTACGGATAGTGGTGCAAGATTCCAAGTTGCAAGAGGAATCAATCCCGTGGGTGGGTCGCGGGGTGAGTGTCTGTCTGCAGGAAGAGGGCAAGAAGAAGCAAGCCCGCAGGGCAGGGGCCGAAAGGGGGAAGAGAGTAAGTACCTACAGCGAGGTGCCTGGGGTTGAGGATACTGAGGAGTGCAGGAGAGAAGAAGGGAAGGAGAAAGAAATTGAGGGTGAAGGGATTCCGAATTGATTACCTGCTCGTCTCAGCTGGAGGAACTGGGCTGAGCTGAGCAGTAGGTTCGAGTAGACGGTTGCTGAGGAAGGGAGGACGGCAGAAAAGGATAAGGGAAGACAATTGCCTTACGGTGGGGTACCTTAAGGCAGGGACCAAGAAAGGTAGCTTTAGGTAGTAGGTACGGATTGGATAACTCTACTGCTTCCTTACCTTGAGGTATTGTTATTGAAAGGACCGTCTGTGCCTGGTAGACTTTACTAACGGGATTCAGGGGGTGCTCTACAAAGAAAGAAAGCCTGTCTACGGAGTATCCGTAATGTATGGATCCGTACTCGGCTCGGAATACTCTGTGAGTTACCCTCCAGATTTACGAGCAGTGGCCAAGCTGGGACAGGATTCACGAGGGATGGGAATAGGAGACGCGCGAGGGGGCTCAGGGCTCAGGGCTCAGGACTCAGCCAGGACTCAGGACTCAGGAGGCGGTGCACTTTGGGCTCTGAGGAAGGCAAGAAGAAGAAGGGGGATGACGAGGATGATGAAATCGCTCGAGTCTACGCCTGGGGCCAAGCCTGTTCTGACACCCGCACGGTACGGGGAGAGCGACACAAGTATCCGGACCTTAGCCGCCCAAGGCGGGACATTTTGATCAGCTCAGACAAGAGCACAGTGCAAACCTATAGGCCCACACGGCAGAAGGGGGGCTTCTGGACAGGAAAATGGAAGACCATGACAGTGTGAACAAGGACGACACTGGGCCTGCCAAAAGATTGCTGACCAAAGCAACAACCCGTGTCGTTACCCCCCAATTTGACCATCAAATTGCCTCTCTTTTCCACCAACCAACCAGGTCTCTCAAAACCCCTGGCTGCCTCTTGCTGCACCTGGGCAACTGGGCAACTGGGCAACCGTGCTGATAGTCAACGTCGAGCCTCAACGGAGTCTTGACTAAGCCAAAGTCAACCCAGGTTGACATTAGACCTGCTTTGGAAATTGAGCATTAGGTACGGATACTGAGTACGGATACTGAGTACGGATACTGCGTACGGATACGGAATACGGAGTACTATTCATTGGCACCTACTTCCACCCCAATCTTGGGCTGTCTCCCGGATCATTGCCAATGGCCTGAACAGGAATTCCAAAGAGCATCAACATGACGTTCTTTCTTTTCAAGTCTTGGGCCGGATCACACATACATATGTCGTACGGCGTATCAACACATGGAGTGGCATCATCTACGGTGCATATGGACATATGGATATATGGTCAATTACCGACCTCCTTACCTATCCAAGTTGATTTGGATTTGCGGAGCTACCTGATTCCCAGGCAATTCATCTCGCCCCTCGTTCGCCAGCGGATCCAGGGCTATCCGTAAGCGGTTCGATAGTTCCTCGGACTGATGCCCCCTACGTCTAATATGTCTGTAGGAGCACCTGCCGTCTGCCGCCGCCAGCCGCACCGCCGTTGCCCCTGTCCGCAGAACACCAACAGATTGGCAAGTTAGGAGAGCCCGTTGCAACAGGCACGCTAGAGACGGGAGCCCTGCGTCGATCCGTTACAGCGTGGGCACGTGAGCCGGGGACCCCCATCAACGGGACGGAGCTGCACTGTGTTTGGCTTTTGCAGACCACCATCGAATCAAATCTGACCATAAGGAAACTGCTGCAAATTATGCCACAGCAAGCTGGCGCATTGTATGTCAAGTCTCGTCGCTCGCATGTACTCTACGGAGTTGACGGGGAACGAAGCCGCCGGTGGGGTGTGAAGCTTGGTGCTTCACATGTCACGTGCGAGCCCGGCGGCAGGCAAGCCGCAACGGCAGCGCTGAAACCGCGGGAGATGGAGATCACTGGATGATTCACGTGATGAAGACACGCTTACATAATGCTACGGAACTCGTCCGCCAGTCTCCATATTTTCCAGCCGGGTGGGAGCGGCGAAAAACGGGGTCTGTAGCGTGGCAACTGCAGGCCTTCACCGGACGCGTGTGAGCTCGGTGAGCTTTCTGCCCGCGACGACGTTGATGTGCCTTAAGTAAGCCCTTTAGGATGCAACAAGTTGATATGCTATACTATGTAGGAATGCGCCTGCAGGCCCAGACATCTTTGCCGAATCTTATCGGGGCAAGAGCAGCTAAACAAGAAGGATTCCACCCCTCCCCCCCCCCCGGCTGCCTTCTGTGCTTATGGAACAAAGTACGGACGGCTCCGGATTCTTCCGGCCGTCATGCCATGTTGTCCCTAATTATCCCGATTTGGCCATCTTCAAGATGTTGCCGAGGACGATAGTGAAGATCTATATCAAGTCAGGTGAACGACAAGTGTCTTTTCACTCCATCTATACCACACGTGGAAAAGCACCACACTGCCAATGACTGCATCAAAGGATAGCTCTACGCCCTCCCACGTCGCATTGGCGGAAGCATCAGTCTCGACAAATGCCCCTGGCGAGTATCCGAAGCCCGATGCAAAAGCCGTCGTAATGGCCGATGAGCATATCATTCCGGCCACTGTCCAACCAGTTCAGCTGAGCGAAGACCCCTCTGATGCTACTCCCCATACCGGCGCGGAGGAGATTCCTCCCGTGTAGATCATAGGATGGAAGCTCTCGGCCATCTTATTCGGCCACGCGACGTCAGGTTCGTTAACCTCTTTGGTTAATATATAAAGCTGGAGATTGTGCGTATATCTCTTCTTGTCCACCCTCAAGATCACCATCGTCAGCACGTCTCTAGTCTCCATCACCCATGCCTTGCATGGATTTGAGCAACGTGATTGAATCGTCAACTCGTGCCTGCTTCTTACTCTGGTAATCCTGCGCAGCGAGTCTCTCCTTCGTTGCGGTGCTATTTCCTGACACTGGCTAGGATTTTCGTCATATTCGCCGAGTCCAGTGACGTTCTGGGCAGAAAATTTGTCGTTCTCCTATCTTTGGCCATCTTCATTATATTCTTCATCGTATGCGGTGTGATACCGTCAAAAGGACAGCTGCAAGGCAGCCCGAGCCGTCTGTCGTCTGTTTCGGAGACTAACTTGAAGAGTAGCATGGTCTTCCGTACCTTTCAAGTCGTCGGGGCGTCTGGCATATATGCCATGGTCAACTTGATTAATCCTGAGCTTGTCCCATCCAAGGAATGGGATACAATTTTCGCTAGTACGTCGCTTGTCCTCGTCGTCAGCTGCGTTCTCGGCTTAGTCCTAGGAGGTGTCATCAACGATCACTCGAGTTGGCGATGGGTCTTTTTACTCAAACGTGTTCCTCTCCCTCTCCCCGTGCCTCTTCAACTGGCAGATCGTACGACTTGTACTTATCATCGATCAGGGTAATTCGCCAACGGGCACTTTTGCAACCCCTCTACCCGCGTTCCTTCTGCCGACCAATTTTCCGCACCAGGGCCGCGGGGTAAGGCAGCCAAGCATGCGTGACAAGTTGGCCGAAGCCGCAATCGCCTAGGTGGACTTTGTGGGAGCCGTCCTGATGCCCTCAGCTTCAATCCTTCTCGTCTTTGGCTTTGAAGAGGCCGGCTCAAGATATCCGTGGAGTAACCCCGTCGTCATTTCTACGACTGTGTGCGGAGGCTGTCTGTTTTTGGTCTTCGTTGCATGTGACTATGTGGTTGGCACGCCAAAGTACCCACTCGAGCCTGTCTTCCCTCTGCAGCTTTTGAAGGATCGACACTTCGTTGGTCTGTTTCTGTGAGTCTTCTCCAACTTTGCTGTAGCGCCGAGGCGTAGCTCACTAGTGGTGCCCAGAACCGCCTTCTTCACCGGCCTGCCATTCATAACAGTCTTGATCAAACTTCCGCAGCACTTCCAAGGAGTCAACGGACTGAGCCCCTTTGCTGCGGGCGTCGATACACTGCCTCTTCTCATCAGCTCCCCGCTTGCTGCCGCAGTATCTGGCCCGCTGGCCACGAAGATGGACATGCCGCCTTTCTATCTCTTGCTATTCGGGGCGTGCATACAGATGCTGGGCAAAGGCCTCGCCAGCTCCGCAACCCCCGTCAGGTTGAGGGACTTCCTGGGGGTTGAAGTGTTTATGGGCTTCGGCTTTGGCATGGCAGTCCTCCTCTATGTCCATTTCCTGGTCGAGAGGCAGGGCCTTGGTGGGCATCACCTTGCAGCCGTCATATTTCCCCCTGACGAATAAAACACAGCCGTTGTAATGGGTGCTGTGACACAGCTCCGGAAATTGGGGGGCACCATTGGCTTGGCCGTGGGGTGAGTGTTCCTCTATCAAACGTGTCGTCTCACGTTGCTGCAAGTTGCTGATTCGTCTGGCTCTGCAGCGCGACCATTTTCAACAACCACCTCGCATCCAGTCTCCCAAACTATCTCACCCCCTCAGAAGTGCCAACCAATTCCGATTCGGTCCCGGTCATCGACAGTTTGCCAGCCCCCACACGGAATGCCGTCCGATCCGTGTTCAGCGAGGGTGAGAACAAACGGCTTCTTACCATGCTCTACCTTAGCGCGGTCGTCCTCGTATCCCTGACTCTCATGTGAGACCAGAACCTTAAACGGGCCCGTGACATGAAGAGGTACTGATTTATCCAGACATTGGAACGTCTCAATGTCGTAAACCATTGCGATACGAACATCGGCCAAGCTTTGGGACGGTCCTACCCTTAGGGTTGGAAGGTTCAGACGTCGTGAACACCTCATGGAGCTACACACAAAATTTGGAGAAGGAGGAGTCCAGCGGGGAAAACTGATGCTTGATAAGAAACCCAATTGAGGGCGGCGATCTACGCACGAGAGTCGACGGATGCCCGGGGCACCGATGCCACGGGGGCCGCAATCTCGAAACGCGCGTTACCACCAGAGTAGTCACAAGCACCACCGGGAACATGTTCCGAACGGCACTCTCCAAGTCTCCACAACGGATAACCTCGAGAGGAACTACGACACCAACTCTGCTCTGCTGCATGTGCCCAGCATCCAGCATCCTGCAGCTTTGCATGGTTGACGGCCCTTGAGAGGAAACGGCGACACACGCTGCAGAAGCGATTCGCTGTCCTGCAACACTTTCGCCCCCCCGCAGCTATTTTGATTGCTTCAAACTCTCTAACATGCGAATATTGCCCCCGGGAACGTTGGAGAGGGGTGGAGAAGCCGGCTGGGCAGAGCTGCAAAAGCCTCCAATCGTCAGGCTCGATCTAGCCAAGAGAAGGCACAGCAAGCTTAGACTTCAGGTCTGCGACGACAATTCGGGGATATGTCGGTGAGTGAGCTGGACGTCAAGATCTCCTGACTCGTTATTCCTATCCTTGAAGCCGCCTTTTTCCTCATCTGGAAAGCCTGGGTGTAGGGGGTTAGCCTGCATCGAGAGGTTGGAGGAGTATGACCAACGGGCTAGACTTCCCCCTCTTCCCCCCTCCCTCTCCCCATCTCACCCCCAGACGTTGAATTGCGGGGTGCAGAAACGCGGGGGGGAGGGGGGCGCGGCAGTCGACCCATGGCCCGGATAATGACCAGTCCAAAGTTAGTATCCATACCAGTTGGACCGGGAATATCGGGTCTGGTTGTGTGTCCGATGCAACTGTGCGGGGGACTCAGAGTGAAGTCCGACCCATACTCATACTATCCTTGTCATCTATGCTTGGAGCTGTCTGTCTCATTCTGAAAGAGCTGGAAGCTCCCAAAGTGGGATATACTGCACTGATTCGGGGTCCAAGGTTCGCGGTGCGGCTCAACTTGTAAGGGAGACCAGGCATTGGGCTTTCTCAGGTTCTCTTGGCAAGTTGGGCTTGCACTACTCCGCACATTCCACCAATTGCCAGCTTCCGTGGCGCCCGTGGTGGGCGAAGACTATCATCGGGCATGCGGATGTCTGGATGCTCGCATCTTTTGGGGGGAGCATCGGCAGTGAGGTCTCCTCCACCATCGATCTACGCAACAATGGACAACGGCGTATCAATGGCATCGCATGGAGCTGATGGTCCTGCGTCTTTGTGTCGTCGAGTGCGGGGAAGCTGGGAAGCATGTTGATCGGGGAGCATAGCCATGCCGCTATGCATTGGCTTTGGGTCATACACTTCCACAGACGCGCGTCGGTGATAGGTCGCGAGCCAACAACGACACCGGATGACACGGACTCTGCATGCTTTGGACCAAATCAAGTCGCGAGACCGCGGATATCCTGGGGGGATAGTCCATGGCTTCCCCTCATCCTCATCCTCCTTGCCTGATCTATGGTTTGAGATCCTGGAGGGGCTGGAGTAAAGTCGGGGTCGAGAACCATCCTGCCAGGACGACGAGGGGTAGCAGCGAGCAAGCACGGATGACTTATGCATTGCATCCTCCCATCTCTATTCCATCTATTTAATGACCGCCCCGACGGCTTGGAATTCGTCTAGAACGTCACTTTCATCTTACGAACGGATTAGTAGTGTTACAGTTGACCTGGCACGGTGTTCACACCGCTTTGACAACTGCTGCCTGAACTATTATTATTAAACCAGATACCTCGACCCCGTTCTCTTCTGATATTCCACCGGAATCATGAGCGGAGCTATTCCGGACGAGTTCGACATTATTGTCTGTGGTGGGGGTAGTTGTGGTTGTGTTGTTGCTGGACGGTTTGTCTCATCTGTTCAGATTGACAGTTGTCAGTGGTAGTTCTAGAACAACACTAATATTTAACGTAGGCTTGCCAACTTGGACCATAACCTCAAGGTGCTTCTCATCGAAAATGGCGAGAGCAACCTCAACAACCCGTGGGTGTTCCGCCCGGGCATTTACCCACGGAACATGAAGCTAGACTCCAAGACGGCCACGTTTTACGAGTCCAGGCCGTCAAAGCATCTGTCTGGCCGCTCGGCTATTGTGCCATGCGCCAACATCCTCGGCGGAGGTTCGTCGATCAACTTCATGGTCGGTATACCGTCATCACCATAGAACAACACTCACTGACGAGTGGAACAGATGTACACCCGTGCATCGGCCTCCGACTACGATGACTTCCAGGCAAAGGGCTGGTCTACCAAGGAGCTTCTGCCTCTCATGAAGAAGCACGAGACATATCAACGAGCCTCTCACAATCGGTAAGTTGCTACAGCGAGCGACTGTGCGGCAATTGAAACTTTGGTTAACGTGCAATGTCTCAGGGACACCCACGGGTTCGACGGGCCCATTAAGGTTTCCTTCGGCAACTAGTAAGTTCAGCTCCCCGCAGAGTAGAACCGTAATGGAAGAATCCGAAACAACTGACCGTCGTCACACAGTACCTACCCCATCAAGGACGATTTCCTTCGTGCTGCTTCATCCCAGGGTATCCCTGTCGTCGATGATCTTCAGGATCTTTCAACTGGCCATGGAGCCGAGCATTGGCTCAAGTGGATTAACCGAGACGTGAGCTCATTCTATGCCATAAAAACATGTTGAGAAGTGAGTGACTGACCATTCCTGTCAGACTGGCCGACGCAGTGACAGTGCCCACGCATACATCCACGCTACCCGGGCCAAGCACTCTAATCTTTACCTTGCCTGCAACACCAAGGTCGACAAGGTCATCATCGAGAACGGCCGGGCTGTCGGTGTGCACACCATGTAAGTGATTCCGCCGATGAATATGGTTGTGCCAATCCTGATTTTGAATGATAGTCCGAGCAAGCCACTCGTCCCCAGCGAACTCAAGGGACGGACCTTTAGAGCCCGCAAGCAGATTGTTATTTCCGGCGGCACACTCTCGTCCCCTCTCATCCTCCAGCGCTCTGGTGTTGGTGACCCCGAGAAGCTGCGTCGCGCTGGCGTAGAGCCTATTGTCGACCTCCCTGGCGTTGGTCTTAACTTCCAGGACCACTACCTCACATTCTCAACCTACCGCGCGAAGCCCGGCACCGAGAGCTTCGACGACTTCGTCCGCGGAGACCCCGAGACCCAGAAGCGTAAGAAAAAAAATTACCCTTGTGTCGTCGAATGGACTGCCAGACTAACATGAACTTCAGGTGTCTTTGATGAATGGAACATCAAGGGCACTGGTCCTCTTGCCACCAACGGCATCGAGGCAGGTGTCAAGATTCGTCCTACTCCCGAAGAACTTAACGAGTTCGAGAAATGGCCCACTCCACACTTCAAGGACGGCTGGAAGTCGTACTTTGAGAACAAGCCCGACAAGCCAGTCATGCACTACTCGGTCATTGCGGGCTGGTTTGGCGACCATATGGTCATGCCCCCAGGCAACTTCTTCACCATGTTCCACTTCCTCGAGTACCCCTTCTCCCGTGGATCCACCCACATCACCTCGCCCAACCCGTACGACGCGCCCGACTTCGACGCCGGCTTCATGAACGACGAGCGAGACATGGTCCCCATGGTCTGGGGATACATCAAGTCCCGCGAGACAGCCCGCCGCATGGATGCGTACGCCGGAGAGGTCGCCAACATGCATCCCTTCTTCTCGTACGACTCGGAGGCTCGCGCCAGGGACATGGACCTTGAGACAACCAACAAGTACGCTCTGCCCGGTAATCTGAGTGCGGGTATCCAGCACGGCAGCTGGACTCAGCCGCTCAACGAGGCGGAGAGCAAGGCGGATAAGATCAAGACTTTGTCGTCTCACTGCGTTGATGCTCGTGATGAGCTCAAGTACAGCTCTGAGGATATTAAGGCTGTTGAGGAGTGGGTTAAGCGCCACGTTGAGACTACCTGGCACAGCCTGGGAGTAAGTTCCCCAAGTATTTGCAATCACACATGCGGACATTAGCTCACTAAAGTTTCCAGACCTGCTCTATGGCTCCCAAGGAGGGCAACAGCATCGTTAAGCACGGTGTCTTGGACGAACGCCTGAACGTCCACGGCGTCAAGGGCCTGAAGGTTGCCGATCTTTCAATCTGCCCCGACAACGTCGGCTGCAACACGTAAGTTCATCTCCCTCCTACACCAAGAAATCGACGTTCCTAACACCCCATAGATATTCCACCGCTCTTCTCATTGGCGAGAAAGCCGCCATGCTCGTCGCCGAGGACTTGGGATACTCTGGCCAGGCCCTCGAGATGAAGGTGCCCACATATCACGCGCCCGGCGAATTTGTTCTTCAACATCGTCTCTAATTGGATGGCACTGGTTCTGTTTGACCCTTCCTCCACAAGATTGGATGTATGTACGAGACCACAATACCTTGCGACTTGTATTGCTTTGTGTTGCTTGTATTTTGCCGATAGTCAAATCTCAATATTGTCAAATATGCCTGATGAACTGTGAAAATTGAAGGTGCTGGTATGCATAGGGTGTCGTTCTGAGGTGGTTCCGGTAGCCTATTGATGCGGTGCTACGTCCGGGTACTGGCAAGGATTTGGATTACTATCGGGGGACTTTGAGACACTAATCTCTTAGCTCGTGTGGCACCAGTGAATCGGCAGTCTACTTTAATAGTTTAGAACTGATCTGTTGTCTGATTGATATCAAATCATTGAATTTAGTTTGAGCGGAGTGAGTGTAAGCCAACAAAGGTAAGCTAGCGAGGACCGGCACGGACGGCAGGGTTTGTGGAACTATTGCGTATTTTGGCTGATGAGCTACAAGTTACGTCATGACTGGACCTGTCCTTATATCATCTCTAGGTGTACACTTACTAACCTATAAGACACACTCATCAACTTGGGTAGAGTAATTGATTTCAAGTGTGAAGGATAACTATTTGCCAAGCATATTTACCGTATTTGAGTTGCTGTTGAAACACCAAGCTTGACCATCTAGCAATCGAGTTCTCTAGCAAAGTGAAAAATGTCGGACCCCAACTCTCCTCACAACAAAACCCGCGATACCCCAACTTGGGGTCTCTATCAGCGGGAGAACTTTTGGAAACTGAATGAAGGCGAAGTTCCCCAGTTCAATACTCGTGGGTAGCTTACAGAGGTAATGCTCATCTTGATCAAGACTGACACAGCACCAGACCCTGACAAACTTGAGGAGCTTGCCAAGCAGAAGTTAACTTTGAACGGATGGTATGGGTTCATATGGAAATCTAGTCCAATCTTTTCCGTTTTCTAACAAGATCCAAGGTACTATGCATCTTCGAACGCGGGCCTTTCGCACACCCATCTCGCTAACCGGCAAGCATTCTTCCGGCACAAGATCGTCCCTCGCCAGTTGGTCGATACCAACGAGCGTTCGACCCGAACCATTATTTTCGGCCACGAGGTTTCTGCTCCCTTTGGCATCGCTCCGATTGGCATCAACAAGATCTACCATCCACAAGGCGAGCTCCCTGTCGCCAAGGTAGCCGGAGAGCTGGGTATCCCATACAGCCTTTCGACGGCTGGGTCCTGTCCCATTGAGGAAGTCGCCCAAGCCAACGACGCTGGGCGCGCTTCAGCGACCGAAGCTCAGTCCGCAGGCCAATCAAAGATCCCAGAGGGCCCTCGTTTCTTTCAGCTTTACATGCCCCACGATGACGAACTCACCATCTCCTTGTTGACGAGGGCTCACGAGTCCGGCTTCACGGCATGCATTCTCACTACGGATACCTGGCAACTGGGATGGCGACATGATGACGTCGCAACGTCGAACTATGCCTTTTACCGCGGCATCGGCGCCGATCTGGGCCTCACTGACCCCGTGTTCCGCAAACGACTCGCGGCCGAGGGCATCGACCCGCAAAAGGAACCCGAGAAGGCGGCCGCGTTGTGGATCGATAATATCTGGCACGGCCGCGCGTGGTCCTGGGATAAGGCCGTGTGGGCGCGCGAGCAGTGGCAGAAGATCAGTGGCGGCAAGCCGTTTTTGATCAAGGGCATCCAGAGGGTCGACGACGCGGAAAAGGCGGCGGATCTGGGGTTCGAGGGTATCGTCGTGAGCAATCATGCTGGAAGGCAGGTTGATGGGGCGATTGCGAGCTTGGATGCTCTGGAGAAGATTGCGGAGAGAGTTGGAGATAGGATTGTTGTCACGTTCGACAGTGGCGTGAGGGGAGCGGCCGACGTAGTGAAGGCGCTCGCGCTCGGGGCCAAATTCGTCTTCATTGGAAGGTTGTGGATCTGGGGGTTAAGCATCATGGGGGAGCACGGGGTAAGGCATGTGCTCAGGGGTTTGTTAGCGGATTTGGATATCTTGATGAATGTGGCCGGGATTCAGAAGGTGGCGGACATTGACAGGGACTTGCTTGAGTCGTTACCCAAGTCTTACGGCCTAATTTCCGAGAAGAGCAAGTTGTAGACCGAGATCGTGATACACAAAAAAATACAAGGGTCGATCACACGGATTGTATAGAACAAGTTGTACACAAGTGGGCTAGGGTCCATGGCATTGACAATGCCAGCAGTGGATCGCAATATAGCTCTGCTCAAATTCAGGCTATCGTACTTGAAGTTATTCGTAAAGCGGCAATAATGGTTGCCAAGGCATGACCCGAGTCCTTACTGCTCTGAGGTCGTTTGAGACCCGAGGGTTTGCCGTGGCTCCGTATACTGGCAACTTGGATGGTACACGTTCCAGCTCGGAATGATCTTGGAACCCAATAATCACCGGGCCTATCCTTGAGTTGTTCCGTTGCTCAAAAAGAAGGAAGCGTTTCTCCTCTCGTTGATGAACATGCGGCATCGAACTTCTCTAGTCTGTTCAGCAAACCGGAAAACTTACGGTGCCTCCCAGCATTCTCCTTTTCGGTCGATGACGTCTAAAAGTGTGCAGATTGCTCGGTGGATGTTTAGTGCAAAGAACTTGTCTATGCCGGAACTTGCGCCACGTTCATTTGCAAAACTGGATAATTGAACCTCCAACAGCCGCGTTCTCCAAACTCTGTCGATTCCGAGGGACTGTGCATGTTAATAAGCCCTTAGAAATACTATGATTATTTCTACTTCTCATGACAATCAACTCAAGCAATTGCCACCCTCATTATGAAAGTTGTTGTGCGCGACTCACCTCCGTTTCAAAGCAGCGTGCATGGTTAAATAGCCTCTAATCAAGATGCACCACAATAAATGAACCACGTTGCTTGCCTTGGAATTGTAAGAAACGATGGATTGAAACTTCTACCGGTTTTCTGCATCCTAAATGCCGAAGCTCAAATGAAAAAAAAAAAAAGTACTATAAATACCTCTGTTCCTCTCTGCTACTACGTATCCCCCAATTGCGATCTTCAGCTTGTCAAATTTACATGGCTTCTGATGAGGGGCTAGGTGTTCTTAACGGTGTGACCATGACCGAACCTGCCAGCTTGACGCCCTCGCTACCATGTCCCAAAAGTTTCTTGTCGGTTGATGCCTGGTTCCAAACCGGCGTTGTTGGCGTTCTTGAAAAGACAGTTGGCCTAGGAACCGACAGCGCAGGCTCGCTCGAGCTATCCCCATCCACGCTACTCGTCCTACTTGTTTGCATGTATCCGATGGCGACCAGATACCGGAGGCTCTTTCTGAGGGCTGATTTCACCATGTCTTGGTGCTCAAGCTTGTCTTCTATCGTCATCGCCCCCAGAGGCTGACCTAGTCTGCCACCAGTGTCGTCGACGAAATGAAGAACAGGCCAAAGCCTGTGAGTTGGCCCTTTCGCTTCGACCTCTTCGTGCAGGCTGCGCAGCCACCGGTTGGAATCGGTTGGTTCCATGAGACGGCCTGTTTCTTGCCTGACAATGTCCCAGTACTCTCCCAGAGTAAGACCGTTCAGAACCTTCTTGACAATGGAATGTTCTCCACTACTTTCACCGCCGAAACAGCTTTCGAGAATGGTCTTGGCTACAAGATCGACCCCTGCAGCGGCAAGCCACAGGTCGCGCTCGCCATTGTCAAAAATCCCAATTTCCATTGCGCTGGCTGTTACTCGCCAGAGGAAATCATCCGTGTTGGAAATACCATCCGAAGAGCTGCCCATGATGAGGCCAGGTTTGACAATTGTGACCAGTGAGCCGTAGCCAGCTTGGGTTAGTCGCTCAGCATAGCGCGCAACAAGAACTTCGGCAACGAATTTGGTCTGACTGTAGGCCGGATACGAATTCAGTTCTGCAGCAATCTCCCCAACATTGTCTGGAGAGGTGGACAAGTGACCACCAGATACGTAGGTTAGGCGAATTGGACGAGATACCGTCGCCTTTGTCAAAGCTGTCAGAATGTTGACTGTGGAAAGAATATTGGCCGGCGTCAAAGCCTGATAGTCTGCCATCCAGTTGACCACCGCGCCGTTGTGCACCACCGCATCGATCAAGTCGCCATCAACGCTTGTGCCATCCAGACGATGCCATTGTGCGTCTGAAAGACCAAGGTGAGTAACAGATAGGTCGCCGTGCCAGACTTCGATTCGATCGATGTACTCTTCATGCCACCAGCTGCTGCCACGCACAAGAGACAAGAGTCGATCAGTGGCATGGAGAGAATCTTGGCCTCGGACCAGCACCACGACCCTCCGAGTCTCAGAACGTTGCAGGAGCTGAGCCAGCAGTTGGTTGCCAAGAAATCCGGTTGCTCCTGTTAGGAAAATGGTCTGAAGGATATGCCCGGCATCCGTTCCTGACCTTGGCAACGGCAAAGCTGTGAGTGTTTGATCATGAAGTTCAATCTCATGCAACAAGTCGATAGTTTTATCCTCGTCGGAGCATTGCTGATCATCAAGGATTAATTGAGCAATATCTCTCACAGTTGCCGCGCTGTTCATGTACTTTTGGATAGGGATGCTGACGTTGTAAGATTTCCGAATGAATGTCGAGAGGGAGATGACTTGGATAGAGTCCATCCCGGCGTAGTAAGGGTTGAAATCGTGGCCACGCAAGGCTTCTACTCTCCCAGGATCCCCATTCGACAAGAGTTCGGCCAGCTTGTTGCTGATACTCTGGGCGACATATTCGTTGGCCGTAAGTACTTCGGCGTCTCCCTCGACATTGGTGCTTCCTGGGTTTTCGACAATGCGCAAGGTCGAAGCATACTCCTTGAGTGCGCGCCGATCGAGCTTTCCAGTCGGGGTAAACGGGATGTGTTCGACTGGGATGAAGTGTGAAGGAACCATATAGGCAGGAAGCACGGAAGCCAATTGTTGCTTCAAGCGATCAGAGAGCCCCTCGATAATGTCCTTTGTCTCTGCAAACCCGAAGCCTTGATTCGGCAGCTGTATAAAAGCAACCAGCGAGTTGCCTGAAGAACCAGAGAGCATGATGGCGTCAACTGCGACAATGGAACCTGATGGCAACAGCTGCGCGAGTTGATGTTCCACTTCTCCAGGCTCAACTCTTTGTCCGCGAAGTTTGATCTGCGCATCTTTCCGTCCAAGGTAAGATATCGAGCCATCAGAGTTTAACATGCCAAGGTCGCCCGTTTTGTACATTCTTCTGACAGTACAACCAGCCTGAAATTGAGTGATCCAAGCTGGATTGCCGATGAATGACTTGGCAGTCTTTTCCGGATCCCCGAGATATCCACGAGCGATACTTGGCCCTTCGATCAAAATCTCACCGATGCTGCCGATGGGTGCCAGGATGTCGTGGTTATTTGGATCAACGATCCAGACGAGAGTGTTGCTTCCATGGCCAATAGAATCTGCCTTGAAAGTACCGCTGCTGGCATTGGCGGTAGTACAGACACTGCCTTCGCAAGGTCCATAAGCATTGATGAGCTGCACGACCCCAGACCACTTCTCAAGACTATCCATGGCCATAGCTTCTCCACCCATGCAGATAGTTTTCATACCGGTGAGATCCTTGGGTTCGAGAGTTCGCGCGAAGGATGGAGTGAAGAAGGCCCAGTTCGCCTGAGATCTCGTAATGAAACCTGTGAGATCATTCATTCGTTCTTCGTCAGACGGTACACAGATGCAAGCTCCAAGAACGAACGAATTGGCAATCTCAATGATGCTGACGTCGAAGACGTGAGCGGAGAATTGTAGGATTCTAGACTTCTTGGACATTTGCATGCCATCAGAGTGAGCATAGGCCGCTGAGCATAAGGTCTTGTGCTCTTGGATAACACCCTTAGGCTTTCCAGTGCTGCCAGACGTGAAGAGAACGGTTGCGGCATTGCTTGAGGTAACTTCGTGATTGGAAAAACTAGGAACCCCAACGTCCTCGAGTTTGGTGAAGAAACTCGAGTCAACGACAACGGTGATAACATCCAGTTCAAGAAACGCATCTGAATTGGCTCTGGAAGCAACGACCACGTTTGCTTGAGTGTTTTGAATGATAAATCTCTTCCGCTCTGGTGGATGTGCCGGATCAAGAGGTACCATCGCACCTCCAGCTTTGAGAATGGCAAGCATTGAGACGACGGTATACATCGACTTTTCGAAGCAGTATGGGACCATAGTTTCCGGTCCAACACCCAGTTCCATCAGAACTCTAGCGAGCTGAGATGCCATTTTGTCTAGTTGGGAGAAGGTGAGAAGACCATCCCATGCGAAGACGGCTTGGGAGCCAGGTTGCGTGCGTACGTGTTCTTCAAAGATGGCGTGAACACACGAATCAACCGTTTGGGGTAGGTATTGGTTCCACCTCTTGATGTCAGAAAGATCATTTGATATCGGCTTGTTGAAGAAATCCTCTAGGACCTGGTCTCCGGAGGACGCCAGGAACTCAAGAGCGTTTTCGAAGTAGTCGACAAGGCGTTCCATGCGGGGGGCTTCGACAAATCGAGGATCGTAGTTCACATTCAGAAAGACTTCATGCTTTCCAAGATTGCATTCAAACATAATGGCGTGGGATCTGAACTTGTCAAGGTCCTGAGGCCTGTCGAAGCCGATGAAAGGATCGCCTTCCATAGCCATGTCGACTTCTGGCTGTACGATCATCATGGTCTGGAAGTCGCAGGCTGATCGGCATGAAGGGTTGATGCGAGCAATATTTTGTATTCCCATCTGCTCAAAAGGAATCATGTTGATTGTGCTCATCTGTATGCTGTCAAGCAAGCCGCGGACTGTGGTCGTGCCCTCGCATCTTATCCTCAGTGGAACAGTAGCGATGATCGGCCCAAGAATGGACTCAATGTTGTCAAAAGGAGCATTTCTTCCAGAGGATGTAACGCCGAAGACGACATCGTCAGAGTTGCTGAAGCGACTAATGACCAATGCCCAAGCTGCTCGGAGCATTGTAGTCGCCGTGGCATTCGTGCTTGAGGATAGAAGAGGAACATTACGGCGAGCGAAAGCTTGTCCTTGATGCTCCTTGGCTCCAACAATTGCTGCTGGTTTCCTCGGGAATGACGCGAATTCTCCTCCTTCAAAAACCGAGCTCCAGTATCTCGATGCAGATTCCATGTGCATATTCTTGAAGTGCTTGATAAACGCGGGAAAAGAGGATTCTACGGGCTTCATTGCACCGTGAAACGCATCCCGAACTGATTGCAGAGTGATGCTAACGGCTTGGCCATCAGTCACAGCATGATGCACCGTCCAGATCATATGAGAAGCGTCCCCGTTCGAGGCATAGACAATGCCGAATCGATTGAGTGGTACTCCAAAGGTGGAGGGTGCGTCCAAGTCCATCTTGAGGTACTCTTCGAGGTTGAAACTTTCATTCCAAATCAGATTCTCTCGTACGATGACTTGAAGTATACCTGAATTAATGGTATCAACCAGACGAACACGAAGCATTCCATGAGCTCTTGCGACAGTCTCCCAAGCCGTTTTCAACCTTGCGATATCAATGTCGACGGCGAGGTCAAGAACATATTGTACCAAGTAAGAGTTGGATGTCGAAGAAGACAGTGCCATGAGACCTTCTTGTAAAGGAGTACAAGGAAAGGCGTCTTCCACGTCCTCTGTGTCAATGACACATTCGGAGGAAATCTCGTTGAGCACTTCTCCCAAACTTTCTTTATCGAGGAGCTCGAGCGGTTGTATTTCAACTGTATTCTTCCTGAACTGAGTCAGAAGTTGGCAGAGATCATGCAAGGAAGGACTCTTGAAGATCTGAGCGACGCTCAACCCTAAGCCTTTTCTGCGAGCAGCAGTTACTAGGCTGATGGCTGCGAGCGAGTCCCCACCAAGACGGAAGAAACTGCTTGTAGCCGTGATCGCGGCAGAATGTATTCCAAGCACTTCAGTCCATAATTCTCGCATGAGACGGAGCTTTGGTGTCTCTTCAACCTGCACGATAGACTCAATCTGAGTGAAGATGTAGAATTGCTCGGCGGTCAGAGATGCGGCTTCGCGTCGGAGCCTCTTGACGTCAGCCTTGCCATTCGGGCTCAGAGGGAAGTCTGAGAGAGGGATATAGATTGATGGACGCATCCATGATGGCAACTTCTGAGAGATTTCTGCTTCGACCTGAGGAATGGCTTCTAGGAGTGGCAGGTGTCGATAGGTCATGATGCAGTTTGACGTATCGGCTGTGTTGCTGTCAGATGTCCTTCTTAAGCAAACAAAGGCGACGAGAACTTTAGACTGCGTCTTGTTGTCTTGGGTAGGTCGACTGAGCACATCTACAACGACTTCAGGGGTGCGGAACGCCGCTCGGAGGTGGTATTCGACCTCAGAAGCTTCCAGACGTTGCCCAGATATTTTCAGTTGCGTATCCTTCCGTCCTTCAAAGTGGATTACACCATTCTCGTCGAAGCGACATAGATCTCCAGTTTTATACAGCCTGGACCGACGACCATGTTTGGCAAGCCAAGGCGGGTCTCGGACAAAAGCTTGATTTGGACCCTCGTTATCCGCGAAGTTCAGATAGCCCCTTGCGAGTTGTGGGCTCTCGAGGAGGAGCTCGCCAGCTGCTCCCAGGGGTGACAAACGATTGGGATCTTCGGGGTCGGTAATCCAGCAAAGCGTGCCTACGCCACGTCCAATCGTTCCTATCTTGGAGGAAAGCGATAAGGGTTGCATGGTAGAGAATACCGTATTCTCAGTAGGACCGTACCCGTTAATAAGATTGCGTCCGGGCGCCCACGCCTCGATGTTGTCTTGGCCAAGGGGCTCGCCGCCGATGACGACAGTTGTCAAGCCCGGGACTTCGAAAGGCTCGAGCAGACGAATCACCGAAGGCGTGAAGAATGCCCAGTTCACTCGTTTCTTTTGAATGACGGCTGTGATGTTGTCTAGCCGCTCGTCGGTGGATGGTATGACTATGCATCCTCCAAACGCAAGTGTGGTCAGAATCTCTGCGATGGATGCATCGAAAGTGTGGCGAGCATATTGAAGAGCCCTGGTGTTTTGATTGAATCCCGTCGCCTTTCCATGTGCCATGACACTTGCAGCGCACGCAGAGTGGTCAATCATCACACCTTTGGGCTCTCCTGTGCTTCCTGAGGTGAACATGACATAAGCCAGGTTCCAGGGGCGTACGATCGGAACGCTTGGAGAAAAAGACGATGTGTCTGGTTGGGCCCAGGAGTTGTCCAAGCTGAATACCAGATGAGAGAGCTGAAGCAGACGCTGGGAATAAGTTTTGGAACACAGAGTGACCTTGGCTTTGATCTGATCCAAGATGGAAGAGATCCGACTGTCGGGCTGTGAAGGGTCCAAGGGAACAAATGCACCGCCGGCTTTGAGAACAGCCAAAGTTGCCACAACGTTCCACATGCTCTTGTCAAAGAATAGAGCAACGGTAGATTCGGGACCGACGCCGCGCTGGCGAAGCTCTTCGGCAACTCTCGAAGAGATTACATTTAGTTCCGCGTACGACATCTGACCGTCCCAGGCATCCACAGCTTGGCTGAGAGGGGATCTCCCAAAGTGTCTTTCGATCATCTCATGCACGCTAGTATCAACATGATCCGGAGATCGTTGATTCCAGTCAAGACATTGTTGGTAGTCGAGGTTATTCATGAGCTCAATCTCAGAAACTTTGGAATATGGGCGCGAGACCATGTTCTCCAACACTTGGCGAAAGGTGGATACGATGCATCTAGCTTGCCAATCGGATAGACAAGATGATGTGTATTCGCATCTCAGTATAATACCCCGGGTAAAGTGATCCCAATGGGCAGTGAAGAGCACTTCGACCTGAACTTGGTCAACAAGAGTCATAGAACTATGATGGGCTGCAACCTACATCTTGGAAGACGCCTTTAACACTTGCTAGGGAAGGCGTGTTCTCGGAAGTTTCAAGATCTTCCTCGAGAGCCGAGACAGATAATGCGTGTCTGTAAATAACTTCATCTGAGGGCTGAGGCATTTTTCCGTTGCCAGGTTCAGTTTGGAGCAGAGATAACACTCTATCACATCGATCGATGATTTTGCTCCATCGCTGCCAGACTCTTTCTTTCCCTTGAAACGCCAAGCTGATGCGTCCAGCGGGCGAGAATGCCTGCAAGCATATGGCGCACGCAAGCCGAACAATGGAGGAGGCTGAGCATTGAGCTTGCTCCTCGAGAATCTGAAACTTATGGTGCTGAAAGAAGATTACCTCGACAGACTTCGAAGATGGATAATGAGCGTGGTGGATTGAAGATGCCATTCTGCCTCGTAGAAAGAGCTTGAAATGGTGATATTGAACTTTTGAGAGTCCAAATTTGAGTTCTCTACCAAGATCAATAAGTCAGAGAGGGATTCTGAGTGAATCGAATTCGCGGGTAGGTCTGAATGAGGGCTGGTTATATTACCCTTAAGACTCCTTTCTCGCGTCCCATCCTCATCAGATCAGGGAAAATGATCATGCCGGCCGACTTCCAGGGATACTCAGAGGACGCCACCTCCGAGGTTCGACTGTGCCCCAAAAATCAAAATTTCTTCATCAAGCTGATTCCATCATCATAGCATCCGAATTGGCCAAGGCAAGGGCCTCGGATACAAACTCCTAGCGCTTGGGGGTTGGGACGATGGTGGTTGCCTAGCTTCCATCCTGCCGTGCAACCACCTTCATCACATCCTTTGAGCTTTCTTCACAGTGCTCCTGAGAGCCCACGATGACCAGATGATAGTTTCACCACATTTGTCATCGTTAAGAAGCTAACTTTGTGAAATGAGGTAAGACTGTGAGCGATTCGTCAGCATCGCGATGGCCGGAACGGCGCAGTCGGGAAGAGGAGGACTGGACCCACGCCCTATCCAGGGAGCATCCAGCGGGGAGGATACGGAGAACATTAGAGGCCAATCTAGACCATCGGGCAAAGATGACAGGAACTTTTGAATGTGTACAGCCTCTATCCTGTTTCAGGGGAACGGTCGGGATGTTGATCCCTCCACGCCAATCCGGCCATATTCCTCGGGCGAGATTGTTTTTCAACGACAAGCTTAGGTACAAGAAAGGCCAATCACCAAACAGGGAAGGGAAATCAACCTTGAGATACAATGGTGTGTTACTTTTACAGTGCTCTCACCGATGCGGAGTTCTGATTATTTACTCAGAAAGAATCAAGAAGAACTTAAATCAATGGGTTCATCAAGTAGAAGTGTTAGTCATCGAGACAGGTTGTCGTATCGGTTCCATTTGGATCCCAGGTGAGACAGCAATGCAGCATGACCACGTCGATAGTGACTGATTGCAGCTACACATGCAGTTCGAGAGTGGGCCATATTATACATCTTTGAATGTTGGCCTCGGCTAGCAATTAGGATTGGTTGTTTCTTTGCGGGCGTTGCAATTCCATTCTGACTGCCAATCGAGTCTGGACTAGCGAGCACACCAGATGGGATTTGTTAACCGAAATGACCGCATGGAACGGCAGATCACAGCAGAAGAATCTTGTTATTCTCTGGAAAGTCAGGAATAGTCGAAATTCTGCAATCCGGAAGCCCGATCCTGCCAATCAATTTGAAAAGTGAGACAGTTATGGAGACATTTGGCGCGCTTGGGTCATTACGTCCTCTTGTGTTTCGAAAGACTCGGTTGAAGGATGAGACCGCTCGTAAACAGCTTCCTGTTACGGTGTCTTTTTTCCCAGGGTGTAAATCTTTTTTAGAAGTGATTCTTTGTATCTGACTGGGCTGAACCACAGTTGCGCCGCAAGGATCGACGCTAAGAGTTGCGCAACCCATGCCAGCCCAATGACAATAGAGATCACAGACCCAAGGCTATCCGCGGGTCTTAGAAGTGCTGCATTTTGCCTCATACTTCCTCAACGAGCACGAAACCAAGACACCAAGCTTCCCGGATGTCTGTCCGGCGACCCACAACCCCATGGCTGTCGGTCATGCCTGGATCGAGGGTGCTCCGCCGATGGGATCGATGGTATACCGTTTTGGGATGTCGGCCCCTCCAGTTCCTCCAGGCTGCAGTTCTGGATCACCGTGATCTGTTTCTACTGCCTAGTGTAAGCACTGTCTCGGCCTACTTTTCCGGCGGGCCAGGATGCTGAGTGTGACAGCCCAATGTGATAGGATTCATGCTCGTGAGAGCTATTCCAAGTCAGCTCTTAGATCCGTAGCAAACTTTTGCCCCCTCAATGTGACATGGTATTGGGAATATTCACTTTCTGACTAGGGAATGTCTGATGGTACGTTGACCAATTATAGCTATCCTCAGCACAACGAGCAATATACAGACCCGGCCATGCCAGCTTATGTTTCCTTTGCGTATTTACTAAAGAAACCCAGAATGATTCCTTTTGAATCTTCAGCCTACAAACACATTTCATGATGGTACCATTCCAATCAGATAAAACGACAATGACTCATGCTGACCCGAAAGAACCCCTTCCGTCGTCCTCTAGCAGCTCAGGCCACGCCTCTGTTACTGAAGAAAGAGGTACCGACGTTGATGAAAAAAAGGGCAATATACTGGCGACTGTTGAGAAGGCCACAGAAGCCGATGAAGCGGGCAATCTGGATGACGCCGACGATACAGGCGTGGAATATCCCAAAGGCCTCCGGCTGGTTTTGATCATCTTCGGACTTGCCATGGCCGTGTTCTTGGTCTTCCTTGACATGACACTCATTGCGACGGCTATTCCGGCTATTACGAACCAGTTCAATTCCCTTCAGCATGTTGGATGGTATGGCTCAGCCTACATGCTCAGTGTAAGACTCAACTTACCAAAACTCTCATCATGTCTGCTAACAAAACCCAAGCTTTGCTCGTTCCAACTGATCTACGGAAAGTGCTTTGAGCTCTTTTCACTGAAATGGACCTTTATGGTGGCCATCGCATTCAGAGAGATCGGCTTGGCAGTCTGTGGAAGCGCACCCAATTCAATTGCCTTCATTGTTGGCCGAGCCATCACGGGGATTGGTTGCAGTGGCATCATCATCGGCGCCTGGGTGGTCCTCGCACACAGTGTACCCATCCGCCAGCGCGCTGTCTACACTGGATTCCTCGGCGCATTCTCAGGAGTCGGCGGCATCATTGGACCTCTCATTTCCGGAGCGTTGACCGATAGTCATCTCTCCTGGCGGTGGGCCTTCTACGTCAGCATCCCGCTCGGAGTCGCAACGTTGGCATTGATCTTCTTCTGCTTTCGCCCACCGCAACAACCCCATCATGAACATCCCAAGACTCTCAAGCAGAAGCTCATGGAGTTTGACGTTCTCGGGCTCTCCATCTTCTTTGCCTGCATGATCTGCCTGCTCTTGGCCCTGCAATGGGGTGGATCCCAGTTCGCTTGGAACAGCGGACCCATGATTGGACTGTTGGTTGCCTTTTGTGTTTTGCTCATCAGTTTCATCGGCGTGGAGACGTGGAAGGGAGACAAGGCCGCGTTGCCCCCTCGTTTGATGAAGATGCGGAATGTCGCCTTTGCTTGTTTCTACGCTGCGTGTGTCGATGCAGCTTACTACACCGCTGACATCTGGCTACCAATCTGGTTCCAGGCCATTAAGGGGGATTCTGCCAGACAGTCTGGCATCAAGCTCGTTCCCTATGTTGGTGGAGAAGTTCTTGCCGCTCTAACCGCCGGCTACCTTGTCACTTTCACAGGGTGGTACAACCCTTTCATGCTTATAGCGACCGTCCTGGGATCTGTAGGTCTTGGCTTGATGACAACCTTTGAGATCGACACCGGCCCGAACAAATGGGTCACTTTTCCCGTTATCGCCGGTGTCGGAATTGGTTTGGGATCTCAACAGCCGATGATGGGTGTTCAATCAACACTCACTCTTTCCGACATACCTGCTGGCACAGCTGCTGTCACCTTATTTCAGAACCTTGGACCGGCTATCCTGATGTCTGTCGCGAACACCGTCTTCGCCAATGGTTTGACGAAACATCTGCATGGCACAGGAGGGCTCGATGGACAAACGGTTGCGGATATGGGGGCTACCAATCTCAAGGAGATGATTCCCCAGGATCTACTTCCAGTCGTCATTGAAGCATATAATAAGGCTCTCAAAGAGGCTTTCATGGTTCCAATGGCTGCTGCGGTTATCTCCATCATCGGAGTTGTAGGCATGAAGTGGGAAAAGCTGCCTGCGTAGACCAAATTCTAGGGTATTAATTGGTACCAAGAGAACAGCCCGTCGGTCTAGCATATGTAAGGTAGTTGAAAGAGGTGGACTTGTTCCTTTATAATGATATATAGCAGGATGCTGAACTGAGCTTGACGGTGTTCAAAACCGCGCGCCCCATCCTCGGTGACTTTGGCCACAACACACGCCTGCTGCAACTTCACCAAAATCCAGCCATCGGCACGGAACCATTGGGCAGTAGAATGGTATTTCAACGTCAATGAAACCAAAGCACATGAGATTATTAATGCTACTGTATTCTGAAAACAGCCCATGAAGAAGACATTCAATTTCATTAGGAACTTTTCCCAGAATAAGTTTGAAACTGTGTTACCATCGTCGACGTTGCCTGGGTCATCAGGCAGCTGCCTCGGCGCAAGGTACAGTAGCTCCTCTTTTGAGCCCATTCGCGGCTAGGATACGCAGCGCGGCGGCTTCCCCACTCCAGTACGCGCCGGTCGTGGTACCCAAGGCTATGAACGGTGCAGTATGCTCACCGGCGAACCAGATGCCTCGTTCGGGCAGTCCAGCCCGCATTACTTGGGCGTCGAGATCCAGATGGATCTCCTGGTCTTGGTGGCTTCCGTTCCCCCTCGTACCATTCTGCTCCTTCGTCGCTGGCTTGTTCGTGCTCTCGCTGACCTGAAAGTTGGTGTAAGATCCGTTCCCTGCCAAGTCGTCCCCGTGCCAATTCGTGGCGAGAATGGCCGAGGGCACACAGTTCGCATGACCTCCTTGGTAGTTTGGAAGACGGCTATAGTAAGGTTGAAAGAAACGGTCTAGGACATCGAAGTATTCGGTGCTTTCGGGAGTCAGACCCTGGATAAGAGAAAGTACATACTCCGCACAAGGATCATACGTGTATATGAGGAGCGTTGGTTTGGCATGAGATCCGAATACTACCGGTGAGGACAAAGGAACCATCTCGATGGGCCAGTGTCTCTGATCGGTGGGCACGTACTCTGGGTTCAAAAAGTGGGCAAAGCTGGGGAAGACGCCGTCTGCTTCCTGGTGTACCTGGCGTTCGTCAAGATGCGGCGTGCAATTCGGTTGCTGGTTTTTGTTGGATGCTGCATAGCCATCCCAAAATGCGACCGGAAAAGTAATATAAACCTTCTCAAGACTGCTGTAGGAGGCATTCCTGACTGCCATCTGGACGCGCGGCGGCAAGGGAGGAGTGAAAGAGGGTTTCCCACTCTTCAGACAACCCAATGGAACTGTTACCACCACCTCGTCGAACTCAAAAACGTCATCAGATGTCCTCACTATGACTTTGGTATCATGAGGCTCGCTTGATGTGCTTTCAATGCTTGTTACCACAGCAGACAGATGAATATCAGCACGTGCCTGGGCCGTCGCGGCAACGGCCTGAAGAATGGTGCTATGGTTCTCCATGACGTAGAGATTCTCTAATTTCCAAAGGGTCAAACACTCTGGTCAGCAAAGTTCTCTGCAGAAAAGAAGGTCTCAAGGAAGTTTTACCACCATCAAGGCATTCCTCAAGCCAAAACCACTTGAGGCTTTGCCGTTCCCAGGAATCTCCGATAAAGGAACCCCACATCTCCGCTAGTAGGAGAACACGGGCCTGTTGATCCTGAGGTAAATCTCCGTCGGCGAGCCGCTCACAAAAGAAGTCCTTGAGGCTCCGAGCTGAGTCAATGGTTGTACACTCGCTGTTGCTGTATTTGAAGGCATCTTCGATCAAAGACCAGACTGTATCGAGTCCCGGGTCGGCAATGTCCTTGGACATTGTGTCCCCACTGGGTCCCAAGATATGCATTGTATCAGCTACAGCGCAAAGTGAGGTATTGCTTGTTTTTGCCAAGTTGAAAATAGGGTTGTTATCTGTGCCGTGAATCCAATTGGGACCCCTTTTTCATGAATCCGTCAGTAAACCTCGAAATGAGTTGTTAGCTTCATGTCTTTCAGAATGACGTACATATCAACGGTATGATGAAGCAATTTAGACTGATGTATCTGGATATGGCTTGGTCAGCAAGAGTTATGTCCTCTCGTCTGCTAGTTCATGCCTGGTTCAACTTACCCGGCCTCCGATCCTATCTCGGGCTTCCAAAATTGTCACTTTGGTTCCTCCATCGATGAGAAGCTCCGCACATCGTAGACCAGCCAAACCAGCCCCGATTACCCCGACGTGAGGCTTTTTGCTAGATATTCCGCGATTTCGGATTGCTGGCCTTGTCTGAAAAGACTGGAGCAGATCTCTGGAGTACAACAAAAGATCCTGTTTCATCCGTGGCACGATCCCTGGGGCAACAAAGCCTGCACTTGAATGGTTCCGGCCTTCCATGCTGAGAATAAAGATAACATGAGAAAACGAACGCTCGATCTGAAACAGAAGTATCTGGCCTGATATTTACGTGCCTCCAACTGCTCTCCTGATATGACTGGAGAGGGCAAGCTGTCAGCCAACAACGGAACACTTACCTGATTTGTCTTGACTGTGCCGCAAACCACCAGTTCATGATTGGCGGCGTTCTTCGCCTCTCACACGGATATCTCTGGTAATAAGCACTTCTAAGTGTGATAATGCAAAGGAGTGGAGTGGATGCTGCATGATCCAAAATAACTATCTGCCATGAGCGTCTATGCCCGCAATCCCAGAGCCTTGACGCCAACCACAACAACGTTCCGAAACCTGCCTGCCCAGTTTGTTATTTCAGTTGGAACTCTTTTTCAAAACATCGCGCGGGGTTTCTGAACAGCTCTTTACCACTCCATATCCATTTTGGATTGCAATCAGTCTCATCATGGCCGAAGCACTCGCTATGATCGGACTGGCGTCCGCACTGCTCCAGTTTGCCGAATTCGGTGGCAAGGTGCTACGGCAGCTTCGTCGACTGGAGAGTGACGCCACCGGTGTTCCGGCCGTCTTCAAGAACGTGAGGTCGCGACTGCCACTAATGGTTGACCTCGTACAGAAGATTATTCTCCGTATGGACGCCGGGTTGATCGACAAAAAGTCCCAGGAGACAATGCTTCCTGTTGTACGAAGCTGCATGATCCAGGCAGAGCAGTTGGATAGTCTGGTAGTCAAGACTCTGCCACAGAACCATGAGTCGCACTGGTCCCGGGGTAGAAAGGCGGTCATCGGGGTGCTCGTCGAGTCCGATGTCGAGCGGATTGAAGCCGCGTTGAAAGCCAACTTTGACCTACTCGCCCAGGCCGGCACATTCCATCTTGTTGATGGCGACGGTGTTGACACAAAGAACGGCCTGGGCAGCAGTTCTTCAGGCATGTTCAATTTCCTAGGTTCCAATGTGCATGTCACGCTTCAGACACCTGATCATACGACTGGCCCTCCTGGCTACGACATCTCGGAGATTGAGCATTTTCGGTCACCATTTCAGTCAACCACACCTTCGAAAGAGCAGAAAATTACGCCAGATCAGGCGAAGCCACCGGTATTTATGGTTCCTTTTCATCGTGACTCCAACTTCTTGGGAAGAAGATCGACGCTCGATCTCATCGACCAGAGATTTGAGTCGCAATCATACGTTGCTCTGGCGGGCCTTGGCGGAATCGGGTAGGTGCCCCGGCATCCTGTTTCCCTTCATCGTCGTCCCGGATATAGCTCTCGTTACCTTACTGACACAGCTTAAACAGAAAATCTCAAATAGCCATCGAGTACGCCTACCTTTATCGCGAACGACACCCGCACGCCCATGTATTTTGGGTCTACGCCAGTGACCCCATCCGTTTCGAGGAATCATACCATCATATTGCAAGAAAAATGGCATTCCCGGGGTGGAATGATCACCAAGTGGACACTTTGCAGTTCGTTCACGATGGACTCGGTGGCAATGACTCCGGAAAATGGCTCCTCATCCTAGACAATGCGGACGACGAGTCTATGTTTCACGGCAAGAGAGTGAATGAGCGCTCCAATTCCCGCACGAATGACTCGGATGGCGGTGCTAAGTCGTATGCGCGCTATATTCCCAATAAAAGTGAAGGCTCCGTTCTTATTACCACGCGTGATAGACGGGTCGGCGAGCGGCTGTCGGGCAGGCATAGGCCCGTTGACATCTCTGTCATGACATCTGGCGAGTCGATGGAGCTGCTCCGATCGAAGATGTTCGAAGAGGACTGGTGTGAGGAGGATGCCCATAGGTTGGTCACGGAGCTCTCTCATCTGCCCCTGGCCATCACGCAGGCGGCCGCATTCATCAGTGAAAACTGCCTCAGTATCGACGAGTACCTCGCGACGCTACGTGCAGGTGATGATGATGCTAAAGAGCTCTTGAGTGAGCACCTCGAGGATCCGCGTAGAGATATCGACACAGAAAACTCAGTCGTGCGCACGTGGAAACTTTCGTTTGACCAGATTTCGCGCAATGTTCCTCGCGCCGCCGAAATCTTGTCGTTGGTCGCTGTGCTCGACTACCACTCTGTTCCAGTGTTCTTCTTACGCAAAGAGAAAGAAAACGAGACGGGGTTTCGCGTTGCACTCGGCGCTTTACAGGCCTTCTCTCTGCTTACGGCCTCGCGCGGCAGAGATGCAGTGTGCAAGATGCACCGGCTGGTGGCCTTGGCAATGCAACGTTGGCTCGAAGCGCGAGGAACACTATCTCACTGGCATCGCGAGGGCCTTCGCGTTCTGGCCACAGCATTCCCTGGTCCTGGCTGCCAGAGGTACGAGGAGTGGCCTTTATACGAAGCACTCGTGCCGCACACAGCGCAGGTGTTGGCATATCGATTCGAGGCTACTGATGACTTGCTCTCGTCAGCACAGCTAAGCGTTGCAGTCGGGCTCTATCAAATGTCTAGGTGCAGGTTCGATAAGGCGTTTGACCTTTGTCAAAGGTCATACGATATTTGTCGGGATCTTCTACCAGCTGATGACCCCTTGGCGCTCAACAGCGTGCAGACTTTGGGCGAAGCGCTTCTGCATCGAGGAGAACTACAGCTGGCGGCGGCAATGTTAAGGCGAGCTGCCGCAGGCCGCGAGAAGGCATTAGGAACCGAGGACCCAGACACGCTTGAGAGCCTGAGCGACCTTACCATTACGCTGATGGAATTGGATGATTTGGATGCCGCGGAGGCTACGGCATTAAGAGTGTTGGATGGGCGGCAGAAAGTGCTAGGAGAATACCATCCAGACACAATCGTGAGCCTGAATATCCACACCATCCTCCTTCATCGGAAAGGAAAGCTTGACGAGGCGGCGGCGCAATATGAGAAAACCCTGCGGCTTAGAGAGAGGTTATTAGGCGCAGAGCACCCTGACACCATTATAACTAGGAACAACTTCGCAAGACTCCAGTATGACCAAGGAGATCTCCAAGGGGCGAGAACGACCATCGACCGTGTCTTGGCTGGCGAAGCCGAAGTTCTCGGGCCCGATGGTTACGATAGTCAAGTAACGCTGAGCACAAGCGCACTTATTCAAGCTGCACAAGGCGACTTTTCTGGGGCGGACACCACGCTTCGAAAAGTCTTAAAGATACGAGATAGTTCTCTGGGACAGACGCATCCTTCAACAATGTTTACTCTGCAGATGATCAAAGATCTGCATAATGACAAAGCCAACAAAGGAGGCAGCCAAGATACCCTCCGAGAGTTGCAGAGAACAATTGTGGAGAGGAAGAAGAAACTCAACAGCGGTAGCCATAGGGAGGCAACCGCACTGCTTCGGGCAGGGCTGCTATTTGACTGAGACTAGTTTTTGATGGCGAGATGGATGGGAGGCGAGTGGCTTTGTGGCATTTGGATACTCGTTGTTTTCTTCTTTTTGATCCTCCTTCATAGCAGCAGTAATTTACTGCACATCCATTCAAATAGATTTACGGTCCCTAATTTAGCTGGGCTAGTCATAGGTACGCCCAAATGACAATTCCATGAATTGCGGCCGTGTATCACCGCATCTTGACCCGCACGAGGTTGCGCGGGGCGACTAGCTTTATCAGACATCGGCAATTCTAGTGTTATGCCCGCTGCGGTTGGTCCCTGTAGCTGCGTAACCTTTTAGCGTAGAACGTTCATTACCGAGACTTTTGTCTTGTGGTGCAATTGGTTGCCAAGACCTGCTCGCAGTAATGGAGGCTTTGGAGATAGTAGTAAAGGCCCTTTTCATGCCCTATTCGCTACTCCAGATAGAGTGTGTTCTACGAGTAAGATACGCATGTTATATTATGTCTTGGTCCATATGAGAGTAAAAAGAGTTTTCGTAGTGTTTTTCAAGAGAGATATGTCGATTGGCTGGTGTTATGTTACTTATCATTGACCCAGCATTCAAGTTTGCATTCTACCTGCATATGTGGGGACGAGAATGTTAACATGATCCAGGGATTCCAGGCCATTCCATGGACTGCTGGAAGGGGTTGATAAACCCAGGTGCGGGGTAGGGCCAATAGTCGTGACTTCATTCATATCTGGACCAATTAAATACGTGTCATTGATATGTTTTGAAAACAATTATGGAGAGGAGGAAGCTGACGTCTTCCAATACCTTAGTCCATTGGGTAGGGTGCAAAGGTTCCTGACTGTTTTTGTAACTACGATGAAGTTCCAAACCGACGAAGCCCAACCGATTTTGTCTCCCAACACCTTACAAAGGGTCTGCCACTCAGCCGCCACTAATGCTTTATTCATGCCAAATTGGCGATGAATGCAATTGTAACTATCTTACAACAATGACTTTAAAGTCTCAGGGCAGCGGAGCCAGACGTCTAATCGCCCAGCATGGATCCTTCCGAAACCTCGGATCAACACGCCGAGCTTTGTGGCCTTCTCATCCTGCCGCTAGAACTTCGGGAACAGATATACGGTCATCTCATTCATCAAGGCGGTTTTCACTCCAAGTTCCACGTCGAAATCACAACATCAAGCGGTTCTTTACGTTGCAACAGAGAACCAAATGTCCTGCTAGACCTCGCTTTTCTAAGAGTCAACAAACAGATTTATGCGGAGGCCATTGCGACTTTTTATGCAACATGCATTTTCAAGCCTGTTGCCGACGAACAAACAATACAGCAATTTTTCGGCCGTCTTTCGGAGTATGCGAGAGCACATGTCCTCTATCTAGAATTGACTCCTCGACGTAGTGCCGGGAGACGGATTCTCGGTCCTCAACCGAATATATCCCAAATACATTTGGCCCCAGCTTGGGGCCCGGCATGTAGTGCTATCGCCAACCTGTTACCGGGTCTTATTGAGGTTAGCATTCGACTTAGACCTGTCAACACTTTTGAGCTTCGAACGGGCTGCGGTATGGAATGGATCTGTGTACCACTCTCTAGTCTACAGTGTGCACGAAAGACACTACATCAGAAGACAGGCGATGTAGAATCCTCGGATGTTTTGATAAATAGATGGGATGCTTTAATGGAGAAGGCAGTTCGTGAAACGAAGGAGTACACAGCCGGCATGGAGCAAGCGCGAAGGCATCAGGGCGGATGGACGAATGTATACTGGAGAAAGAAAAGAATAATGGCAAAACTGGATATATAAAGAGCAGTTCTGCGACCCGTTCGGCCTAATAGGACCAAGACAGCACCCCAAAGCACACCTAGCGAATTGGTATATAGGATCATAGGATCATAAGATAATAGAAGATATCTGAAGAACGGAAGAGTGATAGAGCATTCTACGTGTGTTATGACCCGTCGATAGTACCATAAAACGCCCTGAAGTCCACCCGGCGGCTATAGAATATCTGTATGTAGGGATCATGGGAACATTAGGGGACCTTGGGAAAACGGAAGAACTATTCTATAGATCACGCGGCGATGAGAAAGTAGGAATGAGTGCTTAGTAAATACCAACAACACCACGCTTAGGTACAAAGGGCTGTGATGTAAAAGAATAAGTCCCAGGATCTAGGGGCAATTTAGTTTACTGATATCAGAAATATAGGGGGCTGCATCCTCTGCCGGCCCAATGGATGTGAATGGCTCGGCCCGCTCCTATTAGACTATAAAAAGGCGATTATACCAAAAATGAAAAATCACAGGCTTTGCGGTGTGCGGATAACACGAACGAGGGACTTTAGAGTGTCTCGGGTCTTCCCAAACCTCAATTACCACGGCAGAGACGGAGCGTATCTGATGTTTTGGCAGACTCATTCGCAGTGAGCCCTCGATGCGGCTTCGCTAGCTTTAGCATCAACATGGGCGTCACCACTGAGGACAGAATATAGAAAAAGCTCGGCTTTATTATTTATGTGTCCATGTACACTCTGATGGCAGAAATTGGCTACCGATTCGCTGGTTGCCTCGGTGGTATACAAATCTTTTGCTTTTCTGATATTTTGAGAGTACGGACAGTCATCAGGTCAATTGGCATAGACCGAGCTTATGTAATCGCCGTAAAAACGACAGGGATCCCCCGCCATGGCTGAGAGACAGGGGCACAGGGGTAACTTGCCCCGCGCGTTATCGAAGTTCCCCACCAAAAATCAAAGCTAAGGAAGGTGCTCCATACGGATACCACGATTAACTTTGAGAAAGCTCCGACGTCACTTTTCCCTTCCGCTTGCCTGGCTGGTGAACATTTTTTTCTTTTCTTGCGACTCCTCCGCTCAACTCGAACCATGGCGACCGTTGGAACTCTTCAGCGTATTACTGCTGGAAAGCTCTCTACCATACTGTTGGCAGAGCAGGCTGCAGGCAATTCGTCTGTGGCCGTCGTTGACGTTCGCGACGATGGTTAGCTTCTTCCCTGTCCTCGACTAGGTAGCCGGATTACACTGCTAACTTGTATCCCCCCACAGACTACATTGGCGGCCATATCAAAGGCTGCATCAATATGCCCTCCAGAAGTCTCGATGCTACGATGCCCACCCTCATCCGCCGCCTCGAAGGCAAGAAAACCGTCGTGTTCCACTGCGCTCTGTCGCAGCAACGTGGGCCCAGCGCTGCCCTTCGGTATCTCCGAGAACGCGACCAGATTCTCGCCTCTAAGAAATCTTCTGGTTCAGCAGAGGACTCGGCAGCTGCGGACCCGCAGACAATATACGTTCTGGACCGCGGATTCGTCGGCTGGCAGGAAACTTACGGCGAGGACGAGCGATTGACCGAGGGATATAGCAAGGAACTCTGGAAGGATGGATATTGGATGTGAGATTCTGCTAGATTGAGTTCATGGACTACTTGGCATCGCTTCTCAAGCACGTCGGGTCCCCAAAATCGCCCACATGGCCCAAGATTGCCAAATGAGTGCTCACTCAGCCTTCCAGGCGCCCCGCCAGGTCTTGTGGCTTGGAATAGCCATGGGACAAAGATACGCGCTACGGCACCAGGGTTGCAAAGAACATGTCTTCATTCATCACGCGCCCTTGCTTCCAGAGTTCCATCTGCTTCTAGTCAAATGGCGACATTCGCAAGATCCCGAAACTCGTTCTACTCAGCCTTTGGAATAGGCTGGTAATGGTGCGTTAGATACTCGATTATTCCATGTCAGAATTGGAGTTTCTCACTTTTGAGACTGCAGACATTACCCAAGAACTCGGGGAGCAAGAAGATTTCCCACGACTCAAAGCTCATCACACATTAATGAACCAAGACTAATTATCTTGGATTATTGATGATTGACATCAGGCTTCTCGTTGCGAATCACAAAGGACACTTTGGCGTGCCAAAAGTTGTCAACTTGTGGTTCGTATCTTAGGTAGATTTATTTTTTTAAAAAAATGTAATTGCGACAATTATCGTCAAGCCGAGAATGTTACATTCAAATCACCGCTCCCTGCATCTTGTGATTGACTGCCAGTTGTTTCCCGAAAAATCCGAAGCAGTCCTCAGCAAGGTCGGAATTTTCACTGCCGCTCTTTTCTGAGCCCTTCCCACAAGTCTAGCCATGCTTGGTGTACAAGGACGGTCTACCGAAGGCCACTTCCAATGGGCAGATTTGTGCTTCCATCTACGCCAAGTCTGGTGAGGTCTTTGATGGCGGTTGGGCAAAGTATGACGAAAACCCCACCTCTTGCAGAGAGCAGGTGGAAGTAGGTAAGTACAATCTTTCTTTCACCCCATTCCCCTACGTTTTGGCTATAGTCATCAGCAATGCGGTAAATTCTCAACCGCAAGATACATCTCCACAAGGCTAGCCCCGCGATCAAGAATCAGCCAGATTACCCCTGTCAGATTTTACACTTCTGCGGGAGCAAGGAGATAGGTGCATCTCGTTGATCAGCGACTGAGGACTGAAGTTGAGGCTGTCTAGAAATATGGTTTCCGTTGAAGTCCGATACTCTGCATGGTAAGATCAGCTCAAATACTTTTGACATATTCTTACGAAAACTCAGGACATCGTACGAAGAAGGCACTGGTTTCTCGCGTCTCCTGGCAGATGCGGCAGTTTCTGAGTTTTCCCCTTATTCGACAATAGCAACATTGTTATCAGATGCCAGTTCAAGAGACTAATGTGTGACCAAGACTACAAGCCGTTTGCAAGCTTGTGTGATCGTTATGTGAAGGCCGCTATTGTTTCCTAGTGCCTATTCGCGCTTCACTTCGGAGGCGCGCAAGGCAATCAACCATGTGAGACTAAGGTACGCAGGGATGGTAAAGTTTAAGCGAAAGATTTCTTTGGAATCACACATTAATCAACTCGGCTTGTCATATTTTCAAGCAACATTCACCCCGATAAAACAAATGACTTTGCAGCTATATGGGTCTCCAATCACCTGCGTGATCCCCATCAATGTAATTTAAAGTTGGTTGTGAGGAATCTATAATTATAAACACCATAGCAACCACCCTCTAGTGCGGTTACACCGCCCTATTGGTATGATGAAAGCATCTTGAAAATCTCTCATTCTTTTACGTGCAATTTACTCTCATCTTCGTCGCTTTGAGACGACTCAATCATGCTGTTTCTTCTCGTTCCATCATCACGAGCGTCTTTCCAACTATTCCGAATCTCTCGATAAATTCATCACAACCTGGACTGGAATCATGGATTCCCATCTGAAAACCTTGGTCAATTACTCACTGATAATGGCCAGCGTGTTTTCCGCAGTCATTTTTGCGGTGTCCTTCATGACGGCGGCTATCGACATGCGTGAGGATAGTTTGACACCGAAACCTCAATGTCCGACCACACCAAAACTTCGATTTTTCTTTTGGTTTCTCCTGTCAATCATTCAATCAATAATTATGCTCCTCTGGATGGCAGGCTGCGTCTTGTTTGTGCCAATTGCGGTCGTGCAAGTGGCTATCTATTGCCCCGTCGTGGTCCTAGGCTTCGTTATGCGAACGACCTGCGGACACCATCATGCCGCAAATATAGCGTCTTACATCTGGGAAGCTGGTACTCCTTTTCGGGTGACACCTGCTGCCTTGAGAAAGTGGTCCATTGGTGCCACCGTCTGGCTGTTAGGTGGTTTCTGGTCAACACAGCAGTGCGAAGATCCCGAAGCACAAGAGCTGGTGGGCGAATTTTCGCACAGTGACAGAAACATGGAAGGAATGATAGAATATCGTCAACGGCGAGTTTCTCAGCCTTTCAGGACCAGTAGCGATGAGTAAAGTGGAGGATGCGCATGTTTAAGGCTGTTGTGCTGAGAAACTGCACGGCTTGGAACGCGATGGGCTTGCCATTTAAAGGAAGTACGACTCATCTGGTCACCCTTCAAAGGACTGCGCGTCTTCTACGGCACTGTTACTGTCAAAAAAGAATTCAAAATGCCAAGTAATATGGCAAGCCGTGATGTGGTAAAAGGCCAACACCAAGCTCTTCTACCTACACTCGGGTTGTCGGTTCACTCTCACTAGAAGTAATATAGCTTAAGATCACGGATGGAATGCTCGAGTTCATGGGGATCGTTGTTTTATCATGAGTAAAGTAATTAGATATTATATTGCAATGAGAGGAAAGCCATATAACTCCTTGCTATGCAAAATCAAGCACGCCCCTGTCGGAGTGAGGCGCCTAAAATACAAACCAATTATAGAAAAACCTGTCTGCCGAACGACCAGTTCTTATCGTAGCCCACTATCAAACGGTAAAGCACCCTCGCCATTCAATTGTCTGTAGTCATCCCAAGCTGCGCATATCTCGCGCACATCTTCAGGGATCTTATCCTGCCGAACTGTCTTGGGCTTAACCAAGAAGTTGATGTAGAGGCCAACGCTAGCATGCCACGCAGTATGGCAGTGGAAGCTCCATACTCCCGGGTTCTTCGCTTCAAACTGAACGACGAGATTGCCTTTACGCCGGAGAAGTTCCGTGTCAGCGCGGGCCGGGTTCTTGGGGTACTTCAGACTGCCGTTGTAGAACCCATCCGATTCGCTCAAGATCTGGAAGTCCCCGCCGTGGATATGCATTGGATGGACGGAGAAGTGGTTATTGAGGACCACTCGCACGTGGCGGACATCATCAGGAATCGTCGCCAAGATGTGTTGGGGGTCCTTGAGATACTCGGTATGCCCATCCACAGCCTCGATATACAATGGGCGACTCCAGTCGGCTAGGAAAGTGACGTTGTTCATTAACCATTGGTGATTTCCGGTGGCGTTTGGTCTGAACTCGATGTCGTAGAGGAGAGTCAGATCAGGCTTGGCAACCCTTTTCTTGTAAATCGGCTTCTTCTTGTGAAGATCAGGCTACAAAAGGAGGATGAATTAGCACAAGTATGTACTCTGTAAAAGGGTGTTGAATACTAAAAACTTACATCACCGCATGTCGAAGAGAAGTTTGGCAGAGCCTCAACGGTCTTCGTGGCCGGAACAACCGTGGTAGGCGTCTCGTCGTAATAGATTGTTCCAAGTGTCTCATTGACTTTGGTGGCAGCACATTGGATCCTCGAGCGCATGTAGTAAGACCGCTTCGGGTCTCCATCACCATTGACGAGAACTTCAGCTCTCATTCCAACGCCCAAGATGATGTATTCCACTTCGTAAGGCTCCACAGGTACAAAGTCCATCGTGGTAACAATGAGCTTGTGGCCGTCGATGGAAAAGATCTGCATAGCTTCAACACTTGTGTTGATCAGTCGGAGCTTGTGAACCTTGCCAGACTTGAACCTCAAGGATGCGCGTGGAGCATCACTCTTGCAAGTCGCGTTCGCGGGGGCCAGGGAGCAATTGAAGTGGTTCATTCCGTTGATTAGGTGGTTGTTCGACTGTGGTGCGTACACATTGGTGTCGTTACTGGTTGAGATCGCATCCCTGGCGATTGTCTCATAAGGGTAGTGATAGTAGTCGGACAGTGTAACAGGGCCCAGGTCGAGGTCGTATTTGACGTGGGAAGGGCCATAAATGACCATAGGACCCCACAACCCTCCGCCATATTGCAATGCGTGATGACCATGGTACCAGGTTGAGCCATACGTACTGGCTCTCCATCGATACGTGAAGCTACCGCCAGGCACAATGGGGCATTGTGTGATACCGCTGACTCCGTCCATGAGTCCAGTCCCCTGCTGGTGTATGCTAGACACAACGTTAGCAAGAAGTGAAGCAGTGCTGTGTGGTTACTAATGAGTCTCCACTCACCCATGCCAATGCATTGCTGTGCCTTCTTCCGGGTCTGTGATGTTGTTGTGGACGGTGATCTCTACAATGTCACCCCAATTGGCTTCAACGAGAGGTCCAGGGAATTGGCCATTGACAGTAAGAAGCGTCTGTTCTGCAGGTGGTAGTAATGATCAGTCACTGACCCAAAATAACTAAAAGAAATCTGCCTTGCTAGGTCTACAAAAAGATCGTCCAATGGCGAGGTAAACATTGGTGTAACGTACCAAATCCATCTGGTGCTAGGACAGCTCGTTGTATCGTCCACTCGTATTTCCGTACGACGCCAGTGTCAGGCACATTTTCAGGGTCAGATTCGCATGTCCGGTTACCCCACGGCGGGCTAGCTTTTTTTGTGCTCGATTCAGCCCCCAGATACCGCGGCAGGCAAGTTGGAGTAGGCGCAGTTTTGGAAACATATGCCGCAGTCTCCGAGAAGGCATGAACTGTCTGCGAGATCCCCGAAAGGAGGCCGCACAACCTTGGAATATGTTAGTGCTGACGACGAATAGGCTTGGGAGGACAAAAGCATAATACCTCAAGGCTGCTAATACTGTAGGCTTCATCTTGCTGTCAAAAGCAGAAAGAAAAGTAAATGGGAAATGGGTTGAAGAGACAGACAAGCGGGCCGGAGAAAGTGGTTGAGACGTCTGCGTACCACTTATAATAACTGATGCATCAGAAATACCACCACTACCTTCACTATGCAGTTCATCTATACGAGAAGGCCACGATGAAATTCGTCGAAGCGCCTAGCCGGCCGGCGACATTCATGATACCGGCGCATGAGGTTAGTTTGCCCCAAGACGGCAAAGAGAAAACATAATATCGGAATCCCAGCGTCGTACGGTTCTTCCGAGGTGGCACGCTCGTGGCTGTCCCGTCGGGTTGGGCTGAACGTTGAACGACCAGTCGAGCTGCATGTGGCTTGAAGCTGAAATGCCAGCACTAGAGGAGTTGCCGCACGCGGCCAGCGCCACAATACCAGGCATGCATGGTTGCCATGCAGCTGAAGCACGGGTCTGCCGGCATGCTCGTATACAGCTGGTTTGCCAGTTTGCCTATTCAGATACCTATTTTTGTAGCCATCGGCCCTGGTTGTACCTGCTTGCTTATGACCTGTAACTTGCCTGGCAGTGACTCGTTACCGTCAAGTCATATCCCTTGCTGTGGTCAGTACGCTCAGATATACTTTAGTTGTGTCCTCCTGATTTCTTGATTCCTGGTCTCGGAAACTTATTAGCTCTGTGTCACTTGAGTCGAAGCGTGGCACCACAGGACCGGTTCTAGGGCTGTGGAGCGAGCTAGGCTGACTAGACCAAGTTGAGTGTGTCGAATGGCCGGCTCGTAGCGGCTTCTGTCGAATAGGAATCACCACTTTAACAAAGGATTTAAGGTAGGAGCTAAATGTTGGTTCGCATCAAATGCTCTAGCCCAAAAAGTCAAGCTGCTTGCATCCTGCATCGATTTCAGCAGAGGGCTGTTCACTGTCGTTCAGATGAACATCTACTTTGCTATTCTCTTCAGCGAATGGGACCTTTTCCCCAAATACACCACAGCATCCAGCCCCTTTGCGCCAAGCCCAGAACGGCTTCGAAGACGAGCTGGCCCAACTTTGTGGTCAGCCACGATAGCTCTGGAGTAGTGGTTCTCCATGCGGACCATGCCTAGTATTCGGTGAGGCGGTAGCTCCCCGTTCGGTGGACTGTCCAGAATGTGCCGCAATTTCCGGGCTTGAATGGAAGGGCTTACTACGGCAACATGAATGCTATGGGATTGGAATTTGCCAAAGATATTCATTCGACCGGATTAATTGGCAGTTCCTTATTTGACCCCAGTAGTGTTGAGAACGATGTACTGGTAGCCTTGATTTCATTCTGTATTGACTATCCTGAGCCTCCAAAATACAATGCCTGCGATAATCCAGCATAGTATCAATCGCTTTACGCCGAATAGAACGCAACTTATAAAACGCCGCCCAATGCTTCTGCCACAGCAAATGCACCTCTGAATTACAAAAAGAAAAATGACGGTTCTAGATTCGCCAGAAATCCTTCTGTCCGACCTGCTTGATCTTCGCAAGTGCAACGAGCAGACCACCCAACAACATAGAAGCGCCAGCAAATATTTGCGCATAGAGGAAATTGCCGTGGTTAATCCCAACAAGACCTCCTCCAATGGGAGGACCAGCGAGGCAAGCAAAACTGACAATGGTGAAGACCATACCAATCCGGACTCCGAGCTTGGACATGTCAGACGTTACCTCGCCCATGGATGCTGTGAACAGTGTCTGCACAGCGTTTGCCGTGAAGGCGTACGCAATGACCCAGACGTAGAGTCCGGTCATTGAGCTAACGGCGATCCAGGCAAAGACGTTGAGACTACTCAAGAGTAGTGATATGACGAGCGTTCTGAGAGGCTTGATGCTCTTGTCGGCTAGGTAGGGAGGGATAAGTCGACCAATGATGCCCACGGCTGACATGACGATTAAGACAGTCAAAGCTCCGCTGTCATCAAGGTTGAGCTTGTTGCGACTGAAAAGGGGGACCTAGCGAGAGAGTTGTTATTCAACCACCTTCAGGGGAGACAGGGAAAGAGGGAGAGAGAGAAAGAGAGAGGGAGAGAGACAGGTGGTGAAGGTACGTACGTAATAGTATGCAAAGTAGACGCCCAACAAGGCAAAGAACATGCCAATAGTGAATAAGAGGTACGGCAGTTCCTTGAATGCTGAGAGCTCGAGCAGGGGACCGCCCTTGCGCGTTGCGGCCTTGGGTCGCGCAAGGAGGTAAATGACGATACTGTCAGCGAGAACTAGAAATCCCATGGTGCGAAGTGTCCACTGAATTCCAGCCCTCGGGATCATCTCACGAGCGATGATGGTGAAAATGACGGCGCCGATGGGGGCACCGCAGGAACTAATCCCGAGTGCGAGCCCCCGCCTCTTGGTGAAATATTGCGAGACCAGCCAGACGAGCGCGGTGAAGTGCATGCCGTTGCCGATGCCAGTAGCAATGCCTTGTGAGAGCAGGAAATGCCAGTATTTGCTGGAGAATGAGGCCCCAAAGATGCCGCCGACTTGGAAGACGATGCCGGTGATCAATGTTATTCTGAAGTGACCGGCATCGATGAGTCTGCCGCTGAGCGTTCCGAGCAGGAAAAGGAGGAAAATCTGCATCGATCCAATCCAAGAAATGTCCGAGGGTGAATTCGGTAAGATTTTGGCATATGATGCCTGGAAAACACCAAAGGCTGTGATGAAACCGAAGCCGTCTAACACGAGCAGAAAGGCGACGAGGACTTGGAGCCAGCCTTGGACACCACCGTCTGGCCCGTCAGTCGTCAGAGGAACAAGTTCCGCCTTTTCTTCGTCTGCTTGGAGTGACCGTTGCTGGCCTTCAGAAAGACTCTGGCTTTGGGGTCGGACATGGTGCTCGTCGTTGCTCGACATGATTACCTGGTTGGGGCGGTGGGTAGTATCGGCATGGTTCTCGTCGTACTGCACGCTTTGGACAACGGGCAAAGGTGGAAGATCTTTTTCCATTATGATGTGAATGAAAATGAAAAAGCAAGTCAGCCGGTTCAGTCAAGGCACTGAAAGATACGAGACAGGTCGAGCAGTGGATGTTGAGCTCTCGACAGGGGATCGATAATCTCAACTGCTATAGGAAACGAGGGGTTATCATGTCGACAAAAGTAAGCCGAGATCCCCAAAATGCAGAATGCTTTACTGAGCCATTGGCTCCTTTACGGCAATCAAAAATAGGTTCCAAAGTCTCCGGATACGGCATGTAATTGAGTTTACCAGACAGCGCCTCGCTCACGACGCCGGCGATGGCAGCTCAGCCTGGCTGATAGGGGCACACAGCAGAGATGACCGGAATGCGACGGCAGACCATGGTGTTGAAGATACTTGGCGATGGACTATTTCCAGCTTCACGAACCTAAAATCGGATGGGCTTAGCTTGAATACTAGGCAGGACTAATCCAGAAGTGTCAGTCCATTGGCTGATCTGCTCTGGGACTAGTAGCCCACAGCTAAGTCAAGCCTCTTCGGCCAAACGACACGGTTAGGGCTAGGTTGTGTTACGTTCCAAACGCTTCGAACATGAGTACCTCCACAGTTTCCCGAATTCTACCAACATCCATCTGCTCTTGGCAACCAGGAAGCCAGTGGATGCATGCGCGAGACTGGGGAAGCTAAGGATTCGTGCCCATCATGCCGGTATAGCCGGTGTTGATCTAGTCACGTCGCCGACACGAGGTAAGACAAGGCCTTTGCCTCGAGCGTGGGACCATCTTGTGTGCTTATTTTGAGTCAAGAGAGTTTGGGGAAAGGCAACGCGCCCCTCGGCTACTCTGCAGGTGCATGCAGACACGGCCACTCCCATGTAACGATGCATAACCATGGCCAGACTCCAGCCTTGGCTTGTGGTAGCTCAGTCTGAACGCCACAGTTCACTGCGATTCAAGCCTGGGCTTCGACAACGGGAAAGTTTCCGAGTAGCGTCTTGAATGCATGCGGCATACCACGAGATACCCAGATGGCACTTTCTGAGCAGGTTCCTGATCCAAGTCAAGGTGAATCCCAAGTATAAGAAGAATCTCTGAGACCGGCCGTAATTATTATTATAGATTATCTACAGCTCAGTTCGCCCACTATCATCCAATATAATCAAGAGTCGTTTCCTTTCTTCCTTCACAAGTTTCCTATCATTATTCTCCAGATATCACCTTCGATATCTCTCTAGTTGAATCTCTTCCTCAATCATCACAATGGCTATCCCCGCAGCAGACCCTGTCCCCGTGTCTCCCACGGACGACAAGAAGCCGGCAACCTCCACCGGAAAGCTCATGGCCAGGCCGGTCCTCCAGCTCCGTGCTCCGACTTACAGGCGACCGAGTCTTGGCTCGGAGCTCAGGAGTCCTCTCAGTTCCATTTCTCCCCTCAGTGTCTCAGACCTGACAAGTCCACTCAGCCCCTTGAGGCAGATGCGCCTCGAGTTTTCTGACCTTGAAATTGGTTCTCCCATCGACCCTGTGGACTTGCAATCTCCTGAACAGACTCTGAGGAGCCCTGTGAGCGCACCTCGGAGTCCCTTCAGTGATTTGAAGAGCCCCGCGAGGAACGCTAGCATTGATGCCGTTATCGACGACATCGTTGAGGGAGGTGAGTTATGCTGAATAATTGTAGATCAGCGTCGCCGCGAGAGACACATGACTAACACAGGGGATATAGATGCGCCTACTATCACAGAGACACTCCCCACCCCTCCTCTTGAGCAGTCTACTGAGCAGGTTGCTCACAAGATTCTGGATGTTCTCCAAGCTTTTGGAAGACACATCATCCCCGAGGGCCAGGAGAACCACGAATGGCTGGGACGCAAGATGTTCCATGGCCGTGTTGAGGACTACGTCAAAAAGGGAGAGTCAGTCAAGATGATCATTCCCGCTTTCCCTTGGAAGAGCATCAACCGCACCGACAAGGTGACGGGTGTTCTTCCTGACCTAGGAGAGGATCTGGCCCTGGCCAGACTCAACGACCTTTGTGTCGAGATTGGCAAGGTCTACACACATGGTGCTGAGGTTCACATCGCCACCGATGGTTTGGTATTCAATGGTAAGCGCCTCTTATTCTGTACAGCCGTGTCCCGGTTCTATGACTAACTTACGGACAGACGTTGTCGGCATCTCAGACGATGAGACCTGGGAGTACGGCGCCACTCTAATGGACATGGCCGCCCAGAAGGGCTACGATGGCATCAAGCTTCTGCGTGTCATGGACTTCCTCGGCCTGACCAACGAGAACGAGCCCCTCACCAAGGAGAAGTATATGGAGCTCGTCGACGAGAGTCGCAAGACGCTCGAGGCCCAGTTCGGCGACCCAGACAAGGACGTCCGGGCCCTCATGGAAACCGACAACGACACGCTGATGACCTACCGCGGCTTCATCCGCTTCCTCGAGACCGATCTCCGCAACAGCCCCGTCGCGGCCCACGCAACCTCTGGACACAAGTACCGCAAGGTCGTCAAGGAGGTCGCCATGAAGATGATGATGCGCGCCGAGTCCTTCACCAAGATCATCCTCGCCACCTGTCCCGACCACGTCCGTCTCTCCATCCACCCCTCCAGCGGCGCCGTCAAGCTCTCCATGCCTCTCCTGGTCGAGAAGCACAACCCCGACGGCTTCCCCCGTACCCCTTGGCACAGCTCCATCGCCGTCTCCCTGGACGGTGGGTACCGTTCCCTGCACGCAAAGGACGTCCGCGACACTCACGACTTGGTCATGAGGGACGGCCGTCCTTGGTGCTTCCGCGAAAAGTCTGAGCTCTTTGATCTCGGCGAGGACGTCGAGATTGAGCACCTGTACCCTACCGGTATCGAGGTGCGCCCCCGTGAGGAGAAGAATGGAGACGTCAAGCTCGACGAGGCAGCACGCGAGAAGCTGGTCAAGCTTGCCCAGCTTCAGCCCGTCACCGTTGTCGGCTTCGAGAACGCGCCCGAGTTCGTTGTTGCGGGCCAGGAGTAGACGTAGTACCCAAACTTGATCTAGAATCTAGAGAGGAGGTTTGGCAATTTGCATCTTGAGGGAATCATCAAAGGTAGTGGAGCACCAGGCGTTCGTTCCCGTCGCCATCGGCATTGGAAAGGGGAGGCAGCAAGATTCGATTACTTTGTAGGCAGCCTCGTAGGCGCCGCGCGCTGCCGGTTCACATTGAGTCGGCGTTTTGTTGCTGCTGCTTCTATAATTTTTTTTTCAACAAAATGAAGGCCATAAAGGGCAAGTTAGAGAGTACTTAATCAAACATTCTCCAAGCTCTGATTGTTCTCAGAAACATACAATGGGCGGCGACAGTCGCAACGACGGATGCTTTTGTTCGAGAAATTGTTGAGCGTCAGTATACCATTTCCTAGATTGGCCGTCAGTCCGTAGCTGTCTCATTTTATACCAAGTTCAAGTACTCAATTCCTAACTCAAGAACATTACATGTAGACATGAATGGCCAACATGTTTGGCCCAGATTTTTTCCGCACTGAGCAGTCAAACTTCTATTTGTGAATTTGGTATTCTATGCCTGGTCCTTGATCTCCCCTTTTATTCTAGTAATTGTCCCTGGTCCGCCGTACGTCAAGCCAGTGTACACCATGGCCACACTCGCGCCCGCATTGAGGATCTTGAGCGCCTGCTCTCCGTTCGTGATGCCGCCCGTCGCGAAAATAACCTTTCTCGGGGTATCCTTACCCTCGATCAGATCGTGAAGCTTGCCAGAAAAGGTGCCATCAATGTCAGGAATGGCAGCCGCCTCCTCGGCCGAGCCGGTCTGGAGCGTTTGGGCATCTAGCTTCTTGCGATATCTTCCGACCAAATCCAGAGTTCTGTTGTACATGGCGGGTCCTGAGTATCCGCCCGTCTCCTGCAGGGCCTTCTGCTCCTTCGCACTAAGTTTGACACCCTGGGGAACGATGCCAGTGCGGCGGTTGGTGGTGTTGCCTACGATGATGCCGTCAACACCGCTGCTGCAGACGGCCTGAACAATACCCTCGATCTGGGTATCCTCCTCCTCATCAGGAGAAACCTTGACCATGACCTTGGGGTGAACCCTGCGGTCCACCTTGCCGGCCTCCTGCACCACAGCGCTCAACAGCCTCGTCAGAGGCTCCGTGGCCTGCAGATCGCGGAGGCCAGGGGTGTTGGGGCTGCTAACATTCACCACGAGGATGTCGGCATATCTAGCAAGACGTTGCACGCAGTAGACGTAATCCTGAGCCACAGCATTGACGTCCTTCTGGTCCGTCTCCTTGTTCTTGGCAATCTGCACAGCCAGCAGTCTGCCGGGGAGCAAACTGCCTGCGGGGACACCAGCCTCGCCATCTAGAACCTCCTGTTCCGTAGCACCAACCTTGCGAGCGAACTTGCGCACGCGCTCCCTCAATGTAATCGCCATGCTGTCGGCACCCCGCGAGTTCAGACCGTATCGGTTGATCATGCCGTCGAGACTCGGGACGCGGAAGACACGCGGGCGAGGGTTGCCATCCTGCGGGCGGGGTGTGCAGCCACCGACCTCGACAATGCCGGCACCAAGGGCGAAGAGGGCGTCAGGGATGTCGGCGTGCTTGTCGAGACCAGCGCTGATGCCGATGGGGTTGGCCAGCTTCATGCCGTAGACTTCGGTCGCCAGAGCGGGGTGTTCAGCGAGGGTTCTGTCGCGTTCGCGGATGTGCAAGCCGAGGTCATAGAGCGTCTTCATCATGCCGGTGCCGGCGTGGTGAGCGTCCTCGGCGTCGCTCCAGACGAAGCGCATCACCATGGGTGACAGTCGGTGGATTGAGGCCCTCGTGTCGGTGACATAGAGGTAGGAGATGTAAAGGGACCCGGCGAGGGCAACGCTGTAAAGGCCAGTCTTCAGGCCCGAGCCGGCCTGGGAATTCGTCGAGGAGCCGGTGGCGGTGGAAGCATGACGTCGGGGGATGTTGCTAGGGAGTCTGGGACGGACGGCGGTGGGATTTCTGGCGGATCGGAGGACTGATTGCACGCGGCAGGATCGCATGCAGATGGACGCCATTGCAGAGGACAGGTACCGGTCCTGGCCAACACTCAATGGCTCGGCGTTGGGGAGGATTTGAGGGTTGTGATCTGGATGAACTCATGTACCCGCCGGCGGAATGGGCGCGAAGTTTTGGTCGTACGTTTGGCGTGTCGTACGTCGTACGTTTGGCGTCGCTCTGGCACGAAAGGACAGTGCCAACACAGTGCAAGCCGGCACGGTATAAAGTCTAAGGTATTTTTTTCTAAGAATAAAATCGTGCCAGATCATGACGTTCTCCATGTTCATGGCCCGTCTACGGTAGTCCACCCAACGCCGTCCCGATGCACTACAAAAGAAAGAATGCTGCCAAAGAATGTCTAGGATGTCTGTGATTCCTGCGCCCGTCCTCTTCCTTATGCCTCCATCTTTACCGACCTCTCATGGGCAGCGATGGCCTGCACCGCATGCGTTCTCTCCTCGACTTCCTCTGCCTCCTCGATGACTTCGGCCTGTCTATTCAAGAAGCTCAAATACGTCTGCCATCCGACCGCGATCACGCCCGAGAATACGCTGCGATACTCCATCGGGATGAAAGAGAAGCTGAAGGCCGTGACCGCAGGCCACAGCTTGCACGAGTTGACGATGCTCACGGGCACGGTCCGTCGGATGCGCTCGACGATCTGCTCCAAGTTGTCGCCGGCCAAAAACGCCTGCATGCCGAAAAAGTACGAGTTAAATATGGGCGTGAAGCACACCTGGTTCACCACGACTTTGGTGCCGAGCGAGAGGAGTCGCGAGGCGTAGTTGAAGTTTTGAGAGAGGAAGATGAACCTGTCGCACACGGTACTGCGTCAGTTGCTGTGTACGCAGCTATCAAACAAAGCCTTCACGAGTTGACGAGGAGACGACCAAACCTACCACTTATAACTGGGAATAGAAGAAATGGCGCCAATGATCAACGAGCGCATCGTCCGCTCGGGGTCGTAGTCGTTGCCGCTCATATTCTGGGCAGAGAGGTCGGCGCAAAAGTAGATGACCAGGGAGCTGACGAATTGTGTCATCAAGGGCCTCTTGCGCTGGGCCCGGGCATAGCCCTCTGCCGCGCGGGTCAAGGGCCCGAGGCGCTGCCATAACGGGATCGTTGTGATAGTGTTGGGCACCGGAATGGGATCCTCTGCCCTCTTCGGCGTGGGTGCGTCGGAATTCGCGCGGCGCTGCTGGTGTTGTGCGAGGCGGTTGCGCAGTCCTTGGGCCCCGGGCGTCTGGCGGCGCAAGAACACTCGGAACAGTGTTGTGGTCGTCGCCATGATCGCTTCGGTTTGGGTTTTTTTTGGCGTTATTGAGGGATCATAATCGGAGTTGTCGAGGGAGAGTGAGAGAGACAGAGAGAGGAAGAGAGAGAGAGAGTAACAATGCGCCTCTCGTCATCCAAGGTAAGGATGGCAACTGTGCCGAGAAATATGGCCGAGATCCCCAAGGCGTATCCGTGGTAGGGCGGCTTCGACACAGCCAGTCACCCACCACACCCACCACGCCCACCCTGGACTGCCCGCCTGGACCCCTGGAGCACGGGAAAGTGCGGCAGTGGCATTGCCGACGCCGATGGCGGCCCTTCCGCCGGGGTCCGGGCCCTCATGGGTGGGGCCCACTGGGTGTTTTCTGTTCCAAGATTCTTATTTTTGTTTGGCCCGTTGTTGCGTGCTTTCCTGTCCGGGTGCCAGGGTGACAGGTCTTAGCCAAACGCCACCCGTTACCATCTGGGTATCCCCTGGCTACCACCTGGCGGCCGTCGTCAGCTGCGCTCCACCAGTCGCCAGATGGGAGCTGACGGGGCAGCTGTCCGACCACCTGCGCACCGCATATGACTTACACACGTAGCATCGCCAAGTCGTGTGCCTCCATCTCGTGACGCCTTGCCTTCTTCCACTTTTACCGCGGCTTTTTTGCTTTCCTCTGTGAAAGACCAAGACTGGCGGAAGTCCCCTTGCTTTCCTCCAGTCGTCAAATCTCTCATTACAAGGCGACCAGCGAAATCGCCATGGCAGCACGCTAATCTACGCCTACGGTGTACGAGGCTGCCACTCTAAGGCACAGCCCACGCCTCTTTCAAAATTTACCTTTAGATGCCTTGCCTGATCTGACTACTTGAGAGACTATAGCGAGGCTGACAAGTATAGCAAGGCAAGGCAGCATATTCAGTATAAACGTATCGGATACTTTCGTGGCTCACGCTCGCATCTTCTGTCTTTCTACACTCTTCACAGTCGCCATCCTAAGCACAAGACAGACTGGAAAAAGGGAAAAGACCACCAACATGTGGCTTCTCAACACCACCACCTATGAACTCCGCATGTTCATCGACGGTACTGATATGCCCCCCTACGCCATTCTGTCACACACCTGGGGTCCCGACGAGGTGACCTTCCAAGACATCCAAAACCTGCCCCTGGCATCCACCAAAGCCGGCTTCACCAAGATCCAAGGATGCTGCACCCAAGCCCTGCGTCACAACATCGACTGGGCCTGGATCGACTCCTGTTGCATAGACAAGACCTCATCCGCAGAGCTCTCCGAGGCCATCAACTCCATGTACTCATACTACCTGCTCTCCCGCGTCTGTTTCGTCTATCTTGGCGACGTACCGCCCCTGTCCTATTCCCTTCCTCCCATGGGCCGTCTCCCGTCACTTGCTTCCTCTCGGTGGTTTACCCGCGGCTGGACACTCCAAGAACTCATCGCACCCCGGAGGACAATCTTCTACACCTCGGACTGGTCGCGTCTCGGAACCAAAGGTGTGCACACCGACGAGCGCCCCTTCATCCAGGACCTCTCCTCCATCACAGGAATCTTTGAGTCTGTCCTCGCCAAAACCCGTCATCCGCGTGACTACTCCGTCGCAGAACGCATGTCTTGGGCGGCGAACCGCCAGACCACCCGCGCGGAGGACCAGGCGTACTGCCTCATGGGCCTCTTTGGCGTCAACATTCCCGTGTTATACGGCGAGGGGCTCAAGCACGCGTTCCAACGCCTCCAGCACGAGATCATACGGACATCTCCCGACGAAACAATCTTCGCGTGGAGGGCGGACCCGCAACAAGTGGTTGTGGACCCCTACACGCGCGAACGCCGATCGAGGTCCGTAACGTCGGGCCTGCTCGCCGACTCGCCCGCCGACTTTGCCCGCTCGCACGACATTCACCAGCGCGCGCTGCTTCCACCGTCCCCGTTTCGGGAGTTTAGTATGACCAACATGGGCCTCTCCATCGCAGCCAGCCTCGTGCGCTTGACGCCCGCCGTCAGCGGCAGCCTCCATGGAAGTCTCGCGCCGCAGTCAATGTTCGTGTTGCCCATCGGAGCGAGCGGCCGGCCGAACGAAACCTCGCCGCGCACCCGGGTGGGACTATATCTGGAGCCAGTGGTCGTGGCGGCGAGTCGCGCGTTGGGCCACAAGACTTTGTACTATCGCCGCGCAAAGTGCAACGACTTTTGTTTCGCGGCGACGCGCGAGTTCCCGCAGGGCGAGCTTGCCGACATTTACATACTCGAAGACGATCAGTTCGCCGAGATGCAATTTGCCGATAGGCCTCCCACCCCAAGACCGGGCTCGGGATCGGGATGGGGATCGGGCTCGGATGCGGGAGGGAACTGGTCGCCGTCGATGGGAGCTAGGTTGTCACTTTCTCCCAGTCCATCGCCGAGACCCTCGCCTAGGGCGTCGCCGATGCCACGCATGGATTTGGGATGAGATCGCAAGGCTCCTTGTCCTTCCCCGCCGTCCAATTGCCAATGACACTCGACAGTATCCGATGGAGGAGGAGAAGAGACATTAATCAAGACTACCTGAGTACGGCCATTACGAAAGTAGCACGGTCGAAACGCAAGAGAAGGGCATGAAGAGCTCAAAGGGTTGAATGTCCTGAAGGCTAGAAGGCTGCACCGATATCTAGTCCCCTTGCGTTATTGCTAGTCTTATGAACTCTGGATATGAACTCTGAACATTGTGTGTGTAGTAGATAGAACTGCGGATCACTTTTGTAGAGATACCCGGCCCTTCATCTATTCGAAGGGTCTCAATATATTTACGGATGGAAAAAATTAAAGTCGACACCAAATCACGATAACATGTTCGTAGCAATAGCTTATTGTACGTTTGAAGGTTTTTCCATTCAGTCGATACACCCAAAGTGTACCACTACTCCAGAACATGAAAGTAGGCTGCCCCCACTGGTGAGTTACTCGGTTATCTCATCCAGGAAACCCTCCTGTTATTTTGCCTTGACTACATACATGATCCCCTCATTCGGCACATGGTAGCGCATCACCGTGAATGCTCTGTTCCTTTTCTTCCCTTCCTCCTCTGGGTTCCTCATGTCGTGCTGTTGTCCACTCCCCCTGTCTATTTTTTTTGTCGTCCTTCACCACACTAACACCCCACCCTCATCTTCTCACTGTTGTTCGTAGACAAGGGGTATGGTGGGGTGCTTCTTCCCCGTCGCTTTGGGGATCGCAGAGCATTCGAAGAAAGAGTGCTGGCGTGCTGTTGCCGCCGGTCTCTGCGGTGGTTGGGGTGCAACTGTGACCCTCCATAGGGTTGCATTGAAACAAAATCTCAAATCGTCTCCTGCCCTCCCGCGTCTCCCTTCAGAAGGGATAGATAGTGGGGGGAAAGAGCCGTGGTATCAAACGTTATATTCCAAGAACATGAAATGAAGAAAGTACACCGCAAACGCGTACGCAAAGGACGTGTCGTTGGGCGAAGAAGAAAGTGCGGGTCGTTAAGGTCGTATCGTACATCAGATGAATCGAAGAGGAGCCAAGCTCTTGAGGCAAGCTCCACGTCGTTGGTGTTGGTGTTGGTGTTGGTAGTCGTAGTGAGGATGAGATGGGCGCATATTGTGAGCGGGGCGAAGATGCAAGGTCGATAAAGCCAGCCAGCTTTGAGAGAGTTTGTAAGTTTTTATCGTTTTCCAAATGTTTTTGTGGTTTTCGTCTTCAGTGGCAAGGAAATGTTGAGATGTAATGAGTGAATATGGTCGGTGGATAGACAAAGTTGTAAGGAAAATGGTAACGAGTGTCGGGTGTCGGCTTTTGCGACGTAAGAGATGACAAGGAAATGTTGAGTGATTGTACGTCTCGTCGGCTTGGCTGGCGTTCATCTTCCCTATTAAAACATCTTCAGTAGTCCCGGATTCTCATCAAAATACTGCGTCAGTGCTCCTCCTGTGATCAGCGCTCGCGCGAGGCGAGACCTCGAGCATCTTGGTGCTCCCCGAGCTCACATGCCTGGCGTTGCCCCTGCTGAGGCTCACGCTCGTGGCGCGTTGGAGCTTGGGCGTCTCGCCCTCAGAGCCCTCGGGCGACGTGCTGTCCTCTTGGTACGAGTTCAGCATGCCCTCGCGGCTCTTGACTCTCTGGTGCTGCACGACGGTGGCGTGCTGCCTGTCGACTGAACCCCACTTCATGTCCGCATCTTTCATCATCTCGTCCTCGTCGCTGCTGGGGAATGCGTCGCCCGTCGACTTGCGCGGGGTGCGCTCCTCGGCGAGCATTTCGCGGGACGGCGTGGCGAGACTGGACAGGTACTCATCGTCGGCGAGATCTTCCTCGGTGTCGTTGGGTGAGATGGGATGGCTAGTGTTCTGCGGCGGGAGGCGCTGCATGCTACCGCGCATGCCCGACGAGCGGCGGGCTCCGACGCGGCCGGACAGCCATGATCCTTCCGAGTCGATAGACGCAAGGGAAACGGGTTCGGGAGAGGGCTGGATGCTGTGTCGCAGCGACGTCGGTGTTTGCCGCATCTTCTCCAGCTTCTCCAGCTTCTCCATCTTCTCGTCGGCGCGTCGCAGGTCTGATGTCGGTGTATCGTATCTCACGGCAGGCGTGTTCTGGAGCGTGTTCTCCCCCGACCTCGACTCCGAGACAACGGGCAGAGGCATTTCCACTTCCGGAGACCCAACGCGCGAGTCGGGCGGGCTGAGGGGCAGCTCGGGCAAATCCTCCCTGAAGCGTGACCTGGTCCGCTTGGGAACGCCATTGCTGACCTTGCGAGGAATGTAGTTGACAGGCGGGGGAATCGGTGGCATCGGCGGCATCGGCACTTGTACCGGCGCCGCTGCCTCTTCTTGTGGCTGGGGCACATACGTCTGTGACTGCGAATAGGCTTGGGCGGCGGCGGCGGCAGCTGATGCCTGCATTGTCTCACGCGATGTATTCGAGAAGGAAGATGGCCCCGAATTTCTCCTATTTCTCTTGCCCAGGCGGAAAAGCGCCGAGAAAGAGATGCGAGCGCGACTGACTTTGCGGGGGGTCTCGCCCTCGTCCTGTCTCGATGAATATTGCGAAATTGCGTGTTGGTCAGATTCTGTGGCGTTAGGCGACCTTGATCTTGAAATCCTCCGCAAGAAACTCCGCTTTAATCGCATGCTACCCTTGGGCGTAAGCTTCGTGCTCGTCTTGCGCTCCGGGACGGGCTGCGCGGGCAGCGTCGGCGAAGGCGGTGCCTCTGGCGGGATGCTTGTCGTCCGGTGAAAGTGGTGTACGGCCGCCGGTTCCGGCTCGATGTCCATCGTCTCGGTCTCCATCGTCTCGGTCTCGGGCTGGGGCTGGGGTTGCAGCTCCGGCTCCGCCTCTGGCTGCGCGTCTTTGACTGTTGAAATTTTCCTTGAATGCCGTGAAGAGCTCCATGACCGTCTCCTAGAAGAAGTGACAATTGCAGACGCTGCGTCAATCCCTAATCCAACTTCACGGCCGAGGACACCCCGTTCCAAGTTGACTGGCGGTGGTGACCCGCTGTGACTGGCCTCTGCCACGGCCTCACGCTGCTTTTCTGACCTCCGTGCAAGTCTCCTCTCTATCCGTTCCTGGTCTCGTTGGCGTTTCCTCTCCCTCCTCCTGTTGTCTCGCTCCATCAACTCCCTCAGATCAGCGGCGTCCAAATCGTCCGCAAAGCTGTCAACCCTCTTATGTGCCCTCACCACTGACTCGGGCACCCTCTCTGAAACTTTCCTCTTCTGTTGTTGTGTGCGCGATGGCGCCGAACCATGTCCAGGACCCCATCGTGGGTATACTGCATATCGTAACGTTGGCCGTGGTGCTAATGCCTCGAGGGCAGATACTCGGAACGAATGCAATTCCGTATCGGACGACATGCTGGAGTGGATCGACATCGGTAGCGATACGTCGGATTGCGGGTTTTCGAGGCTCCTACGGAAGCCGAGGCCGGTCTTGAGTCTTTTGCTCTGTTTCCCAATGGGCCGCCCTGACGTCCAAGGGTCGGCCGCCGGCCGTACCGGCGCAAAGTTTGTCATGGCCTTGATTTCCGCCTCACGATCCGTCTCTTCTCTCCTCCTCTTGCTGGTCTTGCGTCGAGAAGACCTCGACGGTTGGCCGTGGCGTGCATTATGTAGGGTTGGCACCCGCTGCCATGCGGGATCCCCTTTTTCTTCTCCGTCATTTCGGTCGGCTGGGAAGAGCCCTGTCGACCGGCCAGGTTCTAGTGGAACCGAGCCTTTTTGCCCCGCGACACGGATGGAGTCATTGCGACCGGGGGAGAAGCTGTAGGTGCGTTCTCTTCTTGGCGGCGGCTGTTGCTTCTCGAGACGCTGCTTCTTCGGCATGGCCGCCCTCGGCGCAGTGGTCTCACCCGTGGTGAAACCTCGTGCCTGTGATGCTTGAGGTGGTGCCTCAACGTCCGACAGGTTTGCGCCGCTTCGCGAGCGTTTGCGACCGCTTCTCCGGCGGAAGGGCCAAAGGGCCATTTTGCCATCAGCCAACGCGGGAAAGCGTCGCTGGGGAAGGGGTTTAGTGTTGAGTTATCGAAGAACACTGGGTTGTTTGTCGAAGGACCGGTGTCTGTATGAGTGCATGATCGTTGGCGTATTATTCAATATCGAGGAAGGGCAGGCGTAGGTGCGTAGGTAGTGTGAACGGGTGGCCTCGTTTGGATCTCAATGCTTCCTGCTGACCACAATCGCCATCAGTGTCGCAATGGACGCTGAAAACGAGAGCTAGACTGGGGATGTCCCGAGCCAAAGGAACTGCGGAAGCTTGTCTGCTTAAAGAAGGATCCGGAATAGTGCACCAAAAATGGGATTGGGCTTTGGAGGAGAGGGTATTGGCCGGCTTGTTCAAGAAAGTGGAGGAGAGAGACAAGAGACCAAGTGTAAAGTACGGGAGTGACGGAGTAGTATGAATAGCAAAAGCAAGGTACCTCTTCTCTAGTCGAGGATTAAAAAGAGGGACAAAGTCATATGCTACCAATGTATTCGTAGAGTGGCAATGGCTGGGCTGGAGATGATGGAATGGCGAACGGGGCGCTCTCACAGATCAAGCAGGCTTCTTGGAGAAGAGGCCGGACACGAGACGGGGCACGCCCGAGCAAGACTGGGCTTGGCCGGACAGAAGAGGGCAGCAGACCTCTTCCTTTCCTTGGACTTTCGTGCCCTGGGCTGAACTGGTGCTTGCCTCGCTGCCGCTGCTGCTTCTGCTACTGCTGATGGGGCCGCTGGCAAGGACTGGGGAGAGCTTGTTGCTCGGCTGGGCTGGCTGGCTGGCGCTGGTAGCTTTTCGTCGGTGCCATTGCTGGACCGGTACCTTGCGGCACCTATCCGAACTGGGTCATCGAGTGGCAGGGCAAGGGAGCATGAGCCGGGACCTTTGGCACCCAGATCAGACCAGGAGGGATGGGACGGCCAGGGCTGGTTGGTTTGGGCTGGAAAAAGGTCCAGGGTCGGTCAAGGGCTCAGGGGGGGAGGGGGGGGGGGGGGGGGGGGGGGGGGGGGGGGGGGGAGGGGGGGGGGGGGGGGGGGGGGGGGGGGGGGGGGGGGGGGGGGGGGGGGGGGGGGGGGGGGGGGGGGGGGGGGGGGGGGGGGGGGGGGGGGGGGGGGGGGGGGGGGGGGGGGGGGGGGGGGGGGGGGAAGGGGTGTATCTTGTCTGGACCTGGACACAGTGTGGTGGTGTGTGCCCAGGGTTGGAGGGTGCGTTGCGTTTTGTGTTTCTTCCTGCTTCCCCTACCTTTTGATGGGCTGTCAGCTGGGCAACTGGTTGGTGCATACCGGGACCCAGGGACAGCGTGCGTGCGTCTGTCTGTCCTTCGAGTCGAGTTGAGTTGTTGAGACTGATGGGACCGTTTGTATCTCACAGCGCGCGCAGCCAGTGGCAGTCCGTATCTAGTATGTATGTTGAAAAGAACCAACGCAGAACGTTGACGTGTGCTTCGCGTGGCCTTCCGTAAACTTGTGTGAACGAGGGATAGACGGCCAGCCGCCAGCGAGTCCCCTGCCGGCAGGGGGAATGTCAATGTCGTCGATGGAGTGAGGGACTGGGCCTGATCGTCGCGAGTTTTTTCTGCTTCAGTATCAACAGAGTGGACCCAACCAGCTTCCAGCACACCACTTGCTGCTCGGCTCCGGTGCTGCCCTGGTTTGCCCTGGCTTGCCCTGGTCTGTTCCGGTCCGGACTGAGAGAGGACAAGAGAGGAGCGACTCAACGACTCTGGCCAGTTAAATGCGGTGCGATGCGATGCGATGCGATGCAGCATGAATCTGCCGCGGTGCTGGTTCCTGGCCTGATTGACTACGAGCGGATGGATCATGGGGCCGGCTTTGCATGTCTCTCAGTTCTGGCATCTCTATGGCTGACCCGCCGGTCTGACATCCAGCCCCTGGAGTTCCAATGTCTCACCGCGACACCGTTTGGAGGCCTTTCTGTTCTCCTCCGGGCTTGTCTCATACGCGGTTGTCCATTTCTTTGGGTACATGGAAGCCTGTCCTGATTCATGATGTCGAGTGGCTGGCCATCTTGGTTCTCGGTACGCGCAACGGTTCCGACAGGTCTCTCGGCGCAGCGCGGTTTAAAGTTCTGCTTGTTCTATCTCCAACGGTAGGCTCATGGGGCCGGCCCCTGGCTGCCGCTGTGCCCTGCGCGATGCACCATGAGAAGCCCATATGTGCAAGTTTAAAAAAAGGTAAAAAGAAGGGATGTGGAAAGGGGGCTCAGTCAAGGTATCCGTACCCGCACCCGTTCGGTATCGCTTCGTATCCGCGCGCCGCAGACCCGTCCGAGTCCCGTATTCCGCCGTGACCCAGATTCCACAGATGCCTTTACTTCGTGACATTTTTAACTTCTGCAATAACTCGCACAGTCGCACTTCGTTGTTGACGGCTGCGAGTGACCAGAGCACTGGAAAACTAGGGGGAAGTGGCAACGTCGTCCACAAGGTTCGGGAGTGAGGACCTTGGCCTGTTTGCTCGCAGATGTATCCGTAAGGCTGTGTAAATAACGCAGGTTTCTACTCGGGTGGGCTGTTTGACTCTTTGTGTACCAATCACTCCCCGAGTCTTCCAAAGGACGTGGAAAGGGCGAGGGCAGAAAGGGGCTTCGTCCAGACCCTGAGCCATCCCCTCGGAAGGGATAGGTAGAAAGATCCAGGAATTGGAAATCGAGACCAATTGGATCAGTCCCAGCCTCAACCAAGCATCGTCGGTCAATGGACATGCCCTTTCGGTATTCCCATGGTGCTGCTCCCTGCTGTGCCACATATTGGGACCCCCCAAAAACAACCAAGAATATCCAAATCCGCCGGCTCCATTCCAAGGGCGGCCCACTCATACACCGAGAGAGGGATAAATCTAATGTAGCCCTTGCTTCCTGGCCCTCTTCCCTAAGTGGGAACGAGAAACCGAAGGGCGCAAACATGAAGTAAGGATACTTGAATTCATCGTCTTCTTCGGCCGCAAGTCGTTGCCGCATCGGCCATGCTCTGAAAGCGCCGCGGTTGCGCCCCACAACATTCCGAACAGGTACGGCGCTCTCCATCACCTTGTCCAGGAAGTGTCCCGCCGTTCCCGTTGCCGCTGTGAACTGATGATGCGCTCAGTTTTCTGAGACCTTCCTGCGCTGTTGCGCCCACCATTCTCTACCGGAGAACGGCCTCAGAATTTGCAGTGTCACCTTTCCCGAGATTTTGCAGAGGCGACTTTGTTGATTCTGAAGTTTGTTCGATATCAAGCTCCTCAATTTTCCGTTGTATGACTGTCGTCTTGCCCCTAGCTTCCTGTGGCCCGCTTCCTCTGTTCATCGAGCCATCACCTCAGCTCACAGACGGCTGCACAGGGCGAGGCGTGCGCGGGGCGTTGGCTCGAAGATTGCTTTAGGGCGGGTTGACGGTGACACTGACATTCGTTTGGCGCCAGCGACTACCGGCCATCCCGCCGTCATTTTGCGGGCGGATGATCGACTGGGAAGAGCAATAGGCAAAGCTAGTGTCTGACTAGCAGCCCGGCGGGCTGTCAAATCCTGTCCTTGCGCATAAGCTCAACCTCTCACGTCTCTCCCCAAGGCACTGGCAGGAAAGAGACAAAGCGAACAAAGATAAGGCGCCATTACCAAAGCAGCCTTAGCCGTTGAGACCTTGAGGGTAATACATCATCTGATCACTCCAGCTCCCAGAATAGTGCTTGGCCCATCGCCTCCATCAGCCGCGTTGCTACGGAGGCGGCTGCGGTGTCTTTTGGCCACCCGTGAGAGCTTCTATCCCAGACTATTGTAATGCGGGAGGGTAGGAGACTGGATGTTTTGCCGTTCGCATGCGCAGCGGTTCTGTCCCATAGTACGGAGTATGCGTGGCCTGTAGGGATTGTACTTGTTGAAAAGCCTGAAGGCGCTTGTTTGCAAGGCACCGTGACCATCTGCCATCGAGGCAGGGATCGTCCTTCTCCTCTTAAGTATCGTTACCTGCGGAGCGGGACGCCAATACTTCTGCGATGGAGCAATAGCAGCCACCAGAGGCCGTATCGAGCACATCGCCGGTGGAGGGCCGCTACATGAGTCTGGCCCTCTTTTGCAGACTAGGCTCCGGGGGGGACCTGCAGGTCCCTCAATGGAAACCCCTCAATTCTTGCTCGTATTCGTCCTCAACTACTTTGAAGAAGAAGCTCAAAGGACGCTGCAACCCGTATTTGCTGCGGCCTGTCCATTGCTTCGGGGCCCGGCAATCGCCGCCACGAGGTGGTCTGGAACCAACAGTCTCTTCTCGCCCAGTCCCCGCCTTACTAGATCGTGAGCTGTATCCATTTAGTGTACTGTCTCTGCCGTGTTGTGGCCCATTACTGTTGTCATTGCATCGCATGATGGCCTCTGAAGTTCTGAACATGCGAACTCACGCAATCCACTATGCCGCATCATGATGTCCGCGGTGCCGATTTTTGCCCAAGCATGGCTAGTAGCGCCTAGGAGCAGGACGGTGTCCGTGAGTTGATGCCCCGAATTGGCAACGTTATCACGGATACTGTGTATCCAAAATGAGTACCTTGTCACTTGCGGTGCGGCGATATGCCTCGTGCATAGAAGGTTTCGGCCATTATGTCATGGGAGCCGTGGCTGGCTTTACATGGCAACATTCCATCCAGGTCCTGCTGTGTACCAGAGTCAGGACGTCGCAACGGTGCGCGGGCTGCAGATTTTGCAGCATGGAATGCAACTTGCAACAGCTTCATCATCGGCATGTGTGGCTTGGAGGGCTTTGCCTGCTTTGGTCAGCGGCAGACCGGGGTCGCGACTCCTAGCCGTCTTGGGGGCGATCTTGTAAAGTTTGGCGTCCCATCGCAACGTCATTGCGCCGGGGTTCTGGTCTTATCGACTGAACAGCCTGCCCACAGGGTAATTAGATGCGGAGGAGTTCGTCATCCGTCAGCTTCGGCCTACCGTCTAGGCATGCTTTCCATGTATCCGTACTAACAGGTACTGTACCATGGTATGCTGCTCGAGCTTGCCTCATTATACTTTTAAGATGCGTATCGTGATGTGGTGATATTCCCAAGCAGCGGTCGAATTTCTCTCGGACGGTTGCGTGCGAGAGATGGCCAAACATGCTGTAGTCCGACCTCATTTCTTTCGAGTGGTATGGCGTGCTGCAGGTGTCGGCCGCATCGTTTCTTCCGTACCTGTCAGACTCGACACGTAGTGCAAACTCCCCCAGATAATGTTATTTCTGCAGGCACAACACTGCAGAGCCTGCAGTATGACGACAAGGGTTTGTACAAGCGTCCTACTCATTCATGGCCATACCTAGATGATACGTCTCCCGGATCATACAGGAGAAGCTGCTCGACCTTAGCTTCTGTCATGCTCCTATCGATCCAATGCAACAAGCAGGCTTACGTGCCGTTCATGCTGGCTCTGCATTGGGTACCTTCGTAAGAGATAGGAGCAGCATCGGCAGGACTAGTCCGAGCCAGTGCCAGCCAGCGCATGCCAACGGATTGAATCCCTGAAGTAGCTCTCCCTCGCCCAGGTTGGCAATTGTTCAATGAAAATGGTAGCTCGCTCGCGCCACGTAAGACTCCCACAACAGCTAGTTGCAGCTTACGCAAGTTGGCCATTCACCGAGCACTAGACGTTGCTCGCAGGTGTTCAAAGAGAGGAAAGAGAGGTACGGTATCCGTGCTTTTTCCCCTTCTATTGATGCGAATTTCGGTGCTCGAATAGCTGTCAGGCGTCCTGGTCAGAGCAGATTTGCATCAATAGTCGTTGGTGGAAAAAAAAAAAACCTTTCATCTGATAACATCCCTCCCTGACGCCTGGCGGCCACGCTAGACTGGGACCTCCCGAAAAGTAAATCCAAACTGTTTCAAGCTCTGAGCCTCTGTCAATGGGAGTATGTTCTTTCAGCCAATGACTGCCCACCGCGAGGGGCGTTTCAGCAACGATATCGATGGGTAGACGACAGCAGGGCGTATTGGAAATGAGATGGCTCCCTTTTGGTCCCTGGACTCTGGAGTAATACTATGTATTGGGATCCATTTGGCGAGACGGAAATGAAGGCCAGAGCCTGCACTTGGTCAGGACGGAGCAGTCGGAGAGAAACCAAGAAATACCTGGATGCCATGTGGGCGGGCGGCGGTAACTGGCTTGGGATCACCTATCAGCGCAGATCTCGGCTGGCGCGAACTGCGAGGGTGTGTTCATTTGCTCATCTTTGGACCTTTTGGTTCGAGATTGGCACGTTGCTGCGCCGTCCAATTAGCCTCTGGCTCTAAGGGAGGACGCTTGGGGCGAGGTCATCTGCCATGAAGCGCAGGGAATGAGGATGGTTCTAGCGCCTGTTGGAACATTTGGCCCGTGTCCAATGTTCAATTTGGCCCCTCCTCTGATCTTCCGAAGTTGTACGTAATGGGCTGGCTCTTTCGATGAGTGATGAGCAGCAACGGGATTCACCATCGTGGTCGTTGTCTGACAGCCTACAACTTGTTCGACCCGGCCACCCGGCGTCTTGATTGAGTTCGAGGTAGGAGGTGATGGTGTGCGGCCAGGTCCCGGATTGATGAAATGGCTTCGTAAATGGCTTCATGCACAAGGCATTTGTGTTTCTCGAGTCAGCAGCGAACAATGCGGCAAGGTATGCCTTGGCCTTGTGACAGGGTTTCCTGGAATTCCGAGCAATATCCGTATAAAGGCGTGGAAGGGTAAAAACGTTGGCGGTTCGGCAGAGAAGCAACCAAGATTTGGTTTCGAGGGAGGGACATTTGTTAGGCTTCTGGATGCCTCCACTGTCAGAGTGTGTCACTGCCTTCTCCCTCCAGGGAAGCACGGAAGGCACCCGTGCTGCTGGGTGTACAGAGCACCTGCCACGAGTGCACGCCTATCTGAGGTAAGGTAAGGTACCTATGCGAGCACTACCTACTTGGGCGGCCAAGACGTACTTGTATGTACCTACACAGCGTCTCAGATGTGCCTTATACGCATCGGTACAGCAAACAATGGTCACAGAAAGGCAAAGCGGTTTCCTTTTCCTTCGTCCTTCAACGAAAGGTAGGTAGGTACTTTGTGACAAATGCAGCCGTTTCAACGCATACATTGTAGAGGAGGCCATGCCGGCAATAAGTCGGGCCCAAGTCGCATTGGGCACCTCACGTGGCGGCTTACTCTGTCATGTGACACTGACTGGCTTCTCCTTATCGATAACCAAGAGGTTGTCGGAGCAACAACCCCGATAAGCTGTTTACGGCAATCTCTTATGCCAAACCGCGACAACACCACGCCCGATATTTACGGACACATCCAGTTGAGTTGACATTCGTCGCATCGCATCGCAGTCCGGATAGCACTGCCCACTGCTCCAAGGAGCCCGTTCAACTGTCAAAATGTCGTACAATCCGCGCATGAGTATCATCCCCGCAACGCAGACACAGTCGCGCACAACCCGCAAGAAAGAAGATGAAGCCGACGCGTTCATGCGCCTCCCGGACAAGGAGATTGTCGGCTGCATAACAGACATCGGAATCCCCTTCAACGTCGCCGATCTTCAGAAGCCGAATCCGCTCCAGGTGCAAATGATTTTCGAATGGTTTGCCGAGTTGCTTCTCAATGCGACCCGCGAGACTGTTGAGCCCGCTATGCGTGCTGCCGCCGAAGACATTTGCGGCGAATACTCGGATATCGTCCCCCCCGACACCCGCAACTTGATGGGCTTCTATGTATCTCTGCGCGGTCTTCTTGCAGAGTGCGGCATCCAGGACTTCAGCTTCAATGACCTGTACAAGCCGTCACATGACCGTCTCGTCAAAATATTTAGCTACCTTATCAACTTTGTGCGCTTCCGCGAATCCCAGACAAGCGTCATTGACGAGCACTTCAACAAGGCAGAAACGACCAAATCACGCATCGAGAGCCTGTACTTGGAGAATCAGGACATGGAATCGCGTCTCGTTGATATGAAGCGCAACCGCAAGGCAATGGAGGCACAGGTACGCGAGAAGACAACGCGCAACGAGGAGCTCAAGCAGCGACTGCTAGAGCTGCGACGTAACCAGGAGCGCGTGGCCGCCCGTCTTGAAGACGCAAAGGTCAAAAAGACCGAGCTCACGACAGCTCTGGAGGAGAGAACGGCCCAAAAGCTATCCTACAAACAAGAGAGCGCCAAGCTTCGACCCTACGTTATGCAGAGCCCTTCTGCGCTGCAGGCGACCCTGACGGAATTGAGCAACGCGCTCAACAGCGAAAAGGCGCACATCGAGGCTCTCGATCGCCGCTCCCGTGCGCTCCAGACATCAGCCGATTCCTTCTCGGTGGTTTCTACCGATGTGGCATCATGCATTAAGGTCCTGGACGAAATCGGCACTGAGCTGGCCAAGGAGGAGGACGAGAACCTAAAGAACGTTAAGCAACGTGACGCACTATCGGAGCGCGGTAACAACGTGCGAGAAGTCGAGCGAACCGAGGCGCTGCTGCAGCGACAACTGCTCAAATGGAACGAGCGTACCGAGAAGCTCCGCGAGCAAAGTTCTGCCAAGGCCCAGGACGCCAAGGAGAAGATGGAGGAGCTTCGTGCTGTTCACCGCAAGCTCACCGAGGAAAGGACGGATAAGGGCAAGGACATCGAGCGACGCCGCGTTCGCATCGAGCAGACTGAGAAAAAAGTACGTTTCCCCTGGACGTTTCCTGTGGTTTTGGAACAAGGAACCTGTTGCTAACCAGAAGATAGATGCTGGACCTCAAGGAGAACATTGAGAACGAGATACACAGTGCCTACGACGAGTTCCTCAAGATGGATTCCCACATCAAGCTGTACATTACCGAAATGGAGCAAGCTCTCTAGGTTCTCTTCGTTTACGGTCGGTTTTTGTCAATTTGCTACGAAGAAATGAATTACAAGGATACCACGGGCTTGGCGTTTAAGGCTGGGTTGAATTCTACCTACGTAGATGTTAAGAAGAAAGACCTTGGTGACAAACTATGGTCATGTCCACCGAATTGATATTATGAATCTTGTCATCATATCTAATACATCTCATTGCATCAGTCCAGCCTCTTTGCAAGCTGAACACTAGATATCCCACCGACCAGTCTGAAAACGAAACCACCGGCCCAAGACTCGTCTCACCTCGACAGTTCTCCCTATCCAGACACCGTCGCTCCGCCTGGAGCTCCCACTCAACACCGGGGCATCATCCCGCAGCAGTGCATTGAAGTCCTCATGCCCTCCTGCGCCTTTGGGCTCGACGATGACGGGTTCAAACTTCACATCGGCGTGCCGGGCAGCCTCAACGAGCACGGCGGCCGAGCTGCTAAGGCCTTGCGCGCTCCACTCGCTGGTATCGCGATGGAGGTCGAGAAACCCATATACGAGGAGCAAGGGCGGCCGGCGCTTCGAGCCTGGTGGTGGAAGATTCGGAGGAGGTGATGTCAAGGAATCTGAAGAGTCCATGGCGGATAGAAAGGCGCGTAGATGTGTCACGCTTGGGATAAAGAGGACGCGGATGTGACGGGCAATTGCGGTCTGGAGAAGTGTTGCCGAAAGGAGGGGTTGCGTAGGCAGGTCTTCAGGCTGCTCTTGTGTCTGTTGGGAAACTTGCTGGCGAACGTCGGAGACGAGGGACGAGATGAAGTCTTCTCGTCGATAACCAATAAGGAGTGTCGTCGGGTAGGTCTCAAAGGTGACAATGTAGTGTAGCAGCTCTGCTGGCGAAGCTGGCGAGAGCACTGTTGGGTTCATTATTTGGCGGAATTTTGCGAGTCTGTTTGTACTTTGCTTGTCTATCCTTGGCAAGGAAAGTGTTTTATCGTTTTATGTAAGTATTTTGCTCTCAGTACCTTAGGTCGGAGCTGGCTCCAGAGACATGGACCGCTTCTCGGAGACGTTAATCGAAATGGGTGAGGAATTAACTTGTTTTACTCCGTAAGTAAGGTGCCTAGTCAGTGAGTGACACACGAGCCAGACCCACTTTGACCCCGGTCAATTTATGACTGGTGCTCCGAGCGGGCATGTTAGTGATCTCTCCATATCGCCATTTTTTCTGATTCAAAAGAATGATCCTTTTCGTAGTATATTTATTTCTTGATGTATTCCAACTTTGGATATGAAAGGTCGGGAAAACCACCAGCTGCTCGTTTTCCCTTTCCTTTGTGATGGGCTGATTGATCTGCAAAGCTGCGAAATTGTTCTCAATGTCATGACGATTGGGCTCAATACCAGTCTCTAATTTTGCTTCGTGTACTATCTGTAGCAAGGTCACGAAAATGTACGTATATTGATGATTCAAACCACAGTCTCGATACCGTTACGAAGTTACGACGTGGATCCAAGACGAACACTATATGCTACTCTTTGCCACAAACAATACCTGCTCAATGTCCTCCATTACCAACCAACACATCCAGCTTGTCGTTCGTGAGCTAGCTACATCTCTTGATTCCGCAGAGGAAACATCTAGTCTAACCTCGTTGAAAACCCTTACGCAGCCACTCAATACCATTCGTCGGCCGCGCTGTTAGTGTTTCCGCGGGACGCAACTTGTGCCTTACCCACAGTCTCGTTTGACAGGCTGTTAACTTTTGCAGTGTATTGCATCAGGTAATCCGAGACCATGGAACGGCAAATTAATCCGTAAATATTGAGTAGCCGTCTTCACATGAGACCGTGTAATCCGGAGGTGCCAGTATTTCAACGTCGAAGCATCGCAGTACCTTGAGACTTGACTGCCTCACCATAGGACATAAAATAATGATCGACGAATGGGAACGAAGAGATCTGGTATACCAGCCACTTATAAAGATTGAAAATTTGGACGTCTTCATATTGATGATTCTAATATGATCCAACCACTGCCACGCCCTATCGCTTCCATTGTAATTAATTAAGGCTGAGGTGGTTGAAGTGAGCGTGAGCAGGGGGTCCAATCGTGATGCGGGGCAAGAACCGTCCGCCGTTGTAGAGCTGTCGGGCCCAGTGTTTTTGGCGGGGCAATTACTCTCCCTCTACGGATACCTGGCATTCGGCAGCTGAAGGTACCTACCTAAACCGCCCCGGCCTCTGCCCCTCGACGGCCAGCTCAATCAGCCAGCCTCCCAGGCACGAGACGTCATTTCCCTCCCTGCGACAATCACCTCTCCAAGCCTTCGAAGCTCAACACCTGCCAGATTGCTTCAGGCCCGACATCATTGTCGCCCGCCATGGAGTCCATCGCGCGGATATCCAGTCTGCTCGAGAGCGGTGCGTCTCCTGCTCCCTCGTCGTGTCGTCATGTTCCCCTGCTAACGTCCAACTCGTCCCAGCAAGAGAGCTCACTCTCGATGCTGCCTCGGCCACGCGCAGCTCCCGCAGCACCGGCCGCCCTCTTGACCGCACACAGATCAAAAAGCTTCTGGACAGTCGAACTGAGCGCGAGGTGCTCGATGGCCTGCGCCGCGTCCTCTCAGTAGGCATAGCGCTCTTCCCAGTCAGCTCCACGTCTTGGCTAATCAACCTCCTCTCTGCGTAGATGATGTACCGCGGCCAAAAGACGCTGCCCTTCTTCTCCTCCGTTGTCAAGAATGTCGCCTCGCCGAATATCGAGATCAAGAAGCTGGTCTACATCTACCTCATTCATCATGCCGAACAAGAACCCGATCTCGCTCTGCTCTCCATCAACACCATCCAGAAATCACTCTCCGACACGAACCCCCAAGTCCGCGCACTTGCTCTCAAGACCATGTCTGGCATCCGAGTGCCAGTCATCAGCCAGATCGTATCTCTCGCAATCAAGAAGGGTGTGGCAGATATGAGTCCCTACGTGCGCCGAGCTGCCGCCCTCTCCATTCCCAAATGCTACCGCCTCGATCCGACACAGCTGCCGCAACTGCTCGAGTACCTGACTGCGCTACTTGGCGACAAGCAGTACTTTGTCGCTGGTGCAGCAGTATCGGCCTTTCTCGAGATATGTCCCGATCGAATCGATCTCATACATCCTCAGTACCGGGCGTTGGTCAAGAAGGTCGTGGATATGGACGAATGGAGTCAGCTGGCGACGCTGAGAATGATGACATATTACGCAAGGAAATGTTTCCCCAGACGGACACGCAGTGTCAAGAGTCAGGCAAAGACGGCCAATCTGGGTGACTTTTACGGAGAAACTTCGCAGACTGGAGGTGAGGAGCAAGAGGTTGCCGTCGTGGACCCAGACCTGGCCCTGCTGCTCAATGGCATCAAACCGCTGCTACAGAGCCGCAACTCAGCCGTGGTCATCGCGGTCACAAGGTGCTACGTCGACATTGGCACGCCCGAATATGTCAAGATAGCGATTGGCCCTCTTGTAGCGCTCCTCAGGGGACCGCAGGATATCCAGCAAGTCGCCCTCTATAACATTGTCTCGGTGTGTCTGACGAGGCCAACCGACTTTGTCAAATATTCCAGTCACTTCCTCGTCAGAGCTACGGATCCTGCACAAGTATGGGAGTTGAAGTTGGAGATTTTGACGCTCATCTTCCCCTACGCACCACCGCACATCAAGAGCCTCATATTGAACGAACTCGAGCACTTTTCTGGCTCGACGAACAAGGCGTTGGTGCGAGAAGCGGTGCGCGCTATTGGTCGATGCGCCCAGACGGACTCATCTGCGGCTCCTAGGTGTCTTCGGTTACTCCTCGGACAGATCACGAGTCTCGACGGAACTTTGGCAGCAGAATCCCTGACTGTGATTCGGCACCTAATTCAGCAAGACCCCCAGGGGCACGTGGGTACGGTTGTGCGTCTGGCGAAGAATTTGGACTCGGCGACAGATCCTCAGGCAAGGGCAACCATTATATGGCTCGTGGGCGAGTTTTCCGGCCTCGAAGGCGAGGACAACATCGCAGCAGACGTGATGCGGATTCTTCTGAAGGACTTTGCGAGTGAGGCAGAGGTAGCCAAGGGACAGATCCTCCTTCTCGCGGCCAAGGTCTATCTTCATCACCTGAACCGGCAAAACGAAAACAACGGGGAAGACGATGCGCCCGTACCGATCCAGGATGACCATCCTGTCGCGAAACTCTGGGACTATGCGTTATTGTTGGTCCGCTACGACACATCCTACGACCTTCGCGATCGAGCCCGGATGTACCGAGCTCTCCTTTCCGTGCCCCAGCTGGCCACGTTGATGTTATTGGCGCCGAAGCCCGCACCTCAGGCTCCGAGCCCGTCAGAGACGCGCAAGGGCTTCATGCTCGGCTCATCAACACTTGTGTTGGCCGGTGGAGGTGGTATCCATGGTCTGCGTGGTTACGATGCTCTTCCCGAATGGGTGGCAGAGGGCTCAGAACCAGACCGGCGGTTGCGAGAGACGGAAACAACATTATCGGGCTACGGCGAGGATAAGAGCCTGCCGGCAAGTCAAATGCTTGACAGCGCGATCAGAGCGGCACCGACACGGATCAACGGTCTCGGCGCCGTTGTGGGTGCTGGTGCTGCAAGCGGTGTTGGTGTCAAGACGCTGGATGACTGGCTCGCTGAGGAGGAGAAAGAGGAGCAGCAATCAGCCTTTCACATGGAGGAGGAGGATGACGAGGAGGAGGACGACGAGGAAGAGGAAGAAACAGAGGAAGAGGATGACGATGATGAGGAAGATGACGAAGAGGAGGAGAGCAGCGACGACGACGACGATGACAGCGAATGACATGTACTTGTCGCAAGCGGACTGACTGGTAGCCGGAAGCTGCCTTGTCAATTAAAGCATATAACTAAATAACATGCATTTTTGCACTTTTCCTCGGAGCTTCTCTGAAGTCACCTTCACCGAGCGCGCGGCATCTGGACAGCCATTGGGCTACGTCCATCGCTGGACACGGGGAATATAAAAGTAAAAACCTGATCGCAAATTGGGGCAGACCTTTGTGACTGATTGGCAGCGGCGACGGGTTGCTTTCTACATTAGCACAACAGCATTCCTCCAACGCTTCAGTGAGATTGGGTGCCCCGACTGTCTGGGTATGGAGTCGCATTTCTACCCGCAATGGACTGGCCAACGCGTGTACGAAAGCGAGCTGGGATTTGCCCGAAGCGAAGTGCCTCTCGGATCCTCCCAGGCTTCTGAGCCGGTGTTTCTAGCGGGAGAAGATTGAGTGACCCTGGTCAACATCTCGGTTAGGTGCTCGGGTGGCCGTCTGTCAGCATCGCTTAGCCCGTGTTATTCGGATAGAAAACCCCCGCAACGAGTGGATTCCGTGCGGAACCGAGCCAAGGCGCTAGAAGGATGCTAGGATTCGGTGCCTCTCGCAGTCTCTACCGTCCCTCGCCTCGACTGTCTTGCCTCTTGCGTCTGTTTGTTGTATCTCGAGTCTGGTGTTCAGAACATGATTGTTGACTGAAAGCCAGTAGCTTGGTCTCGATTCACCTAGTCAACACATGGTTGTGGAATTGGAGGTTGATGCTAAGATCTCAAGTCGTATCCCATGATGTTTAGATCCAACATGTCATAGAACGTCCGAGGGCCCAACAGAGAGGCAACATGGTCCAATGGCCATCAATCACACCAAAAGGTCCGTAAGCGGCAGACGCAGTGGTTTCCATTTCGAGTGGCTCAGCGGGTCCTCGGGTAGACGACGGAGATCTTGGCTCTGTCCTTAGCGTCGCCGTTTGCTGCCACCCCTTGTCGCTCTTATTGCAGAGATACCATCTCGTCTCTCTCGGTTTGTTCGGTTTTCGCATCACTGGCCATGAACTGACCAGTCGGGCGGTAACTACGATGGAGGGAGGGGCTGCCATGGGATTTCTGACCCTGGGATGAGTGTCTACAAAGATACCAAATAGCCAAAGGCTACTGCCCATGCTACTACCAAAGTTCATATGTCTTCATACATATATCTTTAGATGACGGACGTCGTCCGTATTTCATTTCTCACTGCTGTCCCTAATTTTGTATCTACATTCGATTCCATATCAAGGCCTTCTTTTCTCGACTGGTATACGCCAGAGATATTGTATTCTTCGACTCTGAGACAACCACCCAAGAGTAGGTCTAATCAAACTCGCGGTCGATCGCCTTCGAAATATAGGCAACTTCGCGATACTTTGCGACAACCTCGATTCCCAACTAAGTCAGACGATACTCGCCCAGCAGCGTTTGCAAATCGCCCGTCACCATGTCAGCCAACGACACCACGATACGGCGGCCGTTCCGCGAGTGTACCGAAATCTCACAGTTTTGCCCCGTTGAGATGACCGTCTTGTCCTACTACCCCAATTTCGGCGCCAACATCTTCTTCGCCATCGCCTTTGGCATGATCGTGCTCGTGTCCGCCACCATTGGAACGTGGAAACGCACCTGGACGTTTATGGCTCTTGTGACGGGCGGCTGTGTCCTCGAGACAGTTGGTATGGAGTTCCCTGCCTCATCTTAGTTTGCTCACGAACCGTCATCCCAACTTGCGACTGGATGGACCCTGTGCCCCGTGCCTCTTAACCACCACCATCGTGGACAACCTCCCTTGTCACAACTAACACAGTCTCAGGTTACGTCGGTCGCGTCCTCCTTCACGAGAATCCTTGGAACAAGGACGCCTTTCAAATGCAAATCTGCACCATCATCCTCGGTCCGACCTTCATCTGCGCTGGCATCTACCTGACCCTGAAGCACGTCTCTGCCCACCTCAACCCGACCCTCTCACGCGTCCGTCCCCGTCTGTATCCGCTTATCTTCCTCCCCGCCGACCTCACCTGCCTCATTATTCAGGCCATCGGCGGTGGCCTGGCTGCTGCAGCGGGCCAGACGAACAAGAAGCTTCTCGACGGGGGAAACCAGGCCATCATTGCGGGAATCGTGCTGCAGGTTGTGGTGTTGATGCTGTTTGGGATTACTGGCGCGGACTACTGGATCCGGGTGAAGAAGTGGGCGCTCGGGGCCGATCCCAGCGCCGGCGATGTCGCGCTGTACCATGCAAAGAGGTTTAGGTCCTTCATCTACGCCGTAGCGGTGGCGTACGCGTGTGTGATGATTCGTTGCATCTATCGGTAAGTCGGGTTGTTCCCTCGATGAGTGAAGAAAATATGTGTGTCTGATGATACGAATAGTGTTGCCGAGATGGCCGGTGGATGGGGCAACCACATCATGCAAGACGAGGTGTCCTTCATGGTACTCGACAGCGGCCTAGTCTTGATCTGCGTCACGATGCTGACGGCGTTTCACCCCGGTCTCTTCTTCCCGCAAATGGCCAACGCCCGCAAAGCACATATCGGGGAGAAGTTGGGGGCGACAACGACGTCAACACCGGAGAACAGCAAGATCGAGTCCGGGCGCGAGTCCGCATGAGGAAGCGAAACGAGCATAATAGTAGACAAAAGATGGTGTTAGACGGATGAAGAAGGGGATCGGTTGCACATTGTTTTTGTATGAGGGTTGAGACAGTTGGGAGTCAACGTCTTCTCTCTCTCAGCTTCATAGACTGGGCCTCTGCGCTCTCTCAAAGAAGTCGAACGATGTGGTCTGAACCAGTACAACATGTGATGTGTTTCAACTCAGCTTTGTCCCGAGCTTTGTTAAATATTCTCGGTTCCGGTATGGGAAACAGCAAGAGATAGTCCTTTCAGCGGATCAGGTCAACAATTCATTGTTCAATGAATACGTTTCAATGTTTGTTAAGTCACATAATGCCAGTGATTAACCTCAGACACATAAACGTGCCGGATCACACTATTTCCTCCAAGTAAACCGGTCAACGTCCTCTTTAACTCAAATGCCAAACTCTCGTCGGGAACATCGTCTGAATGAGAGCTTAGGCCTTTGTAAGCTACTCCCCATACCACTTTTCTCACAATGTGCATCGCAGACGTAGTCCATTTCATGTGCGGTATCTGCAACACCCGTCTAGGAAAACCACGCCGCCGAATCCTCGAACAATGTTCTGCTACTACCTTTACCGACGACACCAATTGCTCTCAGCCCCAACACTGTGGCGTCCTCTATGATACAGTTCCCGACCCGTCCGCTTCCGACCCGGCGCTCACCCCTTGGGGCCTCGAGTTTGAAGTCTTGAAGACGGCGCCGGGGTACACCCTCATCGAACCACAGCACCGTCGTCCGAAGCCGAAAATGGTTCATTGCGAGCTACGTGTGGATCACCTTGGTGAAAAGGAGGCAAAAGTCAGAGAGAAGTGGTGGAGGACAGAGACGAAGGCACTGGCGGGTACTAGGGAGAACAAGAGGCTCATCCCAGGTCCTTCGACTGCAGGATGGTCTGACATCTTTCGATGAATGAGTTTGTTGTTTTGTAAGTATTTTGTTACAAAAACCCCAGGCTTCTACCATCCTAGTTTCATGGATGACTGTTTTCACTCTGTGCCTCCCAGGTACCTATAGACGACCGAAAAATCGCGCCCTTTGCACTCCTCCTCAGCCTCAGCGGAAGCATACACCTCCGTCGCCTTGCCGGCCAGCTCCAACTTGGCGCCCGCCTCTCTCGCAGCGACGACAGCCAACCCGAGATCCTTGCGCATCAATCCGATCCCAAACCCGCCCTTATAATCTCGCCCCGCGGGACTCCCCTCAACGACGCCCTTGACGGGGTTATTTACCTCGCTAGGCCAGCACTTACCCGTGCTGACATTGATGACACCCGCGAGAACCTTGGGGTCCAGCCCCCACTTCATACCGAGATTCATCGCCTCGGCCGTCGCAATATTGTTGATAGCCAGCAGGTAGTTGTTTGCCAGCTTCGCGGACAGTCCCGTGCCCTGCGGTCCGCAGTGTAGCACGCGCCGGCCCATGCGCAGGAGCGTCGGCTCGATGGTGGATAGGTGCGCGGCGTCGCAGCCGAGCATAAAGGTAAGCGTGCCCGCCGTGGCCCCGACGACGCCGCCGGACATGGGGGCGTCGACAAACGTGCCCTGTTTGCTGGTCGAGGCCGAGACGGAGGCGGCGACCTCGCGAGAGGATGACGGGTCGATGGTGGAGCAGTCTATAAAGGTGCGCTTGCGGGAGGGCAGGTCTTTCAGGATGGAGGCGTAGACTGATTTGACGTGAGATGGCTCCGGGAGAACGGTAATGACGGTATCCTGGTGGGTCTTAGTCTTCATGTGTTGGGACTGAAGTCTGAAGCAGGAAGAAGTGACATGAGATGCTCAATGTCAGAAATCTTAGGAAGTAGTTTTACTCAGTGGGCGGATGTAGGCCGCCTCATAGTTGGCAAAACAGTTTTAAGAATGCATCATAGGAGCAAAGGGTGGTTCACTTTGAAAACGAAAAACAAAACCTGATTACTTACAGCTTCAATTGACGCATCTCGTGCAGTGCCAACAATGGCGACCTTTGCGCCGCCGGTCTGCGACTGGTCCATCTCCTTGGCCAGGTTCGAGACGGCGTCCTTGTTGATGTCAAAGATGCGAATCTCATCTTTGGGACTCAGCTTGGACTGCAGGTTCTTGGCCATTTGGTAACCCTGAAAAGGAAGAGTTAGCTGGTTATTGAGCGTCTTCATGCCGTTGTGTTTGGGGGGCCATACCATTTGCCCCAAGCCGATGAAGCCATAGCTCTCCAACCGCCGCTGTGTGGTCGCAAAGCCGCGCTGTTGTTGGACGAGTCTCGGGAGAGCTCGCAATGTCGAAGCCACCCGCATCTCGTGACGTGTATGGCAATCTCAGACGATATGAACCGAGCAGGGCTTTGGTGAATGTGTAAAAGGAGAGAAAACCCCAAAAAACCAGGTTCCAAACGCTCAATAATCTCTTCATCAAAGTTGGAGGAGAGACGGCATTCCAGCCGATCGTAACCCCAGCTTTTTCTCTTCACCCGCTTGCGTCGCTGCGGGGGAGAGCAGCCAACGGTCATCCGGGGAGCCGGCCATTGCCGGTGTTAGCCACGCCGCTCGTACCTCGAATGCCTTGGCCCCGTCACCCGAGACCTTTGTCTCCCAACCCATGCATGGCGCGTCTGCGGGAGCGGCCCCGGATGGATTGGGGAAAAGAAGTGGTTCCGCCCCCCTTGCAGATGATGCTAATAATACTGCACGGTACAAAAAAGACGTATAACAACCTCGCTGGGGGAGATCGAACCCAAGCTCTGCCTTCTTCTCATGATGGAATGGTGAGTTGGAGAGGAACCACTCTTTCGGAAATATCGTGAGAAATATCTGATCTCTTATACGTCGTCGTATGTGGACCAAATGACATCAGTTTGACAAACATCATCTCCAATGCCGATGGAGACGAAAGGGATAAGTGGTGGAGATTCCGGCAAGGAACTGACTCTTCGCCAAGGGCCTTCCATGAAATAATGGGACGTCTGACCAAGAAAGAGACGGTCCTACCGGCAGCGGTTGGGACAAGCTGAGGTCAAGCACCAAGTATACCAACATTCAATTTGCCAGTCAACTAACTACCCACTTGTCTACGAAGGTAGAAGAAGTTGTGGGGTGACCCGGTCATAACCCGACTGTCTCTCGATTCGATGCACCAACGAACCCTTTCTAGTTCCTCACCTCATGAACACAAAGTGTAGTCACGATAGGCCTCTACAGCTCCACGGCTCCTGGTATCGCAGCATAGCCTTTCACTCTGTATGAGCGAGGAAGCGAATAGACGATAATGCCCGGAAGAAGCATCTCTTGCAACGCATGCACCATATCCCATTCGACGCCCGCAAGCTGAGAAATACCTAAACAATACATCAATTACAATTGCCTCAATCCTGAACAACGGCTTTGCCCTCCCGCGCCCCTCCATTCGCCGTAGAGACGATCTCAATGTACACTTATTTGATCCCACCCAAGATTCCACAAGCAACGAGTGAAAAGAAAGCTGGCCCGAGTGCCCTCGAGCTTTATCTGGGTATGAGTAAAGGCAATAATACGATATAGAAAGGCTGCCGCCGAGTTCTTGCCCTGGCTTCTGGGTTTGAGGTAGTCAGAATATCCGATATTCCACTACTATCCGCCTCCATCCACTGCATCCCAGAGCGCTCGAACTGTTCCCGACGTATCAACCGACGTCTTAGAAAGAACCCAAAAAGTACGAGAATGCACTGCGTATTTGGTTAGCCGCCTCCAGTTGTACATGGCAACGAATGGATCCAGAAATACACACCCTACGGCGAGTGACACGGCACTCAGACCGAACAAAGCCCGGTTCCGTACGCGGAGCTTCTTGACCTGCACCTCGGCAGTCTTCGCCTTCTTTGACCGCGGTTCCTCGGCAGCCTCTTTCTCCTCATTCTCATCATCTCCTTTTGAAATGTCTTCGGCTCCACGTTTGCTCTTGACCTTGGGGCTGTCAACGCCTTCTGACTTGACGGCAGCCGCCTCAACCATTTGCTTCGCCTCCGCAATCATACGCGCAGTCTCCTCAGCAGATGGCGGCTCTGCACTCAGCAGGGGAAGCTCTAGTGATACAGCAGTGTGTTTAGTCTCGTTGCCATCCTCGTCCGTCCTGATGTCTTGATCGACGATAATCTTGGCCTTGGGCTCCTCCTCTCTGGCCTCGAAGACTACCGCAGGCTCCGCCTCAACTGTCTTGACAACGGTCTTGATCTCCGCTTCGGCAACCTTGTCTTCTTCAATCACGCCATTCACCTCGAGCTTAGTGGCAATCGTGGGCGTGGATTCCCTAGGCTCAACAGAATCGGCCTTTGCCCTGCGCTTTCTAGGTGATCTGACGGGTCTGGGGAGCGTAGCAGTGGCGGCGGCCTTGGTAGGGCTTGCTGAGCGGCGAGATCGAGTGCTTCGGGGGAGCGAAGTCGGGGTAGGAGGAACAAGCTGAGGATGGGCCTTGAAGAGCTCGTACTTCGGAGGCGCAGTGATCTTCTTGGGAGGGCTGTCGGGTGTGTTGGAAACGGCAATAGTGGCGGGATCCAGCAGAGCGCGGATCCAAGGTCCAACGCCGTACTCCTCAGCGAGGGTCAGAGCATGGTCGGGGGGAATCCAGACGTTGCCGGCGGTCTCCTCGGGGCTTGTGGAAGGAAGAGACTTGATGTACTTTCGTTCAGCCTCCTCCTCGGCGGCCTCGGCGTAGGGGAATGTGGCCTTGAACATTCCTGTCGCAGAGACAAAGCCATCGTGGCTGCGGCGCATCAGGAAGTAGCTGTTGGGGCTGGACTTGAAGATGCCAGAGACGATGCCCTTGGGCAAGGGAGCGCGAAGGTGGGCATAGTCGAATACGCCAAGGGTTGCACCTTCCCCGTCGGCAAGATTGGCCATCTTGGCTGTGAGCTGAGTTTGGCCGAGTCGACGACGGGCCACGAGGTCTTCGTCTAATACTTGGTCAGCAAACAATAACCCCTCGGCGCAGTCAATTGCGCAGGTTGTCAGTTATCCGTACAACGAGACACATCCTCAGTCATGAGGGAGTTACGCTTTGCGGGCAGGTGCCGGTCGGGAGCTGTAGCAGAAGGCATTTCGGAAAAGTGGGATGAAATGCGCAAAAAAAAAAAAAAAATGGCGATTAAATTGGGTGTGGGAAATGATGAGGTTTGCGATGCGCGCTGGCGGCAATCGGGGGATGATGTCTTTCAGGTCGCGTTGAATGCGGGCTCGGTCGGAGGGAGGACTAGATGGTCGCGTCAGTCTCAGCACGAGTGGAAGCGCATGAACAGCGCGCAAAAAAAGCTTTGGTAGTGAAGGTGTGTGGTAGGTGTCGCTTACTGGAGACTGGTTGGAGCTGAGCTGGAGGCGGAGTTGGGTCCTAGGAGAGCCGACGTGACGTGACGGGTCTGTCGCGTAAAAAACGGGTGCAGGGGTGGGTTGGCGATGTGATTGATGAAGAAAAGATTATAATTGATTGTAGGCAATGGAGACAGCGTTCCCGATAAGGGCCTGGCACAAAGGGCGAAGGCTGTCTCAAAGGATGGATCGAGGGGAGAGAAGAGAGAGAGAGAGTGTGTGTGTGTATGTAAGAGAGAGGGAAAGGGAGAGGGAGGGTGAGGGTGAGGCGAGGTGGTGTGTGAAAGAGAGGGAGGGACGAGTCGGGACGAGAGTGGTGACTTGTGAGGAGGAGGAGAGGAGAGGAGAGGAAGAGAGGCGGCCGGGACGGGAAGGGAAGAAGCGCAAATTGGAGCACCTCACCACTGTCTCTTCGCTTTCAGCACCAGCACAAAAGCTCAGGGTCTTTGGCACCTCAGATTCAGACTTTGGGGGTCCTCTGCTCATTGGGTAAGATTATAGGGAGGGGTGGAACTGCGGGTTCGGAAAGCGAAGCGTGACCCTGACAACGGGAGAAGGAGAGCACGTTAGGCACCTTGAGGCGAGCTATGCGACATAGATGAGTACTTTGTCAGACCAGTTCTTATCTCAAGTGGAGGATGTACATGTCTATCACGACTGCCACTTGCCGCATTTGAAGACCACCACTCCCGGCGCCTTCCCCGGAAATGCAATGGGAAGAAAGTCCCTGACTCCTGAGGAAGGAGAAAGGAAGATTATCAGATACGACAGTCCCTTCCTTCTTTCCTTTAGTGTGTGACCCTTGTCGCGTCCTTGTTGGAAGAGGGATCTGAGACTTGAGGTCCTGACGGCCTGCGTCCTCACTGCTTATTAGCACAAGTTTCCTCAGTCGACCTTTTGAGTCTCTCGACTCGTTCCTCTCCCCCGGTCCCCAACAGTTCTCGTCGCGAACGCGCAAAGCTTTGAACACCCTGAGCGCCGTTCGCTGTCGCCAGTCGAGCGGGGACAAACGAGCCACAGCCCGCAAGGGGCCGCCGGTGGCTTCTTCAAGCTGTGTCAAGAAGCTGTGGAGGGTCCAGGAGTCCAGGAGTCCTCTATTTTCAACTCGCCAGCATGGATCCTCCCCCTTTGTCGACATCCTTCGTTGCAAAGAGATTGAAAGCGGCGGCAGCTCCAGAGCTGACAGCGCGGGCGGGCCCGATGGCGATTGCGCCTGGCAACGGGCGAACTGCAGCTCTCCAGACTCCAGCCCATCATTCGACCACGTTGCCTCCGCCCCGTGCATTGCAGAATCTATTAGCTGCAGCCGCAGCAGTGTAATCGATAAGGCGGATGCTTTGCCATACCATTCCATAAGAGGTCGATAATCAGTCTCTTGATTGCCTCATTTTGCCTAAGCCAAGAAACCAGAGAGACGGACCCAGGGCCCAAATACAATAGGACACTGCTGCCAGAGCAACAGCACCGGGCTAGCTGATACACAACGCCCTTACTGAGGTGTGCAACGGATTACCGGCAGACACCTGAATGCTGCTTGGCCGCGACGATTGCCTATGGATGTTATCAGGTAAGCTTGACCGCGAGCTCGATGCATAATTGTGTATAAGCTTCGCGGGGCATAAAATACTCACAATACTCCGTATCCGTAATGCAAAGGAGCTCGGCATCCAAGATCCACCACGGGGAAGCTCTCGCAAGGATGCAGCAAGCTCTTCAACAGCATCCCAGCCACACTTTTACGGATAGCAGAGTCCAATGCAAGCTCAAATCTCTTCTCCTCAACCTAGGAAGAGCCTATTGGAGGCCGACATGTTTGATGATGCTCTCACACGGTACGCCACACGACGCGGGTGCTCCCTTCGCGACTTGAGCAAAGGTACACGGGCTGCAGTAAGCGGGTGCCCTTTCTGCAGCCCCTGGAGCAGTGGAGGGAAGGGCACTGAACTTCTGAACTTCTGAACTGCTGAAGCTTGTCGATGATGCCCCTCATTATCAACCATTCCAGACCGCTCATCCAGCCAATGAGTCGAACCGTGGTCGATGTAGACGGATGCTCCCCTCTCGACCCCCCATCCCGGATCGAGATTGGCTGCGCAAGATGCTCATGGAGGGGCAGAGAGCTGCTGCATACCTAAGATAGATGGTAAGGTACCTAGCACCTACTTGAGCTTGCTAGGGGGTTCCTTGGGTAATAAAGTATAGGTAAGGTAGCACGGCATGGCCGTCACCGAGGGGCAACAGCACCAGCAAGCCTGTATCCAGAGTGGCCAGAGAGGTCCAGTGGAATTTCCCAGTCCTCAATCCTCTCTGTTCAACACTGCTACCTTACTTCTGCTCTATCGATTTGTACCGTAGCGCTAGGTAAGGTACAGAGATGCACAGGAGCGCTTTGTTGATTGTGCCCAGGTGGTTTCGTGTGTGAAGTTCCGTCTTGTTCCAGATGTCGGCCAATCAATGCAGGTCTTGTCCCACTATTTTCATCAGCCAATGATAACTCTTGTTTCGTCCAGTCAAGGCCGGTCCTGAATCCATCAGAGCCCACTTTGCAGCGCCCACAGCCCGCCGGCTGGCCCTGACGCCTACCCCTGCCTCCTTGATTTCGGCTGGGAGAGGCAACGCCAGACCCAGCCAGACCTGAGCACAAGGAGGGGCAAAGGGAAGCGGTGACCTTTGCCGTGCGCTGCTGCTTTGCCTCGCCTTTACTGGACCGAGCATGGCCTTACCTCAACTCATCGCCCTGGCCTACCTGATCCTCAACTTTTACTTCTCTCCTCCAGAGTAAACATCGCCGAAGCCTGCCTATTCCACGGCCTCACCACCCACGTGTGTATTTCCCTCCACAGCCTCCATTTACCTTTGGTAGGCACATACGACTCTTACGCCCCAGACCAGCTTCAGCTTCAGCTCCAGCTCCAGCCTCAGCTCCCACCCCGATACCCCCACCATCAACATCATCACCATGGCTTCCCACGAGCAAGAGGACACCATGCCTGAGGAGACTCAAGGCTACAAGCTCTCCCAACCCAAGCAGAGTCTGGCCGAGTACCAGAAGATGGGTAAGTCTTTGACAATGCATTTCTTCTTGGGTTTCACCTGGTCCTTTGAGTTGTCTAGTCCGTCATTCTCCATGTTTCTGGATGCTGCTATTTGGTGGTAGGACAGGTCCAGTTGGGTCTCTCAGATGCCCCTCACACCTTCCTTCACCTTGCTTCTGGGTCAGTATGCGCAGGATGTGAGCCTCTCACATCTTTGCACTCACCCAGGGGCCAGATCATGGCATGTTCTACATCCATCTCATGGCACACTTTAGCAAGAAACAGCAGGAGGGAAGAGCACCCAGGTGCTTGCACCCACCTTCCTCACCCACACTCTTTGCTACATTTCACCCTCTCTGCCTTTCCAAACGCTTTCTATTCTCACTATCACCAACCTCAATTTTTTTCTTTCTTATTGTAACCGCCGCGATATCGATACTGCAGGCACCTTGCATGTAATACACTCTCACCACCATGGAGGCGTTATATGAAGGCATGCGTCGCATGATGCAGCGGCGCAACCGTAACAACGCCCTCATCAACCGGAACTCCATTGAGCTACCCCCTGCCCCCCTCTCAACTCCCTCGGGATCGCGCTCTCAATCGTTTAAGATGACGGAGGAGAGACACCTTCACCGAGCCAGAGCCCTCTCACGCCCTGTCCCCCCCAACCCTCCCAACTCCCCCCGGCTCCAAGAGAACGTCCTCACTCAAGACCCAAATCTCATCCGGGACTTTTATACATCTCCCCTTGTTGTTAGGGCTGCACATGGCCTGACTGTTTTTGAGCCTCTGGAAGAATATGAGAGGAGAGATGAGTTGCCAACTAACAGGGCCCCAGACGAGAACGATGAGTCTCTTCAGCGATACAAGGAGTCCCTCGGCCTTGGCGGCGGCAAGGACCTTTCTGACGCATCCGACCCCCGCGTGTGCATCATCCTGTCTCTCACAATGGAGTCTCCCGGCCGCGACCCCGTCACCATCGACCTGGCTGCTCCCGGCTCTGAGGCCACCCTCAAGGACAAGCCCTTCAAGATCAAGGAGGGTGCCAAATTCACCATGGTCGCCAAGTTCAAGGTTCAGCACGAGATTCTCAGCGGTCTGCAGTACGTCCAGGTCGTCAAGCGGAAGGGAATCAAGGTCAGCAAGGACTCTGAGATGCTGGTAGGTCTTCCCCTTACTCTCACTTGCGTTTTCCAACTTTGATGCTGACTGTGATCCATAGGGCAGCTACGCTCCCAACACCGACAAGCAGACCACCTACACCAAGCGCTGTAAGCTCCCTCTCTCAAGTAGGACCCCATGTTGTAATGTTAACCCGTCCCTCAGTCCAAGAGGAGGACGCGCCCTCCGGCATGCTGGCCCGAGGTCACTACAACGCCATCTCCAGCTTTGTTGACGACGACAAGAAGACTCATTTGACCTTTGAGTGGGCTTTCGACATCGCCAAGGACTGGTAGATCAGAGGAGGCACCTGATTGCTGCTCTACTCTCTCACTCCGTCTATCATTCTCATCATTCTCATCAAACCGAAAAGCTGTCTTGTCGCCCTGGTCCGCACTTCTATCTTCCCAGTTTTTGTCTCTTTCCGAGAAAAAAACACCGTGCAACACCGGGGTAGATTCATATCCGGCCACGGTTCGGAGGACATAGTTGGTGGAAACCGAGGCAGACAGGTCAACATCTCGCTCTCTCACAATAAAAAGAACACAAAGGGTCAACAGTCACGGCCATCGCGCAGGAAACTTGGGTGGTGGACTGGGCCGAAGCCCTCTTCTTCTCTTACTTTACAACACACAAACTTTGCTCCAACCTCATACTGGTTATGGCACATGAAGTCACGATTACAAAACAAAAATTGGTCGGTTAGATCGCAGATACTTTTTGTTCTGCTGGGTCATCTTTTGTGCCCAAGCTAAATACAGATCCCTTTGGACCCTCATCAAATGTTCGTCTATAGGTCGTCCCGAGGCGTGAGACGTGACATCTTTGGACGTTATCTAATCATGGTGGTATTTTCCACCTTGCCATTATTGTAATGACCTTTGTGAGGAACCTCTTGGTGAAATTCAATCTCAACACAGGCCACACATTGTAATTTTTTCGTTGCTGTGCGAGTCCTCTTCGTCTACTCCACGCATCGCGTCGTCTCCAGGTTCATCTTCATCCCAAGCCAGGTTACAGGAAGTAATCGGGAAGGGAATTACCATCTGCCTGTTTCTCTCCACCACCCAGCTGCATGTCCTTGTGCTGGTCATTTTCCGGGGCCGCAGCGAAGACGTTGAAGAACCTCTCGCCCGTATCACTGACCTCCAGGACGCTAGCCATATTTCCACATCGGTAGCAGTAGTTGGGTGCACTCCATACGGTGCTCAGTCGGTCGTCGTATAGGACTTGAAAGCCCTCCTGGCACAGCTGGTGTGCTCTCAGGATGTGGTCCATGTTGTTTACAGCCAAGAATTTTTTGACCACCTGTGCGCCAAAGGTATAGCCCGCTCCACGGGGACTGAGAGAAAACTCGTCGCGCTCGGGATCAGGGTCTGACCATACAAGATCGGCCATGGGACCTTCGTGGGGGATCTCGCGGAAACGGTCAATAATGACGATCTGGTCGATTGAGTGAATGGATGGCGAGAGACCTGAACCATGAAAGTTAGCGAAAGGGGGAAACAATGACGGCGCAAATGCGGGTGTAAAGAATCGGGTGGTAATACCGCCGTGGACGCAAAAGATCTTGTCGTTGATGACCACGCTCAGGGTCAGAAAGTCGAACATGTCGGTGAAATAGTGCCATACATTGGCATTTCCGTATTTTCTCGAACACTCGGTATAGAAGCCATAGGACTGAGTGACGCCGCGAGATTCATGGTTGCCTCGAATCAAATGCACGCGATTGGGGTATCGAAGTTTCAAGCACACAAGCAAAGATATCGTTTCGACACTGAACATGCCACGGTCGACGTAGTCTCCTGTTGGACAATCGGTGAGTCAGTCTTTGCATTTCCATCTTCCTGTCCGGCGAGACATGGTGCACATACCCAGAAACAAGTAATTGGTATCTGGACACCAGCCACCAATCTTGAAGATCTCGATTAGGTCGTAGAATTGGCCATGGATATCGCCGACGACAGTGACGGGGGCGCGGACGTGGACGACGTTGCTTTCGCGCATAAGCAGCTCCTTGGTTTTGGCACAAATGGCCTCGATGACGGACTCGGCGAGGAGCTCTCTCTTGTACAAGCGCGAGATACACTCGTCGAGATCGACGGAAGCTATGGTAGCACGGCACTATTAGAGAAGCTGCCTTGCCCGAGGGGGGTGGGCGCAAATATTACCTGGGAGCCCAGGCATCGTTGACGTGTTTGTATGCGACAGCAGCTGCAAGGCTGGTGTCTAGCTGATTTGGGAGTCGGGAAGAAGATGTAGCAAGACTACAGCGGAGGGTCGTCGCAATGGTCTGTGATTCACGAAGCAGGTCGTCGGAGACCACTTCTACTGAAGAGGCGGGCTATGTGTATTGGGGGGCTTCGTGGTTGTAGTAACATGATCGAGGACGACGTGCCTTTACATGGGAGCAGGAAGCGCGCGGTGGCAGACAAGACGAAGCAGACTAGTTAGAGTGCAGGCTGATTCGGTGGCAGATGGAGGGTGGGTGGAGAGAGTGAGAGTGCACGCCTGTATTTCGGTAGGCTTCGAGTGGTCGAGTGGCTCGAGATGCCCAGTCGCCCAGAGCAGAAGAGAGCCGAGAAGAGAGAACGAAAGGATGGGTACTATGGTTGTAGGCCGTGGGGATGCCCTCGGCGAGAGACCGTGGTAAGGTATTCTTCGAGGCTTCGAGGCTTCGAGGGACGTCATGCTGCAAAGGCGACGTCCATCTCAAATTGGAACAGCTGGGGAAGCTCGGACCTGGCTGAGAAATCCCATCCAGATGGGACTTCAGACAGTAAACGGGACCTCCAATGATTGGACTCGGTTGCGTTATGTGGCCCCACCTCTGTCAAACCTGCACGCTGGCAGGTCGAAGGTGCTTACGTACACACGCAGCTTTCAAGAGCAGACGGCCGCTGCAGGGCCCTAACTAAGGCTGCAGAGGCGCTGGGACTGCGCGGCGCGAGGTGCTGACGGGGAGAGGACGAACGCTGGCCAAGGAAGCCTGGACTTGCCATGTCAGCAGGGGGCGCGGCCATTCACCCTGGAACGCTGTGCTCCTATAAAGTCACCGTTCCCCCCCTCTGATGAATAGTCCTGGCGGGTGCGCCCTTTTCTTTTCCTCACCTCACTGTTGCGCGTCCGTACGGATTGGCTCCACCTGGGATTCTTCCCGTCTTCACCAGCTTGCAGAGCTTTCCCATTCATTGTCATTTTCTCCGCAGCGGCAGCCTCCGATCTGCGACGTCAGAGAGACAGAATTCTAGCCGCCGCCACGCGGATCCGTGGCAGTGGACTGTAGCTCGATATTTCCTTGGTTGTTTTCAGGCGCGTTCTTCACAAACACGGGTCGGGCTGCTGACCTCGTTCGCTCCATTGCTGGCTGGCCGTCTCCAGGGACCCAACAGCACCTGGTTTCTGAGCCGTCATAGAAAAGCAGTCACACTTTTCCTTCACCCTGGTTTCTCCCCAATTCCCTAGGCGCGACAGTTCTCAGATCTGCCAGCTGGTCTCCTGGACGCCATGCTCGTCTATCGCGGTCTCTGTTTCAACCAAGATAATATAGCATTTCTTTCCTTCTCTGTCTCTTGAACGTCTCATTAAGCTCCTGGTTAAACTCATATGTCCTGCGCCTGTGCCGTGGACCAGCATCTATATGCTCCTGTTCCGGTATCCGTGCCCATCAACACTTCGCGCAGCTCCAGGTTGCCCTCGAGCACCGCCTCCTGTCCTGCCAATCTCGTCCGATGACAACAGCTGCAAGCTTTCCTAATCTTTGATCCATGACAGATTTCGAGGTAGACTTGAAAACAACATCAGTCCCGGAAGTCTCATGAGACCTGTTATACATCAAGATTTCCACCCCTTGAAATTCTAGTTCAGAGATGAGATGCGTTCAGACAAGGCGTGCTTAACTACTCATGCATGAGAGATCAGATGTGGCCTCTGATCCTGCATGTCGGAATCTCCCCCCAACCCAACAAGTCAGATACGACATGCATAAAAACATACTGCCCTGTCCGTCAGCTTATTGCTGCCTCTTGCCGCTGCCTCTCTGAGTCTGGCTGGCCGAGGTAAGCCCAGTCCCGTCCTCCTGCTCTGCCTCCGGCCAGAAAAAGAAACTATGCGACCGGGCCGATGAATTTCCGGCCCCTTTCAGCCTTCCCTTGCGGAAGGAGTTGCCTTGGTTGTTCAGCTGTGCCTCACTGGGCAGGTGCAGTGGCCCACTTTACGCCTGAGCCTGGGCGCGCAACCTTCGTTTTTGGTCGACTTCGTCGCGCTCTCCCACGATCCTCATCCCATTACCCCCCTGGAGTGAGACAAAGCCCATGATAGGCGCCTTGTTTAGGCCTCTCTATCAAGACTCCTAACTTTAGAGGCTGAGTTACGGCTTTTATTGTCAACCGTCCTCAACCCCTTCCTCACAGCACGGCCGTCAACAGGCGGTGCTCCAACTTCAGTCTGCTTAGGCGCATTTCCTAGAGACTTCTGAATGGCATCACAATATCCGTCACTTTGACCCGCTGATTCGAGTCTCAGTCGGATTAGGGGGCTGTGTACGCTGCTACTCCGAGTTTATCCGTTGCTCAGCATCTCGCTCACCTGCTGTTAGCGCAGCTCGAACACCCAGGTTGGCGCCTCTGACTCTCTTCCCCCGTCTTTGGCGAGCTCCTTCTGATACCTTATATCAAGTCTTTCTTTATTCAAGTCGGCTTTGGTATTTGTTACCAACTATCTTGCTTAGCAGCAAAGAGGTATTTCCGTCCTGCTCTAGCTCTTCTTTTCGCTAGACTTCTCTCAGCCCAGCTTGGACCTTTGCCTTCATAGATGAAATCTACATTCTCACTGGCTTGGTCGCGGTATTCTTCCTGAAGACGACCACCTATTCCTCCCTCTGGGCGTGGGTCAAAGCTGTTCACCAGCCCAAGAAACGAGGCACCTCACTATCAATCATGGCCGACCATGCACCAGGAATGGGGCCAGCTACGAAAGAGCCCAGCTGCATTAATTGTGGCGGGGTTGGACATTGGGCCGTTGCTTGTCCGGAGCCTGTCAGAGCGAAGCCCGCGTAAGTTGCCTGATGCCAAGTCGGACATGGAGGCGACTGTTCCCTGCTTCGAGCCTGAGCAATACTGACTCGATCAAAGCGGCTTGTCACGAAAAAATATTTCAATCGGCCATGATCATTATGGCCGAGGTGGTGAACATCATCAAGGCGGACGCCGTTCGGGGGCTGTCGTGACCAAGTATCCGGCCCCACTAAGCGGCAATCCGATCGTTACTCGATACGCTCCGCCCCCGGGCCAACCCCATGCTCCTCCGTACCCCGGCCCCCTGCCTTCCTATCCGTCATACCCTCCACCTCCCAATGGCTACCCTCCCCCGCCGGCAGGGAGCTACCCCGGCTATTCCCAGTTTTCTCCGCCGCCGCCGCCTCCCCCCGGCGCCTACCCACCACCTCCCGCTCCTCCCGCACCGTACCATTATCCAGCAGCTGGCCAGTATGGCGGGCCTCCACTTCCCGGTCCCTCTAGTCTACCACCTCCTCCATATCAACCACCACAATACGCTGCCGGTGCTCCTTACCCTCCACCGTCTTACCAGTCAGCACCTGGATATCAGCCCGGTCCTCCACCCTCGAGCGTTCAGTATCCGCCTTCCTATAACTCAACACCTCCGGGAGGCTACCCTCAGCCGCCTTACGGATCTCAACAGCCTCCGCCACCGAATTCTTACCCTCCCTCATACGGTCCACCTGCTCCGGGATATGGCCATCCGCCTCCCTTGCCTGGCCCTCCACGTGCTACACCTCCAGGGCTCCCACCAATACCTCCTCCCAGGAGCCAACCGCCGCGGGATCGGAATGGACGACACCGCCAGGGGCATAATAACCGAGATCGTTCTCGCAGGAACAAAAACGGCAACCAGCCGAAACGGGATGCTTCGCAGTCCAGACCCAAGTCCGGCAATAAAGACCGACCTGAGGCACAACAGCCCGAAGCTCAAGCAAAAGCTACTGAGGCGCCATCAGTCGCAAGTGGTACGCCTGAAAGCAGAAACGTCAACATAGCTTCAGAGCAGGAAGCTGATGAAGAATTTGATTGGAAATGGGAGGAGGAGATGGTCTTCAAAGAGCTAGGCGAAACTCATCAACCAGACCCGATTGCCATGCCGCTACCCGGACCTGAGAATTACCATGATAACGTCATGCTGCCTCCGGCGTGGAATGCCACTTGGATCCAGTCTCGATTTGCAAAGGAAGGTAATCTCGAAGATTTCTCGCGGCCGATACGAGAGACGGAATTCTTCATCACGATGCAATACGACCCAGCGTTCTGGAAGTGTCCCGAGGGGCGTGCGCACAAGCAGCTCCCTGAGCCACGAGAGAAGACCAGCACTTTCAAGTCCAGTCGCCTTCCAGGGTTCCCATCTCTCCCGCCGAAACCTCCTACCCCAGAAAATCGTGATTACCGACTGATCAATAACCGAAAGCGAACATTGGACGATTCAGCATACAAGAACCCACGAGCCAGGGGTGGCCAAGAAGTTGGTGAATGGGCGGATCATCGTCATAAGAGGCACAAGGTTGAGTCGCTTTCCGGCTACAACGCCAATTCACCACATAATCGAAGATCCAGGGACGACTTGAGGCCGGTTGATCGCAATCGTCACCAAAGACCAGAACACACCGATTCTGATCCTGCCCAGGCGCTCCTCGTGTCCTTGGATGAGTCTCAAGACACCGGTTCATCCAGGCGATTTGATGAAGAGAGAGTCGCAGGTCTACAAGACTCTGGATATTATAGCTCCCGACATGTTCGCAGGCAGACCTCGACCAACAGCTTCCAGGAAAGGGGAGCATCACCGCCCCTAACGCTTCGCGGAACATCACGCCCAGAAAGCCGGCCGCAGAGCCGGCAGGCATCTCAATCTCGATCTCGTTCGCGTCACTCCCGCCGCCGTGGATCTCACAGCAGCCCTGCCGAATCACGCCCAGTATCTAGGCAATCTGCGGCGTCTTTCGGTACTGAAGCATCAGAACTATCAGCACTAGAAGCTGAACTACTCGGCATTGCTCCCAAGTCGAAAGGAGACCGTGATGGCAAACACGATGGCATGAAGATGCGGAAGCGCGTTACCAAGGTCGATTCAGCTTACAGGTAAGTAAATTGATCTAGCACCTTTTCGTGTTCTCTTGCTAATCTGGGCTCGAAGTCGCCGGTGGTGATTATCTCTTTAGCATTTTCATCTCTCGGCCCGTACATTCGTAGTTCAGCAGAGGCTACGGCATCCGCGGCATGCGACGGCGCCAAACATAGGCACGCAGACAGTTTCTGCCCGATTGTTCACACCGCTACACTCTAAACAGCAGCAGCGTAGACATAGAATTCCCGCTTTAATAAACAACAGTCTGGCAGCATTGCATTGAAATCTGGCGTTGAGATGGAGTGAGTCTGGTGGCCGAGGATTGGCTCTTCGGTCTGGATCCGGCGTCATGTGGGTAGAACTCCTCGTTGAATGATAAACACCATCATCTTGTTTCTTGTACTAGACACCACACCGTCCCAGCCTTGGAGTATCTGCATGCCCGAGAGAGGCATGCGAATGGCCAGATCAAAATCAAATTCTTGGCAGAATCAAAATGTTTCCGCTATTGCCACTGGTCAAAAGTGTTTAGTTTCCTGCCTGCCTGACACAAATCCGGTGTCAAGTCATTACAGCACCGAGCAGAAGGGATATGGCCTGTGCTTTTGAAAGTCAGTTCAGCACCTTCGGACGATGATAGAGTTTGCCCCGTCGGCTGATTACCATCCTCGGGCCATTTTTATGCTCCATACTAATCCATTCTAAGCATATGCCTAAACAGACAGTATCGGATAGAGGCCGCGGAACTAGCCAGCAGAAGATGCTCTGAGACGCTGCAAACATTGCGGGAAACAATCACATATCAGTGATAGTGCACGAGAGTTTTTCAAACTCCGATCGGCGTCAATTGCCTATGGAAATGTGACGACCTAATAATAAGAAAAGTATGTAGGAAATAAAGAACGGCCGTTTCCAAAAGCTCTATACCCAAGTCTGGAATTCGCCGAGCCTCAAAAGTCCCTGACTTACTGCGGCATCGGCCAATCTCCCAAATTCCCAGGTTTGACGCGCCAGAAAAATTCACCAAAGCTTGTTGACAAGTCGCTTATGCGCGGTTGTTGAGCTCCATGCGCTTCTTGAGGCGGTAGGCGATGGCGCGCTTGCGGCCGGCCGCGCTCTGGATGAAGGCTGCGGAGCCACCGAAGGGGCCTGCACCAGCACCGTTGCGGACACGGACGACGCATACATTGGAGGCCATGCCGACCTTGCCGTCGCAGGTCATGCCAGCGGGCATCATGACCTTGACGGGGTATTCGGTGTTGGTGGCGAGCGACAGACCCTGGATGCCAAGGCCCGGGACGTCAGTGGTAACCTGAGCGCTCTGGAAAGCCTCCTCCTTGGTGCCGCCGGAGGTGCCGTCGACATCGGCGGTCAAGGGCCCGGCGCCATCCTGGTTGATCTGGCGGTAGGTCATGGAAATGGTGCCGTCGTCGGCACAAGTGGGCATACCTTGGGAGGCACCCATACCGGCGGTGGCGGCGACGCGAGCCTCGGGGGGACCGTTCTGCTTGTTGCCCTGGTTCTTGCCACCACCGCCGCCAAAGAGACCGGCGAGACCCTGGCGAGCGTAGAGCTCGGCACGCTTCATGTTGGGGATGTTGTCCTCGACACCGGTGCCGGAAGCAGCGCCATTATTCTTGGGGGCGGCGGCACCACCCATGAAGTTGTTGACCATCACGGCGGCGTCGACGGGGCCGTTACCCTGAGTGCGGCCAAGAGGGCCAACCTCGCCGGAGGCGATCTCGCGATCACGGATGATGGCAGTGTCGGCCTGGGAGCCGCAGCCGTTGGAAGTGCAGTCACGGGGAGTTCCATCGGCGACTGAGGAATGAGTTAGTGACTGTTGTGTATGAGGACATACGACCACTAGTGAGAGTGAAGCTTACTTGTCAGACCGGGCATTGTGACGCCATTGGCTCCCTCGACGGACAACAGCGTGCCGTGGGCAGAGACGGTAGCAGCCAGGGCGGCGACGAGGAGCGATTGGGAGCGCATTTTGAATGAGAGGTTCGAGCTTGAAGAAACCGGATAGAATCGGAGTGGTTTTAGAAATTAAGAGTTCCTATTCGTGAAGAGCCACCGGGGCTGAGATAGGTAAGGAAAGTGAAGAGGGTGAAGAAGTGAAGGGCTTGCTTTGTTGATGCTGTGTGATGAGGACAGAAAGAAGTTAAATTCGGTGGTGTGGACGGGACTGTTATATAGAAGATGTTGACTGGACTTGCTTGGCATTCCATATCATGGTCAGGGGGGATGAATTTGACAAATTCCCTGGGCCAAGATGGGACGGGTTGGAGGTTCGGAATCGGATCGTTCCATGCTGGACCACTGTCGTAGCAAGCAAAGCAACGAAGCAGTGCGGTGCAGGCAGAGACAGGGCAAGGCCAGGCGGGCAGGCAAGCAAGCAAGCGGACGAAGAGGTTCCAGGGTCTGTTCTCAGCTGAACCTCACCCCGCCTCCTTCTACACACGCGCGCTCATACTGGTAGAGAGAGAGAGAGAGAGAGAAAATGTGTGTAAGAGAGAGAGGGAGAAAGAGAGAAAGGTACATTGGCGGACAGACTCGCTCTTGCCGGCCTGCCTTGATCCCCGATCAGACCTTGCACCCTGCAACCCTTCGTCAGTGTCAGTGTGTTCCCGATGGCTAGGACATTTGAGCCGTCAGCCAAAATCAACCTCAAGCATGGCTCGGTATCACGTCGGCTCAAGTGGCATAGGGAACAAGAGGAGGGGTGTGGACTTTTTGGGGGTGTGTGAACTCGGATTCTGTTTCTTGGCTTCACAACTGAACTCGAGAGAATTGGAATTGGTAGAATCTTTTACAATGATTGTGAAATGAATATGGGACGACCAGACGACTGCGACGTCGGAGGCCGGTCAGTGAACGGTAGGCATCGACATGCGATACGCAGGAGGCTAGGGTTCGGAAGTTGAAGCATTACAAACGGATCGCCAAGAAGCGGCTTAAAACAAATCGCATCTTGGTTGCTGGAGTTGCCTCCCAGAAAGAGAGACGTGGAAGCGCCCGAGAATCCAGCCGCTCACATCCAGATCCTGGGGGTGGTAGGTAGGCTCGGGTGGGTTGGGGCTACTGCGCCTCGTTGCCTCGGTAATGCTGCGCGCGTGTGTGGTGTGCGGCGTGTTTAGGAGACAGAGTGATTTGAGTGATGTGCAGTTTGGATGTGCGGCGAGGGGTGGGTCGCGATGTGGAGGATGCCAGAGGATGTGTCGATGTGCTGCCGGGTTGTTAGCTCGAGGGTCGAGTGGACAAGACTCGAGGGAGGACGTGTGGGATGTGAGGTTAGGTTTTCAGGTGCATGAAGCTTGGCGAATCTTTGCTCGCAAATCTGTTTCAGTGAAGGTCTTGGCGACGAATGGCCGTGCTGTGCCTTGAGGTGACTTGAGTGAGGTGAAGATGTGTGAAGCATAGGACCTCAGAAGCGTCAGGGACTCATGAACTCAAGAACACGCACGTGGCTTGTAGTCAGCAAGTAGGTCTTTAGGTGCAGGGGACGCAGGAGAAGAGGCAACAAGAGTTCCGATTGGTCCATCAGCCAGGAACATGATGCAGCCTTCTTACGGAAGCCAAGAAGTTTGCGATTTATGTGATCAGACTGATATGATGGGCAGATCTAGAGTTGCCAGAGGCCAAGGGGAAGAATGGAGGATAGATAATCCAGTGGCTCTAGTGTACCGTCGAACGTGATGTTCACAGGGACTCTCGATGTGGCACCGTTGTACAACCGTTGTGCTCTGTCCGCTCAGCGTTCGAGGACCCGTTCATTTTCCCTCGCTAAAAGTCTTGGTAGTAAGCATCTGTATCGCCTCAGCCCTGAAGCGAGCCTGAAGAGTCTCTGAGTCCAGGTTCGGAAACGCTGGTCCACGTTTGTGAGTCAGGAAACGCAGCCGTGTGTGGCCTTTTCTTCGGTCATAGATGTGTGGATGGAGGCGCAGAATGCGTGGTGGTGGGTTGTAGTTTTACGCTTGATGAATTGGTACCGGGTGGATCACCGTGGATGTCGTCTCAAAATGGCCCTCTCCGCGTCCGGGGTTCGAGAGGGCACGGCCTCGGGTTGTTCGAGTGAGCCTAAGGTGAGATCCGCTAATGCTACTGCTATCCAGGACGGAGATATTGGGGTGTTCATGTTCCTTCCTGCGGGCGATCATCCGCGATGTGCGTCCGCGATATGCACCCGAATTGTTTGGCAAAAAGGTTTCCCTCTTGGCACCATGGTACGACAAATCGTTTCCATGGTTCAGGGAGGGGTATACGGCGAGCAGAAAACCTTGTGACGAAGTGCTACGGCGTTGTAACGAACAACGAGCGAAGCCTTGCATGAGAAATCGAGTCAAGATGCCGCAGTTCTAGCCTGAATGGACGCTAGGAGCGAACGGCAGAACGTGGCATGCAGCAATGGAAGGTTTCTAGCGGGCTTGGAGGTTGGGAGGGCGTCGACAGAAGGGGAAAAGAAGTGGTGTACAGTAGATGCACCCTCTGTTCCTCTCTATATTGTCTCGGTGTGAGATGGACATCTATCTGTATCCGTACCATAGTAAATAGCTGTCAGTGCCCCCCTCCCTTGCCCTTCCCCATGGTGACCATGACCTGAGGCAGCCGTGTGACCAGAGAGAGTCCGAGGAACATCAGCCGTGCGAATAAGTCTAGTTGTTTCTTCAACGTGATGGCTAGTATAAGCAAGGCCAGTGACATTCGCAGAGACATGGAGAAGTAGGCCCGGCTGGGGAGTCGCGTGAGCGCTTGTGTTTGGAGAATTACGGCGGGAGGAGGAGGAGACTCAGCCAGGCGTGCCAGGGTTTGTTGGTGAATCAAGGAAAGCAACGTGCCAAGGGCCCCCTTGCGGCCACGCCTGGAGCTTGAAACGGGCACTAAATTTAGCGGCAAAGCTTGGACTGTTTAAGCTTGTGGCTTCCGCGGCAGCGGACAGCCAACCACCAACCTCTTCCGGCACGCACACACACACTACCTCTGTACTTTGTAGGCATCTACATGTAATTACCTCA